GACAAATGCAGCAATATGTTAGAGAGCAGCCGAAAAAGCACTGTTCCTCCAAGTTGCTGTGTGAATAAGCAAGCTTGCTTACCAAGGGGGCCGTCTGCCATATTCGGCGGAATGGTTTCGGGGACAAACTTTGCCTGAACGACAAAGTTACATGTCTCTCTTTGATCATCCCACCATCCTGTCAACTTTGCACCGACGAAGAGGAACAAACCTTCGGTGACTCCTGGTGAGATAGTACTGGGCTCCAATCGCAGCAGAGGGATCATGTTGGCTAATGATACTGCCGTCAAAGCATTATTGTCGGCCTTGAGACCATCTCCCTTGCTCGCAGGCGACAAGTAGCGGTACTGAATGCCATGCTCCTGCAACTGTGCCTTGACTTCATTAAGACAAATACGGACACGGCATAGGGCCTCCAGCTTTGACAAGACATCCTGGTCTATCGTCAACCTATATGAATGGCAAACAATAATGGACATCGGAACATGAGTATGATGTTGGCATGATGGAGCAGATACCCACTTGGAAGCAAGATGCAACCGGGCAAGCTCTTACTCTTCTCTATGGGTTAATTCCTGAGAACCATCATTCTCGATATCGAACTGCACCGACTTCCTTTTGATTGCTGCAGGGCTCGAAACAAAATCGTTTTCGATGCTTTCTCTCTGCCTCTTCAGTCCCTGCCAATAAACTGGCATGATCGATTTCAGTGTCAGCCAAATTCCCGCAACCTCCCGCTCTGCAGGTGCGACCTCGATCAGCCATACGCAAAACTTTTGGTCAATAACGCCGACAACGAGATAGTGCCGAGGATGCTGAGGATACTGCAGGAACAGGAGTTGCTGAATATTGGCACCAAATCGTGCTGCATCCTGCTTTCCAAGCGCCAATCGTCTATAAGGCTGAAGCCCTAGAAGAATACCCAGCGACTCCAATTCCACGATTGCCATCTATACATGTGCAAGAAGCGGGCGGTTTAATTGCAGGTAGCAATGGTAACATAACATCGTTGTACTGCGTGAAGTGCTTTAGGAGGCCTTACCGAGAACCGTAACGAAATTAAAGCATCGACAATGTTGTTTGCATTGTCATTGAGTCGGGTCTGAAATGCAGTGATAACAGCTATCGGGGGCAACAGTGGGACGACGGCTCAGTAAGGTGTAGCAGCGAGAGTCTGCAACAAATATGAAGTATGGCTACAAAACTTACGATCAACTCCCTCGCCAGTTTTCCCAACTTCGCGCACAACTACTCGTCCTGTTCTGACATCAATTCGTATCCTGATCCATCGATCGCCCTTCAATCTAACGAGCAGCGCCTGGGGTCCGGGTAAAGCGGATGTGCCAGCCATGCCTTGTTGCTCTCCAGAATCCAGCGTCTTCAGTCGAATGTCGTCCTTTGAAAAATGAGTACCGTCTGTTTGCTCCGCTTGCGCCTTTGTATTTTCGATATGTAACAAGAGGCGATCGTAAAACTCCTGCATGACCTGCCCAGTGTGCATATTCACGGCTTTCAAAAGCAAACGCTCGACGTGAAGGTTTGAGGGGTCCTATTGATACGAACAGGCGGACCGACCCGTGTTAATGGCACAACTGCTTCATACGTGTATCCTTGCGGTGTTTCCAGAAGAAAATAAACGTCCTACCAGCTCAAGGATCGAGTCCGATTCTGCTTCTGAGACGACCCCTTTGGCGACTTGACTCCATACGATTTTGATATGTGCTCTTGGGTAGCCGAGGGACTTAAGATCTACTAGAGCACCGGCAAGATCTTCACGTATTTTGGCTGGGGGCCCTGGACGCTCTTCTATCCTGATCTCAAGGTAGTGTTCCTGCTGAGCTGGGGAGGCAAAAGTTCCATCCTTTTGGGCTGTTATTGCCGTAGATGGTGATGCTGAGGCTCTCCTTTTAGGTGCGGGTACAGGCACTTGTGGTGCTGCTGGCTGTGGTGTAAGTCCATTGTTCCAATATACTAGTCGTACAACAGATCGAGCTTGGTTCACCTCCACCCTGAGTCGGTTATCCGTCCATCCCGATCGAAGTAAGTGATATGCCTGCGAAGCCAGATAAGTTGGTTATTGTGAACCATGATAAATGGTTGTAACACTGGCAAGCACTCAAAAGCATCGACCTTGCTCTTTACCTGAATGTATACGAGCTCGATCAGCAGATGCAACGAAAGCATGTGCAGGTAGTCGTATAGCCTTAGCAGGGCCTGGCTTGCCGGAGAGCTTGGATTCTCAACGACTGGGAGAATTGTGTGTTGAGAGGTATTTGCTGAGCCCGAGGAATCCATCTCTTTCTGAGCAAACATGGTGATTGCCCGCATCTGTGCATCGTTCAATGTCGTCTCAAGGCCTAGATGAAATCCCAAAGTAAGCAGAGATTGTGAGTGATTCAAGTCCTGCGATGATGGGCCTTCTTCATTTAGTATGGGTAAGCGAAAGCCAAGGCGTCGTACCTTGAAAGGATCCTCCTACAGGTTTGACCAGAATCTTAAGACCGATAATGCGCCAAGGCACATCCATAGGTAATCCTGGTCCCGAGACAGTGAGCGTTACCTAAAAAACCAGAGCTGTAAGGTTAACGCTCGTGGTAAAAAGAAGGGAGCCATTAATGCTTCTTCTATGGAACGATGAACTAACCTCAAACTCGTTAGGAACAACAAACTTGGCTTTTCCTTTGCCGATCGTGTATTTCATAGCAGGTGGAACTAACTCGTCGCACAGGAGCCTCATGCGAATCACGTCATCTAGTCTCTCCAATGTCGCCGCTATCTGCGTCCTGCTCGGCTTCTCTTCTTCAACGTATACTTGCTTGATCCGTGATGGTAGACGTTGATATGTTCCTGTAGTCAAGACATCAATTGCTGTGGGTATATCAAAGTTGCGGACGCTATTGTACATAGATCCAGACAACAAGTACGAGGGTTAGTCGTTAAGGCACGAAGACATTTATAAATTGCCATTGCTTCCGAACTGATGGTGCACATACCGAGCCCTGCCAAACAGCCTATAAGTTTCGAATAGGCCACCGACTGCACGCGTGAAGAGTTCGTTTTCATGGCGCAGAAATCCAACAATGTTCTATTGCGTCGCGGCCAAAAGGCGAAAGATGTCAGTCCTGAAATCCATACGCCTGAGTGTTTATTTAAGGCGTCCTGAAAGCTGACGAACCTGGCATTGCTGAAACTTGTTTGCACTTTTCGCCCACTTTGTTAACACCAGCAATTTGATAAACTGTTCCCGTTTCGAGAGCGCGTATTCCAAAATATGCAGCTTTTTCCGTGCGTCGTTCATACTCGGTAGACTGTAACGGTTCATGACATCGAGAAAAGTCGTCAGGTAATAAGGTATTGGTTAGCTAGTCTGCCTGCAAGACTTTCCACGCAAACCGGCGATATGTGGAAATGATCCTTACACATCTGACAGATTAGACAGATCAGCAAAGGCTTCGTTGGTCATGCGATGGATGATGGCGCTGAGCGGGACCATGCCAGCCATATTCTGAGGGAGAGTAGGCACGACAGCAGGCATGGATGAGGATGCAGGCGCGGGGACGGGTAAGGGCGGCGATGTGCCCTTGGCGGTGCCGTTGGGTTCCATCATCGCTCCCCTCCTTTTCACTCTTTTTCTTTTCGATGAGACGGCAGCCTGTATGCGGATCAAGAACAACAAAGGGCGTGCTGGAACGGATTGGAAAAAAAAAGTCGTAAAGAGAGCGAGGGGCGAAAGGAGAGTGACGAAGATGGTGATTGGGACTGGAAGGGGGTCACTCTTTCGTCCAAGAAGCGAATTTGACAAAGAGAAGGAGCCAAACAATCGCGATCAGCTTGAAAGCCGAGCGAGTGACGTCGACACTTTGGACTTTTCCTTCCTTTCAGAGCTGTAATCCAGGCACACACCACACACACTCATTTGCCCACAGGGAAAAAAAGAAAAACAACAGCAAAAAAAATATATTTTACTATCGCAATTCTCCTCCTCTTTCTCCTCTCCTCTCCCTCTTTCTCCTCTCCTCTCCCTCTCCCTCTCCCTCTCCTCCTCCTCTCCTCTCAATCACTTCCTCCCTCTTTTTTTTTTGGCCATCACCTCGACAAATCCACCTGGACTCGGTCCTCTTTCTTCTAGCAAGCTCATCGCTCCCTCTTTTTGTGCCTGGCTACAAGGACACTAGACACCTCTCGCAACATATACGGTCGTCATCGGGCATTATATCACTTTGCAGCCTTTTCAGCTTCACCAGCACCATCAACGTCAAGGAACAGTTGACAGACAACAGCATCAACAGTGACAACTAGGATCTCTTGATCAAAAAAGAAAAAAAAACCAGGTCGGTAATTGCCTTGCAACCAGCATGAATAAGGTTAAATTGCCCAACAGCGTGGCCCGCGTCTACGCCGATGCCAACGAGAAGCTGGGTCGGGATTACTGGGACTACGAGGGCTTTTCGCTGCAGTGGGGGTAAGTCCAAAGTATAAGGCTGCTTCAATTTCAACACGAAGGCGTTTTTTCGATGCAGAATGATGTTTTGTTGTTCTCCCTCGGCTGAATACCTGCAAATGCAAATCAAAAAGTATACAGGCCAAATGAACAGGGAACAATACTGATGGCTAATCCTGTCATGTGCTCCTCTTTGTCACAATGTAGAGTTCAGGACAATTATGAGATCATTCGCAAGGTTGGACGAGGGAAATACTCTGAAGTCTTTGAGGCGGTCAACATCACGAACTACGAGAAATGCTGTATCAAGGTCCTGAAACCCATCAAGAAGAAGAAGATCAAGCGCGAGATCAAGATTCTGCAGAATCTGGCTGGCGGACCAAATGTCATTCGCCTCCTCGATGTCGTTCGTGACCCTCAGGTAAGAAGATGGTAGTGTTCTTGCTCCAACTGCACCGCTGAGTCATCAACGTCTGCTAACCCTGTGGTAATTTGCGCCCACTTTGATACAGTCCAAAACGCCTGCGTTGATTTTTGAGTGCATTGACAACGATGATTTCAGGACGCTTTACCCCAAATTTCGCGATTTTGATGTTCGATACTACATGTATGAGCTTTTGAAGGTGCGTTGGAACTCTAGGAGACTTACAGGAATCGACAGGAGGATCGATTGTTGGATTCATTTCCATACAGCACGGCCAGCAAGTTAACGTATCTGTTTTCATTTGATCCGCCCTTCTCTTTATACATGTAGGCGTTGAATTTCTGTCATTCTATGGGCATCATGCACCGAGACCTCAAGCCGCACAATGTCATGATTGATCACAGGAAGCGAAAGGTGAGCGAGTTTTTTGTTTTCAGCAGGAAGGATCGCGGCATGCCTTTGAAGATCTGGTACCAGGGACTAATAATGGCTAAACATCGATCTACGTTTGACGAAACATAGTTACGATTGATCGACTGGGGCCTTGCAGAGTTTTATCATCCAGGTATGATGTACAATGTTCGAGTCGCATCCCGCTACTGGAAAGGACCAGAGTTACTGGTGGACCTGCAGGATTATGATTATTCCTTGGATATCTGGAGCCTTGGCGCCATGTTTGCTGGCTTGGTAAGACGAGAGCAAAAAGTTGTTCGAGGAGCCCCAGATATTAGTGGCGTGCAGGCACGAACTAGAGCGATTAATGTCTAACATTTTCCTTTACTTTCTTTAATAGATCTTTCAAAAGGAAACCTTCTTCCGAGGTGCAGACAATAATGATCAGCTTGTCAAGATCGCAAATGTGCTCGGAACAGATGAACTGTTCAAGTATCTCAACAAATATGCACTAGAGCTGGAGGAGCACCACGCGGCCCTGAACGATTATATCCCTCGGACGCCATGGCAAAAGTTTGTCAGCGCAGACAACCAGCATCTGGTCTCAAACGGAGCGCTTGACCTTCTTGGAAAGTTTCTTCGATACGACCATCAGGTACGCAAACAATGGTTATGGTGCAGCTCTAGATCTCCAGCGGGACGTCATCTCAGATCATAACTGACAGTCGCTGCGGACGAAATTATTTCCTGGGTTTTAGGAGCGGTTGACGGCTGCAGAGGCAATGAAGCACCCATACTTCGATCCTGTCAAGACAAGAGCGGCGGATGGGGTTTTGACGACGACGGACTCGTCCGACGCGGAAGACTGGAGCGAGATGCTCAACTGAGCGTGTAATACCACAAAGGAAATAGTTACTCATGCCTTCCTGGTCGTTTTTGAGTCGCTCGTTTGCGCATGCTGTGCATAGATCTGAATGTTTAAAAAGCATTGGCAGGCAAATGTTTGTGGGCACTATTCAATTAGCCCTATTGATGGAGCAAACGTCTATGCCCACGAAAGTTTCCAATAACTTGTAGATATATAGTGCCATCCCTTTTTTCTCTTTCTTGCATGTAAAACTATCGACTGTAGCTGTTAAAGGACTTCATGAAAGCAAGCGGGCTGATACCCGCGCAAAAGGAGCATTGGAAAGTCTATGATGTGCGTTGGGATACCGTGCCCGATGGTGCATAGAAGTACTGCGTATCTGTTCTTGCCCATGTTCCTGCTTTTTTTTTTTACGTCTTGACACTCGCGCGCTTCCATCTGAAGAAAACTCCCTCTTCCAATGTCATTGGCATGATTCAGATCGCTTGTCTGCTCTCTCTCTCTTTCTTCTTCCATCAATCAACCATTTACCAAACAGACCCTAAAAACGATCGATCTATATATACTACACTTTTATCGCTTCAGTATTTTATTTCATTTTGCTTCCAGACGATCTGCCTACTACTCTCACTACCACTAGCTCACTCATTCTTTTCTCGACGCGGGGAGGTTGTGTTCTACACCGTCATTCATTTCATCCCTTTCCAGCATCACTTGTTCTCATTACTCTTTTTCTTTCTTTCCTCCGTTTTTTTTTTTTTTTTTTTTTTTTTTTTTTTTTTTTTTCGAATTAACATTTCTGTCCTTATTCGTGCCGAGAACTCATCCGAACAAACCGATCGCACAACGTCAGGATACACAGAACACCTCTCGCTTTTAGCAGACAGCGTGAGCCAGGGCCAGTAGAGCAGCTGGACGCACGCTACCATGCCTCTCAACCATAATGATCCCTTCGTGGTGAATGCCGCACAGCCGTCTCGGCGGCAGATCATCGAGTTCAAACTGTCAGAGGAGGTTTTGGAGGAGATCATGAACGGCAATGAATCGATTCAACTGGACATGAATCAAGCTGTAAGTTCTTGCTGAATAACCCCCCTGTTGATTCTCTTGGTTCATTTATTTTTTTATGTGGAGGATCGATTGCACAGGATGTGTGTGCTTTTTTGGGCCCCAAATAATTTGGGGGCGCCGTTGGTTGTGGATATGGTGCTCTGCTCCAGGGCACACGCAGACACCAAGGTGGCTAGCTGAAACGAGGGGGAAGGGTGCTCCTCTTTTTCATAAGGCGCTAGCCCTGATTTGTCTTTTGATAATCAATCATCCTGACTTTGAGCGCCAACCATGGCGCCACACGCCGACCCACCCTCATCTCCGGTTCCCGCTGGCCTGTAGCGCTACTTGCGCTTGGGATGCAGAACACATACGATCTCTGTTCTAACGAAACGCGTAATATTGTTGTATGATGTTCTCCTACTATAGAAATTATTGATTGGCGAGAGCTCTTATGACTTTACACACATGCCAGGAATCAGCAATATCGAGGTCTACAAACTGCCATCAGGAACGAAACAACTGGATTTGGTCGGCAATATAACCGCAAAATGCACAATCCAGAGGACACACGCAAAGAAGGGACAGAAGAAGGCAACAAAGCACGAGCCCGTGAGAACGTACGTTCGCGTGTTTTTGTTGTGGTCGTTTGTTCACAATTCCACATTTCCACATTTCCACAAGAGGTCACGTCTGATCTTGTCCTCTTTCTCCCTGATTTTATGCCCGGGCTGTCAACAACAAATCGATCGCGTCTCTCGTGTTCTTACCCCGCACTGGATGGCTATGCAACAGGACCCAAATAATCGACGCGAATGACTGTAAGTGGACATGTTCATAATAAGAGACGCCAACGATGAAAGATATGGACCTCACGACTTACAGTTGCTGTACATATAATCGGCTTTTCTTTTTATGTGGTTATAGTGAGGAAAGGAACAAAATCAACAGCATCAATTCCAGTACGGCGACCGCAATCGCCTTCGCCTTCAGCAACAACGGCAACAGCAACGGCAGCTGCAACTGCTGCAGCGGCAGGCACCGTCGTGCCACTCAAGACTCGCGTTGTACAACTGCTGGCGCAGCATCCACACGGCACAGAGGAAAAGGAGCTGATGAAATTGCTGAGAGTTTCGCTAGAGGATCTACAGTCTATCTTGCCTATTGTGAGTGCTTCGGCTGTTAAAGGATTTAAACCGGCATTTGCAGGACCTAAGGGATGGAATTTTACGAAAATGAATGTTGCAAGATTCACCATCAACGCATTCAATTGTACACTTCATTCTCATCTAGGTGGCCAATTTCTCTGGCGGCCGGTATGTTTTGAAGCCGGAAACGTACAAGGAGGTCAAAATCTACGACTGGAAAAATTACTCAGCCAAGCAGAGAGAGATTGTGGTCAAGAATGCAAGTGCTGCATTCGACAGACTGGGGCTGGCACATGATGCGCCGGAAAGGGACATTCTTTTGCCCGAGAAAGCAAAGCGCGCCAGTCCACCGCTGGTAGCGGAGGGATACCACGTCGTTGGAAATATGGATACTACCAACTCGAAATGGCGGTCAGGAGGCGCTGGATCCGAGTCCGAGGGACTTGATAACGGGAGGATGAGCAGCAGCAACAGCTCATTATTGAAGCCACCGAGCGCTCAAAAGAAGACGTCGGCGAAAAAATCACCGGCGTTATCGTCATTGACGGGCAAGAAAAGGGCATCATCCACCAAGAGCTCAAGCGGGAACAAAGGAAGTCGGCAGTCAGCAGAAAAAGTGGCAGCCGCGATTTTGGAGAATGCACAGAACCACAACGCAAGAGGAGCAACAACACCGTCCAGTACAGTGAAGTCCACACTGGGAGGAACACCAGGTATCGGCGTTGGATCCCCGACAATTACTGGGAGAAGGCCCTCGATCAACGGCAATGGCAACGGTAACGGTAACGGCGTACCGGCTGTAAAACGAGGATCAGAAACGAAAAAGGCAGGATCTGGCACCAAGGAGACAGGAGGCGTGGGCAACGGATACAAGATTCCCAAAGTCGGCTCCGGAGTCACAGTACCAAGGAAAGCACAAAGTCCAAGTAAGTAGCCTTTTGGATATTATATTTTCGATTCTTTCAACAAGCGGATACAAACCTGACGTTTTTCGTACGTATTTTACTGACATGAACTGCTTTAGCGTTCACGGTTCCGCCGATTACGTCGCAGGCAGAGTACGAGGAAGTGTCGCAGCAGTTCATGGCAAAGTACAAGGAAATGAAGGTGCTTAAGGCACAGATCGACAAGAAGAAGGAACTCTTTGATCAGCTTAGCGCGGAACTGGAACTGGCGGTTGGCACAGAGCGTGAGGCAGAGTTGAAGCGCAAGGTCCAGGACGCGTTTGGCGAAGATGTGGTCGACCGCAAAGTACTCCGCAGGACAGGTGAGCCCAGGCAGGGCGTGAGCGTGGAGAGGGCTAAGGCAGCGATGGCAGAGCAGAGTAATCATCTGAGTGTCCGGTCGATGGCAGAGCGGTATAAGACCTTGCACCATGAAGTTGACACGATGAAGCGGGCGCTATGTGAGGCAGGCACTGCCCAGGCTGGAAGGGCTGGCCAGAGCGGACCTGCCTCGGTAAGCGGAGGAAACGGCTAAGTGAGACGAAGCATGGCCATCAAAAATAAAAGGTCCTTTTAGCATCATGTCTTTGTCTTTTATGACCATCAAAGATATTGCACATGAAATGGCGAGGGGGAAGGTGATCTGTGGCTTGGACCAGGCCCCTTATTTGGTTTCCCTTTCTCTGATCGTTGGCTCGTTGAACGACTCACGCGCTTCAGTGATCTTGTCCCTGTTTCTCTGTTCATCGGATTCTTTACTTCGTCATGGCCTCAACTTCATCTTCCTCAGCGCAATCCAACCCACAGGTGCCTCCATACCCTTCTCCTTCTCACTCCTCGTCATCACAATCCCCAGTGTCTTCACAGCCGTCGAATGTCGCCTCTCCCTCCTCGCTGTGGCCACTAAGCCCACACTACTATTACAATGCCACGGTGGTCCACCCGGATCTATCGTCTGCGCTCTCAAAGAACCCACTCCTGAACCGGATAGGTCTTGAGCCTCTGAAGCGGATTGGACTGATCACAGCATCGGCCTCGTTCTGGGGCTTTATCCTTGGAGGCGTGATCGGATCCCGTCAATCGGGGATGCAGTATCTGGCGGAGAATGCGCATCGGCTACCGAAGAACATGGAGGGCTGGTACTTTTATCACAAGCGCAAGAATTACAGGATGATGTGGGGTGCTCTCCGGAAGGGCGTTGTTTACTCTACAAAGACGGGCGCATTGGTCGGGTTGTTTGAGGTCTTGGAGGCCAGCGCGGATTTCTATCGGGGGGGAGCAGATATGTTCAATTCCATGGCCGCAGGTGTTGCCTCGGGGGCTATTTTTTCGATCACAAGTAAGGGGATGGATTGTCATCGGAGGTTTTTTGTTGCTTTTCAAGTACGAGAGATATATGTAGAAGGCGATTGCTTAATTGGATCCTAACCAAAAGCTTCAATGTTTCTCTTCTTTATTTCAAAGATAAACTGCCTAGGCAGAGCGCAAAGCATACGTTGATGCTCGGTGCGGGGTATGGATTGGTTAGCGGCGCGCTGCAGGATCTGTCATCGTTCTTGAAGGGGACGCCTGTGTGGTACCTACCTCGATCGTTGAAGGAACGGTCTTTGACACTCAAGATGCCCATTGTCGAGGATGAGGAGGATTAGAATATGCCTGTGTAGGCAGGCATCTCCCACGCACATTGGAAATAAACTCGTTCAAAAACAAACCGAAATAAGGGGGAATATAAACGCGTGCCTGATCGCACAGACAGTGGTTCCACTTTTAGATGCGCTCGTGGATGTGGTCCGTGCACATGCATATTCAACATCCCAATCATCAGGTTCCATCCATCCTTCAATTGAGTAATGAACACGCGTATTTTTGGAGGATAAAGAATTGCTATGCTGAGCATGTCATGTCTTACAGTCCTACGACCCATAGTTGAACTGTTTGTAATATGTAATACGAGAGCACTGAAACAGCATATTTCTTTCATCTTACCATAATCCCCTCTTCACTTTACTTTGGGGGTCCCCCACGGCATCATTCTAACCCGTGGCTCCCAATCCAGTACCGCTTGTCCTTTGTTCGCACGGCGTACCATCATCCCATTAGTGAACCAGGACTGTTAAGAACAAAAATGAAAGCAGAACATGAGTTCTTCTCTCTGAGATGAAGTAATAGACGCATTTTAAACAAATATAACTGGTGTACAGTAGGATTCGTCCAAATACACAAACACGGCATCCTTATACTTGCCGGACCGTCGCTCTTGAAGGTAGTGCCGCCTCTTAGCCTTGATATCCTCGGTCTCGACAAAATTCTTAGTGTTCCCCGACATCCTGATAACGGGAAACCCATTTTTTTCATCAACAAGCGAATCGCTTCCTTGGTTGGAATCCTGGATTGATCCGCGAATAGCTCCTTGATACGGTTAAAAGGAACTCTAAGGTTAACAGCTTGTCCTTTAGTGTCCATTACCGTTTCAAAGGCCTGAAGCAAACGATAGAATGTGATTGTAGCGTGGATGCTTGTCTCGAGCGTCTCCGCTATCTTTTCTCAACACGATATCCTTGACGGTATTGAGTGAGAATCCCATGGAAGAGGCCGTTCGTAGAAAAAGGATCCGATGTCGTAACCAGTTTCGCGTTCTCTTTTTCTCCCTTGCAAAAACTCGTAGCAATGAAGTTACTGCTCTACGCTCCTTTATAGACACCCATTTTCCCTGAAGGCCGGTTATATATGCTGTTTGACTGAATCGAATATATTGCTGTGGGAGGCGCGACCTTTCACAGTTCTCTGATCTGGCTTTACAATAGCTCGACCTACCTCTGTCGCTTCTCAATCACCTTCAAGGTCTCCGAGGCTATTGGCTCTTTTTTTTCTAGGTCGTTGGACAGAGTTTCGGAAAGAGGAACCAAGACAAGGGCGTTTTCTTAAAGTCCTCGTGGATGACTTGTCCGGCAAAGTAGCATAGGCTTTGGCAATTTGTATATCTTAGTCGTCGAAGGCATCTTCCTACAGCATCCAAGGCTTCGATGAGGAAATGGTCTTTGAGAAAAACGCTCGCGGCTAGTGTAAGCAAGCTGATGCTTGAGAAGACAACGGTGTGCTCCAATATGCAGAAAGTTGATTGCAGCAGCGAGATCCAGGGGGTGAAGAAATTTTGTAGCGAGGTAGAACCTTCAAAACAAATGATGGAAACGCGCTGTAAAGCCCTGCCATCTGAACTCAGGAGTCCTCAGTGAACGTTATAGAGTCGGGGAAGGATAGCATTTGTATTGGGAGAGCGTTTTTTTATCACGTACAATCTAACTATCGTTAGTGGGTCTTTACATGTCCTCATCAGAGAATAGGTCCTCTTCGGGAAAATCACCCGTTTGAACCTTGTCTGGGCGTACAAACGATCCGTAGTTGGCGGGGCAGGTGAAATAGCGGACGCCCTGTACGCTGCCATCATTCTTGCCCAAAGGCTCATCGTACTGCACTCCCACCCAAAGACCTGATTGGAACTCGGTTGTGCCTATGAAGACCAAAACAGCAGGGGCAATTGGAACAGCATGATAAGAACGTGATCGATAAGAAAAAAGCGGGCAGGCTGGACTGGCTTTCATCGACTCTGCAAGTAAAAGGTTCAAAGGTTCAGGTGCACCTACCAATGAATCGAACAGTGCCCCTGCGCTTGAGGATACCGCTTCCAACATCGACCTCGCATCGATCGCCGGTCTTGATGTTCTTGACCGCCTCTTCGTAGACATGGTTCTGAGTGGCAGAGGCAGACGAACTATCTGAGGCAGCGTCGTTGAATCGACCAAGATTGTTCCGCTTCTTGAACGCAAGGACAGAGTCTAGAACAGAACGCGGAGTTTTCAAAGAAGTAGACAAGAGATCAGACGACTCCATTCTCATGCATTTCACGCATGGTGATTTGCTGTGAAGCGAGCTATGCTTTGTTTAGATGTATCTATGATTGCTCAGCAATATCAGATGTCACGTAGATGGGGTTGTTTGGGCGGTGAAGAAAAAAAAACAGTAGGCGGCAATGGCAAGGTTAGGGTCACGCATGCCAATGGCCGTGTAACGCTCTCTCGCGCGCGCGCGCGCACCCCGTCGGTTCATAAAAATTGCAAGGGGGGATGGAATGATCACGTTCAAGGAAGGACCAAAACGACCGTAACACCATCGTACTTCCACACAAACAAAAAAGATACTACTAAAGTGCGTTAAGCATGGACCCACATTCTTAGATTGCAAAGGGTGCACAAGGACAAAGGGAGAATGTATATCATGAAAGCAAAAGAGGGGAGAGGTCCATGTGGTCGATGGATGTAGAGCCATGTGGGTGATGAGAACATTTCTGTGGATGTTATGCTTCTAGTTGGTTATTTCTTTATACCTGTTCGCTTTTCATATTCCTCGTCAGGCAGCTCGAACTTTTGCACGAGCGACACGTCGTTGTATTGGCCCTTGATGCGCGAGGGGTTCGTGTCAATGACCTATCGTTTTGTCAGAGACAAACGAGTCGTTGCGCGCGTGTTTGAATTGGTCAGTTTTTCCAGGACGGAGTAGTACAAGCAGCTACATAGCCAGCAAAAGTCGGTATAGATCACGCGAACTTGCCTGGATGGTCCAATAGTCCTCAATGGGGAACGCGCCAAGCATGGTCTCTGGAGGGTGACCCTCGAGCGATGTGACAAACATGTCGTTGTTGTAGAGCTGCAACTGCTGGGATGAGGAACTGATACCAGTGATGGGTTCAAGCTTGATCTATCGAACGCGAAATACAAAGCCGACGGGTTAGATTGATGATCGTAAGTAACTGGTCACCTAATGACCCGAAGGAGAGGCCAATGCCTCGGAGGAAAACCAAGCAAAAGGGTGCTGGAGTGTGGGCATGGGACCTTGAATCGAAGACTGGAAAATAACACCACAGCATTTGCGCTTCCCGAACCCCGTGAATGTCCCGCGGTGGATATCGATACATCTTCTTCCCAGATATAGCAGCCAGCCATTCATTACTCAGGTGTATATCGCGATCCCATCCACATCCATCTGCAAGTGGATCTCCTTATTCTCGTTCGCCTGCTGCTGATAACATTTTCTGCTACGTATAATTGTTTCCAGCTCGCATTCCCGGATGCCACTGAGATGGGTCTGTAACTCTGTTGGCCGTTGTTACCTTGATGTTGTCAATGGTCGAGGCCTTGGACAGCCTCAGCTCGGTCGAGTTGTTCTCGCTGGTCACATAGACGTTCAGAATCGACATTGTGCTTTATGAATGTTGTTGTAGGGGAAGAGAAGAATGAAGGATCGAATGAGAGAGCGAGTGGGTGAGGAGGAGAGAGAGAGAGAGAGAGAAGCGGGGAGGGGAAAAGATTATTTAAAGCAGACGCGAGGGATGGGGAGCAGATTCCGTTGATGGATGGATCTTCTTTCCTGCTGCAATTGAGCTCCGGTTGATTCTGCAGCGCAATCGTTCTCGGGGTGGGGACGCGTGTTTCTGATGGAGATTGTGGAGGGCGTGGGCATGCGCGCACTGTCTCTCAGGGACTGATGGGAGAGCCGATTCGCAGCCTAGCGAGGGGGGGTAGACTATGTCTGGTGGTGGTGTTTGTGCCCACCTGGCTACAGGATGGATGACACACATCATAGCTCTGATAGGGTGTATTTCCCTCTGACCTGACGACAAACACAACCGCTGCATGCCAGCCTTTCCTTCTCTTCCTCTCTCTCTCTCCCCCCTCTCTCTCGCATTCTCTCGCATCCCCTCTCTCTTTCCCTCTCTCGCATTCCCTCTTTCTCTCTCACTCTCTCACTCTCTCTCGCATTCTCTCCTTCTCTCCCACTCACTCCACTCATCAAACCTCACCTTCCCTCTCTCTCTCTCTCTCTCTCTTTCTCTCTCTCCCCTCCTTCCACCCATAAACGAGACTGAACGAACAAACATACCAGAGCAAACCAAGCACTGCCCACTCACCCACGCACTCGCTCATTCACGTATGTGTTTCCAGCTTCGAAGCTGATCGCCCTTTGATCTCCAGCCCTCCCTCCATCAACCCCCTCTCCTCGTCATACTGAACCCGTCTCCTCCCCTTGGCCGCCAGAGAGAGATGCAGCAACGCTTATCTTTATTGCGGTCAAACATCTAGCATCATCATCATTGAGACATATCCTTTTCTTAGCAGCCTATTTATTGCATCAGCACCTTTCTAACCCTATATCCCCCCTCCCTCCTCTTTAATATCCTTATTCTCCATTCAATCTACTTCCCATAGCTCCACAGCACCCCGTGAAGGTCTGCAGCGCCAATCCCTATCCCCACTCCACTCCCGATCAGCAGTGCCATGCACCAATTCCAATCCTTCAACCCCCCTCAGCCGCCCTCGGTCGCAGAATATGCCTTCCCGACCGTGCTGCAGTTCCTACAGTCAGAATGGCGCCGTTTTGAACGCGACAGGAACGAGTGGGACATTGAAAAGGCTGAGATGAAGGTTAGTACCTTGGTCACAACAGACATCTCGTCCTTTGGATCTCCAGTCTCGGAGCTCTAAACTAACATGTGTTCCTACGCTGCTATGTTCAACACGCGTCTCTCTTTTTATTTTTTTATCTTTTTATTTTTACAGGCACGGATTGCGTTTCTAGAAGGCGAGAAACGAGGCATTGACAATACCAAGATGGACCTTATGAAGCGAGTCAAGATGCTCGAGTACGCCTTGAGACAGGAGAGGTAACTATAGAATTGTCCAACATCTTCCGCATCTTCACTATCAGCAGCATCAGCAGCATCAGCAGCATTGTCCTAGTCATCGTTACCTTCATGCTTATCTTCAGCAGAGTGTCCAAGCGTTAGCATTTCATATGCCACCACAAATGAATTATCATATGCTTTGATCACGGCCCCCTTTTTCAGATGAGTTCATTATCTGGTTCAGTGTACATGGCGATTTATTATTCGGTATCGATGGCTGTATCGGGTCACTTTTCCCATCCCTCCCCCCCTCTCGAGATTATTCTTCGCCTTGTGGATACAACATGGCTGTCAGCTGTGGTTTGAATATTGTGGACGGACATGACGATCGGATTAGGTTGTGGTTGTTGACAGTTTGAATATTTTGTTTGTTCCCATGATGCTAAATGATATAGGAGTAAATATCTCGAGGGCAAAGAAGGCAGCGCGGTCAGTGCCCCGTCTCAACAAGCGGCTGGTGTAACTCGTAAGTTGTTTTATGAATCTTCAGACGCGAACTCGTGATGTAAATCGATTACATGAACCCTTATGGCATGGCCCTCCCTCGGCTGGGCTGGGTGGACTGGTCGAGATCCTGTTATCTTGCCATGCAAACATGCTAATTGCTGACCACATGGTGCGGTCGTTTTTTTTAAATTTTTTTATCGATGATAGAACCAAATGTGAATGGCATATCTGGCCTTATGAACAACAAGGCACAGAATAGAATCTCGACCTACAGCAACTCCGGACAGAGCATGGGCCAGGTTAGCCCGACCTCTGCCACCCCCGCTGGCTTCGATCCCATTGGAAGAGCAAAGAGCAGAGAGTTTCTGAGAATGTATGCGCGCAATGCCAGAGCTTCGTAATGTTTATATATGTTACGTAGGGCCGTCCCTGTACCATAACTGATAACTTGTATTTCCTTTGCATTCGCATACCTGCTTTACACCTATGTGAAAAGCTGTCTTCAAGAAATCAGTTACCTGACAGCGTCTGTGCCACAGTCTATTGCCATGAGCATGCCTCCAGCACCGACACGCCTCGCTCGCAATGAATTCGATAAACGCGTCGCCGCTGCAGGTTTAAGGAACAGGAAGAGCGATTTCTTTCCCGCAAATGCACCATCAGCCGTACCTCCAGCCTTGAACAGGGCCAACTCCGTTCCTGTGTCAACACTGCAGTCATTATCGGGGATGAAACCCGCGGCGAATAGTTCGTCCCTGGATCCAGCTATGGAAGGCGTTGCCGGAGGTTTGGTCGAGGACAGGGCCGAAGATGCCACCTTGAGGCAGTTCGCAACAGCCTCTCAGCACGCCCAGACAGGAGACAAGCAACGTGCCATCATCGCTGAAGGACTTGCCTCAACCAAGCCAGCTCCGAAACCTGCACCCTTGATTACTACGAACAACTTCAAGAACTCTACTGAAAAGATGGACCACGATACAAGCAGCTCGGAGGAATCCGAGTTGGTCGACAACGATGATGATCCAGTGACAGTCGTACACGCACCTATGTCTGGGGAGCAATGGCATGCCCAGCTGCAGAAGGCGGGTCAGCAGCTTGCTCAACAGCCCAAATCAAAGAAAGCCAACAACAAGCTCGAAGACGAGGCACAATTAGTAAGGGGCAAGCACGAGCTATGTTTATGGGTTGTTTCAGTGTGGAGTTTTGCAGCCCGCTAATGCGTCTCTTCAATCATATCGCTTTAGACTAAGGATGTCCAGGACAAGTTCAACATTTCGTCGGAAAGACTCAGCAAAATGGTCAAGGATTGGGATAAGTCTAAGCAAGACGGATGCATCGGACAGAAATCCATTCGGAAGAAGAAAGGAAAGGACTCTGGTATGTTCAAATGGCCACTACGTTTAATAGCTTTGTTTTTCATGAACGGGAACATCAGGTATTAAATCAATCTTTTGATTTCATGATTAGTCATGTTAGATGAGCTCGCCAACCTGAGTATTTCGGAAGCTGATATGGCAGAAACTACAAGCAAAGAAAGCGATTCACTGCCTAATGAACCTCCACGTTGGCGCCCCAAGGTCACCTTGAGAAGGTACTATCGAAAACCATGCAAATGAGTGAGGGGTATCAAGAATTCAGCTGTAACGTATCCTTAACCACTCTGGCGCGTTTGGTTAGGCACATGGACACTGTTCGCTCGATCGCCTTCCACCCGATCAACAAGTCCTTACTCTCAGGATCTGAAGATGGTACTATGAAGTACTGGAACTTGGAGGCCCCGCTTAAAGAGTGTAAGAGACCGTTGAACGGTGAAATCGATCCCATTCACACGTATCGCGGACATACGAAGGCCATTACTGCGGTTGCCATCTTGGCCGATCAAAACAAGTGCTTCTCTGCCAGCATGGACTCCACAGTTCGGGCATATAAGCTGGCACCCTTGAATAAGGAGACATATGCGCGCCTGGGTATGTTTAAGGTTTCCGAATTGGCTCAGTGGAACATGATACCTGCAGAGATTGACGATGCTAACATCAACGCGTCTCTCTCTCTCTCTCCCTCTCTCTATCCCACTGTAGATCCAACAATGTCGTTGTCTACTTACGTAGGTCATACGGACGCAGTGTGGGATATCCGGCTGTTCCCTCTGTCAATATCCTCCTCCCAGCTGCTGGGCTCCATCTCTGCCGATGGTACACTCAAGATCTGGGATACCGAAACCAAAGGCTCGCCTCTGAAGTCGTCATGGGGATATCATGGCCTTGGTACCACTAAGACCGCGAGCGCGAATTCGTTAGCCACGCTTCCAGTGCCGACTGGATTGGACTTCTGCCCAACAGATCTGAAAAAGATGGTGGTCAGCTACAGCAACTCGATCATCAAGCTATTCGATATCGAGACTGGAAAGGAGATCCTGACGTTCAAGAGCGACGAGTCCTATGGTGAGTACTAGTTGCCACCAAAATGTGCCGGAGTTCACTCAAGTGCCCAAAAATGGCCTCTCTAACACGCATGCCCTTATTCTCGCGCATAGATGGTACAACGGCAACACAGATCAACAAGATCGTTTGCCATCCCACGTTGCCGTTGGTGGTATCCGGACACGAGGATCGATACATCCGCTTCTTTGATGCCAACAGTGGTAAGGTTACTCGCCTGTTCAATTGCGTCTGCCATAATTTTGAATCGTATTGTTGATCTGTCCCCCCTGCCTTATTCTTTTACAGGAGCGTGTTCGTTCTCAATGTTATCGCATCTTGATGCGGTTTCGTCCCTGGATATCGATCCCGCTGGCCTGGTTCTCTGTTCTGGTGGTCACGATGCTTCTGTGCGTCTCTGGGACATTGCATCTTCTACACGCCCATGTCTGCAAGAGTTCACTGGCCATCGACGCAAGGGCGACGAGGGTGTGTGCGCAGTTCAGTACCATCCAACATTGCCAGGCCTCCTAGCGACTGGAGGTGCAGATTCGCTTGTTAAAATCTTTACTCGCAGCTAAAGGGTTTACAGTGCTTAGTTTCGGCTAAGCATGTTGTCCACTCCACTAAGGATCGATTTTGTTTCTGCATCTCTGATTTAAAGAGATGCCAAGGGCAAACCACTCTGCAGAATCTTAGCAGCCGCAGTCGATGAATATGCAATATGCAAAAGCAATCATCGGTTGCAGATGCCATATTCTTATATCCAGCATATTGTTTATTTCGCTTGCCTTGCCTATCGTCATCTCCTGTCCATCTTACTACCCGCATTGCATATTCCCTCTGTATTATAATAAACGCAAATGTACCTTTTACCCAATGTTTGGATGCATGCACAGGCGTAAAATGTAAATACGCGTTTTAAGGCAATCACAATTTTCATAATTCATTTTATGTTTGCCTCACATGGCTCGATGCATGTAGTCTAGCGGCCATTTCTACACTCAGAACATCCATCGGCATACATGACCTTTATGTTCTTGGATAAGTGTCTAGAAGCCTATGGAAGTACTCAGCCCACTCATTAGACTAGTTGTAGGCGAAGCACTTTTGGACGAGAGGGGGTTTTTTTTCCTTTCTTGTTGTCTGCGCTAGCTCAGAACAAGGGCCATGTTGCTCTTTGTGCAACCATGCCCTTGCTCGATCGCATAGGCGGGGCTTAGCGAAAAACTGACACACTATCTCTTCCCCCTCGGAAAAGTGCTCTCTTGGTTGACATAACCAACCCAGAGGGGGCCTGAAGTAACGTTTATTCATCGGGACCTCGGCCTGCGGTAGATAGACTAGCACTCTCATCCAAGTCCCTAGGGGGGCGGAAATCGAACAGAGATGAAAGAGGTCAAGAAAGTTGGCGACAACCGTAAATAATGAATCCTATCGCAAACCTCAATGGACGTGCTCTCTGACAAAATGTGAGTTTGGGCTAGCGAGACTCAAGAAGAGCAAAGTGAAGGTTACATGCACACACACACACACACACACACACACACGCACACACACACGTACACATGCGCCCTGTAGTCCATCGCATCTTGCATTTGTCATACTGTACATGCGCAATTCAATGGGCTTAAACGCCTGTTGAACAATGAACAATGGTCCTTCGTATTTGTTGTTTAACCCGTTCTCCCGGAGGGAAGTGTGCAGAGTTCTTCTTTCGCCGCGGTTTGTTATATAAACTCCATCGCCCACTGACCGCCCGGTGTTCTTTTTATCCTTTTCTTTCCCTCCTCAGCTCATCTAAACTTTATCTCCCATCTCCCATTCCACGCGTTCCTCATCTTTGTCGCTCCCTCAATTTCCTCCCTCCTCCTTTCAGACCCTGATTCTATCAGAGACAACAAAAAGACACGGCCAATAATCATACGCCAGTTACGGAAGAGACAATATGGAGTACATTCCCGCAAAGAGACCCTCAGGAGCGCGCCGATTCGCAAACGTTATGCTCGCGTTCCCAGGCATTAGGATCATTTGGTGTATTTGTACATTTGGATGTATGTGATACTGGAGGGAAGAGGACGGAAATGCTTGCGCCCTTTATTTTTGCTCCTGAAACTTCATACTAATATCTGGCCGTTAACCATCGTACGTTGTAGACAAATTCCCGACAAAACGCAGAGGCGAGAACTTAATCGTGTGTATCTTTCAAGCGACCGTAGTCTTTGTCGTTCGTAAGTGCATGGACAAAGCCACCGTGCAACTGTAGAAATTAGGAACAATCAGCGTTGTTAACAAGAAAAGCTCTCCTGATTATCTCATAAATTGTAGGGTTCTTCTGTATCATGGGCGCCATTTGGTACATCAATGCTTGGGCCGAGTACACGCTCCAAGGAAAAGCGCGGCCCTTCAATATTCTGGAACGCCAGGAAGTGGATGCTGAAGGAACTTTGGCACCATGTAGGGATGCTCTTTTTTTTTTTTTGTTTTTCTGCGTCTGCTAATCTGACGGACATTGTGGCTTCCCGTACTAAACGCGACATTACTTTTTAAACCCCTAGACCTCAACTTCTTCTCGACAGAGACAAACAAGATCGATATCCTCGGCATAACATTTCAAAATATGACAGACGAATTTGCTATTAATTACAGTTACGGTATTAACGGCGGCATTACATCTGTGGGTCCAGACGACAACTACAAGTTAAACGCAGATAACTTCACGTCGTTGCAGTATATGATCCGGCACAATCCACCTCTGCCAGCATTTCCCTGGACACGCGTGAGTCTGCTGCACCCCTGTAAGTCATCATCACTGTATCGCTTTTTTTTTTTTGCAAGTTATGAGGGAGACAGATATCATGGCTGACACCTTTGATTTTTACGCGAAAAAAAAAAAAAAATGTATATAAATATATACATAAAAACTATAGTGAACAACCTGTCATTTTACAGCGAACGCGAAAAGCCGAATCAGTATTTCTTTCTTCCTGGCCACTTTGTTGAGATCCGATACACTCCCCAGTACTTTTATGAGGTTTACGACCCCAATGTGAACCCGGACGGCACAGAGAGAAACAATGCCACTGTATTGCAAAAATTCAAGGCCTTCATGGGATACGGCGGGGATGTCGAAATCCCGACTTATCAAAGTACAGTGGAGCACATCCCCTTCCCCACCGGGATGTACGACAACATGACCAGCATCATCATTCTCCGCCCGGAGGCTAAGCTTGTGATCAAGACATATGCGTCCGAAGATGTCACGTTCCGCGATACGATGTCGAAAATCGGAGGTCTTATCGGTCTTGTCGGATCCATGCTCGTCTTCCTGTTTGGTGCTTCACTCATGTCGCCCTGGGGATTCATCGCTGGAGTTCCCTTCTTCCGGAGACGCATTTCCGGCTCTCTGGCCAAGGCTTACGACAACGAGGATGGACTCTCCAAAGGCCCGTTCACGATCAAGATCGAAGAGGTTGGCTCGTTTGATCCAGATGTCAGGACAGTGGACGAGAAAATGACCTTTCTGAAGGAGAGAGTCGATGAGCTCGAGATCGTTTTGAGAGAGTATTACCTGAGCAGCGAGGTCTTCCAATATTACGCGGAGGAGAGGAAGAAGCTTAAGCTCGCCAGGACTGCATCGGTTGTTTCACGAGCCACAGGAAAAGCTAGCCTGGGAGGTCACTACTCGGACCAGCGGCCGCAGCCCTTGATGTTGCCGAGCCAGACGTTGATGGAGAGTCAGCAACAGCACCGGGGTCAACTTCCATCTCCACAGTTCCCGCCCTCATATGCACGGCAGAGCAGCGATCAACTGGGAAGGCATGCTCCGGAGCCGAGTGTTTCGACCTACTATCAGCAGCAGCAGCAACACCAACAACAACAGAGAAGTCGTCGGAGTGATTCTGAGCAGTCGCTGTTGAGATCTTCACGCGAGGAGAATGAGCTCAATTCACCGACACAGTCGGATAGAGATCAATATCAAGGGCTGCTCCAGCATGATCATAACTTGCGGCGACAGTCGTTACCCCAGCAGCAACAGCAATGGCAACAGCAACAACAGCAACAACAACAGCAGCAGCAGCAGCAGCAGCAACAGGGTGCACCATCGTTCCCACCACGGCCGCCAAAAGACCAGATTATAGAAATGACTTTGACCCCGACCCCGACCCCGTCGTTGATCGGACAGGGAAGCGTTGTGGGTTCAGATATGGGGTCACGGCATGTTGAGCAGTTGAACATGTCGGATCTTTCAAGGCTACCTCGAGAGTTTTAAAAAAAAAAAAAAAAAACAGGGCCTTCTAGCCTTTGGCTGTAGATATATTTTTGTATGTATTTTTCGCATGAGGTTGTTTTCATCTTGAAAGAATAAAATGGAGGTGAATGCCCGCAGCACTTCTTTTTCTCCCCTAAGTGGGGTCTCTTATGATATTTGGATGGAATGGGAGGCTACGTGTATAGTAGGCGACAATAAATGACACATCTGTAGACTATCAGGACGTTTCTTTTTTTTTTTTTTTTTTTTTTTTTTTGGGAGAGAATTTGCTCCGCCGAGAGTTTCATAACCACCAAGGCTAATGCTAAACTTGTCCTTTGTACGAGCATCGACTTGTACTTTAAAAGTTCTACAGCCAGGTAACTGTGCCCCCTCTTTTTTTTTTTTTTTGGACGCCAAATTTCTGGTTTTCTGGTCAAGGCCGTTGACACGACGGATGAGTTTCCCCAAGGGCCAGTTCAAGGATATGAGCTGTTCGAGTCGGTTCTGAAGTCCAGTAGTCAAGCTACTAAAAGTAGAGGAATAACGAGTTCAAAACGGTATTGGGTGAATATTACACCGAGAAGGGCGGTCTTCGGGGACTGGCGCAAAGGAGTGGAAGGGAAATTAAAGGTAGTGAGATCGCCATCGAGAGGGTCGTGGTCGGATAAGGACATGAATTGGAAAGACTTACTAACGGCAACAGCAGCGGTTTCAGCAAGAGCCAAGGATCGGTTTGATACACTTAAAAATAGCTACCTAAGGGTTTGAGAAGAATAATGAAATAAAAAAAAAAAAAAAAAAACTAACAACGGACGACGGCAATCTGAACGCGAATTGGTTGCTGTCGCTTCAAGGTCAGGAGGAGCTGCTGAAAAGGGGGGGGGGGAGGGATCCATTCGAGAAGGACCATTCTAATTGAGGCCCCAGCGCATTTTTTTCTGCAGCAACGATGATCACCCCCGTATCCAAAAAACGATTTCTTCACCGCCTAGAGTTTTCATTGCCCTCGGTCGTAATGACAGGAGGAACCTGCTGTCTCTCTTACTGCAATGTCGAGCGCGGCGGCCCTCCAGACGCAGAGCACGTCGAGTGTGTGGGCCTTGTCCCGCATGTCTAGAGAAATCTAGATGCATCCGTTATCGCTGTTTTGTCGCCTGATCATCCTCCACTCACAGAACTGTTGTTCATGTCGAATGAGATAACGCGTACGGTCAGGGCAACAAAAAAACCAAAAAAACCAAAGTTCATTTGAGGACCATATCGCCCGTCGAGGAAATAAAAACAAGCAAGTTACCTCCGCAGGCCTATCGTTATGCGAACCTTCAGGTACCATGCCCCTCCCCTGATTTGTCATTGCCCAAACCCTAAAAGAAAAAAGGACGCGTCCGTTCGCCTTATGGTCATGTGTTTTTCTTTTTGCATAAAGACCATGAAGGTAAAAAAAAAAAAAAGGCGCGCGCACTTCTTAATTTTACGCTTCAGCGTGTACATGCATCATAGGGGGTTGCCAAAAAAAAAAAAAAAAAAAAAACACGCATACACATGCTCACAAGAGAGAAAAAAGACCGAGCACAGGCGTATCAACGCAACCACATCCTGTTGGCCTGCTAGCGCCTAGTCAACAAGGCGTCATGCGACCCACTGGAATGCAGACTCTCACGCTGTTTTAGCCTCCTTTTCTTTTAGTTCTGTGAGTTTGTGGGTAGAGGCGATCTGAGCGCTATCTAAATGAACGTAAAAAGCAAACCTTTTACTCATTTGCCCAATTGTTATGTACCAAGGGCTGCAGTACAACACAACTTCAGCATCCAGAAGCCAAAAAGGGAGCGTGTCCCCCTTTTATTTTCTGTCTCCCTCATTTCTCTTGCTCTATCGCCTTTATGTGTTAGTCGAGGGAGTGATGGGCCTGAGGAAGGGAATGATTCGTCGACGAGTGCCTCAAACAGCACGGAGTCGCGTTCTCCATACAAAACGCAGCATAGAAAGAAAATAGACGTGTTCGGACCCCGGGAAGATTTATTGAACTATCCGTGTGTTGTGTATGTATATGTATATGTGTCTGCGTGGGTGTCCGTGTGTGTGTGCATCGGGTGGCCCATGCTTGATAGACTATTGCGAATTGCTCCTTGTCCTCTGTCGCTGTCCTTCATCCGCTACCACCCACTTCCTCTCACGTTTTCCATTTCATCTTTCCATCGTTCGCGCTGGTACAACAGACTGTCATTATGTTGTCGTTAATTTGTGAATGTATATGTGCGTCTGTGTGTATGTAAGTGTGTATGTGTGCGCGCGCTTTGTGAACTATATCTCTCAGACGTTCGGCTGTGCGCTGGTATTGTTGTTGCTCTCTGGTGCTGACTCTGCCTCATGCATCAGCGAACTCTCCTTGACGGGCGGTGATCCGTGGTTGTGGAGCTGGTTCACTGTCGCTGGAGTAGAATGGGGGATATTCTCCGGTTGAGGGTGCTGTGATCCCACGGGTGCAGTTGTCTTTCCAGCCTTGGACAACGCGTAGTCCCCAGAATCAAAATATTTGCGCTCCTATACATATTTGTACAATCAGGACAAACATGGGGCAATTGAAAAAAATGGCTGGGTTAAAAATAAAGCCTGGTATTCCGTCGCATCATCATTTCTTTCTCTTCTGTTCCTGTTATGTCGAAACAGTCGAGCCCGTCTGCGCTGTTTCAGTTTAAGGAATAATTAGCGAGGATCAGGCACGCCCAGCGATGCGCCAAACGATCAAGCCGGAATGCCATTGACGGCGCGCGCCTGGCCTTTATCGTCGACGGCGAGATAACAATAGCACAAGAAAGGAAGCGGTCACTATAATAGGCAATTGAGCGTGGGCCGATTGTAGTGCCGAGAAGATATTCGGACAATCGACTACAGGACATTACCTTTAATTTCTGCCCCAAGAGGCCCTTTGCTGTTGGGAGTCTGTTGCCGTATAGCCGTTGCAGTTTCTGCTCTTGTTCGGTCAAGGTCTAGGGTTATAAAATGCAAGAGAGTGTAAGCAACGCGACGCACGATGAGAAAAACCGGGAAGATAAGCGGAGCGAGCCCCTCTCCCTAGCCTTCCAATTGTTCAATTGCTCGATTCAGATGTTGTTGCGGTACCTGAGCGGGGCTGAAGTTGTGTTCTGTTGCAGTGCCACCGGAACTGTGGGATGGGTTCAAAGGAGAGCTCATTGTGAATGAGAGAGTATGAGTTGTTGTTGGTGAGAGCTTATGGGCGAGAAGTGTTTGAGGAATGTGCTCAGTAGATTCGAATGCAGGTGTGAAGGAATGAACGGGAGTGGGAGGAGGAAGGAAAGGAAGAAAAGAAAAGGAAAGAGAAAGAAGTTCAGGACCATCAGGACGGTTGCCACCAAAAATAAAAGTGTAAAAAAAGTACCCCACACTTGCCAACATGCCCGACTGCAACGTCCTATCACCTCGCCTTTCCCTTGTCTCCTTCACCATCCTTAGTCCATCCCCTAATCCCTGCCCATATATCCGCAACATCCACCAACATGCCACCTTGCAGTTACCAATCCATGCCTCAATGGCTCAATGGCCCAATGAACACCCCTTTTTTCGCTTCTGTCAACCTTGCAACGTTTCCTTATTTTAGTACTAGCTCGCTCGTTCGATTGAGTCGCTTTGCCCATGCATAGACTGCCTAAGAGGCATTAGCACCCGCCGGTCGAAAGGTGTAATGTCGCATTCTAACCTTCCATAGAGCATAGGAAGGCTACCACTTTCTTGATATCCAGTCCAACTTTCCTCATCTTCATCCTCCTGCACCTTGAAAATAGTTCACTGTACACATGTCGCCAAAGCATTTTCTCTGTGTGTGTTTGGGAGCATGGACATGTGGATACAGAAAAATTATTGAAAGGGGAGGGTTTATCTGTTTGTCTGTGTACTCGACCTCTCTTATGATGACGAGCAAGTTCAGCAGTATCACCGTGCATATCTGACCAGCCAGTATTTTTTGAAAGCGAGCAGGACCCGATCCTAGTCTCTCATCTTATAGTACGCATTTTTTGTGTGTATATTTGTTGTTACAGAATTTCTCCACAAAAGACTGCACAATAAAGAGGGTACTGGTATTGAACACACAACATATACGCAGCGACGAATTGGTTAGATGAATGTTGGCCTCAACGGATCTATTTCGGCCAGGAATATCCATCTAACAATCCACGGCGCAAGCATAGTTAACCGAGGGCCCGAGAAAAAATAAAATAAAAAAAGCATGGAAGAGGAAAATCGAATCATTGTCTAGGCTCGCACGATATAATTTTGCTCTCTGAGATTGAGTTGCTTGTCTCCGTGGCCATCTATCTACCATTTGATGCTAGCCCAAGGAAAAGGAATTATGAACGACTTAATACAACTGAGCCATTCGGGTGTCTTCAAGGATTTCACTCGCCTCTATGGGCCAGTAGCCACCAGCCCATCCAATCCATCTATCTAGTTTCATGATCTGAACTTCATGCTAAGTTCGAGGAGACACCTTGACAACAGCAAGTAAGCAGAGAAATTAATGGCTACGTACAGTATCATCCATAAAGTCCATTTGCTCCTTATTTTTGTCCGCTGCCCGTGTACGAGCCATTGTCCATCTACTGCTTTTCATCTTCACATTAAGGCGCAGACAGTTAGATGACGATGATAATGAAGATTGGAACGAACCATAAAGAAATAAAAGAGCTGTCGATGCAGCGATTATAACATGGTCATGAGACGAATTGTCCATCCAACAGGAACAGTGAGAGCGCGAGAGCGAGAGATCGGATGAGGGCGAACAAGCTTGCATCTACACAAACAACGCAAGCAGATAGGCTTTGTTTTCATTTCTCATTTTTAATGTCTAGGCTGCAGCCCTTTTTTCCCTGCATGCACAGCTCTAGCAAAAAGGAAGTAGAGCAAAAGGAAGTAGAGCAGAAGCAAACGACAAAAGTGAATTTTTTCTTTTCTCACATCGGTCAAGTCAAGAAACAAACACGACATCTATCTTTGTTCCCTCCCTTTTTTTTGTTCTTCTTCATCCCTTTACAGCCTCCATTCAACATCGTAACGTTTGTTTCTGTCGACTTCCTCCCTTGCACCAATCTACGGCGCAGCGCAGTTCTATTGGGTCTACCTCCTGTAGTCTCGTTTGTCCCCGGTCCATTGGCTACCCAACTCGGTTTCTCGGGCATTTTTTTTTTTTACTTTTTTCGGTTCTCTCGTGGATACGGTCGTTCTTAAAGTTTCCTCTCCGGTGTTTTGTTCGCACTTGCATTTGTAAAAAAAAAAAACTTTCTTTAACTCTGTTCAAGCCCACGTCCTGTGATCAACCCAATTGGTCCCGTCCAAGGTAAGTTGTTGTATGTTACGGCACCTATCCTCATTTCAGTAGAGAAGCGGCCCGGATAAAACGGGTAAAAGACTGCATCGAGCATGATGTAAGGTCGGGTTAGTAATGTGATAGATAGCTCCTGAGTTCGGGCCATGACGAGGTGAGGACTGACCGCAACGGTTGGAGGAATATTTTTTATATATTTCAGGTACAGGTTCAGGAAAGGAAAAATGCAAAGACGATCCCTACCAGAATAGAGTTGATGAGTGTTCAAAGGAGTTAAAAAACACCATAATGGGTGTTATACTTTCCCTTCTCTTTTCTTTCATTCACTTTTCCTTCCCTTCGAGCCGTTTTTTAAGGTTGACTAAGATGGGAAGCATGCAGATCTCTCTCCCTTCTTTTTTTCTCATGTTCGCGCTTTTTTTTTCTTCCCCTTTGTTAATTCATGCTGCTGAGCTGTCGGCCATCGATGCGTCAGAGGAGGTTAGGCATTGCATGGGTGCATGGGGATGGGAACTTCGGGAGCGCAAAAAGGCTGACCGAGACTAGCACGGACGGGATGCACCTTTTGCAGAATGTGCAGGACGTGCAGCAGACACAGATACAGGCACTGAGGGTTCATTGATTTGAAGGCCGACGTTTGAGCACAAAAAGGGTGGCAGAAAATGGAAGCCGACTGAATAGAAAAAAAACGTGCGAGTAAATTATACATAGTCCGCTGGTCTCTCTTTGTATTCATTCTTCTCCACAAACATCCTCCTCCCGGTACCTTCGCCTTTTTTTTTTTTTTTTATACCATTCATCTCTCATCTCTCTCATTCAACTTCCACTCATCTCCTTCATACTCACACGTCCTCCATTTCAACTTTACCATCTCTATCAAGCCATTCATCGACAGTACTCGCAACCAATCTCACGCTCAAGGAAAACACCACCACTCGCGCTCAATTCGCTTTACTTCAACGCAGCCATCATATTGAAACTTCCATAGGATATGGAGCCCACATCAGGAACAGGAGGGAGCGCATCGGGAACAACACCGTCAGGAGTCTCATCCCATAGCACAACCGCCAGTTCATCACAATCTGCCACAGGATCTCATTCTACCGGTGCAACACAATCCCCGAGCGCACCTGCTGCGATCAGTCGCTCAGAGCAGAAGAAGGCCAAGGCTGTCAACGATGCCATTGACAAGTCGCTCCGCGCAGATAAGGAGCGCCTTCAAAAAGAACGAGGCGCGAAACTACTGATCCTTGGTAAGTTTCCATTCCAGGGCCGATCTTCATTTGTGATCCCTATCTCGAGGCCCTATTTTTTCTTTTGGTGTGAAGTAAACGCAACTACTGGATGAAATTTTCTTATCATCGTCGTATGCTGCTGTGGTAAAGAAGAGCAGTTGCATCCTTCCCACCCCTGCATCCCACCCTTCTCGCCTTAATTGACCATCCGCTCACTCCTCCCATGACCCCTGGCGTTTTGTCCGACACAAAAGTATGCATATCAAAACGTGGTTGATTAAACATCGCAGGGGTGAATGGGGGGAGAAGAGGGGCTTGTGGGCTTAATTGAGACCAGGTCAACTGAATTGCATATCGCAACAGAGCGTTCGTTCTCTGGCCATGGAAACATGCATGGAATGAGACCATACCGCTCATGATCATCCTACCCTCTGCTTTACTGTTGATGTACAGCCGTTTTGTTTTGATGCACGCTCGCTGTCATGTTGCATGGCATGCTTTTTTTTGTACCATTTGAACGAAGGAGTACAATCTCTTGCCATTCCATTGTGTAAACCTTTTCATTTTTTCCCTTGGCCCTGGGTGGCCGCGCCACGCGGTATTTTTACTACTTATCCCTCTCGTTCTTTGAAGAGCTCAAAGTCATGGGGGGGGGGGGGGGGGGGGGGGGAAGGGAGCGGAGCATGGCTATGATTTGAATGACGGATTACTTAGCGGCGTTGTTATATTCGGTTATTTTGCTCTGAGTGACTGAGTGAATTCAGATACGGTATCGAACAAGGGAAACTTAATTGGATAGGTCGAACCTTACACTGCGTGCTGGTAGAAAGAGAGAGAGAAAGAGAGAGAGAGAAACAGCATTTAGAAAACGGGAAGGTGGAGGGATCACGCGTTAGGAGAAGATGCTGATCATCCTGTAAATCAGAGATCTAACATATCTGTTATAATCTAATATCTAACTGCTCTTTCGATAGGTCCTTCTGAAACGGGAAAGACGACGGTGCTTAAGCAGCTTAAATTGCTGTACGGTCGCAAGGGTCTGGATGCGGAACGCCAGACGTACAGGAGGGTAGTGCACTTGAATACGATGAAGGCCATCCAGGCACTCTCATACGGCCTCCAACGGACCAACATTCCACTGGAGCATGCCGAAAACATTGCTCATCTGGAGACGGTGATGCGACTGGAGACCACATTGAAGCGCTACTCGATCACGTCCATAGGCTTCACCAACCCGGCGATCCCTCGCAAGATCACAGATGCGAAGGCTGAGACGGATATGTTTTTGGAGATGGTGCCCGCGATCAAGGCATTGTGGGCCGACGGCGGAATTCAGGAGACTTACAGAACTGTCACGAATCTTAATCTTCAGGATTCAGCAAAATAGTAAGGATTACCGTCCATGGCATGCATGCGGAGTCAGAGAGTGGCGAAACGGTATAATGCAGTATTTATATTGTATTCACTCAACATTCCTTTCCCCTCGTTCAATTAGTTTCTTGGATTCTGTAGATCGGATTGCAGATCTGAACTATGTGCCTACGGACGACGACATTTTGCAGGCGCGCGTCAGGACGCTGGCTGTTTCTGAACATCTTTTCAACATTGATGGGGTTACATACAAGTATGAAAGCACAATTTTTACAGTTTCCTGATCCGTTCAATTGATCTGAATGTTGTCGACCACAAACAGCTTTTGGAGTAACTGACCAACGCCTTTTTTCACAATTCCCGCAAACGCAATAGGATCTTCGATGTGGGCGGTCAAAAATCATTACGAAAATATTGGGCGTAAGTCGTTATTTATTTCCCTCGAAACCTCATGACCTTCCAGATATGCAGACAAGCATACGGAACACAGTGGCGTGTGTTTGTGTACGTTGTTGCTGTATACAATATGGCGACTTCTGAGTGGAATACAATATGTTTGGAATGCATCATTTGGACGCAGGGACAGGAAACCCAAAAAAGAAAAAAAAAACCTACACCAGAGAAAGAAGCAGACTATCTTCTAGTTCAGCGGCAACGTGGAAAAAAAACAAAACCAATGCATGCACACGTCAGCCCGCATACTCTACCCGCATCTCTACCCGCATCTCTACCCGCAGCCCGAAACAGAGCTTAATGGGATCAAACAAGGAGATCCACTGCAGGGCCTGATTGGTGTAATCGGGAGCATCAAACAGAAGGTTGGAATGGAAGAAAAAAAAGTAAAATTACAGCCGCGGCGGGAGATCCCAGTCAATAACACTAAAGTGTCGGGCGAAACAATAGACTACTAGGGCCAATTTTTTTCTTTTTGAATTGGTTCTTCTTTATGTTGGGCTCTCGTACTAATTCTTTCTTTCTCTTGTTCCTCCCACGTTCGCCGCTGCTTTAGACCGTACTTTGATGACGTCAACGCTATCATCTTCATGGTGGCCTTGTCTGCATACGATCAGCCGTGCGAGGACGATGAGCGTCTGAACCGGTTAGAGGAGTGTATGTCGCTGTTCAACTCGATTGCGAACCACAAGCTGTTCGAGATGACTTCATTTTTGTTGTTCCTGAACAAGATTGATATCTTTCAACAAAAACTCGATGCCGGATCGTTGGTCAGCACATATTTCCCAGACTATCGGGGACCAAATGACTATATGAACACGACCTTGTACTTCCAGCAGCGGTTCCTGCAACAGTGCAAGGATACGGCCAAGCAGGTCTATACCCATTTCACACATGCAACCGTAAGTGTTGTTCCAAGAAAGGAATTGTCTTTGTATCTTTTTCTTTTGATTGTGGAATGGAATTGGGTTTCGACTTGTGGTGACACAACGCAAAACTACACGTGGTTTGTCCCACCATGAAATTCTTTTTCAGGTTTTGTTGTGGAGCTCACATTTTTTTCTTTCGGGGGAGCAAATCGTCGGCTTTTCTTTTCTTTTTTTACTTCTGTATCGAAATAATTTGATCCGCAACTAAACACTGGTATTTTATCTCTCCTTCGGTATTCAAAAAAACAATAACGAAATAGGATACGAATCAGATGAGAGTCATCGTCGTGGCTGTGAACGCAATCGTCCAGCGCTTGAATCTCCGAAGCTCTGGACTCTTGTAGAGGACCGGTACCACTCAAAAACGACTGGAACCTATCGGATCAACCAGCCAATTGACGAACCAGCAAAAGCAATCGGACACACAAAAAACAAAAGAAGGCAACAATAGAAATAACAGTAACGTGAAGGAAACCGAACAGAAAGGAAAGAAAGAATACAGGGATACAGGAAAGGTGGACGGAAAACACGCTTTGCATCTACACAAAATGGGACGAAATGCACGTACGCATGACGCCAAAAAGTCGCGACTGGGTTCTTTTTCTGTTTTCTTTTTCTATTTCAACATGCCGGTAAAACGATCTGACCGTAAAAAAAACAAAAAAAAATTATTATATCTCATCTTGGTGTACTTGTTCAAGTTGAGTCGGTAACGAACATAGTCGCCTTTTCACCAGAACAAAAAAAAACTCTACTCAATTTATGACGCTATTTTAGTATTCTACGTCCTTTTCTTTTATATCGTTTTTATTTTTTTTTGCATCTGTAAGATATCCACATTTACTTTTTTATTTTTTTATTGCAGCGCCAGAGGCGATTGTTTGAGCAACCTGCGACGTTCAAACAGATATATACATACATAATAAAGCGTGCAATCGTTGTAATTATCATCATCACATTGAATGCTCAACTGAATGTGTTCTTTGTTTTCTTTGGCGTTATTTAGTGTCTACTCTGAGGAGAGGGGCGGTCTTTGGTTCTGTGAATGTGTGCGTGTGAGTGAGTGGGTAGAGTGTGATTTGAGATGAGTTATTTTGTGCGCCCTAAATTTGGGCGGACTACATTAGCATACAGTTGCTCGACGTGGGATGGATAGGTTGTGTGCAGACATTGTTCGATGTATTTGACGCTGCAACTATTCATGCTTGGATCTGAATCCTGCATGGTCTCATGACCTCGACTTTTGGATAAAGGCCTAAATTGTAAAAAAATAATCTCACGAACGCATGAGTATACAGGTAAGGCTATGACGAATTCACTGCACGCAATCGGACCTTCTTACCTGGAAATACTTCTTAAAGTTCTTAGCGTCCAATTGCTGCAGTGCCTGAATGTACTCTTGTGCCAGTTCCGTAGGGCAGTTGATCGAGGGCAGATACACTTGGCTCAAATACGTCAAGAATACATCTCCCTGCTTCATCACCATCGCCTTCTGCAATCCTGCAATCTCTCCGAGTACCAGCATAGACTGTCCATCCTGGAGATCAAAGTTTGGCTTCATAGGCACCTCGAACGTAACCCTGAGAATGTGCTCGTACATGAATTGATAGAACCCTGGAGCCTCCAGCTTTCTACCACTTTCTGTCCCCGTCGATCCATTCGCCGTGCTCTCGTTCCCGTTAGCTGCGTTTGTAGTGATCGCCCCTGCTAATGACTCGCTCTGACTTCCCCAAGTGTTGACAGCCTTGAGTAAAATGCCAAAGGCCATCCTGCTAACAGGGACATCTGACATGTCCTGTGCATAGTGAAGAACGCTTTGAAGAATCAAGCTGAGGTGCTGCCCATTTCCTACAATATGTGCAACAAAAAAGTAAAATAGCGATTAATGGCTACCTCATCACTTTGCTCATGATTGAGTACTTCAAACAAATTTGTCTTAAGTAATCATACCTGCTGTGATAAGGACATTTTCAAGTTCTGACGAGAATAAGCCCATCAAGAAAGCCAAATAGCTCTTACGCAGCTCAACCAACGCCATAGCCTCATCAGTGCCGCTGGGGACCTGGTTCAGGAAAAAGAACACTTTTTGTACTAACGGGAACAAGAGTCCATTCAAAATCGACATGATTGTCGCCTTAAATTTGTGCGCGACCTGACCCATGAATGGCAAAAACTCAACCAGCTCCATGACCGAACATTCCTGCAACAGGCCCGTAATCAGGGTGGGCAAATAGGGCTGTACGTCTTGGCCTAGGCAGTTGATCAATCGACCAAACGTAAACCGCGCTGCAGATCGGATCACCTCGAACCTTGAAAGTGTCTCCAATGCCACGAGCGTAATCTCGGCCACCTGCTTGAAGATTTGTGCGCATGGCCCTCCTGATACTGCTGTAGGAGCGTTTGGAGCTGCTTTCTTGATATTCAAGACGTCTGGAAATCCTTTAGCGATGCTTCCCAAAGCCATCAAGCGATGATGCAATGTCCAAACAAGCTCGAGGTCCTGGTGTCTGGGCGATCCTGCTCCGACGCCTGCTGCTCCGCCAATAGTTCCATTCGAGCTCTGCTGAATTGCTCCGCACGCTTCCAAACTCTTCTGGATCACGGTCAGGAATGGGTTGACAACCACGGATAGATACTCAAACTGTTGCTGAGCGGGTATAGAGTCTTGAGAGATCAAAAGTCCAACAGCCTCAAAAAGATAAATCTTGGTCTCAAAAACCTGATCCTTGTACGTCGATAAATCAAAACCAGGCGACAACATCGGAGGAAGCGACGCCTCAACGGTCAAGACATCCTGAATACTAGTCAAGACCGTCTGTACATAGGGCGACAGCTTGAACTTAAGATCTTTGGTGAAGCGCCAGAACAGATACCAGGCACGGGTGCGGTTGGCAGAGATGGGATGGTGAAGTCCGCGAGCGTCGACAAATGCCTCCAGTACATCAGGGATACAATCTGGGCGGATCTCGAAGAAATTGGAGTAGCGGCAAGCGATCTCGAAAAAGTTTGCGGAGACAGAAGGATGGGGATACGCTGAAACACCACTCTTGCACATCTCGAAAAGACATTCTCCTAAGGGAGTCAAAGGTGCTCCCGCAGGAGGAACTGGATGGACAATCTTTCCTCCATTGGCGCCGACACTCGGGGAAACAACTGCGAACTGGGGAACGCCCTTGATGGCCTCTCCATAAAGGTAGAGTAAGTAAAGGGCGAGCTCCAAGTCCCTCCAATCTGATGATCCCGCGGAGCCTGCTGCTTTCTCATTCACAAATGTCGTAAGTGTGGTAGTAACGGCAGAGTGCAGAAAGTTTGTCGTTAAACTGGCTGAGAGCGTTGCAATCTGGTCATAGAATCGTTTCAATTCCCGACGAAGCTCCAAGAAGTTGAGCATCTCCTCATCATCAATGGAGTCTTCGCCGATCGTGCCAACCGATTCTGAGCCTCCCGCAATGGCAACACAGACCCACTCCATGTCCTCCCCATACTTCATCTTCAATACGATCGACTCCAAGATCTGACGCATGAGTACTTTCTGTTCCTGGGGTAGGGATCCGGTCGCCTTTTTGATTGTTTTGAAAATGTTGAGGGTCTCGCGCAAGAATCCAAAGACAGCCTCGGACACGTTGTCGTCTTCATCTTTCAAGAACTGAAGGAGGATGGGCACGAGGTGTGAAATATGGGTGTAGGCGGTAGGGTTGGCGGTGGGAGGGTAATTTGAGCTGGCCTGAGGGTTAGTATCCTGCCAAATCTGGCACAGCTGAAGGCCGAGGTTATTGACCAACCTAGCAACCCTCTCACGGAAATCGGAATCTGACTAGCAAGTGCGCAAGAGTAGAGTCCATTGGTCAAAAAAGACATAGTATTGACAATGCATATACGAACACAGATTTCCTGAGGAATAACTTACAGAAAGGTCGATCTGCTGCAATACATCCACGATCCCAAGAATGCTGATAAGTTGCAGCTTGTCCAGAGGTTTCATTCCCTTCTTTACAATATCCGTCAAGCAATCTGCCGCTGCGTTTCGGATCGATGTGGTCAATAGGAAGCTGTAGATCAGAGAGACAAATCGCTCATTGACTATAAGAGAGATATCGATCCAAGCTAAAGCAAGAAAAACGACACAAAGAATCGGTCCCGGTCAATTTCCACCTATGAGTGTATTTATATGCCTGTCTCGACGTCCGTAAATAATAGTGCAATGTGCGGTAAGACGTACCGACATAAACTCCAACAATACGAAGCAGCATCTCTGCAAAATCCAGACTGCGTTCCTTGTATTCCGTCAGCAATTCATACCAGGCGTTGGCGAGGGTGGGGATATCCTGCTCTCTCATGCGGTCTTTGATGTTGATGTTCAAAGTGTTTTCTTCCCTTGAGCTGATGCGAGAGGTGAGAGTGTTGACAACTTCCTCGTCGATAGACATCAAAATCCTGAGAAAAAGATCAACCATCTTCATGTTCGATTTCCCTGAGGACTGAGGCAGAGGGGTAATAAGAGCGAGCATGTCCGAAAAGAACGTAGTCCATGATTTGAGATATGTTTGGCGGAATAGAAGCGCAACAGCATGCGCAAATTTGTTTTTGAGATCTAATTGAAAAGGAAGCAGGGGTGTGTGTAAGTGTGCTGGCCATGGATCCATAGCATCCTATGCAGAGCGGATCAAGATATTCGTTATACATACATGAGGGTTCTGAACTCAAGGTGTTGTCCAAGCCGCCGTTCACAAATTCGCGCTGAATATACTCCATGAATGTCTGTCGAAAGTAGTTCAGTCGTGATTCGTCCAGTGTATTGGACCTAGTGCATGAAGACGTGCAAGAAAGGGGTTGCGGGACAAAGATGAGTCTTGATGATTCATTTCGTTCAAGGTGGCGTAGTCGATTTGCTGTCTTGCAGAACAGCACCAGAGACCACGTATTACCTCGCCGTAAGAACTTCCTCCACCACCTGTAGGCAAAAGAGCCGGGTTTCTGGCGTACTAATCGCGCGTCAAAGACAATGTTAATACTTATGTTAGTGCAACGGGGGAAACTGCGTTTAATGGTATCAGAGACGAGTAGCCTTTATCACACACCACGCGACCTTCAATAATAAAGACGCGAACAAGTAGCGAAATCAGGCAACTTGATTGGAGCAGGAGAGCAACTGGTTTGCGAGAGCGATAAAGCCAAGGACAACAAAAAATACCTCTTGGGCTCCCGAATGTACAATGCCAGGCACGATTGCCATCCGTCAGGAGAAGCCTTGACCTGTTCGCAGTATTGGGTGGCCTATAAGAACCGTATAACAGCAAAAACATCAGCTTTGTCTGTTCTTTCAAGTTTTTCAAGCAGAGAATGTACAAGTCTATGTCCACTGAAAAGGGCCCCTCTTTCCTCAGCTCAGACGATCAAATTCGTGTGGTACAAACTCGCTCTGTAACGTAGCGTATGATGACATGGTGGCGTCGAAGATACCGAACAATACGAACGCTTGTTCTTCAGCTGCAACCGTCTCCATGCGTTCATCGAGATCAAGAGAGGTAGCATGTTGAGGTGGCGCTTTCAGGTGGATGTGGCGAAAGGAGCCAAACTGAACGTCATAGCTTAAAGAATGCCTGAGATCAATGCTGCAATGATCTACAATTTAGCGATCTCCAGTCTTGGTTCCTACTCCTGTTTATTCAGCCTCCTGATCAAGTCCAGTTGTTGCAAGTAGTCGAATAGCATCATCCTCTGCATCAGCGGTTCGTTGAGCCGTATGTTTATCCAGTATGGACTACGTTTGTAGTTGTCCTGAGAATACGGAGTGAAGCACAGCATATTATGCAAAGACAAAGGGAACGCACCTGCTGCTTCAAGGCCAGGTCCGCCGTGGGGCTGAGCGCGCAAGCAACGGCCTGTTCGATGTGGTCCATTTGTCGATCTGACTAGAGCGTAGTAGTGCGGATCGGTTGAGTTGAATCTGATTTGTCGCTGAAATAGCTGAGGTAAGGTCAATTGAGAGATTGGGAAGGAATTAGGATAGAAAGGTGAAATGATACAAGTGGAACGAAGAACTAAAGGATGGTTAGTTTTTTTAGATTAAGAACAGAAGCAAGAAGAAGGAGGAAACTGAGGGAAAGAAAGCAAACGAACAAGGGAAAGAGAACAAAGCAGAATAACGAAAAGAAAGGAAGAAGAGAGAAGAATAAAAAGAAGAATAGTCAATGGTGAAGTGGTGGCAAATAAGGGAAGGGGGGACGATCTCTCTTTGGCCCATGAACCAAAAAATTGTTTTTGTTTTTACTTGTCTATTTGTGCATTGCAGGGCAAGCAAGCGGATCGATTGGCTTCCCCAATTCATTTCTACAATGAAAAAAAAACGTGACGTAGACTCGACTCGTCCTTGATTTTCTACACGCATTTGAGCAAGACAACCGTCAAGCACCATGGAGAAAACAATTACCCACGCTTTGTTCATCGAGGCTCCCATCAGTGACGAAAAATTGGGCGAGATAATTAGCGAACAACAGATGTCTACTCCATCTGCTGACCTCAAAATCTTCAGACACACGAGGATATTGCACCAAACACGAAAGATGGATGATGCTGGCTTGAACTCGCCGTCCTACTTGTTGTGGAATGATCTCTCGTTGCAAGATGGATGGTTGATCATTCGCCAGTATAATGGTATTTTGTCTTTAAGAATGCCAATTCACGACGCCATAATGGCCGACTACAACGTTGAATGGGGGTACACATCAATGGAGAAGTTGCAACCTCACAAATAAGGCAAAGGAAGTTTTTAAAAGCTACATAGCAAAAAGCATGCGAAAACCCATGTAGTTCCATCTAACTTGGTAATGTACTTCTAAAGTGGTAATGCATCTCATCTATGCACTAGGACATGACAACTTCTTGGTCCACGTGTCATCGTTCACACCACATCTACCGTCACCGTTGCACGTCAGCACAGTCCCGATGGTCACCACAACACGCTCCAGTTAATCCTTTGCCAGATCCCGTACCACAATATCCAGGAGTCGACCCAAGGAACTCACATCCCAGATGTCCCTCACAACCCCGACGTCACTCTCCAGCCTCGAGCAGTTTACATGGGCCTCACCGCTCGGACCAACCATGGAGCCTGACGGTAACTACAGCGATGACGACTCCTGGCTGTGCTGTTTCGGCTATTGGTACCTGAAAGTGACAAACGGGCCGACTCCGCTGCTGCCTATTTTTCACGCCACCAATATTCATCAAAGTGCCCTCTCCTTGCCTCAACTGCTCCATCTTGAATAGAATATGTCTTCATCCTCAGCTGTCTTCAGCCCTATGCGGACATGGCGCGCCTCTGTCGGTTGGCCCAGAAAAAGCGTCAAAAGAACCCCTTTTCAAACTCGATTGTTCTTGCCTTGTCCTGCATGAACCAATACGAGCTCCGGAGAGCTTGTCATGAGTGGAAGGCCATCATTGTCCATATCGATCCTGAGTGTACAGCTCTACAACGTGCTGTATCGGCTCATTACAACCACTATCACATCTGGGCTGCCATCCAGGCTGTTATTTGGGGAGGAGCCTTGACTGCCGTCGGTCTGCGTCAGAACAACATTGTCCGCAACAGTCGCTGGCCAAACTCACGGCTAGCTTCGGCATGTGTAGTGGTTCTCGGCTGCATATTCACGGCATCATGTGCAGTTAAGACTTCAGAGTTCATCAAAGCGATTCCACGAGGATATGATGTAGTCAAGGTCAGAAACGACGATGCAGGCACGGACCATTTGTTCCTCATCCGACGCGATTTCAATCGGAAAAGCGACCCAAGGATTGTACCCATGTATCTGCTTTCAGGATTGGGACTTGGGACGATGATCATGGGCGCACGTATTGCGTTCAAGATGAGGAAGGCCATGCGCTGATTCTATAGCAGGGGTATGGGAGGTATTCCACATAGAAATGATGGAATAAAATAAATTGGAGAAAGTGCAAGGCCTATACTTTGATTGCAGTCGATCTTTACTGCAAGTCAACCGCTGGAAGTGCCTTGTTGTCATAATATTTCCCAATGCTTAAACCAAGCTCTATTTTGCCACCAATAACACGTACATACTATTATTGTATGAGGAAAAGATTATCGAAAAATTGAAAGAAAGCCATGTTAACCTCCGCATACATGGAGATCGCGCCTCAGAGTTTGACTGTCGTAGTAGCCCGATTGGGATGCACGACTTTTTATCTAAACGTGTCTTCCTTCCTCCCTCCTTGCCCGACAGCTACCCTTGTCAGTAGAGGTATTCATAGGTAGAAGATACTGATTATAACAGCGCCTCGAACGAGGGACTTTATTCCTCAAATAGAAGCGTATATAACGTATATCACGTATTGAACGTGCACTATTTTTCTAGCATAGAAATGGAGGGCCTTGAGCGATGAAGAACGGATGAACCTTTCCATTCGCTTAGGAACGAAGGAGGGCGAGAGATAAACTTCATTTGCTTGAGGATGAAAAATATTTCCTTCACTCAAGGTGCTGAACTATAATAATAGACGCGCCGCGTAAAAATCCACCCCTAGTGTGCAACGTTACAGTTCAACCCAAAACAAAGGCTTCGAAAGATAGACACCCTGACTCCACCGTTTAGTGTAGCAACAAACAGCCTGCTATCCGAGTTGAACACATACTGGGGTAAGAAAGCAAAAGGTCAACTGGGGATGGTGCGAACGAAAACAACAACAATGCAGCGCGGCACAGCCCTCAGCACATCCGCTTGAAAGGAGCGGTGCCTCGAGACAAAAACACAACAAACGAACGGCGTGGTATGCCGGCGTTCCTGCGCAGTTCTCCAAACGAGAATAGGCACCAGCGACGCAGGTAAAACATACGTGTATGTGCGGCATGTATATGAAGATTAGGCTGGGTATCATTGCGAATATTGAGATAAGTAGGCCTGGTCTGGAATGTAGGTACGAAGAACGCGCGCTGTTGTCAAATGCTTGGCACCAGCAGCCGAACCATCATCACGGCATCACCGTCCATCATTTACTTGCTTCCTTGCCTTTCATTAAGACTGTCAGCTAGTTCTAATGTTCCAATGGCACGGCACGCTCACTACAGCCTAATTGAATATTGAAGAAGTCCTAGTATTTAAAAGCCCTCATTAGGGTTTTTTTGTTCCCCACCTCTTCTCTTTTTCTTGTTCTTCCTCTTCTTCCTCTTCTTCCACTTTGTCTTGGTCCTTTTACTTCTTCTCCCGCCAGTCCTCCTTGTCTCTAATTCTTTTTCTCCCTTCTTCCTTCCTTCCCATCAACAGCTCGCAGTTACCTGGTCATCTCTGGTCTCTTGCCACTTTTGACCTTGGCATTGCCTTCATTGTTAAAATACATCGCCCTTTTCCTTACGCAGCCCTATCCAAGCAGCAACAATGGGGAAGGACACTTCTGCCTCGTCCTCCAACCGCTTCAGTCCCAATGGCCACCTCAATATGCTAAATATTAACAACGCCGGCAGCAGCAGCAGCAGCGCAAACAACCACACCGTACTCCCTGTCTACCAACATCACACCGAACGAGATCACTCAATAGATCTGGAGACCTACGGAGATAAATCAAGAAAATACAGGGTATCGTCGCCCCCACTCTCGCCAGATCGCACCCTTTCCTTCTCCTTTCTCAAGTGTCGATTCACAAAGAAGTCATGCCTGCTCATAGGGACAATGATCATGGGGCTCCTGCTCCCGGTCTGGATCTTCACCAGTGGAGTTATCACACTGGACTCCTTTAATGACTATATTCGTTATCTACCTGGTTACCACTACTTTGCCAACAATCTACTCTACCTCGTCATGTTCCTCCTCCTCGTCTCGTTTACGGTCTTGGCAACCATGCCTGTCCTCCCCATCCTCGTCCTTGGCCTTCCCTTCCATCTCTTAATCTTTTCCATCTTCAATAAGCTGATGTCCGATTGGATATGGTGGTGCACTGGCTGCTACACAGTCCTGTTCCTGGCTCCGGTTGGCTCCACAGTTTTGGGACGAATCAAGCCCGCTGCGTCCTTGCAGCCCAATACCCGTCGAGAGTTGCTCATCTGGCACAAATCCTCCTCATACCCTACACCTTCCTCACCGGTCTTTGTCGATTACTCGCCTCTTTACAACGATCTCAGCAGCAGCACCAGCAATTTGATCGCTGGAACTGGCTATGACCAGCTGTGGAGCAGTGCCAAGGAAGCCCTGAGGGCCGTTGGAAACAGGGTCGAGTATGGCATCTATCTCCTCAGCACCGCAAATCGCACGTCCAAGCGCTGGCGCATGCTTCTTGTCCTCATCCTTTGGCTCAGCTATGTGATACCCGTGACGATCGGGAACGAGTCCCGGACCTTTGACCCAGAACGATCTGTACCCTCATTTGATATCGAACACCCAGAGCATCTGTGTTCTGCAAGGGAGATGGCAGGCTTCCAGGCGCGCCATGAGTCTTTTGAGGGATATTGGCAAGAGTATCTAGAGTTCCATCGCCGCATGGTCACACCGGAGGAGGACGGTGGCATCCCTCAAGATCAGAAGCGGTTCCTGATCTTCCAACCAAGTGACGATGGACTTGGCAATCGTCTACAGGCTCTGCTGAGCTCCGTGGTGATGGCCATGGTGACCCGACGGGCGATCGTCTTGGACTGGCTAGCGATGCCTCAATGCAACGTAGGTTCTATTGCCATCAAATTGTACTCTTGATTCGTTATCTGTTGCCGGGAATGTGTCTTTGGCTTTCTTTTTAGTTTTGAGGGGTCCCTTTTTTGGCGTCTTTGCGTCGCCCATTTGTGCTTTGTTTACAATCTGTTCCTGAGATTGCCCAACACACCCACGAGAAAGAAACACATGCATCCCATGCAATTCGCCTTCACCCAAAAATATGCGCAATTGCAACGTGGCATCCGCTTCTGATTCTGATTCCCCGGAATTGCTCCATCTCTACGAGCCATGGCTCCCTGCTGCAGTTCGCCCTCTCGCTGTCTCTTTCTTCAGTCTGCTCTACCACAAAAGTGTCATCGCGCACATAAATACGCGCCGACAATACATGGAATCGATCTCCTGTACACCCTCCTTTGTTTGTTCTGCGGCTCTTCCGGAGGGAGTGACGAACTTTGTCTGGACCAACGCTGCCTGTTGACGCACGAAAATTCGGGCTCAGAAACTCAGCCAACCACTTCACCACCCTCCTCTTTGTGCGACAAATGGGGTTACACACCAATTCAATCAATAGCTTCTGACAAACATGAGACTGAGTGCACCCATCCAAAGCGTCAGTTTTCAATACTTTTGCGACTGGATACACCACTCATTGTACCCATTGTACTCGCCTACAACGATCTAATTTTTGGAGCATCGAGAACCATGCGGAGAATTTCTGTCGAAATAGTGTTCATCTGCCGGATGAACACTTTCCCCTGGACTTGCGCGCTAATGTGTCATTGCGCTATTTTATTTCATTTGGCCTCTGCTCTTGATATTCTAGGCAAACTTCACCGACCTATTCCAATCGCCTGAGAACCTTACCTGGGACCTGAATGCCACCCTCCCCCACTACAAGGACCTGCCTGAATACAAGACCAAGCCCGAGATCTGGTACCCATACTGCCGCAACTGTGCCCTGCGCTCGCCCATCGCCCCGGACTCGACCTGGTCGCAACTGCTCTGCGATGCCGATCTGGGAATCAATCACACAACGCCCATCGTCCAGATCTTTAGCACACAATGGTTCCTGCCAGTCATTCAGCATAATCCGCATTGGAGACGGGAACTCTGCCACATGTTCCCTGCGGGCGGCAGCAACGCGTTCCAGGCCCTGGCCAAGACACTGTTGAGGCCCGCGATGGCCGTGCAGGAAAAGATTGATTCGGTCATGAAACGCATCCCGGAGGGAACCACGCTGATTGGGCTTCAGGTGCGCAGGACAGAAAACAATGCGGTTGGGCAGGGCATTGAGGATTCGTTCTTGAGCTGTGCTGCTGAGGTCGTTGAGGAGGAGGAAGCCAAAGCTGCTGCGATGATCTCTTGGAGACCTGGATCTGGATCTGGAGGCCTGGACAGGAACATGACAGGATTCGATGACGATGCAGAGGACTCTGTTTTGCGTCGGACACCCAAGTTTGCTTACTATCTCGCTACAGACTATCGTCCTACGCGAGCCCACTTCCAAGCGATCGTGGGTAATCAGCTCTACGTCCTCGACAGCACCTTCCAGTCCCAAAAGGCCCAACCACCGTCTTCCTTCTCGCTCTCGTCCTCTTCAACCAATGCCTCTGGATCCGAATCGGCAGACTCGGACGACACTTCACCAGCGTTCGCGGCGTCGTACTCCTCGTCTTCTCTCTCGCAGTCCACTTCTCAAACTGAAGCCGTCGTCCGGAACTCTGTTCAGGGCGTCCAAACTGCCGTCGCCGAAATGTTCCTTCTCGCCCAGTCCGACCGTATCATTTCATCGCCTTATTCGACTTTTGGATACTTTGCTCACGGATATGCGAATGTCCAACCAAATATCGTCAAGCGCGATGGCACCTGCATCAAACGCCGGTCCACCCAACCATGTTTCCAGTACTGGTTTGGTTTCGCGAACGGTGGCGCCAAATGCTCTATCAGATCGACGGTCGAGATGAGCGAGGATTACGATTGTTGGCTGTAGCGAGGGCCATCTTAAACCATGTTAGATATTACCACTTATTGTACTTTCTCATGTAAGGATGTAATCCACAACCTTGATCGACATAAAAGACAACCATCGTGATGTGCAACTTGATCTATCGCAGCCAGGGCGTCTTTATTTCTTGAAACTGTAGCAATTAATTTGGCGGCGATGTACAACCCTGGATACCGGCGTGGGAAGGACAGTTTATTTCAAGTATCCCCCAGCTCCATATCGACTTCATTATGGCCCACCTCTGGATCATCCTCAGGTTCATTCCGTACTTCCTTCTCACTCCGTGTCCTGTGACCTCTAAGAGAATATCCTGAGCTGACAGATCCCCTCCGTTTACCACGCGCAATCGCCGAAGAAGGAGACTCTGGCTGTGTCCCGACCTCGCCTTCCATAATAGCAATAGCACTCGACGATGATGACCCTGCCTCTGTTTCTGCAATAACGACAGCAGCACTCGAAGACGCCCGCGCCTCCGTCTCTGCCTCGATCTCCTCAATAACATGCGCGGTCCTTGCTCTTCGCTCCAACATATTCCGCACCCTTCGCTCCACATCATCATCGTCCCTGAGCTCCTCTGGCAAGTACTCGCGCATCCACTGCATCTCCTCCACTCGGACCCTATCCTCCATAATCTTCTTTAACATCTCCGACGCAATCTGGTCACTCGGTCGGATCGCTAGCACCTTATGATAACACTCGACTGCATCCGGGATTTGCCTCATGATCTGGTAAATAAATCCGAGCCCTACTAGTGCCGATGCCTTTGCAGCCCCTGCGCTCGTGATCCCGTCCACCTTCATGAAGTACATCTCTGCGTCCTCATATTTTCCGAGCTTGCGGTACGCATGCGCCAAGTTGAGCCAAGTGGTCTCCCAGATGACATTCTTCCGCTGCGACCGCTTGAGTTTCTCAATAACCTTGTGCAACGTCTTCACGGCCTCTTCATACTGGCCGAGGTTGTAGTTTACAACCGCGACCTCGTTCAGGAGCAGTGGGTCCGAGTCGCAGATCGACAGACAAGTTGTAAAGTACTTCTGGGCAAGAATCACGTTGTTTTGCTGAAGATGTTGCATCCCGATATACATGGAGCCCAGATGCGAGCTATATTCATCAACGGAGAACAGCAGATCAATATGCTTGAAAATGAGATTGCATTGATTGAGCTCCACCAAAATGAGAACATACCCTCGAAACAGCTTCATGCTTGTCGCATACGCAGAAATCGCCTGATCATGTTCGCCCTCCAACGCAAACGAGTGTCCAAATCCAATCCAAGCTGGCCCATAGTGCGAATCAATTGTTGATGCCTTTCCAAAATACCGCCTCGCCTCTGTTAGGTTCCCGATCAAGTAATAATACACACCTACTGCAAACCATGCGACCGCGTGCTTTGGATGTTGATCCACCAATTCATGTGCGATATAGAACAGTTCGTTCTTGCGTTCGAGCTCGTATAGCGAAACAAGATGCATTGGTATGCATGCCAGGTTGAACTTGTCCATTTCCAGAATCCTACATGTGAGCATGAACAAGAAAATTTATCAGCTCCCGCATTCATTCAAATGAAATGAAACAATTTTTTGCAGCGGCCATACCTCTTTGTGCAATCAAGGCACTTGTCAAAGCAGCATTGTGTAAAATATGCCTCGGCCTTTGCATACAGCAGATCCGCATTCTCTGTATGGAACTTCGCGGACAAATCCTTGTAGATCTCATCCTGTTCATCAAGGTGATCATACTAGTAGCAAACGTATGTCAGTACATTGTTAGAAAGCATTCGTTTGTTTGATTCCTCATTATTCGACTCCTTGAACTTTGTTCTCTATACCTTTTTCAGTTTTGATTTGTAGAGCATTCCTACAAACGTTGCATCTGGGCCATAAAGTTGTTTGTCGAACTCGAGTCCATCAAGCAACTCGCGCTCTAGACAATAAAACGATCGCAGTAAAGAGCCACCTCTCAGTCCCCAGATTCATATTCTGAAGATGCAAATCGTTCCTGTATAGATATTCCTGCAAAAACGAACCTTCTGTCGTAGTCATCATGCTGTTGGAGATCAACGCGTCCAGTGCATCATAACATTTAACGTCAATCTGCAGCGCCTCCTTGAAGCATTCTTTTGCCCGATCGATATTGTTCATATTCTTGTACACGACTCCTCTGAGGTAGCACATTGATGCTTCGAGCTAAAATCCAGTAAAGACATTGGGCCTCAATAACCTGCATAAATGTCTCTGCCATAAGCTTGTCAGCCCTAGTTCCTAGCCCTTACTTTGATTCCTCCATCGGCGTTGTTGACATTGATGTCTGATCCGGTGTCCTTTGAGAATTGATTCTCCTCACCTAAATATTCGAGTGCCTCTGTCCATCTTTGTGTCCGAATCTAGCTCCAGGTGCATATACAGATGTGGGAGTCAGTATTGACAATGAATCCGAGTGCGGGAAAAAATTAAAAGGATGTCAACGAGCGACAAAAGACCGCCGCCGATCACACCTACCATGCACTGGATTGCCAGATACCGACAAGCGACCGATGACTCCAATAATTTCTGCTTCTGCAGCAAGTTGATCGCTCGTCCATATTCACCCATTAAGTAGTACACTTGCGACAGCCAGAATGCATCATTAGAGTCCTCTATAGATACATCGACCATGAACTCCGTGTTAGCAATTTGTCATAGTAGAACCCGTTAATGACTATTAGGGAAGTGCTGAACATAATGTCTTTACCAGTTATGCATAACACCTTGTCGCCCCAATATGCTGCAGCCTTGTACATATGCTGGTGCATCGCATCTGTTCGCCAAGCGCGCATGCTGTCCACCGTACTACGATCACGGTGTATCTCGGCCGGCGCAAAAAAATCTATTCCGCTCATGAAACTGCTCTCGTATCCTGAATGCTCGCCTTGACTACCGCTGCTACCAAAACCTCCCCCTGGGACATATATCCGGCTCTCAATCGAATTCGTCACTGGCGCTACCTCAAAAATCGATGACCCTGTCAATCCTGGCGCTCCGCCTGATGCTCCTACAGTTGCTGACGCAGATCCAGCAGGGATTGAGAAACCCTTGATTGGCGAAGGTAAGAAAGATATCTCAAGCCAACTTGCGGGTGAGTTGGCGAACGGGGATGGGATGACATGCATGCTTTGGTTGGTGCTGGAGGGTTGCGTCCTTTTTGCCAAGACATTAGGTGTCCTGGGCCCTGCTCCGGCGCCTGGTGAAAGTTCTGAGAGGGAAGCCATTGTTGCACTGAAACTTCCTGGGCCTGAAAGGCTTCCTGAAGACCCGGTTGACCTTTTGAGCGTGACTTGTGGGTTGGGCAGCGGAGGCCCTCGCAAATGCCGAGAATTCGAATTTGAAGCTGAGTTTGGAGCGGATGATGCAGAGCTTGGAGCGCCACTCGCACCGATACCACCACTACCGCCGCTGCCATTGCCTCCCGTACCCAGACTGCTCCAATCATTGGAGCCGTTTCCACCACTACCAGAATGCTGTCGAGAGGATCGTGTGGGTGTCGTGAAACTGTTATTAGGGGATGTGTTGGTGCTCCTGGCTCCTGATCCATTTGAGCCTGCATTAGCAGCTGAAGCGGTAGCGGATCGCGTTGCAGAGCGAAGACGTGTGCTGGGGGTATTCTGGATATTGTTGCTCACCGGCGTTTGGTGTGTGGTCTGTCCCTGTCCCTGCGTGCGTCCGTTTCCTCCTGGTGTGCTTGGGGCCCCTTGGCTGCTTGGCTGGCGACCCCGTCTACCCGGTGTACTGGGCATTCTTAAACTTCTAATCAGCGCGACAGGCTGCGTTGTTCCTGAATGATTTGACACCAATTGGTTCCTGTCGCATGGGACCTGATTCCTGATCCTTGGATGTGAGGGTTGTGTGTGATGTGGACGCGCACAAGCACTAGGCGCCGAAAGACGCAGTAACAGTCACGACAATCACTAGAAGGGCCACTTCGTTTTCTTTTTGGTGGCAAAATTGTTCCTGGGGCAAGACAAGGTATTGCCATGGCTCGTCGGAGGGAAAATCGTTTTACCCTCTGATATCCAGTTCCTAAGCATTTGCGATATTCTAGTTGATCTATGGGTGACCCATCTGGCTATGACCACGACTATGGTCATGGTCAAAATGGTTTGAGTAACTCTGACTCTTCAAAGGAGAGCAGCGGAGTCGTGCACACCCATATGCCGTCTTGAGATATGTAGAGGCGTTCAGCTGAACCTCTCTCTCTGCAGGTTGGCGTCTTTTGCAGGAGCGCCGTGTTGTGCAAGCAGTGGGTTAACTTAGCGCGGTGTCGGAACGAACTGTATGCGCCGCGTAAAGGAAGAAGGGAAAAAAGGCGGCGTGTGCGTAGTTGAGAACGTATGCGTGTGTATGTGTTGCTGTGTGCTGCCCAAAGTTTGGTTCCTTTGTTAGTGTTCATGGGCACCAGGCAAAGTGAGTCACTTCCACCAATAGCGCGAGCGATTTTTGTATGGCTGATTGTGCAACCTCAGATAAGATGATTGAACGTGTTTCTGGCGCCTCTTCACTGCTGCTACCGGAGACTTGACTTCTTTGTTATTGTTACTGACTACACACTTCTACACACATAAACCCTCTTCTCTTTCGTTTCTATTTTGCTTCTTCTCCGTTACTTTCATCAACATCCTTGGATACCCGACACACAGCCAACCCCTTCGAATAACCAAATGAACGCTGCCAAAATGACAACCAACAATGATCCCCCTCAAAAAGTTCCCGCAATGAAGTCCGTCATGCATCCCATTCTCCAGAAGCTGGTCCATGCACCCGAAACCTTCTCTACCGAAGACGCCACCATCGCCACCAAGACTATCATGGAAGGCAGCGCGACTCAGGCACAGATTGGTGCTTACCTCGTAGCCCTCAAGCTCAGCAAACTCGATGCTGATCCTGCGATTGTCGCTGCCTGTGCCATTGAAATGAGTAACCATGGCCTGCCTATTCCTTTCGAAGGTAGCCAGGAATTACAAGAGCAGCTCGTCGATATCGTCGGCACCGGCGGCGATGGACACGACACCTTCAATGTCAGCACAACCGCCGCTATTGTTGCTGCTGGAGCAGGCTGCAAGGTTGCCAAGGTACTTAATATAACCAGATAAGATAAAGTTTTGAGCCATGTCTCATGTTGCTCCCCCCACATTGACACCTCAGTCGATCCTTTTCAATGACACTAGCACGGAAACAGAGCTGCCTCCTCAGCATGTGGATCCGCCGACGTCCTTGAATCAATTGGCTGCCAGATCGCCAACGTCAAGCCCCAGGATGTGGCCCCACTCTTGACCGACCACGGATTCTGCTTCCTCTTCGCTGTGACCTATCACCCTGCCATGAAGAACACCAGCATTCCCAGAAAGGAACTCGGCATCCCCTCCATCTTCAACCTGATGGGGCCCCTCAGCAACCCTGCTAAGCCCAAACGTGTCGTTGTTGGTGTCCATTCAAGGAGCCTTGGAAACCTTATGATCAGAAGTTTGAAACTGATGGGCTTGATCAGCGGCATGGTCGTCTGCGGCGCCAATGGACTTGACGAGATTAGTCCCGAGGGCGAGACTCACGTACGTTCACTACTGCGCCATGTCACTACTTGGACCGGTCTTCGTAACGCTGCGAGCGTCTCATATGATATATCATGACTAACATGTTTTTATTTTCCTCCTCCGCATCATGCAGGTCTGGAAGTTGGTTGATGGAGAGATTGTAGAGGAGGACATTTCGCCTGCTCAATTTGGACTTCCCTCACACCCACTCACATCTGTCAGAGGAGGCGGTCCTAAAGAGAACGCACAGATTCTGGACGATCTTCTTAACAACAAGTTCAAGTCGCCCGGACACCCCATCCTGGACTTTGTACTCTTGAACGCCGCCGCCTTGTTGGTCGTTGCAGGAAAGGCCGACAACTTCGAGGATGCTGTCACTATCGCAAGAGAGAGTGTCGAGAGTGGACGAGCCCGTCAGGTGCTTGAGGGCTTCAGACGCGACATTGCTGCCTAAACATCCCATTCGTTGCATGCGTTCTTTCTTTCTGTAAAATACCAATAAACCAGAAACCACGTAAAATGAATCATCACGCTGAATGATTTAATTGTATCGTTTCTTTGTCTTGTCTTGACTATGACACTCGCTCATACCCTCAATCCCTCATACGCTGCTTTGATAATTGATAATAGATGCTCTTAGAAGATGGGGATGTAGTTGTTGATCCTCTCCTTTTGGCCCTGACTGATGCACTCTGAGATCCAGACAATGTTGCGGATCTCCTGCTCCTTGAGTTTCAAGAATGAGTAGAAAAGCGCGTAGTGGAACTGCTGCTGGAACGACTTCTTGTTCAGGTGGACCTCATACTCAAAGAATCGATCCTCGAGCGTCTTGGATGACCCAGTACCAGATGCGCCATCAAAGAACTGACGATACTCCTACATAAAAACCGCAGATAAAAGCAGGTTCAATCGTTAGCGGAGGTCCCGGCGCGATGAGGAACAAAAGCGAGATATGATTTCGATGACTGCATACCAGGAAAACATCGCAGGTGGCCTTGACCTGATCCACGTCGTCCGATTTTGCAAGTTTGAGGTTTCCCTCGGGGTATAGGCGTCCAATACTGGGGAATAACTTTGCGCGATCGTCCTTAGACAGCTCAGTGCCAAAAGAATTAATTGTAATGTTCAAGGATCGACGATCTGCCTCAAACTAGACGTCATTGGAACATTTTCATGTTAGTGAGCGAGGATACCCAACGAAATGCTATGTCGCTTCAATCCAGCGAGAGTCGTATACAACTGCTTTGACTATTGCCATACCTGCAACAGCTCAGCCATGATCTCAGCCGTGGGTCCGCCAAAGGTCTGTGTAAAGTGGTAAAAGTCTTCCAGGTATGCCTTATAGAGCGTGTTCCTGATGATCTCAATGTTCATCTCGTCCAGATCCTCTGCTGATAGACAATCTTTGAAGTAAGGCGCCAACGGTGTCTCGACCAACACCGAATTGTACAATTCCGCTACATTTGTCGCCACACAAAGGGCTGGCATACTGTCAAAGACACCCAGGGGATGACATCTGTCCAAAAGCTCGTGCGTGTCACGTTCGTGCAGCGTTCCAGTGATCAGCAGGATGACATTGTCGATCATATAGGCATATCTAGAAATAACAGAAGTACGCCGAGTTAGTTTCAAGGGGGAAATGATGATAAAGAGAGAAAATGGAGCCGATTGTCTCACCGGGGGATACACCTCCATGGAAAACGAAAGTCAAGAAAGTCACTCACGTCATATAGTCCAAGAACTGTGAGAGAGGTGCGACGGCGTGGGCGCGAATGTACTCGAATTCCTGCACCAGCTTATCGGTGCACTTTTGAGCGAGCATCGAGGTCGAAAGGTGAGGCTCATTCTGAAGAAGTGAACCATAGTCTGAAGCGGCGAGCTGCAGCTTGATATCTATCACGTTTGAAAGTAGACATATTGGCGCGGTGAGTCCATTGTTCACTCAGCATGCAGGTGAGTGATGCTGTCGGGGTCGAATCGAGAACTGCCCAAGAGGTATTGATGTCGGTACCTTCAAGGGTCTCGCACTGGGTCAGGTTGATGTAGGCGGTATTGTTGAGGATACTGCTGCGGTATCCTCGGACGACAGCCTCGAGATACCCGTCATCGGCATTGAAAAAGAGGGCTTCCATTGCTTGTTGCGAGTCTTGGTTGAGATGGATGTGTGCAGGCCAAGAGAAAGCTGGTTTGCTACTTTCACAGGGTGACGTTGAATTCGGAGTCACGCCCTTCAGAATTCAGGGGAGGTGCAGGCACGTACGCCGTACGCGGGGGCACTCAGAGTCCACTCAACTCAGCAGCATATTGTTCAAGTCTATATCGCGTATGATACTACACGCGTCTCTGGGAGCAAATAGTCATTCAAGTTGGACATCGCAGAAGCTGCCTTCAACTGCCTGAACAGGAGAACGGAGACGCATAAAGACACGTCGTCGATCGCTACTCAAGTTTCCACCGTAGTTGCCTCTGGACATTCACAGCACCACATCAATAGTCCACAACGACCAACTGCTGTCGCGACCAAGTTTTAGATACTCTGCTACATAATCGTGTAGAAGAATAAAGTTACCGCTGCCGTCACGAGCAGCGGCGCAACGGTGAATATCATTCCTTCAAAAGGAATCCATCCGTTGGCTCTTTTTTCTTCCCATCACTGCCTAGTCTTTTGTACTTTGCATCTTCTTTTCTCACGCAAAGACACAACACCTCTCACTTCTTTCGCACGCAAAGCCCCTATCTCTCTTTCTGATCATGCAGCAGAACCCAGGAAAGGACCTCTTGGCAGCAATTGACGCTGCGGACGCAGATCTCCGTCACTTGTCGCTTCAGATCCACGACCATCCAGAACTGGGCTACCAGGAGCATTTTGCTCACAGAATCCTGACAGATTACTTAGCAGAGCAAGGATTTCATGTCATTCGACATGCCTGTGATATCGAGACGGCCTTTATTGCAGAATATGTACACCAGGGGCCAGCAGATGTTGCTGCTCGCGATACGACTCCCATGAGATCAGTCGGTTTCTGCTCCGAGTTCGATGCCCTACCCTCGATCGGCCATGGATGCGGGCACAATTTGATTGCAATTTCGGGCGTAGCAGCTGTGTTGGGCGTCAAGGCAGCGATGGAGAAGAATCAGATCCGTGGAAGAGTGCGTTTGTTAGGCACTCCTGCTGAGGAGACCTTGGGCGGCAAGCGGCCTATGTTGGAGAGGGGTGCGTTTGATGATTTGGACGCATGCATGATGGTTCACCCAGGCCAGTTCGATGTCCTGTACAGACAGCCTTTGGGTGTGGGTCGGCTCGAAATCGAGTTCCATGGAAAGGCATCGCATGCCTCGAGCAGCCCTTGGGAAGGTGGGTAAAAGAGAAATGAGAATCTAGTTGATCGACAGCGATGCTGAGGCGAATGAGAACGCTCATTGCTTACCCTTTTATGGTGTGCTTTGCTCGTAGGAATCAACGCGCTCGATGCGGTGGCAATGACATACAACGCTATTGGCCTCCTTCGCCAGCAGACCCTGCCCTCCAACAGAATCCACTCTATTGTTACCAATGGTGGTCAAGCCCCCAACAGTGAGTTAATCCTGCCTGCCTGTAGCAAGGTCGTGTCTGTGGTGTTTGGACGGTGTAGATAATAGGGCGATATATTCTAACGCGAGCACCTCCTATACACGTCGTCAATAGTTATCCCGGAGCTCGCGTCGATGATCACCATGTACCGTGCCAACAAGAACGAAGACCTCGTCAAGCTGCACGACCAGATCGTTGAGATCGTTGAGTCCGCCGCCGAGGCCACAGGCTGCACCGTCAAGGTTGAAAAGACTATGGAGTACCTGCCCCTGAACAACAACGCACCCCTCACAGACCGCTATGGCTCCTACATGAAGTCCTTTGGCGTCCACTACAATACTCGCGAGGTCGATGAGGTTACGCCTGCAGGATCAACGGATATGGGTAATGTCACCGTTGCCCTGCCAGGCATCCACCCCGTCTTCAACATTGCTAGCTTGGAAGGTGTCCGTGAGCCAGGCTTGTCGACCCATTCTCTCCTGTTTGCAGAGCGCGCTGGAACTGAGTTGGCCCACAAAACCGCCATCCGTGCTGCGAAGGGCCTTTCATTGACCGCCATGGATATTCTGCTGGATGCTGAGTTTACGAAAGCTGTACGTGAGGAGTTTGAACGCACAAAGAAAATCTGAGTGCGCGTTAATCACGTCTATAGTGATGACAGTTATATGTGGAATAAAAAGGTGCCTTGTCCTTCGAACTATTGTGCTACATGTGCTGCCTCTGAGCGTTAAAGACCAGCGTGGAGCAAGGTCAAGTATAACGACAGTTGAATCGCCACAGTTAAAGGTTTCATCTCACCCGGGAAGGTGAAGAAAGTGAGCATCATCAAATGTAGGCATTCAAACAGCCAGTCCATCCATGATCGGAAAGAGAACCGATATCACTGTATGGAGCGAATGATACGATGCCAACCTGTGGATCTACAGCGTCGGATGTCCGCAGAACTATTACGGCCGTAAAGCGGTGCAGGATAGAAGACCTGCGTATGATTGCCAAAAGAACTACAGTTCAGGTCAACCATACGTGGACGTATACAAAATTTCCTGGTATGTTTCTGTGCTCTACGCCGCTTTCCTAGGGAACGCGTCTACACTTTCGCCCTGTTCCATGTTCTTAGTTAAGTCTCTCGCCAATCGACCGAGCAACGGCTGAGCAGCGCAAGCAAGCAGAATAGCCATCTTTTCCTTTCATTTGACACGCTTATTCCTATCCAACATTCGCTTGATGAGCACTCTGGTGCGGAGTTCTATCATGTCGTGTCCAGGCGCGCTGGCATCTTCATTTCTTTTGGACTACAGAAGTCCAGAAGGGCCGCTTGTGACTAGACTGGGGTTGAGCGATCGGAGAAGAGTCATGGGGGCTTTATTTAACCATTTTAAGAGGGCAAGGACGTGGAGCAGGACCGATTGGTTCTTAGGAGCCATTTTCCTATTTTTCAAACCTCCGACGCACTTCAATATGGCATGCAGATGTGATAACGGAATTCCGGCGCCTAAAAACCCCTGTCCCACACCAGTGCCCCTGAGACCTCAGTTGTGCAGATACTTCCAGCGACGATTGCGAGATTATATGTTATCTCTAGGCACATAAGCCAGAAAAAGAAAAAGAAAAGGCTTTACTGCAATTTCGCAAACTGCGAGAGCAGGCAAAGTACCTTTTGTAATGCGGCACGATTGCACCTCAAAAATCATTATGTGGATACCTCTGAGAGAGAAGAAGCGCTGTTTGAGCAAAGGAAAAACCATAACGATTAAGAAAGAATTCATAAAACGAAGAGATTGTTCGTCCTACTTTCTCATGAGTTCAATTATTATTTTGAGCGCCTTTGTTTGTCGTACAGCGTGGATGGACAGACATTAGCCAGCTTATTTTATTCATTTATATTGGGCTTCGTGCGCGGAGAAGAGCGTGGGAGACCAGGCAGGGACACTGACCAACAACAATGTGCAACCAAAATCGTGTATCTCACAAACAAAAAGAAAACATTGCCGTTGCTGATGTATCCATTGACAGCGATATTTCAATGCATTTTTTCCGCCTCCCTCTTTTTGGTCGCATGGACAATAGAAAACCAAAACCCAGCAACACGTGGCAACAGAGACGGATGGAGCTACTACCAGCCTATGATATGAGCTATCGCTTGCTGAGAACAAAACTACAGGCAAGGCGCTATCGGCTCGCACATGATCGTTGTTCTACTCTACTGTATCAGCTTCAAGAGTAACGCTGTTTATTTCAGGGCTCCGAACATTTTGAGTAAGAGTCAAGAGGGTGAGCGACCGTGTGAAATCGAGGCTACTTGCTCGCAATTGTACTCTTTCTTAGTCTATTTCAGCCTCAGACAACTGCCAGGTACACCAGCCAGCCAGTCCCGGTCCTTGCCTCGTATTATTGCCCACCCACATCTGAGGGAAAAAGACAAGAGGCAGAGGGAGGCCTTGGAAAGAGTCTCGCATTGAGGGACGCAATCCGACTCGTTAGTGGTTTTTTTTTTTTGGCTCATCTATATGTACATACGCTGAGGTCCGTATCGTTTCCATTCTCAGAACACTAGTCTAAACAGGCAGGCGAAATGAATCGGCTCTCGTGGCTATCCTCTGCATAGCATCATCGTCATTGGACCGGGCTTTCAAAATTTCATAGAATAGGGTTTTATTTCGGTTGGGTCTTTCTCTGCGCTCTGCAAGGTCAAACTACTCGGAAGAGATCCGTATCGCGTAAGGATATGAATGGACCGTTCAGTAGACATATGCAGGTGCGGATCAAATGATGACAAGAGGAAGAGCATTTTAGTCCACCACGATCGATAACATAAGAGGCAATCAAATAGTGGGAGGACTGCCCATGGGCACCAAAGACCAGTGCCAAGGATTTGCACTAGGGTAAATGGCGAATCCATAGGCTATTGTTGCTGTCCTAATGTACCATCTCGTTCCAACAACCCCTGATTCGGCCCGCCTGCTTTGTATACAATGAGAAGATGCGTAATTGTTTATGGGTGTGTGGGTGGATAATTCCCGGCGCGTATAAAAATAAAAGTATCGTGTCCAGCTGCTTTCTACGCTTTCTAAAGCCAGCTGTATATTTTTATAATTTTGCATTCAAACTCCCCTTTTTGATTCATCAAAAGCCATGTTGCGTGCTAAAATGTTTATTCGCTTCGATTCGATGTAGTCTTTTTTTGGTACAGCAATAACTACTGCATTACAAACAGTCGATCTACTGTTGATATTTCCCCTGTATGTTGTGGAAATGACGATGGATTGAAGGGCGGTAAGTTGGATAGAAAGATAGCCTGCATATGCCTAGCGCCGTATCAATGCTAATGAGCCAAGTGGGAATGAGAGTGAACGCGAGAGAGAAAGGGAGGGGGAAGTGGGTCTGATAGGCTGCGCAAAGATGGGTCCTCAAATCATCCGTGTACAGTACATGTACTCGCCCTTTTTCCCTAGACCAAATCTCGTAGCGAATGAGAGCGTGCGAAGGAATTCACGTCCGACCATCTTATTTTGTGTGTGGGCGCTCAATTTCCTATTTTATTGTTTTACCCGTTAGCCGTTTGGACACTGCCTCCTCCGTCGTTTATAAAGCAAGAAGAGCATATGGCTGACCATTTCCCTTTCCCTCTTCTCTTCTTCTCCTGTTCCTCTCGCGACACCCCCTTCCTCCCTTAACGCCCCTCTCCCTTTCTCTTTATACCCTATTAACATCATTCATCCCCCCATCTCCGCAACTCCATTCTTCACCTCCCCCTCACACACACGCCCTCAATAGTCCATACAGCGTGTACACACCATGGACAAAGAGGAGTACAACATCGAACGTTTCGACGACGCGAAGATCGAAGACATCTCGCCAGACTATGATCTAGAGGAGGAGGACGACTCCCCCATCGAGGAAGTCCGTGTCACTATCTCTAGTACGTGAGTTCCCTCCATCGTCTCCACTGTCACCTCACCCCCGCATTCAGGGACACGACCATAGCCGCCAACATCACGCATTCACTGTCCGCACCATTCGTTTTCCCACTTGCTCGCAAAGGGTGTTGCAGTCCGGAGTAGCGAGAGATGGTTGCCATCGATCCGCATTCTTTGTGAAACGCTCCTTCCATCGATCGTCGCAGGGTCCAGCCCTTTGTTGACATCCGCACACCTAAACAAACAACCAACCATCCAAGCAAACATGAGCACTTGTAGCTGTGTCTATGCCTCGACTAACTCATGTCCTCCGCAACCCATTCTTACTGCTCAAATCAACAGACACCGATGACCCCAGCATGCCTTGCAACACCTTTCGCATGTGGTTCCTCGGCCTCTTCTTCACCGCCGCCGTTTCCTTCGTCAATCAATTCTTTTACCTCAGACAGACCCAGATCTCGATCGGTTACTCCGTCGTGGCCTTGGTCTCCCTTCCCCTCGGCCATTTGATGGCCAAGCTCCTCCCCACTGGTGAAATGAACCTCTTCGGCTTCAAATTCTCTCTCAACCCCGGTCCCTTCTCCGTCAAGGAGCACATCCTGATCGGAACCATGACCGCTGTCAACACCAGTACTGCCTATGCCGTTGATATCGTCATCTTGCAGAAGCTGTTTTACAATGCTGAGAAGCCTTTCATTGCTGGTTTGCTCTTGGTCTTCACCACTCAGGTCACCGGTTTCGCTCTTGCTGGTGCCCTCCGCAAGTTCCTCATCCGCCCCGCCCACATGATCTGGCCTTCGACCCTGGTCACGGCCTCGCTCTTCCGCTCCCTCCACGCCACCAGCAACACCCCCGCTGAGGAAGGGCGCATGACTAGAATGAAGTACTTCCTCTTGGTCACCCTTGGCTCCTTCCTCTACTACTGGTTCCCTGGCTTCATCTTCCCTACCATTGGTGTGATCTCCTGGATCTGCTGGATCAACCCCGACAACATCGTCCTCTCCCAATTGACCGGATCCAACGGCCTTGGTATTGGTACCATCGCCCTCGACTGGTCTGCTGCTTCGTACTATGTCCAGCCCTTGGTCACCCCCTGGTTCGCTCAGGTCAACATCTTGGTTGGTTTTATCCTCGTTGCCTGGGTCATGGTTCCTTGGGCCTACTACACCAACCTCTGGAATTCCAAGAACTTCCCCATCCTGTCCGCTGGTTTGTTCCGCGAGGACGGTACTCCTTACAACAAGTCTGAGATTCTGACCAACAATATTCTCGATGAGGATAAGTACCTTGCCTACGGCCCTGTTCGCATGGACTCATTCTTCGCCCTTACTTACGGAGTTGGTTTTGCTGGTCTTATGGCCACCGTTGTCCACGTCATCCTTTACAATGGTCAGGAGATGGTTGCCCGCTGGAGATCTGCCCGTACCGAGAACGAGGATATCCATTCTCGTTTGATGCGCGCCTATCCCGAAGTCCCCGACTGGTGGTATTTAATCCTCTTTGTCCTCTCCTTGGGCTTGAGTTTGGTTACTTGTATTATCTGGGAATACATGCCTTGGTGGGCTGTCCTCCTCGCTATGGCCATCGCTATCTTCTTCGTCCTTCCTGTGGGTATCGTCCAGGCTGTTACTAATCAGCAGCCCGGTTTGAATATCGTCACCGAGTACGTTATCGGTTACATGCTTCCCGGCCACGCCATCGCCAACGTCACTTTCAAGACCTATGGTTACATCGTCAACGTCCAGGCCTTGACCTTCACCGCCGATTTGAAGCTTGGTCACTACATGAAAATCCCTCCACGCGTTATGTTCATGGCCCAGATCGTCTCGACGCTGATCAGCGGTGTCATTAACCTGTCTACGGCCATCTGGTTGGTCGAGACCCGGCCCAACGTCTGCACCCAGCAAGGATACCCCTTCACTTGCCGTTCCACCAACACCTTCTACTCGGCCTCGATCATCTGGGGAGCCATCGGACCTGCTCGTGTCTTCGGCACCACCGATGGTGCCCTCTACTCATCCGTCCAGTGGGGATTCATCGTCGGCGCGTTCTTGCCCATTCCTTTCTGGATCGCCACCCGCAAGTTCCCTGAAGTTACTTGGCTGAAGTACGTCCACTGGCCCGTGTTGTTGGCTGCAACCTCCAATATGCCTCCAGCTCTGCCTTACTTCTATACCAACGGTCTTTTCCTCGGTTTCATCTTCGCCTTTCTCCTGAGACGTTACCGTTACGACTGGTGGGCCCGTTATAACTACCTGACCTCGGCTGCATTGGATACCGGAGTTGCTATTTGTGGTCTGATCATCTTCTTCTGCATCCAGTCGTGGGAGGGCGCCATGCCTTTCTGGTGGGGTAACCCTGAAAGTGGTATCATCGATCACTGCCCTCTTGGCAGTGCCAATTACTTTGGCCTGTAAGCGTGAGAAAATAGCATGTAGAATTGTTTCGTGCCATCAAAGCATATCATCCCTCCAGCATCTTACAACAATAATAATATTTTTAAAAAAAAAACCCCTCACCGAAACCTCTTGAGCTACGGGCATTATATCGTTATACTTTCCAAGAATGACCAAATATATGGAACGCCTTCATAATGAAGAGCGCAGTATTTCTTCTTTGGGTGCGGCGTTTCAGATCGGCGATGCCTGGATCTTGTGTCGCGTCCACATTGAGTGACCCTTTTTTAGTTAAGGGTCTCCTCATTTTTGAACAGCACACGCAATGCCTAGTTCGCGATCTTTCACATCGCACGCAGCATCCCCCACGCAGCAACAATCAACCCATTGCAACAAAACGCAAGCATGGCAGAGGATACTGGAAACTGGTGTCTCATTGAGAGTGACCCTGGTAAAGCTGCAGGGGCGCGTTGGATACATACTTGCTTACGACTACGTTAACAGCTGGGTTGTCAGTCAGCACCAAAGGCCGTGGAAATTTACGATATTTTCTTACTATTGTTATCATGGGCGTAGGCGTTTTTACTGGGCTGATCAAAGGAATTGGCGTCAATGGAGTGCAAGTGGAGGAGATTTATTCTATCGACCGCGATACCCTGGAGGATTTGAAGTAAGCATCCTAGAGCACGCAGGAGCTGTGGCAGTCTGACATCAATGGTGGCCGAGCATGGATAAAATGGAGCAATGGAAGGCTTATCTCCCGAACCCTCCGTTATTTGATGTAAATAGGCCTGTCCATGGACTTATTTTCTTGTTCAAATGGGAGAGTCGTAATCCTGCTGCAGCACCTGAATCACAGGCACCGATTGAGTACGACAATCAGGATGTGTTCTTTGCACAGCAGGTACTTGGCCTTTCTTTCCACAGGACTGAGCCATGAAGCAGCACATACAGTGAATGTTCACATTATTCTAGATTTGTCTTGTTCATGGACTGGAAATAGCTGGATTGAAATCTCATCTAGGTCGCTTGCCTCATGTCTGTACGCTGTAGGTGATCACGAATGCGTGCGCAACACAGGCGATTCTGTCGGTCCTGCTGAATTCACCCAATATCGACCTTGGAGAGGAGCTGACTAATTTCAAATCCTTCGTCGCTGACTTTCCAGCCGAGGTACGGTGTTAGCCATCAATGTCAATGGAAAATACATAGGGTCGGCGGTGTTTTTTTGTGGACGACTCCAGTGCTAACTCTCCGTCCTCCTTTGTTTCGATTTCCCTATATGAATTTTTTTTCTCCGGCCGAAATAGTTAAAGGGACACGCGATCTCCAACTCTGACCTCGTCCGCTCCGTCCACAACTCCTTTTCCCGATCGGACCCCTTCATCAACGAGATGCACGACCCAACCTCGAAAGAAAAAGAAGATCTCTTCCACTTTATTGCCTACACGCCCATTAACGGCAACCTCTACGAACTCGATGGTCTCCAAGAGGGTCCCCGAAACCATGGTCCCTGTCCTGGAGACTCCTGGCTCGACAAGGTGGGCCCGATCATCCAGGCCCGCATGGCACAATATGCCGGAGGGGAGATCCGCTTTAACCTCATGGCCGTAGTCGATGATCGGATTAAGGTCTATCAGGAAAAACAAAAGGCGTATGAGGCACAGCTGGAAGCATTGCAGCAGAAGGAAGGGCCCGAAGCGGGCGCGTGGTTGAAGAGCGAGATCGAAAACTTAAAGCAGGATGTCATAAAGGAAGAGGAGAAGAGAAGGAAGCAGCAGAGGGAGAATAAGTTGAGGAGACACAATTTTGTCCCGCTGATTTATGAGCTTTTGAAGGGGCTTGCGCAGGAGGGGAAATTGGAGGCCTTAGTTGAGGAGGGTAAGACGAGAGCAAAAACAGAGCTGGAGAGCGTGAGGCAGCGGAAAGCGGCAGCCGCAGCCGCAGCCGCTGGTGGAGGGGATCTGGAGATGTACGATGATTGAGAACAAAATTTTGTCCTATAAACCATCCTTGTAAATATATTTATCCGCAGCATAGCATGCAATGTAAATATGTTCACATTGGTCTGCGTACTTTATTGGATGACTAGATGAAGGCAACTGCCCCAGGCTCATGAACGATGCCAAAGGAATTTGCTCCGCAGCCTGCCACTTATCCAAACATGCTGCCGAACTTAAAAAATGGCACCCTCTTCCTAAGACCTCTAGTCAAGTCTTTCCGCTCTTCATTTTTGGTCAGACGCGTGCCGTAGAGTCATATGGAGAATCTTGCCGAGGAATCACTACTTTTCACGATCAGGAACTTGAAATGCTCTAGTGCTATGTTGCTGCACTCGAAATTTAGTTTTTGCGGAGCGGAAAAGTTGATAGCCTTGATCACACCCTTCCAATCCTCAGGATCTAGAAGCATACCTTCCAATTAAACAATCTCCATCGACCTCCAAGCGCGTGATACTGAAGCTACTAAAGATGCTTTGCAGTCACTTGAGCTGCCAGATGAAACGAAGGAAAGAGAGCCAGGGAAGCCAGGGGATATGGGAGAACCAAGAGCCAGGTGGATTCCTCAGGAGAATTAGAGACAACGGTGAGGCTGGCGGCTATAGTGGCGCAGTGACCATGGCGGCTACCCATTTCATAGAGCTATGTACGAGCCCTTGTTCACCGATACCGGCCTGAAGTCCTCCAACGCTGGTACATCCAGTTTCGTAGGGTGTCGTTGCTTCATATCCTGCATCCAATCCTCCGCGGACTTGCGTCCCACGACCAGTCTTGTCGACTTCTTGCGGTGTCGCTTAAGCAGATCATGAAGTTTATCCCGCTCAGTCTTGTTTTGCATCTTTTCAAGTACTATATGGCATTGTTCTGTGCAGGATGATAGTTCGATAGCTCAGTCCATGCACTCTACGTCAGAGGTACTTAACTTACTAGGATCAAGGGATAACGATTTCAGACTTGAGCCGCCCTCCGCAGTCGCAGTATCTAGAAGTGTTGCGAGACTGTCGTTGAACAGATGATTAACTGTGAACTGGCTAACAGACCAGCCGTATTGCCTAAATAAAATCGGAAGCTGTTCCTGCTCATCGGATGACGGCTCTGTTCCCATTGTGATCGTGGTCGTCAGATAGGTTTTAGCTGAGGCATTAGCGAAGGTCCATGCCATCTTTTCATCATGATGCTCGCTCTGCTTCCTGTCGACGAACCAGAAAAGCATGGTCTTGAGAGCATTCAAAAGTTTGGATGGGCTATTCTGCGAATGAACGAGAGTTCTCTTCTTCTTGACCAGGTTCGCGATCGGCAGGTGGCGGTGAGTTCCATCAGCCTTGGGCTCTCTCACAAGAGTTCTTTCAACTGTCCCTCCATCGTCTTTGCAGAATGCTTATACGTTGTCGGCTCGATTAGATACCCCTTTAGAAGCAAAGCCTGCTCCCCTGGATAAAGAGACGCCAGGTTCAAAGTCATCGCATTCATCGCCTGGATCCTGTCACCTGCATAAACCATACGAATTCAACCTCGCAGAATGTCCAACACCAATTTCCGAAGCACCTTCATCATCGACAGTAAGACTTGCAGCTCCTCAAATGCCCCGTGAATACTATCGACTTCTAGTGTTAGTTCCATGAGCGATGGGCAGTACTTGACGATTCTTGTCACAACCATCTTGCACGACCGATCCGACTGGAAGAATGGGGTACGGATCCAGAGACTTTGTAGTTGATGCGATGTCTTCATTGATGTGCTCCAGGTATGTTGATAAAAGTTCGGGTACAAAATGCGCATAGTTTTGATCCTGCCGTCGAGCATCAACTGTAGAATAGGGTCGTACCAACGCTTAGGATAAACGAAATCAAGTGCTGGGGTCTTGGATTCCTACGCGTTTACTGCCAGCTCCACAATGTTCGCCTTACTGACCGCTGTTGCAAACACCCACAGTTCGTCCACGTTAGTCTCGGAGAAGAAGAGCATGGTAAGCTTCCTGATTCCACACGATTTCTCCATGGCATCGAATAGCTGCCTGGCGATCGTCGATGACTTGGCAATCAATTCGAGGCTCCCAGTCTCTAGATTGAACCTCCCGTAATAGGTCATGACGAGTTCCAGGAACTGCTCCATTACAGACCCATGATAGTTCTCACGATAATGGTCGATATGCACCCATTTGACATGCTCCTCCCTCGTGACAATACTGTACGGGTTTCCTAGCGCACGGTCCTGATCCTGGGCTATGAGGAAAGACTCTAGCTGCCGCAGATCTGCGCCTTCGAGAACCTCCATCGTATCCATCTTCCCACAGAATGATGCGTTGTCCAGTTTCGGGGTCGAGTCGAGTCGGGATGTTGATCGTCTCGGAGATTGAGCGCAAGTGGAATGTCTGCAAGAAACGCTCCTCCGCCAACGGTCTTGTCATCGTTTTGTTTCCGTGGCTTCCTGACGAACCGGTGAGATATTAGAGGCGGAGGGAAGAGAGTGAAAAGAAGACCGATTGAGTGAAGGAAATCGGTCTACATTTTTCATCTCGCCCATTTTTTTGTGCGCCTCATGGACACCCGAGGAGATTTCATGCCAAATAGTCCTAATAATGAGTACTATAGTGTAGACGAATGTGGTGTGCATAAATTAATAGAAGCACCCTTCCGTGGCTCGTTATGAATGTTCAAATGACCCGATATTGGCGGACAGATATGGCGTTAATGACATATTGCTATTGTGCCGGATTGGTGAGCCTCGGCCAAGCTGACCAGCCTCTACGAGAATCCTGACCAGCCCTTGCAGCAAAGTGCCCGCAGCATAGGTCACTCAGACCGGTTTTTTTTTTGATTCTGCAAGGCGCTCACTGTTGCTGTGTATATCAGGTCCGCCCTCCTTCGCGGCCATGGAGGTCGAGTTCAACTAAAAGCTGTTGTTTCCATTGATACGGTGGAGTCTCGCGCTGCCACTCTATTCATTAAAAGCATATGCGTTATGCTTATATCTCTACGCACGAATTCGTCGATTTCTGCGCTAGGTGCAATGAAAGTCCAAGGCACCTTCGTTAATGACCATGTTCTTCCTCAAAGTGACATGGAGATCACGTAAATTAGTAGCGCATGTGGTGTTCGAATTATAAATTATAATCCCTGAGTTATGGTCAATCGTAGAAATGCATGGGGACGGTCTCGTTTTCGTATATTGCTAAAGACAAAAAAGTCTTATTTTTTTGAACCATGTTTGAATCAATACGCGTACCGCTATGTCTTTGTTGGTTATGATTCCCGTCAAGTTATTGTGTCGAAGCAAACATGATATATTCTGGTAATCTAGTAGTCTAGCAATCGAGGATGTCGCGTACAATCGTAGAACCTTGTGTAGGCAACATTCTAGTTTCATATGCTACATGGAAGGTAGGCCAGCCCTAGCCCTTTTTTTGAGCCGACGGAAATACAAGAGCAATTGAGGAAGGATTCACATGGATCAATGCTTCTCGTTATATCGACATGGGGAATGGTGATACTGTGGTGCAGGCTGCCGCCTTGGATGCGAATCTCGTGCAGCATGGAGTTATTAGACTAAGCACCTGCTTGTGGGCTGCGCTTGCATTGAGAGCATTGTACATTCATGCTCTCAAACTGACCACCCGGTCTGTGCTGCTGGCGAGGAGGGATCCCAAAGGGTGCACAACGGGTATAGAGTGTGGTGCTCAATGCAAGTGATGGGGGGGGGGGGGGGGGGGGAGGAGGGGCGGGTTTTCATGTGTTTTACGACACCAGGGGTACAGCATATGCTGGTGCGTACCACGGATATCAAACGGCGAACGGACAGTTCTGGATAACATGGTGCTATTTGGGTCAACCAAAGACTAATCTGCAAATGCCATGGGCTTCAGGGCAGCCCAGGCTATCGAGACCTGAAGTCAGCCTACCACCCTGCAATGTCACCGTAAAATATACGGCGCCCAACATAGCGCCCACATGTCCACATCCTCCGGCGCACAAGGTTTCGCGGCTCAAGTGACGGGTGAGCCCTTCGGTTCGGCGCTCTTTTCGTACTTTCTCCAGTGGAGAAATTTCTTTTTGCTTGTGGAGTGAGCCGAAGGCACAGAATGCTGCGAATGGTCATATGAAAGGGCTTTTTCTTTTGGCCTAGTGCAGGCTGACATGGACCTCACAACTTGTTTATCGTAATCTGCAGGTTGAGACAAGCGCACAGCCAAATGCATGCAAGGCACCCAACAAACAGAAAATGTTTTATTTATCTAAACCGATCATAGACACGCATATCAGTTGAAACAGTTCCATGCACATGGAGTGACAGATATGTTTCTGTAGAAAAACCATTCAAGCAGGTGAAAGTCGCAGAACTAACATAGTAGTTTTTGACTGTACTTGCTGTCTGAGTTCATTTCCCCTTATCTGAACTGTTAATGTTCTACCCGTTGCACAACGGTGCAATCAGCGCTAATGCAACAAAGAAGAAGACCCCAGAGCGGGAATATCTGCCATTGGGTAGCATGTTGCACGACTCCTTCTTGATGAAGACGACCGCACTTCTGCACGACCATGGACTCCTAAAGACATGTGCCTTTACAGTTGAATTTCGATAATTTTGGCTAATTTTGTATGTGCACGGTACACGGATATTTTGTTCGAGAGGACGACTGTTGCTTAGATCAGAGCTCATTTTGAGTTGCTGGGAAGCTAAGGAGGAGATTGCAGGGCGGCTGCATTGATTCTTCGTAATTAACACAGGGATTGACGAGAACTATAATTAACTCGATCATGCATACGATCATAAAGAGACACTGGTTGCCGCTGTGCGGTAGAGTGACAGTTACTCGTCTGCCGGAGACCAAATGACCAAGAGACAAGCGACGGTGGTGACGGTAAGCGCGAGTCCTCCTCAGACACGAGTGAACTCTCAAGATACCCTTTGCTCATTGTTTTATCGTTACTTTATTTAGCGGCTCCGACGAGCACCTTGATCACCACTCATTTACTAAGCAAGGTGGCCCATCATTAAATATGATAGTAAAAATAATATTTAAGAAGCTGCAAATGAGCGGGGTAGCCTCGTTCCCTCAAGCAGGTGACGAAAATTTCGCTCGTCGAAGGTCCTGCCACTAAAATAAAGAGTCTTTATTTTAATGGAGGCGAGGGCTAATGCCAGTATGACATGTGGGGGGGGCTAACATGTGGGATAGGACTCCAAAATGGCCCTATCTCCATCGCTCTTGCATTTTGTGGAGTGAACCGCCCACAATAAAAGTACACGTAGTATTTATCGTTCGCAAAATATGCATGCAGTAGGAAAGGTGCATGCGCACCTTCTTTCGTGCTTTTCGCGCCCATTTGTGCTCCTGTGTTTCCTTCTGCAGCATTCCCAGCAGAAGCGGCATAGAGGGAGACAATGCGTGCAAGAGTGGATGTGGATATGGTGATGGATGTATCGAGTATTAAAGTCTTCAAGGGTATCCTAAGGGGCTATTGGTGTCATTGGGAGAGACGATAATATTTTTTTGCTGCCACTGTTGGGAATACTGTAATACCCTAGGCTAGAAAACGTGAGGACTGATAGTCCATCCCCAAGGGTGACTTCCCTAGGAGTGCTAATTAAAATAAGACACTAGTGGAACTGGCGTCCCTGTGGAGAAGCAATTTCCTACTGGGTTGACAGGCAGACTTGATGGCTGATGTTCACTTTGAAGGGCATTGGGATGACTGATGACAAACTGCTCCTGTATACACCATGAACCAAATTAACAGAAAACGACTGTACCATGGGGGTACAAAGTGAAAAACGTTAATTAAGTACTCAAAATGAATTCAATTGAATGATGAGTCGCAGCCCATGAGGAGTCGTCGCCTTGATCCATCCTCCACATAAAAGGTCTGGCCTCCATCCCCCGTTTTCCTTCTTTTCTGCTTCTTAAGTCTTTCTTCATTTGCCTCTACACCCGCAATCATCCCCAAGTCCACTTCCACCGTCTTTCGCTACACATCCCGTTGTGCACATTACAGCTCACGCCTCCACATCTAAACGCACCTACACCCACGACACCCCTTCTATAAAGAAATCAGACCAGACATGTCTACCTACGTTCAGCCCGTTGCCCCCACCGAAGGCCGTCTCGGCCACTTGACTCCCGAACAGACCGAGAAGCTCCAGCAGTTCTGGGTCCGCCTCTACGACATCTTTGACGGCAAGACCCAGTTCGACCAGACCGCCCCCTCGTCCTTCAAGGGCCAGTCCCGTGATGAGGACGCCCCTGCCACCCCCTCGACCGAGAAGAAGGGCTGGTTCGGCCGCGGAAAGGCTACCCCTGCCTCTGATGCCGCTGTTGTCAAGTCCGAGCCTGCTCCCCGCTTTACCGGTGAGGACCTCAAGAAGACCTTCTGGAAGCTGACTATGATGGACCACCCTGACTTGATCGTCCTCAAGGTATGGAACTGAGCTCATGTAGCAACATGGATAAAGTTTAAGATTGAAGAGTACTTACCAGGGCGCTCTATTCGAGGTATTCTAACGATTCTTTGTGTCCACTTTCTCTTATTTTCAATAGTTCATCCGTGCCCGCAAGTGGAACCTGGATGATGCCATGAAAATGTTCTTGAACGCCCTGAAGTGGCGCATTGTCGAGCGCCTCGACGAGTTGGTCGAGCTTTCGGATGTGGAGTTGGATCAGAAGTATCCCAAGTTCATTGAGCAGATGCGCGTCGGAAAGGGCTACCTCCGTGGTGCCGATCCCCTCAACCGTCCCATGTCTGTTGTCAACACCCGTCTCCATCACAAGAGCGACCAGCCCCCAGAGACTATCCATCGCTTCACTCTCTACGTAAGTTGGTTTACCCTGCTCTTTATTAAACGTAAAAATGCTAGTGCTGGAAAAATGAGAAACCTATTCTCACAGCGAATCAATATGGATCGAACAAAATAGACCATGGAGTGCGGCCGCATGTGCCTCCCCCAGGGTGCCGAAACTGTCATCGTCATCTTCGATCTTTCCAACTTCGGTCTCGACAACATGGACTGGGGCTTCGTCCGCCTGTTCGTTCAGTGCTTCGAGTCCTACTACCCCGAGACCCTCGGAGTGTGCGTTGTTCACCGTGCTCCTTTCGTCTTCTGGGGTCTCTGGAAGCTGATCCAGCCCCTCCTCGACCCCGTCGTCGCCTCCAAGTTCGTCTTCACCCGCAACAACGCCGAGTTGCACAAGGTCATCCCTCGTGAACGCCTTCCCATCGTCCACTATGAAGGTCTCGATGACTGGAAGTACGAGTACGTCCCCGCCACCCCCGGCGAGAACGCCCCCATGAAGGACTTGGCTAAGAAGGAGGAGTTGCTCAATGAGCGTCATGCCTTGGAGAACAAGTTTGACGCCGTTACCCGTGCCTGGATCAAGAACATCAATGGCAAGAACTCTTCGGAACGTGATGAGATTGCCCAGGAGCTTAGGGAGCAGTACACTCGCTTGACGCCCTATGTCCGCGCCAAGAACTTGTACCAGCGCTGGGGCGTTTCTCACGACGGCCAGGTCACCTGGACCTACAACGTCAAGGCCTAAGTAGCAAGCGCGGGAGGAATGCAGGACATTCCGAATCTTAAAAGAAGAGAACGCCAAGGACAGAACACATGGAGAATTATACCCTTGCAGCTGGATCGAAATATATTCCTAGGATACCCCTCTCTACGCCACCAGATAGAGAGACAGGGAAATGCAAGGGTGGGGAAGCACTTGTAAAGTAAATATCTCAATAAATATTATACACAAAAAGCATGGCCGCAATGGGTGATCGATCTTCCACAACACGCTGTTTGTCCACTGAAAACGTTTTGAAGACAATCAAAGGAAATACAATATAGTATAGGGCGAAAAGAGTAGGTTTCTATTTTGCAAAAGCTGATCTACAATGAGTTCTAAAAGGATTTACGGAAGGATTTGGCGTTCGAAACGTCTTCACAGCTTGGATCCGCCGCCCATTCGGGAATCCGTGTTAAACTTTGTGTGTGAAGCTGTAGCAAGGACCCTGCCTGTTTCCTTGTCCTTCAAAACCGCGGTCGTGTTTGCAAGACCCGCGCCAACTTTGTGGACCCTGCACTCGACCAGGACAGTTGAGCCGAGCGCGGCACCCGAGACGTAGGCGACATGCAGATCGGTTGACACACCAGCAAATTGAAAATGTTTACCTATGATTTGTTGGAAGTGAAGCAATAACACAGAAGGTGAGTGAATCAGATCGCTTGTTCGCCACAGAGAGAACGCCAAAACAATCTCGGGGCAATTGGAGGCTGGGATTTCAATGTAATGCCTTCAGCTCTTGCCATAATGTCCAACATGGTTGCTTAAATGCGCTCCACAGCTTTCTTTCTTTCTTTCTTTTTTTCTTTCTTTCTTTCTTTTTTGTATGTCCGTAGATAATCAACGTACGTTCGCGTGTGAATAAGGCTGCCGTGGTCAAGTTATCAACCAAGGTAGCAATGGCACCACCATGAAAGTTGTTCGAGAAATTGCAGTCGGATTTTTGAATGGTGTATTCAAATACGGCCGAGTCCTCGTCCGCATCGACGACCGTGCTGCGACCGAAGCAGTCGTGCGAGAATAAGTGTCCATCCTCGTCCGCTCGGTTCGCGAACTTGTTCATTTGTTCCATCCATTCCTTCAAATGTGCGACATGCTGGGGGGCCATTATAGTAGGTGAGGAATGGAATGATTTAGTGGAGTGGAGAGGTAAAGGAGGAATGAGCGAATAGGGCCTACAGGAAGGTAAGGAGTGAGAGAAGACAAGTTCGGGGAAGTGCTTTTCATGTCGGTTCGATCGAAACCTTAATAGTTGGCACTTTGAACTTGTTTGAAGCGAAGGCGAGATATCACGTGTAGTCTCTCGATCGGCATGGGGGATCTTGACGACCTCGAACAGAAGGAACAGTTTCTCGTCAAGATTGACGGCGACTATACTTGCTACATAGATCTATTGAAAAATACAATACATTGATGGTATCTTATGCATTTTCTTGGCGGCTCGGTCGGATCTGGTTCAGGAACGCGTGTCGATTGGACGCCCTGTATTCTCCAGCGGATAGAGGCGTTTACTCAGTGCAGACGACATCATTGTTTCTTTCAGCTGGAACGCCAAACAGAGACCACTCTATGTTGCTTGAGTATGTCCACGTCGCGAGATGACATCTGAAACCTGCGCTGTGCAGTATCGCGTCCGCGTTTTTGCCTCACAAGCCACTGTTTGACGCTGCCACTGTTTGACGCTGCCCCTGGCTCAAAACTCGCAGGTTGTATTTTGGCCGCAAGGGCGAAGGGCTTTTCTGTCTTTTGCATTGCACTTAATTGCCATCAACACTTTCAACACACCATAGGACAGAGGAAGAAAAAAAAAAAGCACACACACACGGTAACAGGAATTACAGAACAGGAAAGCATGCCACGCGAATCTCATCTCGAAACGACGATTGGCAAGTCGCTTGTCAACACCATTGCTGAGGCAAAGGTGCTCATGGTTGGCGCAGGAGGCATTGGATGCGAGCTGCTCAAGAACCTTGTTATGAGCGGCTTCAAGAACATTGAAGTGGTGAGACATGAGCGTCACCGGTATCAGGGAAAAGTGGAGGAGTAAAGGCTTCAGGTCTTACTCACTAACCAGCTTCTTTGGATCTAGATCGATCTAGATACTATCGATCTATCGAACTTGAACAGGCAGTTCCTCTTCCAGAAACAGCACATCAAGAAGTCGAAAGCGCACGTAAGTCTCTACTAATGATGTCTATCCGAAGTATTTTTTGTGCATATGGCTGTGGAAACCAATTCGTATTCTCTTCTTCAACCTATAGATCGCAAAAGCATCGGCCTTGGCCTTCAACCCCAATGTCAATATTGTATCGCGTCACCAAAATATCAAGGAGCAAGAGTTTTCCGTGGACTGGTTCAAAGGCTTCGATCTGGTCATGAACGCATTGGATAACCTGGGTATGTGTCGACAACCATGCTATCGGCAATCGCAGATACTCGGAAAGCCCCGACTTTTATTCCTTATCTAACACGCCACCCTTACGGCTCTTATAGATGCAAGGCGGCATGTCAATAAGATGTGTTTGGCTGCCAATGTGCCCCTCATTGAGTCAGGAACGGCAGGATATCTCGGACAGGTGACCGTCATCCAGAAGGACGAGACAGAGTGTTTCGACTGTCAACCCAAAGAAACACCAAAGACCTTTCCTGTCTGCACTATCAGAAGCACACCGAGTACATCCATCCACTGCATTGTCTGGGCAAAGAGCTATCTGTTCGGGCTACTCTTCGGAAACGCAGAAGATGACGACGATGAGGTACTCTCAAAGGAGAACAGCAACGATGATGAGACAGGTATGCGGACTTGGCATTAACTTGGGTATTTGGGCAAAACCATTGCTTTTATGTTGTGTGATGTCAATATCTGCTTTCATAATCATATTTCCCAAATAGCTAAGGAGCTTGCGGCATTGGCAGCAGAATCGCAGGCGCTCAAGGAGATTTTGGCATCTGCCAACACAGATGGCTTCGCACAGCGCGTATTTGACAAAGTCTTTTACACTGATATCCAGCGCCTCAGGAGCATGGAAGATATGTGGAAGAGCAGGAGAGCACCCACACCCTTAAAGTACGACGAAATCATGAATGAAACGGGAGACCTTCCAAGCGCTATGGATGCCGCATCCCTGGAATCGTCGACATTGAAGGATCAGCGTGTGTGGACACTTCGGGAAACAGTTCAGGTGTTCAGCGACAGGTGAGTCGGCAGCGTCTTATGTGGAAGAAAAGTATGAAGCGGAGCAAATGCTAACGTATTATACTACTCTTTTTTTGACAACATCTAGCTTGGAAAAGCTGACTGCCAGATTGAAGGAGCTGAGAGAATCCGACCCTGAGGCGACGGTTCAATTCGATAAGGATGATTCTGAAACTCTGGACTTTGTCACTGCGACGGCCAATCTCCGTGCGCACGTTTATGGCATTGAGGAAAAGAGTCGATTCCAAGTTAAAGGTGAGATGCTGTAATGAGAACACGCTGCTGCTGGTCACAAAGCCGATCGCCCATTAGTATTAATATCTGGAATGTCTATCTTTGATTAGCCATGGCTGGAAACATCATCCCAGCTATTGCCACCACTAATGCCATCATTGCGGGCATGATGGTCATGCTGGCGTTCAAGATTCTCAACAAGCGCCTGGCAGACTGCAAAACTGTAATGATACCGATAGTGGATGCTCAACATGACGCGATATGTCTTCATTTGTTGAATATAAAGCTGACGCAGTCTTTTTTTCTTTGATTCATGTATGGTTAATAGAGCTACCTCGTTTATGGTCGTCATAGGCCACAGCTGATTATTTCGGAACCGTTAGCCAAGCCCAATCCTAAGTGCTATATCTGTAGGAACTCATACATTGCACTTAAAATCGATACGGAAAAGAGCACTGTTCAGGACCTTATCAATCTACTGGAAGAGAATTCATTGAGCGATGTCGAAATTCAGGAGGGTGGAAGGTATGTGAAATGAGTCTATCGTTCTGCAGATTATATGTCTTATGTGCGCTTCCGCTTCCAGCTGGCTGACTTACTGATGTTGGTATTAACGAATAGGGTGATCTATGACCCTGACTTTGACGATAACGCTGAGAAGACCTTGGCGAGTCTACAGCTGACCGATGGAAAGTTTGTAGATGTCGTGAATGAGGACGACCGCAAGATCATTGTCTGCCTCAAACATGTGTAAGTACTACTGTCGCGCTGATAATAAACTGAAGACTTCCTTACAGATGCTGCGGTCAACCCATGCTAACATTGACATATGACTTTTTGTAGAGATTCATTGAACCTGGGCGAGCAAGGTTATGCAGTTGAAGGCGATATTGAAGAGGCATTGGAGCAGCAGACCGTAGTGAGGCAGCAGTTGAAAGAGGCTGAGGCTGAGGCTACGGCGGCAGTGCACAATCACGCAGAAGATCCTGATGTTGTAATGACAGACGACAATAAGAAGCGGAAGCACGACGAGATTGCAGGATCGATCGATGCGGATGGACCATTGAAGAAAACCTCGCTCGAGGGCTCTGCTCATCCTGCAGCGGAGGACGGTATCGGCGATGGCAGCTCTCGGGCGGAAGCAGTGGACGTAGATGAGGTGATCGTTGTGAACGGGGAGTCCTTTGGTGTTGTTGTTCTAGATTAGAGGATAGCTTTTTTGTCTTGAAGCAATGGCGGTCCTAATTACTTACCAAGTAGCTGCCAAGAGCATTTATTGGAGACTGGAGCGTTGTGTTAGGTCTGTCAAGCATCGCATTGTTAATTGTTGCATGTTTTCCTCGATTGTGCCTCAGAGGACGAAATAAATGGTGAGTTTGGGCTCAGCACATAAGCAAAGAGCACGGCACTTCTTATCTGCATTGTCAGCGGACTACCGCAATTCAAAATGGTCATCAACGAGCGAGATTATTCTTATTTGGGATATGTATTAAAACCATCGCGAAATGGAGCGTATGGTATGGGTATGAAAAGACGTGTGCATGGTTTAGATCTCGGTGGCATTCTTATTGCGGCTGTGGAAGATGAGACCTGTAGTCACTGGGTCGCCAATGCGTGAGAGAAGGATAGCCTTGGTTTTAGAAGGATCCTGGATCTCGATCTTGGAGTAGTTCCTTACCATCAGTACACCAATGGTCTTGAGTTCCTGGATAGCCAAGAAGCGTCCTGGGCAAGCATGTCTATGAATAAAGAAGACAGAATCCGTCAGATCCAACTGACTTTTCCTCGATACATAACGCACAATAAAATGCTGAGACCAAAGCGAAGTGTATTACCTTCCCATGCCCCATGTCAAAAAGTCACCTGAGGCCTTGGTCGCGGCCTTGGACTTGCCGACAAACCTCCATGGCCTGAACTCGAGTGCATCTTCGCCCTGCAGACCGGAGTCCTGATGGATTGAGCGCATGTTGATAACAGCCTTGCTGCCCTTTGAGATGACCATGCCGTTCGAGAGCTGAACATTCCGCCTAGCCGCGTGAGGGAGCGACAGGCGTTCGACGCGGTACCTGAAGACCTCACGCACGAATGAGTCCATCTTCGCCATACGCTTCATGGCTGCCGCAGAAAGATCCCTATCATTTTTGGGATCTAACTCAGTGCCCTCAAAATCCTTCGCGGAAGCAACCTCCCCGGAATCGAGCTTCTTCTGTCGGATCTCCTGACGTTCCTTCGAGATTAGATCCAAAATCTCCTGTTGCTCCTGATAGAGCGGCTCTGTGTACTCTGGGAAGGCTGCGAGGTAATAGCACAGATTCGTCGAGGTATCCGAGGTTGTGTGCACGCTCGCCAAGACGAGCAGCAGCAAGTGACCACAGACGTCCTCGAGATCCACGAAGCCGTATTTGTCAAAGTTATCGAGAAGGCGCTGCATGATATCAAGGGGGCGTTCCCATTCGAGACCTTTATCAGCGGCCTCTTGTTCCTGTCGTCGGCGCTCGAGGACGACGGGAGCGGCAGCCTGGACGAGGACTTCCATATGCTTCCTGAGCGGGTTCATATAACCGTACCTGGTGCGGGTATTGAAGGCGTGCCAGAAGGTATTCCTGCCCCGACCGAGAACTTTGCCAAAATCGTAAGTGCATTGGATGAAGGTGTCGATCACAGCACGGTTCTTAGCGAGCTCGGGTCCCATGAACACTGTGGCCACTATTCAGCGAGGAATGTAGGAAGCAATTCGATACAGTAAGAAGCATGCATAAATCGTTCATGCACAACCAGTGCCCTCGCTCCATTGCATCGCATTGTGTCGCATCAAAAACAATACTCCTTATGGGATTTGCTCACTTACTGGCACCGGCAATCATATCCTGGAAGATCGACAGCGGGTTTTCGACTAATTTATTCTCACAGTGTCCCAGCTGGCTATCCACGACCGTCTGCAACACATTCACGATCCTGGGCGTAAACAACGGCAAGTTGGGTGAGAGGTTATCTCTAATGACCTCATGTGTCGTCCGGTTATCGGGATCCCGGTTGCTCTTGATAACACTCGTGATGAAAGCCCGAAGTCCCGTCATATCATTAATCGCGTCCGAGAAACTAAAGTCCTCGTTCATGAAGACCTCGCGGGTCAATGGGCCCGAGACGACCGTCTGTGACTGGTTCAGAATGCGGCAGTTGAAGACAGGGCCGTATTGGGCCTCGCACCGCCGAAGGAATTCGTCTTGGTCTTCAAAGTATTCAGTGTCATGGGTCGTGTCGCCCGCGCGCACGGGCACCGTAGGGATGGACTATTATAAAGAACGATCGTGAAGATCAAATTGTGAGTCGCGAGGATTGGGCATTTACTAATGAAAGATTTTTATGATCCCCACTTTGATTGTGGCCATATTTTACCTTGTCGGTGCTATACCCTTCCTTGTTGACGGCTTTCATTGTCAGGTACGCAGCCGAGGCCAATCCGAGGCCGATGGGCAAGGCGACCTTGAGGATCTCTGAAGGATTGGGTGAAGCGGACGAAGACAGAAGACCGATCATAGCTTGGGAGATATAGTCTGAAGAGCGAGAGGAGAGAGAGTGTTGTTTCCTGTGAAAGAAAGGGGATTTATGGAGATGCGTCCGATGAGATATCCGCGAGGAGACACTAAGTTTTTTTTTTGGGAGGGGGGGGGGGGGGGGGGGAGGATTTGTATTGGGTATGGGTAAATTGTTCGTTATTGGTGAGATAGGACGTAGAAGGACGAAAAGAGGGGATCTGATTCCCATCGAGCTTTTATACGTGCTACGAGATGCCCCTGCGACGCAAAAGACCGCGCTCACACAAGTCCGAGAAAGACGGGGCGGGATGAGACCCGTGTTCACTGCGGTTGCGCTGTGAAAATAACCGGTTGTAGAAATTGGGTGCGCAAGCAAGAATGCTCTAGTATGTCGCGCGCAGTGGTTAGGTCGACGCTCATTCGCTAGTGTGAACTAGTTTAGCGACGGCAGGAGTGCCCTTTTGTAGTCCGTTCAATGCTGTCATCCAACTGGCCGTGTTGCATGAAAAAAAAATATACCCCATCTTTCTTTCCAGGAGACATGAAATTCAAATTGCCAACCGGTTTCTTGTTGCGAATAGGGAGACCTCAAAGACACTTTTAGCCTTAGTATTGGTCTAAAGACCGGTAGGTTCCATCCTTGCTGTGTGCCCGGAATTCCGAACACAATCTGCCTGAACCTGCGCTTGATCGGGATTCATTCTTACTATAGTATGACTAGAAAAACGAATGCGGATAAAAAATCCCACCAACTTGTTTGTCCTGACTGAACCCTGCAAACAACCTCTCTGCTATACTCAGCAGATGCGATTTATCGCATAGGAAGACCGTAGGCTTTGCGTCCCGTCTCCAAAGAGCTGCAGACTATTCGGGGCTCATCTCCACCCCTGCCTCTATTTTATTTTCTACTAGCTCCATCTCCCTCTCTAGTTCCTAGAGCAGTTGATGGCGCTCTACTCTCGGCATCCAGTAGACCTCGTTGTCTCTGTCTGCTCCTCTTTCTTTCTATCTTTCTGTCCTTATTCTTTAGCAAACTAGAGAGGCAACATGTTCTTGTATTTATGCCCATTAGCAATGTCGCGCAAATGCTCTGTAGGCCGTTGCCTGATTATCGACGCCCAAACAAACACATTCGCGTTAAACTAATAAACCCAATTTGGCCTTGGACACAAAAAAAAAAACGATTATCGAACCACTTAACACCGCACTGTCCTATATCCTGCGTCCTGCATCCTGTGGGCGCAAAGGTTACTATGGTCCATTTAGTTCACATCAAACCGATAAACAATTACAAACCATAAAACACCCATTAAAAAGACATTGTGCGCACACAGCTCCGAGGCTATATGACAGGCCATAGGAGGAGAGAAAAGTAGGAGCCCAACACCAGCGAAATTCCGAGCAGGTCTCTGCCTAGTTACCTTCCCCTTCCTAGAGCCACCTGAACGCACGCGAAAGAAAAATCCGATACAGGCGTATGTACAAGAATAGATAACAGACATCAGATATAGGCGCCTGAAGGAAGTTTGGCTGCACACCGCGTGCGCGGGCTTTCAAATCCGATTACAATCGTATTTGTGCATTCTTCAGTAGACTATGCAGGTCCCTCCTTCCCCCGCTCGGGTCTCGGACTACATTCACGATACAAATTTGTTTTGGAAGCACAAACACAGCAATCAGTTGAGATGATCGAGACGCACATTCGTGCCCCATGTAGAAGTAACAGGACGACTTTCAAGGGGCAATATACAGTGATTTGTGACCTGAGGATACTCAAGGCTCCGGTAGTGTAGATGAAGAAGGCGCTACATAGATTTTAGGACGACATCTACTCTCTTTCCCACATTCCCACATCCGCAAACTTTTACTCTAATTCTTCAAATTAACATTCGCTTTTCGTATGAATGCGGTAGCGAATCCGGCCTAAATACTGGTATCGTATCATCCACCACCGTTTTCGTCATGTGTTTTACTGTTGGTAGGCACTTTCTTTTCACACAAAAAGATCGCTGTATTTATTCTTGGCTCTTTTTTTTTTTTGGTTTCTTTACAACAACCGTGTCCTTGTGTCATCTTTTGTTAAAAGAGACGGAAGAAATCCCAGGTTAAAAATGGATGGGCAAAGTGGCTACGGAAGGGAAATATTTGCTGGCGCCTTTCTATGTCAAATGAAATATTGTCATTAAAAGAATGCAGGCTTGATCATGGTTGCATCGCGCAACTGCTTCTGTTCACGAATCGTAAACACCTTTCCGGGCTCGGGTCCCTTGGGTTGGCGGATGGGGTATATCAGGTTGGTGTTCATCGTGCTGCTTGCAGTAGCCGCGTCAAACACCATCGATTTTCTGTACAGTGATCGTGTGGGCGAAGCGGAGCCCGTCGACCGAGTCGTTGATGACGCAAATGTATAGGTAGATAGGATAGAAGAGGTGGTCGAGGAAGGAATATCAGGCAGAGGCGAGCGCGATTTGTAGATCGGGCTTTCAGAGCGAAGAGAGCCGCGTCCAGCAAACGACATTGGGCGTTGCTGTTCAACATGAGAAGTAGAGAGCAGATATAGAACTTGGGTCAGTGGTCCTGTGAGATACTGTTCGCGCTTCATATACTGTACACTTCGTCCGTTCATACCTTGGTAGGGGTGCCCGGTCCTGCGGAGCCGGCAGAAGAATCCAGGGCAGAGTTGGGGGGAGGGGTTTTCATGATGATCAATCGACGAAGGTTTCCTTCGCCCTCGGTGTAATGATGCAGCGACAACTTGTCGGCAATGAGATGCAGAATTCTGCGCTGACGAGCGCTCAGATTCTCGGGGAAGATCATATCGTCTTTCGTAGCATCGCCTCGGAACATGAGCAGGCGGTCATAAAATGCCAGGGTCTCTCCATCATTCAAATCCAATTGGTTCAGCGACCCTATAATAGTACATTGGGTGAAATCTTTGTTAGAGGGGTATAACGGCACCATTTGAACACACCCCTTTTTTTTGCCACCAGATTGAACATACCAGACGAGTCGTCGCGATCCAAAAGACTGCGTCCCGAGTCCCGTCGCTCCAACAGGGCTGCGGACGCACGGTTGCGAGTGCGATCAAACTCGCGACTCTGCAGTTCCATTAGCTCACGCTGTCTCTCCTGTCTTTCCTGTTGCTGTTCCAGCAACTGGTTCTCCATAATCTCCATCTCTCTGCGCTGAAGGGCTTCCTGCGCAGCGGCAGCAGCGGCAGCAGCCTTCTCCTGGTCTCTCTTCTCTTGCTCCGCCGCAGGCATCACCTTCTTATACTCAACTCTCAACTTTCTTCCTTGAACCTCGAATCCGTTGACAGAGTTGTAGACCAAATCGGCCTCCTCAGCTGTTCGGTAGTTGGCAAAGGCCAGACCCCGGAAGATACCGTTGTCAAAATGGTAGTTGAAGGCATAGGGCTTGGGGATGTCGAGGTTATCAAGGATAGCAAGCAAGGAGTCGCGCTTGACCGAAAAGGGAATGTTCTTGATCACGATAGCAGTCGGAATAGTATCGACGTGCTCCTCTCCATGCTGTTGCGGCTGTTGCTGCTGCTGTGGGGGCTGTTGCTGCTGGGGGTGGGGGAACTGTTGGAAGGGCTGCTGGTAGGGCTGAGACTGAAATTGACCAATCAGAGGGCCGGGCTGCATAGGCTGGTAGGCATAGGCCTGATGCTGGTAGTACTGCTGCTGGCGTGGATCCTGCTGGAGCACGGGGGACTGGATGGGCGAAGCCTGAGGTGGGCTCCAGTTCTAAGGGAGCAGTCATTGAATTAAGAACCACCAAGAACATGTGGGGTTAGAAAGAGAGCCAACACCAGAGCATCAAAAAACAAAACAAAGAAGCGCGACAGGTCAGGGCGGGAAGAAAGATGGTCGGGAAAATGAAACAACGAAGATGAGTGGTGCATGGAAGGAGAGGCGTGGCAAAGATAGACAGAGAGAGCAGGGTGCATGCATGCATGTCTATGTCCATATCCATGGGCATGGCAATAGACTCTAGGGGTTATCCGTCCGTCGACTGTCACACAGGAAATGTGGTCCTCCAATTTTTTTTTCCGCTGCACCAAGGGAGACCAAGTCAGGGGAGAGAAGAGCAAAATGGTATGTGGTTGCATGGCATGCAACCTGTCCCATGTGCCATGCACCATGTACATCCACGTACAAACAACACATAAACAGATACAAACATCAGGACCCTATCCCACTTCCTACCACTGTTTTCTTTTTTGTCTTTTACCGACGGATCCCCTTGCCCTCGTTTTGTTCGATTGCATGCTGCCACCGATAGACAGAATATTGGCCATTGACCACAGCTAGGGACTGCACAGGACAATAAAATAAACCCCCGGTGACGATCCCCCTCCCAAAAGTGAAACAGCCTAGGAACATTAACAAGAAGTGTGTGCCTTACCACGCTGACCAGAGACATGCGGTTCGAATGGCGCTTGCCGCTCGTGCTCTGCACACCATTCATTCCCATGCCCATGCTGTTTCGTTGAGACTGGTACCCAGATGCACCATTCCCATTCCCTCCGCCATTAGTCGGCTTGCGTGTCAGGGGGCTGGCCGGGCCGCGCTCAGACCCATACTGCGAATAGCGGCGTTGGTGCTGCGGTTGGTACGTCGGCTGATGCTGGTGGTCAATTGGCGACGCAGGGCCGTTGTCCCGAAGGGACATAGCGTCAAAGGTCATGTCAAGATGCTTGGTCGTCATGGTGCTGGGTAACGGAGCGAGGCTTTTTTCGTAGTTTTTTTTTTTAGTGTTAATAGGTGGTTATGATTCTCGAACCAATTGATGGAGCTATATGAATAAAGCAATAGGAAAAAACCAAGTGGGATTTTTTGCTCGTGTGGGATGTAGTAGTTTTGTGTTCAGTTGGATGACAAAGAGTGCGAGATATAAAAAGAAGGTGCTTTTGCACAAGTCTTGAGTTACGAGACTACAGGGGATGTGGGTGCTTGGATGTGTTCGTGTTCAGGAGGGTTTTCTGATATTCAATGGGTAGTGGATAAAAACAAGTGAGAGAAAAACGTAGGTGTGAAAAGAGTATGCATGTATAACTACGAGACGAGAAAGAATAAGAAAGATAAAAAAGAAAAGCACAGTGAACAAGCGGAGGGGAAACAGTTAGTTCGTTAACATGAGTCAGGAAAGAGCTGGTGGAGCAGAGGGGGAACAGGCGTGAAGGAGATGATGATCAGGGAGAGTGTAGAGTTGAGGACGAGGAACAGAAAGGAAAAAAAGAAAGAAAGAGGGTCTTTGGTGGAGAAGAAGACCTTTTTGTGCTCTCAGAGAATATGCTCAGGTGTGCGTGTGGGTGTACTTTTTCTTTTGTGTGGGACTACCGAATGCCTATTTTATCTTCCACAAACTGTGAAAAGGAGGTTATCCAGGGGAACAAAACGAGACGAGAAAATTGGATGGACGGATACAACAGGGAGCAATCAACAGCAAGCAATGTAAATGAATAAATAGATGTAGATAAAAATATGCATTCTCATACGTAGCTGCTCCATAGGAAGATAGATAGTGCCACACCAAGACTAATAGCTCTAGTAGGCGCAAGTCAAACAAAAGAAGCACCCATCGGTCCATGGTCTACGGTCTTCGGTCTACGGTCTTCGGTCTATGGTCTTCAGTCTACGGTCTATGGTCTCTGGGCTATGGATCATTGGCCATGGTCCTGCCTGCTCTTCATAGCTCACGGGGGACTCAAATAGATTCGCGGGCCCTCTGGATTTGAAGTACATACGATACAGGGTCATTATCACGTGTGGTTACCTGTTGGGACCGTATTCACGAATCAAAACAAAAAAAACCTTGCGTCGAATCCATTCCATTCATCCTTCCTTCCCTATTCTCACAATCCCCACACCTAAAGTCATAATGTAAGCAGTGCACCCGCTGATCCAGAAGAAGCTGATTGAGAACATTCAATCCCATTGTCGACGCCAGAGGATTTTTTTATACGTGTTCTGTTCAGAAGAACAGGAAGGCAACACAATAGGAGGCTATCAGGATATCACAGCAGAAACGTATAGGAGAGCACCATTGTCAGCATTTTAACCGAGGAAGATATGGGATGAATCGACTCTAGAGCGTTAGGGGGCGGTTATGCAGCCCGCATTTTTGATCCTATCGCTATCTTGTTGTTATCATTGGTTTCCAAGGAGGACATTTTCAGCGAACCATTGAGCCATGCCAGGACATGCTACACCGCTAGCTTACCAATGGACGATCCATTGATCATGTTATTCATGGCCTATGCTTTATTATCTCCTTCAATTGTTCAAATGCAACATTTAGGGCCGATATCGAGAACAAGACCGCCACCATCGAGGAGATCCACGACGACTCTGACTCTGAGCAGCAGGTTTCTTCTTCTTCCCGTGTCCAGTCCCGCGGTGAGATCAAGGCTCGCAAGGCCCTCAGCAAGCTCGGACTCGTTAAGATCAAGGGCGTCACCCGCGTCACGATCCGTCGCTCCGGTCAGGGTATCTTGGCCATCTCCCAGCCCGATGTCTACAGGTCCTTGAACTCTGACACCTATGTTGTCTTTGGTGAGGGACAGACCGAGGATCTCAACAGCTTGCAGTCTCAGCTCGCTGCTGCCTCCGAGGTCCTCAAGGATGCTGGTGAGGCCACCGAGGCTGCCACTCCCTCTGCCGACGCTGCTGATGAGGAGGACGATGAGGAGGTTGATGAGACAGATGTCAGCAAGGAGGACATTGAGCTCGTCATTGCCCAGGCAAACGTCAGCCGCTCCAAGGCTGTCAAGGCCCTCAAGGCCCATAATAACGACATTGTCAACGCCATCATGGTAAGCGCTTGATCCACCCGGTCGTCGGCATGCTCCACTTTTCGACGCGTCAAAGGTCATTTTTAGGATTACTAACACACGTTTTCTGCTTTTTTCTCACATATCTGACAATAGGAGTTGACTATGTGAAACCCACAACGTTTGAAGTATTAATCGGTCGGTCATCCTATCATTTTTCGTTTTTACTTTCCACGAACCAAGAAAAAAATCTAAAAAGGCGTGAGCGGAAATAAAAATCATCAAAAGCACTGTTTGCCCATGTCTCGCTTATGCTATTATGTACTATTGTATGCTATGCTATGCTATGCTATGCTATGCTATGCTATGTTATGCTATGTTATGCTATGCTATGCTATGCTATGCTATGCTGTGCTCTTCTCAATGCTTGGTGCCTGAAAAAGAAGAAAAAGTGACTGGCAAAGCGTGTTTGTTTCCACAACCGGGAATATAAACTTGAAAGCAGGCGAACCATTTTGCCCATCAACCTCAGCGCAACCCATCCTAGGACAACGAGAGTGAAGAAGGACAGAACTGCTTATGGCATCAGCGCGGTTCAAGAACGTGATTGCAAGCCAACTGGCCAAAGTCACAGGAGGGGATGCTTCGGCCATTGCAAAGGCGATCGATCGACCCAAGGTCAAGGGACACGGAACGTTTGCGGTACCCCTGCCTCGACTCTTTCTTTTGACCAATGTTCCCAAAAAAAAAATCCTTGATGGAGCCGGCAAGCCGGATCGACTGCAGGATAGTGGACCTATAAGCAAGAATCATGGTGTACAGGATATGAAGGCGCAATTGCTCGGGAGGATACAGCATGAGGTAAGAACAAACGATGCAGGAATCACCGATCTAACGGTGCTTGGGCATTAAAAGACCGATACCATTCTATCCTATATTCTCTTTTTGCGTCTCTACAGTTTGATATGACTGGTCCGATCCGATCTGTCAGCCCTGTGGGCCAGTTCCTGAACTTCTCTGTCGACGAACGCCAATACACGCGAGACACCATCCAGGATGTAATCAGAGCCGAAGAGACAAAAGCGCAATACCTTTCACAACTATCGTCAACATCAGCATCATCTCCATTATCAAGATCAAAACAGTATGTGGCAAGTCTTGGCTACGGCATGGATCCAACCATCGGACAGGGCCAAGTGATCGCCATCGACTATAGCTCCCCTAATATTGCTAAACCCTTTCACGGGGGACATTTGCGTGGAACGATTCTCGGAAACTTTGCCACAAGACTGCTGAGAGGATTCGGATATCAGGTCGTAGGCATCAACTATCTTGGCGATTGGGGCAAGCAGTACGGTACGTTTCATGGGTGAAAGGCGAAATTGATCCGATGGCCATTTTACAAACAATACACAATGACTAAGCAAGCTTGCTCTGTCCGCAAATATTAGGTCTAATGGCTGTGGGATTCGACCGCTATGGAGACAGGACAAAGCTGCATCGGGACCCCATCAAACATCTGTACGACGTCTATGTCAAGATCAACCGCGACATCACCGAAAACCCTGAACTCGACAAATTGGCTAACCAATACTTTAAGCAGATGGAAGACAATGAGCCCAAGGTCCTTTCCCTTTGGCAAGAATTTCGAGCCTTGTCGATCGATGTCTACAAAATCATGTACAAGCGGCTCGGAATCGAGTTTGATGTCTATTCTGGCGAATCCGAGAGTGCCAAATATGTGCCTCAGGCGTACGATCTTTTGCGGAAGAAAAATCTACTCAAGGAACAGGAGGATGGCGCCTGGGTCGTGGACCTCACAGAGCATGGATTGGGTGTTTGTGCACTTCGTAGAGCGGATGGAACGACCTTGTACCTGACTCGAGATGTAGGCGCATGCCTGGAACGAGTTGAGCGGTTCAAGTTTCATCGACACCTGTATATGATTGGAGACGACCAGAACCTGCATATGAAGCGGCTCTTCAAGATCATGGAATTAGCATTTGCGGAGGAGGCCGCAGCCGCAGAAGCTGCAGGGGCTTTGCCGCACTGGAGTCGTTCCCTACAACATATCTCGTTCGGAAAAGTTCAGGGCATGTCAACACGCAAGGGCAAGGCTGTGTTCCTGGAGGATATTCTCGACACGGCACAGAGCACTATGCTGGAAAAGATGAAGGAGAACGAGTCAAAGTTCGAAGCTGTCAAGGTGTCCTTCCAAGGAATTGCAGGCGAAACCAACAAGGACGAGGAGGATGGCGTAGCATTAGTGGCAGATCAGCTAGGTATCTCAGCAGTCGTCATCCAGGATTTCCAGGCACGCAGTTCGAAAGGCTATGAGTTCAGCTGGAAGCGCATGACTGAGTCGACAGGCAATACAGGCATCTATCTCCAATACGCACACGCGCGTCTCTGCGGGTAAGAGTCATTTCCTTATTTATCAACAATTTGCTACCACTTTAATATCTCAATTGCCCTAAAATTGAGGTACCTATTGCTTCATCTACCTATTTATTGAAAATAGAATCGAGAGCAAATCTGGCACGCCCCTCAATCCGGACGCCAACACCGACCTCCTCATAGAACCCGAGGCGTTTGATCTCGCGAACGCGATTTCGATGTACCCGGACATAACGCTTCAGACCCTTCAGACTTTTGAACCGTCCATGATCGTCAACTATCTCTTTAACTTGTCGCACGCGATCAGTTCTGCAAACCAGGTCCTGCAGGTCAAATCTGCAGTCGAGGCTGGGCAGCACGATCTGGCCGAGGCACGTATGTTGCTCCTCTGGGCTGCCCGTGTGACACTTGGTAACGGTATGCGTATCCTGGGATTAGAACCCTTGGAGCGGATGTGAAAGAAAGGCGCCCGATCACATTCGTACATGACAATTGCACTTGTAAAATAAAAATAGATAATTGTATCTTTGGGCATCTCTGCTGACGAAAATGACATTTTTCTATTTTATAAGTATGACTCTTTTGGAGAGAGGCGCCATTGTCATGGTTTTTTATTTTCATTCTTATTTAACAGGGCGTATATGTACATGTACTTCAACGATATGGGCTGTTGCCCAAAATGCTTCTCTCTTTGAAATTAGACTTTAGGGCTGTCTGGCTGGCTGACTGGCTGTGCGCCCTTGGCGGTCCTTTGGGTGGCCGAGTAGCGGAGCGAATGAACAGGTCCTTGGGAAAAAAAGATGAGCCCAGATTAATTAGATGGCCTGATGCACAGAAAGGACAAAAATGGAAGTTTGAAGCACGCGTGCTCTCAAGAAATAAGCACACATACGATGCCAAAAATGTCATCAAGCTACCTTTCGAAGTGTTTCTTGGTGTGCCACAAAGGAAAAGCCGCACAGCGAGACATAGGAGGTATAGAGAAGCAGAGTGAAAGCGGGTGTTTTCAGGGCAAGAGTCACTGACGTCTGGAGGCACTGCCACAACTAAGGGGCGTTTCGGGGGCCAATAGGGGTTGAGAGACATTTATAGTTTATTGCGAAATGAAACGCCAGGGGCAAGAAAGTCAAACAAACAAACTACCAAGTGCTGTTGGCCCGTATCTCGGAGACAAAGATACATGTCCTTCAGCACCATGGTCTTTGTGTTCAGTAAAATATACACATCAACGTGGGCTGCATGTTATTGCAATAAGAATAATCGGGAGCCAGGTACCTGTAAAAGATGGATGGTTATCATTATTCTGAATCGAGAAGTAAATTCAAGCACTCTTCGTTGAATGAGATAATATACTATACGTATTAGGTTGAGTGGCATTGCCTATTATGCACGCACGGATGCAATACAATTTGGACATGAGTGTGTCGGAACTCTCATCGCTAATCCGATTTAAACGAATGTCGTATCGTCCGTTGATAAGGCGGGATGGGAAACGTAGGATGTTGTACTGCACATGGATATCAGAGGGTCTTCGAAAATAGTATTCTGCTGTAGCCTCTGCCTCCTTCTACCGAGGGGCTACAGTATCTAAGAAAAGCCTCCATCCCTTTCTTCCCCCCTCTCAACTCCATCTGAGAAAACGAGGAAGAAAGAGCTCGGGGTCAGACTCTTTTGTCTTTAGGTCCTGACCATAGTGGCCTAGGAAAGAATGGGGGTGTGGTTGCACAAGCAATAGAAGATTGTGTGCAGCCAGTCGCTACGTGCACAATGTTTTTTTTCCCAGCAGCCGGCTCACTTTGGCGTTTATGCAAAATAATATATGGTTGTTCATGGAGGGTTACCACACATGGGAGTACAGATCGGATGCAGAGTTCGGCAAGCAGTTGGCACGCGCCTTGCGGTATTTTTTTTGGCTGTGGGAGTTCCTTATCTGGGATCTTATTGATGTTACACATATTCAACCAGCTGGATATTACTCAGGCAGTTCCCAACAGTCGAGGCACGTTTGACCATCTCGCATCGAGAGCTTCTCGATTGCTTTTTGCAGACATGGACATATTTGCTGTAGGTCTATGTTCATGCGGCAAGTGGACTAGTACAATAGGCAGGATGATTAGTGATAATCCTAGTCCAACGAGAGTGGGATGGGGAAGAAGGGCGTAGGGTAGATGTATAGTACACATGGAAAGTTTGATCCTCCGCCGAACATTTGTACTAGCCCGAGGTTCAGACATTAGACTACTGTGGGACGGAGTTGTATGCATTGAATTGATCCATGGGCTTGTTTATTATTCAATAGACCATACTTCTGAATGGGAAATTGGTTTTCAATCGGAGACACTTGATACACGGCCAAATTAACAAAATACGTATCCTTGCAGGAACCATTTAAATAGGCCCCCCCTCCCTCTTCTTTCTCCTCAGAATCCCACCCACTTTTTCACTTTTTTTCTCCTCCCTCTTTTTGTCGCTCTGTTTCCTCCCACAGCTGTGCAGCACAACTAAATAACACATTCACTATACACGCACATTCTTGTACTTGCACGCCAATTTCACACCGCCTGTCACATTAATTGTGCCTCAATATTTCCCGCCATGAAACACTCTACTCTTCTCTTGCTGTTGGCTTTCGTCAGTGCCTCAGTCATCAACTCCACTGAGGCTGCTCCATTCTCGCGCATCTTAGCCTCACACCAGCCCGCCACCGCCTCTCAGGAACCCCAACTCGATACCAAACAACAATCACAGCCCTCCCCCGCTGGACGTATCCGACTCAAGTCTCGGTCTCATCCTTCCTCTGCCTCCTCCCCTTCTCAGCCACATCACGTGCGCTCAACAAAGATCGACAAGCTCCTCTCAGAACCCGTAGTGGCCGCTTCATGGTACCACCGCACATCAACTCGCTCTCTCCGCCAGCTCACGGCCGCGAGCAATCTCCAGGGCCACGCTATTATGGATGAAGAGGACGACGATGCCGGAAACGAGCTGTTGGATACTGAAACCGAGGGATTGGTCCGCCCCGATGAGGACGATACTATCGAGGGTGAGATCTTGGAGGAGGAGGAAGACGACGAGGAGGACGATGGTGAGGACGAGGACCAGGAGGAGTCCCAGGTCCAAATTACTCTCGAGAAGAAGATCGCGGCTGTTGAGGAGAAGGAGGGTTGGTTGAGGGAGAACGGTCTCCAGGATGGGGATTTGGTCCCCGAAGAATTGGAGGATGAGGAGGATGAGGTTGAGGCGGTGGTGACGGCCTATGGTGGTCGCTCTGCCGCTGCCGACTTGGCTGCCGGCGGTATCTAAGGAGGAAGACTCTTTTTTTTTTCCCTTCACTTTTGAAGTCCTTGAGGACATCCACCCCACTCCCGGACCATTTGTAAATATCGAACTCGTGCATTTTACACTCACATGCGACATACACTATACACAGCATATACACGATAACCGTTAGGGGGAAGCAACCTTGTACAAACAGACTTCCTTCTCCGCACATATCTTTTTATTCACTTTGCCGCCACCATATAAACAATAGAGATTGAATAAATACATGTAAACAAGAAGCTGAAAAAAAGTCTTTGCCGCTGCGGAAAATCTGTACCTTTTTCCCCGGGTTGTTGTTGTTTGTTGTTGTTTTTAAAGGTGTCGTTCGTCGGTATGGGAACCCCGAGCGCAGAAGATGTAAACGCCGCTCCCCTGTTAGTCTACCGTGCACCCTCTGACACATGCTGCCGAAGCAGGAGGTGTTTTTTGCCCTAACCTGCAACACCATTCTTATTGAATCAAATTGCGCCCCGTGTATCTTTGCCACAATACCGGGTCTGTCACACTTTCTTTTTTCTTCCCAGCAATGTATGCAATCCTCTAATGGGTTATTACGCCCCTTTCGTCTTCATGCTCCTCTAACAAAGTGGTTTTATTGCCGTCTATCAATTGAACATCCATAGGGAACAGGATCCTCCTGAGCGGCAATAATCCGCTCCTTGGTTTCGTGGACTAACTGTCTCCAGAAATTCTACTGGACCAGCTTCTGAACCGAATGCGCCGCGTTCAAGAACGCAGCCTTGAACAACTCGCCCACATCTCTTAGCTGTCTCCTCTGCTTCCACCCGGCGAGAACCAACCCAGCCGCCGTGCCCAGCCCCACGGCCGCACCCGCGACGCCCAACCAGAACCCCTGTCGATGATGACGCCCATAGGCCTCCGAATACGGTCTGTTCGAGAAACTGACCATCGTGTACAACGGAATCACCCTTGTCGGGACCAACAAATGCAACCACGACTCGATCTTCTTGCGCATCAGGTACACGGGCGATGTGACCCCATGACGCATCTCCGTGTAGTTGTACAAGGCCAGTTCACAGATCGCCTTCAGGTCCTTCGCGCGTCGGTCCGTGTATGCCTGAAGTGCTTGCTCAAGGGATTTGTCTGAATCGCCTTGCTTGGTTGATTTCACGTTGAACTCTGAGAGAAGAGAGTCCAGGATGCGGACGTCCTCGAAGCCGCAGTTCATGCCTTGGCCATAGAACGGGACCATGCTGTGAGCAGCATCGCCGAGGATGATACAGCGGTCCTTGTAATGATATGGGTTCGCCTATATCGAAATCAGTTTGGTCCGCGGTAATGACGTGGACATGTATACGTGAGTAACCAATGTCAAGAGGAAAGCATTTAATATCAAAATGAGAGGTCTTCAAGTACAGCAGACATACCTTGACCATGACGAGTGAACCCTTGGGGTTCTTGAAGTATTCCTTAATCAAAAAGTCCTTGCCAATAAGAGTGACCGCATCCGTGAAGTACTCTTCAAAGAACGCCATCAGATCCTGTTCGTTGTGGATTGCTTCAAAGTTGGCAAATGGCATGAACAGCGTCACCGTAAACGATTTGTCCTATATCGATTGTCAAACATTTGAAAGCAAGAGACCAAATACAATGAAAACGAATGCTGTCAGAACTAGACCACTTTTGATTTGCAGAGAGATACACTGCGGACAAAACTCATGACCGAGGCAACTTACAGGATTCGGAAGCGCGATCATCATGAACTTGTGACGAGGCCAGATATGAAGGTGCTGGGAATCCATAGCGAACTCGGGCTTGCCATCGGCGCCGATCTTGGGAGGGATACTCAACTCGCAGTATCCGTGTGGGATGTATTCCTGTTCGAAATCCATTCTGCAGCCAAACGATTAAACATCAAGGCAAGAGTCATCAAGCAAAAAAAAACCTCAAACATTCTTTCCACATGCCCCGTTGTTCGTATGGGTTGCTTTTGCTCAAGTACCTGACATAGCGCATTAGTGAGTTCCTGACAGCGGAGTAAGCGCCATCACATCCGACGATCAAGTCTGCCTCTGCTCTGACAACTTCCTTTGTGATCCTACATATAGCCACACACGACAGAACAGAATATTCATATAACCAGTGTCAGCATAGGATGATGACGAGTTACCCATAATCGATCTGCAAGACTTGTTACGCATATAATGTAAAGTATAAAGGCTTTGGACATTACTTGTTCTCGAGCTCGAGGGTTCCTTTATCGAGATTTGCTCTCTTGAGCGCAAGGTTGAACGACACATGGACGTTGCTTAACGCCTCTGCGGCCGTGATCAAATCCTCGTTTAGTTTTGCGCGGTCCACAGAGTTGATACACTAAATATCAAGTAACAAAAAAAAAGTAAAGAGGCAAAGAAGCATGTCAGCACCCTTTCAATCCAATTCCGCACCCATCTACCATCTCCAGTGACGAATATTGTACGCTACCTCACCGTGTACACCATAATCCTGGCTAACAAGCTGTCCCTCCCTTCCGATGTGAAGCATACGGCCGCGCATCGGGAGACCGGACTTCATGATCAGCTCGTCCAAGGCCAATCCTGTGCCCTTCAACGCGGTCAATCCACGGACGGAGAGTGCCAAGTTGATGGATCGGTTCTGGATCTTGGCTTTGTTCTCGGGTAATCTCATATCTAACCATCGTTACCGATTCAAGAGACGTTGGATTAGCGGGCGAACCGACGAAACGATGGACGTGTTCGGAGATGTATGTGTGATAAAGACGCAAAACATGCGAGCCAGTGCATTGTGCATTGGGAGGGGGGGTGGACAAATTTAAATTCGTACCAGGACGGGTCTCGTACAGGTGGACGTTCCACCCACGGTTCGCAAAGTAGACAGCCATCAGCGCGCCAACGGGTCCTGCGCCGACAATCGCAACACTACGAGTTTTGTTCGTCATTTAAAATGGAATCGGGGTGAATGATGTGGAAAGTCGTTTAGGGATGTGGAGGGATGTGGAGGGATGAACTGAGGAAAATGGAATAGACGGACTCCACGACTGTGGGAAAAAGAAAAAAAAAAAAGAATGCTGACTACCTCTTAAGTTCACCGGGCCAATTTCTCGTGTGCTCCTACGCGAAGAAAGCGCGTCCATATTCGTGTTCCATGCATGTACTAGGAAGAAGAGGAGGCATACGGTTGCTGTTGTAGCATCGGGGTCCGTCCCATGGATCTTCGTCCTCTCAGCGCTATGATGCTGAAGAATAATGATTCAGTTGACACTACAGCACCTTTTCCAAGGCTAACGTTCATGTCCCAACAGCACAAAAGTCCAATTGGGCCAAGCAAGTGTCTTTGTTCTAATATGTTTTATTGCCAATCTGTCAAGATTATTATGTAAAAAGTAAAAAAAAAAAAGTGGAGACTGCTCGCTCCTAAAGTCGCGTCCAAAAGAAAGAAAAAAAAAACTTGCAATCCATAACTCCCGAGAAAGCCATTATCGTCTCTTCGATTTTTCACTTTGTCCAGAGCATGCTGAAGATAGTCCTGCAACTGTTATTCAGGTGCGCTATTTGTCGATTACTGTTTTTTTTTTTTTTTTTTTTTTTTACAGCCATTTGTCCTTGACCTCCTTGACCTTCTTTTGAATCTTCTCCGCATCGAGTTCGTTGATGTTCGTGGCCAGACCGATCACATGCGAGTTCCAGGTATCCTTGACCGAGGGCAAGATCCGGCTCTGGATGTACGTTGTCGACTCGTCAAGGAGCTCCTTGGGCTTGTCGAGGATCGAAGCAGTAGGATGTGATGTGAGGGCCTACAGTCATTAGAAGTTGCAAAAGGGCACAATTCAAGACGGGTTGTTAGTAAGGGAGACATTCATTGGCCTCTACGGCTTCTTGAGGAATCGCGCCTAGGGATATGAACAATGTGTTCAGGTACGCTAGGTCTCCTATCCCTGCCCCTGGCTCCTCCTGACCATCCAGGGTGCGATAAAATCCCCAACTGTTCCATATAAGACATGACAATCCAGAAATAAATATCAGCGTCCGAAGTTCAGTCGCCCTTACGTTGCTGATCTTGCTGCCGGGGACAGATCCGGTGAGACGGTTCTGGACGTCGGTCAACTGGTTCCTGACTTGATGCATGTCCGATGAGAGCTCTGCCCTGAAGTGGTAAAGAATCGCTCCCGAGACCAGAAGGCCGGCGAAGATGGTAGTAGGGCGGGACATGGTTATGGGATGGTATAAGAGAGCAAGACGAACGAGGAACGAGGGACGATTGTGTGCATCACCTCACAACGGTCCTGGTGGACTCTGGGACAACACTGGCCGCTCGGGAGGAAGCGTCCTGCAAGCCACACGGCTAGGCAGAGGACCTCTACAAAGTGAAATTATGATTTTCATGAGCTCCGATGGCCGCCACCAATTTCAAGGAGGCCTGCTTCTGGGTTCCTGGCGACCTGCGCAGGCATTGTTATTTATGAATATCCTTGGATCGTTATTATAGTCTCTATACTGCATTCTCGGAGCCTTCACCCTCCTCCATCTCCTTCTCGTCGTCCTGGTCACGTCCCTCATATTCCTTGTCCAGATCACCATTGACCTTGATGCTACGTTTGGCGAGCCACTTGTTACGGTACTTGTGAAGGAAATAAAGGATGAAATAGATCACGAAAAGTCCAGCCGCGACTATAAAGTAGTATGCCGCTGCTATCGGCCCCTGGCTCCAGTCCAAGAATGGGTACACCCTAGATGTGAAACGACAACGAGTAATAATTAAAATCCGTCCATTAGAATCACAATACGCTCTCCCTTTCTTTCCCAATTTTCTTCCAGAGGCACCATCGTGTTCTTACCAAGTACCCTGTCCTGCGAATACAAGAAATGTCATCAGCATATAAAGGATCATAACCGCTGCCACAAAGAGTGAATGCACCGGCAGCAAAAAGTGCCTGTTCAGAATCAACTCGACCACCGCTCCAAAGACTCCATTCAAGGCATGTACACTGATGTTCCGGAAGTACTCCATCCGTGTCCAACTGGCTCTGTCCCATGCAAGGTATGACCAAAAGACGATCGGAATAACCACTGCGTAGGTCACGACGGTTGAATAAAACAGCCAATGGGTGTAGCCCCACCAAGGCGATCCACTCCTGAGCCATTTTGCACGCTCGGATTCTGGTCGACGCAGGTATAATGTACTCCAAACAGTCGAAGCCTATTATATAGAAGAAAAGAATTGCGGCTGCGGGTTAGTATCGCTAGGGTATAGAGAGAATACTTCCAACAAAATGGAAGATTGAGGTGCGTAAACCCTATTAAGATGACCCGTTTCCACGGACGTGGTACGAAAAATTTTCAGCTGTGTCAGTCGACTGAGTTGGCAAAAAGGGCTTCTCACTAATAAACGGAAATGCTGATCCCTTTTTTTTCACAACGTTCTTCGTTGGCTACGAGATGTCACAAACAAGGTGCTTCTCAGATCACAAGAGAAAAAGCATCCATTGCAAATGAAGTGTCCCTGCTTCGCAAGGATGTCGATGATGCATGCGCAACAGGAAGTTCTCGAGTAAAAGAGATGAACAAAGATGTACGACTTACGAACAGGTATGCCATGAGGCCAAAGTAGGACAAGTGCGTAAAGTATTGGAAGTAATCCACCGCTGCTTTTGTGGTGGCCCAGACAATGATCGAGGTAACGAAGGTATAGAGGAACTCTATGCCTCGGACGATCGCAAGTGTCATTGGACTGACGAGGTGCGAGGTGACGATCCTGTTGGGTTGGAAGCGGTTCAGCTTCAGGGCTCGGACAAAGAATGAAGGCATGTTTACGAGGGCGAGGACCAAATTAGGCAGGCAGATTATTTTAATTCAGAAGAGGGTGAGGTAGAATGGTGCAAGGAATGAGGGATCGCACAGTTGTCGGTGATGAGAGGAATGGAGGGGGGATGAGTGCCGGCAACGAGTCCGGGAGCGACAGGCCGGGAGTGAGGAGTGGGTCCAGGGAGAGAGAGAAGAACAAGAGTTGCGACAGAATGGTGGTTGTCGCGGATCGTTTTTAGCTGTGAACAACTCGAACCATCCCCATTACCGCATTACCTCCATAGGCCGAGTGATCTACCCTCGGTCGCACCGTATGTCTGCAACTGACAACTGCCACAGCCTATCTGTCCACCATAGGCTCGTTACTATTGTCACGCATCCAGCCAGGATGTCTTCATGCTCTATCAGGATATTGTTCTCAGGCGTATTTCCCATGAACAGCACCACATCGGCCGTGATAACATCAAATGCCAGATTGCCATCCGATTTGAGACAATGAAAGACTAGGCCAATCGACACGCGTGATAACAGGATACATCAGGCAGACTACGACAAGTCCTCCGCAGCACAGGCTTCTTTCACACTCCACCTTGTTGCTGAAATAGTAACCAACGCCTTTATTTGATCTAGGCTGAGGTCTTCGTGTTCGCTCTCCATCCGTCTTCGCTTTGTACCCTTGGCTGCCTTATTCGAAGTGGCAGTGATAGGCTCAATATTCCTGAGAGCCAGGTCGTATACCCTTTGTTGCTGGTCCTCAGGATCCTCCCGCTCCGTGGGCTTCCAATGATGTTCTTTTGACTAGCTTCACAAGTCCAGGGCATGTCTTGAGCAGCCGACTCAGATGATTTGGAATTATGACGTGTGAGTTAAACAACATGAAGGTAGCCGTTTCGTAAAGCTGAAAATATCTGCGAATATGTCCATCCTCAGAAACATCATATCCGCTGCATACCGAAGACGATGAGGTGATCCTGTAAAACTTCCATCCTTGATTTTCTCCGTCATGATCCGGATCCATCTGTCCCTGGTCCTATTCTGGCTCGTTATATCTGCATCTTCAGCTGTTTCGACGATGATATCGGCTATGTGGCCTAAAGCTTCTCGTTCCATGAGCGGGCCTCTATCTGCGTTTTTTGTGCTCATTGGATCCGTACAATGGGACGTCATTACACCTGGCCACCAGGCTCACCGGGGCCTATGGTCTCTTGAATGCACGAAGGACAAGTACTGAGCCTCGCATGGTATCATATGGAGCCGGCTACAGCAACCGTGCAGTGCATATGTAACATCCGGATTTGCTCCTGTATAGCTGGTACTGGACGGCCCATGTCATTGAAAAACGACACGGAGAGGAGTAGCTGTGTTCATTAATGAAAATATAGGCCAATGCGTACATAGGCCAGGGTTATGAAAAGAAAGAATCAGACTCGTTAGATACAAGACGGTATGCTAGATCGACATGAAGAAGCACGTACCAACAATGAAAGTAGACAAAGAATACTCCAACTTTTAGAACTAAAAACTTTAGGTGTATTCTGTTTACAGCCGTCCAGCAGAGTAGGGGGACCGCAAATAAGGACGGACAGAAAAAAGAGGATGGGGAGTGAGCCTATCAGTTGTTCAGCAATGAGGATGGGAAGTAATTGAAGACGATCCCTCGCCGATATCTGGATGCTTTTTTTCCGGATCAGAAACTGATGTCTTGTACCATCTTGATGAGACGAAGTCTGTTGCATAAACAGGAAAACACGATGACGCCGGATCGTAGTTCGCGGTCGAAGAGGTGAGTCTGTGAAGAAGAGGGAGGTAAGGGTGTGCCAGGCACAGGACAAACAGTTGGTCCCTTAACCCGTTTGATGGCCTGCGATATGCACTGACCCCTCCACCTACCTCCCAAGGCTTGTATGGCATGATTACACAAAGAGCAGCGAGGAAAGATATAGCTGAAAAAGGTCCGTCGGTTTTATTCAGGCTTGTCTGTACAAACAGCTTGCCGATAGCAATCTGTTAAAAATGGTGTAAAAGGCGCATGATAAGAGTGTGTACAAATATAACAGCTACAAGTCCCTGCAGGCGAATAAAAAAAAGCGAAACCAACTGCCCAAAGTAGTTGAAAGAAAGAAAGAAGGAAAAAAAAACAATATCCAAGAGTCCGAACAAAGCTCTCTGCTTCTCTATCCGTTCGCCGATACACTTGGACTTCTTCCTCCCCTTCCTTCCTTCATCGACGCTAGTAAATCCCAATTCGCTCGACCTTCCGTTCAGTCCTTTGCTTGAACAACCGCAGTCGAATACTTGCTGACCCCCTTCGGGTTCTCGTACACCCTAGCCTTGCCTTGCTTAGGCGCCGATAGTGGCCGCGGCAGCGGTGGGGACGGCGTTGCCGGTCTTGCAGCTCTTGCACGAGTTTCCTTCACGCGCACCCTTGGTGATGACAATACACTTCTCGCAGACGGGGGCCTCGCACGTGTCACACTTCATGAGGTGTTCGCGGTCACTTTCGCACTTTTCGCAAATGGGTCCACAGCAGTACTCCTCGCGGCAGCTGTCGCACACGACGTTGGGGCAGCTAAAAAAAAGGGAGTGCACGTTCATATTAGCATGAATAGAAAACTTTAGTCTAGATGGGCGTTTAGACGACACAATGGTAGAGAGCAGTTATGCAAACATCGTGTGGGAGATTAATGCAAGAAAGAGCAGAGCAGACCCACGAGACCACACTGTTTGTGGGGTAAACCAAAACTGTATTCTCTTATGGATAGGAAATAGCACCCACGCGTATTAACCCGCAGACTAGGTGCCCTGCCTGCCAAGTCCACGCTGACAAGTCATCCTTGGTCCAAGACCCGCCTACCCTTGCTTGTTGTTACGGCGAATGAAGTGGAAACAAAATACCAGCCAGCGTCGAGTCCAAGCGGCTCAGGACACAGAGTAAAACAGAGTAAAGGTAACTCGAGAGAACAAAAAAGAAAAAAAAAGGGGGAAAAAAATAGACGCGCATAGACGGACACTTACAAGCGGCAGGCTTCCTTTTCGCCCATGGCGTGACGCCCGCAGGCGCAGTTCTGCTTCGGGTTGACGGTGGCAGCGGTCTTCTTACCCATAATGGAAATAAAGAGTGGTAATAGGAGGAGGGAAGGAAAGGCGGTGGGGGTTGAGTGGGCAGAGAAGGGGGGGAGTCTATGGGAACAGGGAAAAGGAAGGGGTGGAGTTGAAGAGAAAAGAAGAAGAGGAGGCGAGAGGAAAACGCGGCAGGTTATAAAGGAAGGGGGGAAAGGTCATGCGACGCTTCCTCCTGCCAACGTCGGCAGCGCACAGAGCGCCCTCTCAGGCCCAGCATCGTCAACAAGACAGCAACACCGTTTGCCGCTTATGCACAACTGCCCCTGATGCTCGACTGCCAACAACCCCCCTCCACATGCATTGCCCCACACAGCTTCCTGCGACGGTGACAGCCCAGTGCACCCTCCGCTCACCTAGACGGACCCTGTTGATTTTTCTTAATAAAGTCGTTGCAGTGGCAGCACACCGCCTTACCCGGCCACATCACCCATGGCCCTTGCAACCAATGACTTGCTTCCCCACCCCCCACACCACCGACTGAAACCCTGTGTCCCTTTCAGGTATTCTAATTTCCAGGAGGAAGCGCCGAAAATGATACAAACAAACAACACGCGTCAAGTATTGTTGTCCATCGTTTACGCGTCGCAGCGGCCTCTTCATTCTCGAAGTTGTTGACACTGAACGCGTTTTTCTTGAAAATAAATAAATAATGAATTATAGAATAAAATGGCTTTATTGATGGACTCTCCTCGTATCTACAGATACACGCACCAGCTGGAACAGTGTGTTCACGAAGGAGGCGATGGAGCTGGTCGGCATAGATTGAACGACATCATCATGTCGCCAGCACCGAATAGGGTTTCGGATGCGGCAACGACTGGCGAATACTCTGAAAGTACTTGGTTCGCTTGATTTACTTGAGTTGAAAAACCAGAGGAATGGCGCGTCTACAGAACCTTATTTCTGCCATAGCGCAGACAGGAGTCACGTTTGTCTACTATTTTCTGACATAGAAAAAAGCGCAGTATGCTGACTCTTAGCTAAGCTTCAAGTGAGTGTGAAAGAACGATAGACAAGAAAGACACCGTCATTGTCGAGGTGGCGTGCAGCAGAGGCAGCTGGGAAGTAACGGAGTGCCATGGTATTCTTCTTTATAGCCATAATGCAATTGAATCTACGCGGTTTATAGTCTAGACGAACGCTCAGTTTCTCATTGCTTTCCTCAATATGCAGATACACCCGGCCATGTTCTGCTTGATGGATTCGAAGGTAAAACAGATCTTCACTTGCTCAGCAGGCTCTTCGCATAGATGGTGACCTCGCCATCGGGTTCGATATAGTCCACGTGAGGGTGGACACTCAGGATCTGGATAGAAGCATCGGGAACCTCAGCGGCAAATCCCAACAGAGCTGTCGTGTATCTCTGGGTGATCTTGCCTCCTACGAATACAGTCCCATAGCAAGGATGAAGCAGCAGGTTAGTCAAGCTAAAGATAGCGGGGACATCTTGTGCCTCCCATAGTTCAAAAAACGTTGGTAAGACCCAGCAATGGCGTGAGGGCTCGCGCATTTTGCGCGTTTTCTCACGTCACACTAACATATTTGGTCCACATGGTACCGCCTCTCCCACGCCATTAACGACCGTAACAAGGATCTTCGTTTCACTCCCCAAAGCCCATATTCATAACGATAGCGAATAAACGACATACCCTTGGACTCAACGTCCTTTACAGCAGTGTCAATCTCAGAGGCAGGGGTATTCTCCTTGAAGGCGACAATAACCTTATTCACACCGTGGGCTTGAACGTTGGCTACGGACGTGTGGGAGGTAGTAGAAAGAAATGAGCAGCGGATAATGTTATTTGCTGTTTCTTGGCATAGTATGACCATGGGCATGATATGCGTTCAAGACAAGAGGTGTTCAAAGAGAAGCGCAGAGAAAACTGCTTCGAGTCCGGGGGTTATGCATTACATGCAAACTGCCTGGCTCTGAATCTCAAGACAGACAATGGTTTCCACTTACAGGACATGTTGATGGTGAAGTTTTGGGTTAATGAAAGAGAGAAGAAAAAAAAAGTTGGAATGAATGAAGAAAGAATGGGTTTCCCGTACCCGCGACTTTAAGAAGCACTACTAGGTCACGCGATTCTAGCAGCGACGCGTCGTCGTGTTGAGGTTTCCCAGTGCGTAGGGCTTGGATACCTTTGAGGGTCACCTGCAATTGTGTTAGTACACCTCTTACTCGTCTGTTTCACGATATCCACAATGGATGCTGTGCAGAGGGCAGTTGCTAAATTGGTGGCGTTAAATATCAGGTAGCCCTCCCGGTTTCTCGGTTGCACTTTCCCATGTGGGTCCACATTCCGTCTGGATTGCGCTCACAAAGCACGTCTGCGTTCCCACAACGACCAATTCACACACTAGCCATTGCACCTCGCAGGCTCTAAAAAAAGGGTGTTTTTGGAAGGGCGACACTCTGGTGCACATGCAGATCCAAAGCACGAATGCCGAACGCACCGTCAACAAAGACGCATGCCCCGCCTTTTTATTTATTTTTCAGCGCACCAAATAACCATGACAAGGACCAAAGTATCGATTTCTTTGTCATTGTATTCTTTGGCTAAAGGCAACGACTTCGGTATCTCTCGTTGCTGCTGACTCCCTTTATTTGTTGCGTGAAGAGAGACACCCGTTTCCGTTGGTAGTGGTGGGACAATCGTACTTGCACTATCTGTAAATATTTTGTATTCATGAATAAAAAAAAAAAAAAAAAAAAAAGACGAGAGCCGCGAAGGATGTGAGCCTTGAGAATATATTTCTTTATGACGGGTTCTCAATTCCTGTGTGCATGGCCCATCCTCCAGCTAAAGTGTGCAACGATGGCCCACGACGTAGCCTGCAGACTAGGGCGAGGGATATGTGTATGCATGCGTCTGCGGTGTCAGAGGAGGTTGCGTGTGGATAGATCGAGCACCGACGGATGCCTCTCGTCCAATGGTTATTATTGTGAGGACGGGACGGATGTTGCTGAGTGATCGATGAGAGCACAGTAGGTGCATCTCTGTTCTCGATAACGGCAGTCTGTGTCCGTATGAGCAGGAGCGGAGGGAATCGAGTATAGGTACGGGGCTCAGGCACACTCGCACGACCACTCGATTCTTCATCCTGGTCCATGGGTTCATCCTTCCCCCTTCTCCTCATCCGCATCCTCCTCTGATCGGGTCCCACCCTTTCTCCCTCTCTCCTCCTCTGCTGCTGCCTCCAGTTCTCCTCAGGCAGTCCTTGCATGAAAAAAAAAAGGAATCGCTATCTCATCTCAAAAACGATTACCCTACTACAAACATACTGCCCCCCACAACCTAACGCACCCTTCCAGGCACCGGAGCCTCTCACTCTAATTTTTACACTTCCTTGGCGATTCTCGTCCTCCACGACCCCTTTTACGGTTCCCCCTTTGTAACCATCCTCCATATCCCACTCTCACAGACCCGCCACTGGTGCTGTACCGCTACAGAACTTATTTCAGGAACAGAGCGCATAGATAGCAAGCGCGCCGAGGCCCATCCTTTCCTTAATTCTTGACTCCAGCATCTTTCCCAATTGCCCTCTTTCTTTTTTTTACCCTATTCTGTGCTCTTCCTTCCTCGTACCATCGTACGCGTCCATTCAGCAAAAGTCGCCATTATCAATCCCATGGTCATCAAACCGGACGCTTTTTCACGGTCGCTGTAGCTGAAGGTGTCCTGCCAAATTTATCACTAATGACTCGACTATGTAAGTGGTTTGCTGTGCTCCATGCAGCCGGCCTCAAAGCAGCCTCATCTCCAGCTGCAGAATTATCATTGTCCTTCTACGACTCATGTTTTTATTCCTCAATGTGTGGATCTTGCTAACGGCGTTCTCTTCTAATATCTTGCAGTTTTAGAGCAGAATCCTCCAACGGACGCGATTCAGGCCTCCGTTGTCAGCTTTATAGTGCTGGTACGTGCGCGCCCTGCCTTGATCTTTCTCGTCTCGCCCAATATGCGCACCCTCATGCTCTCCTACCCTTACTTTTCTTCAATGCCACCAGCAGCATTGTATTGTGCATGCTATCGATCATCAATTGCCTTTCTTGCTTCCTCTATCCCTCAGTCCGACCGACATATCTGTTTCTGGATACCTTCGCACCTATTTACATACTTTTGGGGTTTCCTTCGAATGGGCTGTGGTAATGGCGCTAACAGTAAATGCTCTCTTTTCTTCTCGCTACTTCTTGTATTCGCGGTGAACCCCTTTTTTAAAAAAAAAAATCGCCTGCTGTGCTGGTCGCTTGGGTGCTTTGCTCAACTGATTGGCGATGCTCCATCTTTGCCGCTCGCGACTCAACTCGGACCTCTTCTCCTTGCGCTCCACCTCGACTATCAACTACTTGTTCCGCGGTCATGATATCACATACGATGTTTGTGCTACATTTTACGCCTGCCATCCCGCTGGTCTAGATCTTTATCGTCGCACGAGTGCTCACAACGCGCGGCTTCGCAGCGCTGAAGCCTGGATTCAACACTAGGGCCATCGTCACCTGGCTCGCCTGCACATCTTTATCACTGCTAGTAGTCTACAGCGCACTGACCGCGCGTATCAAATACAGGCAATCCATGGCGGGGGTGTATACAGCCCCTACCATGTACCAAACACCATCAACCCCCTTCACTTTCCCCCTCAATATCACTCTAAAGGACCTAGGCGAAAATCCAAATTGGAGCATGGATGAAGTACCCTCCCCACCCGCGGGTGAGCAGCTTTATTACGTCCTCAGCATGAAGCCGCTCTCACTTTACTCCAAACCAGACCAGCATTTCGTGTTTGTAGTGAGAATGGTCCTCAAACTGTCTCAGTCCGGCCTAATGGCCTGTCTCTTGCTATTGAACACGTATTGGTGCCGCCATGTAGAGGCTCTGGTGGATGAGGGGGACTTTATGTCTAAGTCAGAGATGTACCTTTATTACGTTCTGGCCGGCCTCGCACTGGTCCTTCCTATGAGCACACTGCTCGGAATAGGCTTTGGTCTCCATGACTGGAAACGGGCCAATCGAATCTCGGATTTGTGTCTATTACTTCTTGGACTCTCCATCCTTGTCGGCTACGTGTTGACGTGTAGACGGCTACGGGCTCTCGAACGCGACTCCAGGAACGTCAACGGAGACGAAACCTCGACAACCCTCCAGCTGGCGTACTACATCTACTGCGTGTACTGGCTCCTCGGCAGCCTGATCTCCGTCATTATCCTCGGCTTACTATACGAGTTCCCAGCGGTGTTCCCAGACCCGAATCCTGTCTTGGCCCAGGCCATCAATGACCTTGAGGGCGCACTCTGGAGCACACTTATCATCTTGGCCTATCCGGCAGCAATGTTCTTACTCTATCCCTCTGTCGACGTCCTAACCAAGCCTGAGAATGACCCCGGCTCCCGGTTCCAGAAACGTGTGCGCCAGACAGTCAAGGATACGAAACGCATCCGCGAAAGTCTATATCTGGAGAGCGATTCCATGAACGGCATTGATAGCAGCCGCCTCTCGAGCCTGCATGGCCTTACGTCTTATCCCAACCTCACCCACCGTACATCCGACAATGGCCAGCCTCAAACGCCACAACCAAACCGACTCAGCTACTACGAGCCTATGAAGAGAGAGCGCATGAATTCGATCACGGCGATGGTCAATGAGATGCAGTTGATCGTAGAGGAAGAAGGAAGTGGATCTATTATGATGGTCAGGACACCAGGATTATTATCGAGCGTAAGTGATGCATCCGCTGACCCAAAGGGCAAGTCATCGATCGAGAAGACGAGGTGCACAGATCAGGATGAACGCAGAGTAGCTGCAGGGACAGATGCTAATCGCAAGATGGACACCGCTATTGCTGGACAAAATGCGAGTAGCCCCGGTCAATATTATATGGATAGCAAGGATGTGGAGGTCATGAAGGATTGGCTGGCTCGGAGCGAGAGTATGGACCGGGATGGACTTATCGCGGGACTGGAGCAAACCATCCCTCCGGACCAACTCTCTTGGAACAAAGCGCCAATGACATCTTCAGCAACAACATCACCACTTGCATCCGACGATCTCACGACGCTAGTTCACCCAGATCTTAACCCACTAGGAACACCTGCGACCTCAGCCTCCAAGCCATTGGAAACTGTCAGCACAAAGACAACAACAACGGCATCTACTCCCAGATCCGCCGCAGCGCCTCTCGCGGGCATTCTTAAGACAAGGAGCAGCACTCAGAACCCATTTGAGCAAGGATCAGTATCAAATATTCCACCTGCTATTGGGGCCCGGACGAGTTCCATCCAAGGTTTGCAGGGCACTGTGGGGCCGAGGAGGAGTAGCGAGTATGGTCAGGTCAAGCGGAGGGCATCCGGTTCTTCCAAACCCACTCTTCCGATATCTACATCCACGCCCAACCTCAGTGCGGATGCGCCGCTGCTTTCGCCAACATCTCAACAAAGGCGGTCTAATGTAACTACGAGGGTCGATGCAGGAGCGTTGGCATTAGCAGCCCAACAGCAACACAGTCAGTTGCAGCCACATCGGATCTCAAAGCCGCGCACATCGAGGGACGGGACTGAAGTCGATTACTTTGGCCTAAGGAAGTCCTCGTTTGAGAATGCGCCACCCATGACACCATCACCATTACCCTATGAGCCTCAGGCACAAGGGATACAGGCGATCGAGTTAAACATGTCACCTACAATGACAGGATTCTTGCTAGCAGATCCCTATCCTTCTGCCGGTTCGCGCTACCTTGATGGCGAGGGACATCAGGAACCTGGATCGGCGGATGGGCAGAGCGAAGCGGGCAGTGATCTACACAGTCGGAGGAGCGGAAGCACAGGAAGCTCGAAAAAGTACAAGGCGCCACCGCCTCCCATCCCTACTGAAGCAAGGAATGCAATGGGCGCTGAAGGTGTCGGTGCAAGTATGCCGACTACCCCTACAACTCCAACAACGCCTCCAGGAGTGCGACCAAGACGATCGATGGACACGGTGATGGACCCACAGTTTCTGGCGATGGCAAACAAGATGTATGAGGACCACGTCGTGCCCCTTCATATTATGCGTGCAGCCGCTGCCCTAAGCTCGACGGCAACAACATCGGTTGGCGGAGCTTCTCCGGCATCTATTGCCCCGCCATCAAAGGTATAGCTCAATCAAATAATATCGTTTCAGCATGCCAATGTGCCAATGGATGGATGTTTACTAATACGTATTTGTTGTCCTTTGCTGTGTAGGACCCTCCTGCTACGCCAACCAAGCACACCACACCGCCTACAGTACCAACCCCGGCATCGCCAGTGCGTAGTGTCTATGATGCGCAGCCAATTTTATCGCCGCGTCTGCCGCCCGCTGCAGCTCGACAGCAGCCCCAGCAACCGACTCAGCATCAAGAACCGGGATCTCTGCTGCAGCAGGTCATGACGCCTCCAGCCAAGAGCCCCTATCGGGTTCGCGAATCCTTCGAGTCGAGGATTGTCCAGGGTGGCCCCTCAACCCCTGGCCCGTATGCTCCTGGCCAGGGCCCTGTAACACCCCCCTCACCGGCATCCACGGCATCGCTCACAATTGCGTCAACCACAACCTTGCCTCGACCTTTGACGCCAGCCTGGTATGAGACCAAGACCAACTTCGCGTCGACCAACGATGTTCTAAATCACTACAATGCCGTGATGCGCGGTGGAAGCTATCATATGAAGCAACAACAGCTGCAGGATGCACAAAATGTCCAGCAACAACAGCAACAACAGCAACAACAGCAGCAACAACAGCAACAACAGCAACAACAGCAACAGCAACAGCAACAACAGCAACAACAGCAACAACAGCAACAACAGCAACAACAGCAACAACAGCAACAACAGCAGCCCGTTCAAGGAGGCAACCTACAGCATTACTATCAGGAGAATAAAGTTGGACCACTCGACGACATCGTTCCAGTTGCTCCTTCATACAACCAGCAGCAGCTCTCTTCGCAACCCATCCCTTCCGCTGCGCCGCCACAACAGCAGCAGCAGCAGGCTGGCCGTTCATCCGAGGCTTACAGCTTGCAACCGCGGATGGGCTCTGCAGATAGTTTTGGTGTGGTCCGACAACGTTCATCGTCAACTGGGAAGAATGATGTCAACCGACCGATCGCCGCGCGGCTGGAGCTTCAAGATGATGTCCAGCGTCACCAGCATCTTTCACAACAAGCGGTCCCCCAGCTCGATCGTCACTCGTTTATGATGCCATCGGAGTCCCTCTCGACCTACAGCACATGGACGGGCGATCTTTCGGACGTGACCAACACTTCCGGCGAGGTTTCTGTTGGGGCGTTCGTGGATCGTAAACCTATGGCTTCAAAGCATCAACAACAGCAACATCGACGCAAGAGCGGTGAAAAAATAACAAACTCATCGTTATCATTGTCCTCACAGATCGGCATGCATCATAGTGGAGACGAACATGACAAGGATAGGGATGTGAGGAAGAGCCAGTCTAGTGGATACTCTATGGGTTCTTCTTTTGGTGCGGGCTCGTCTTCAAGACAGTCCGGGGGTGCGTACTCCAATTATTCGAACAATTCTGGATCCATCGTTGTGTCAGCATCGCTGTCATCCGTCGGCCGCCCAGGTAGTGGCAGCGGCAGTGGCTCGTCACCTGCAGGGTCGGCCCCGAAACATCATGGTAACACGTCCAAGAAGCGATCAAGCCAGAACCAGGGTAACTCAGGAGGTGGAGGCGGCAGCTTCACTGGAGCCGGTGGAAATGGTGGTGGCATGGCGAAGGAAGCGCCGTTGGCGACGACCTCACTTATGAACAGCATGCGGCTGAGCGCCTTTGGACCTGGAGAGGATGAGGTGGATATCCCTGCGGCTCATGACCAGCCTTCAGCAAGTCAATCAACAGCAGGCGGGGCTGGCAGTAACAAAGAGTTTTATCGAGAGGACGTGGATCCGCAAACGTCCCAGGAGTTAGAACGCAAGGTCCAGCAAGAGTGGATGGAACGCCGTGCGGCTGTTAAGAAGGATTCAAAGAACCGGCTGGAGCAGCTCCATAAACAGCAGCAGACTTTGAACGAGCAGGAGCGTCTCTCACAAGAGCAACAGCAGCAACAGCAGAAGCAACAGCAAGACCTACAGCAGCAGCAACAACGCCAACGAGAACGCCAGCAACGGTATTTGCAGCTCCAGGGCGAGCAAAGCCAACAAGACATCTCAGAGGAGCCATATACCCTGAATAGTGTGTATTTCAAGTCCACCGCAGACCTTCTCGATGCTGCTGCTCCGGCTTCCAGCACGTCAGAGCAACCGAGCAGCTCGTATGCGTTCTCGAGAGACGACTCGACAGGCATGGCTGTACCATCGCCCTCAGCAACTGTGACATCGCCGGGCGAGCACTCTATCTCCACGCCGTCCTCGATGGCAACCGTAGGAGCCACCGAGCGGGCCTCCCCATCACCAAGTGCCCAGTTCATCTACGCCTCAAGTCCCACTTCTCGGCCGTACGAGCCAATATCTTCGCCCACGCTTCCGTCCCATTCCGCGGCACGTAGGATACAGGAACGCACTGTGCAGGATGCGGACGATGAAGAGCCCAACCCTCTCATCCAATCCTCCTCGTCCTATGCACAGCACCGCCAGAACCAGAGTCAACATGTGCTGCAGAAGAACGCTCCGACGTTGTTGCACTATGATTCTGTGGACTCAATCGCGACTGTACGCGCTCACCCTTACCAACACCCGTCCGCACCATCGTCACCGCAACCACCGCGATCCTCACCTTCAACACCGACGTCCCCGTCGCCCATGTCGCAGCGACCGCTTTACGCGCAGTACCAGCAAGCGCACCAGATTCATTATCGGCCGCAGTCGCGTCAACAATCGCCGCCACAGTCTCCAGGGGCATCAATGACTGTCGTCGGCCCATCACAATACCGGATCATTCCTGAGGATGTGAGTAACAGAGAAGGTGGTAGTGATTTAGAGGCGGCTAATAGGAGTCTTAGTCCGGTCCAGAGGACGAGCAGTCGATTGACGAACTTGACCAGCGGCGAGTCAGAGTACCAATGGGGGAGCGCAGAACTGAATCATCATCGGTGGGAGATGTTGGAGACGTCTTCGAAAAACAACTGAAAGGAAAACGACCTGAGGCAACTAGACGTGCTTCCCTTTTCAGCCAGGATAGGATGAGGTGTTGTTGATAACCTCCACCTCTTTCCGCGTCTGGTTTCTGTTCATGCCCTTTGCTTAATGTTGTATACTTATACCCCCCCCCCCCCCCCCTCTTCCTCCCTCCCTTCTCCCTCATCTTAATGCAATCATATGCTGTTGTTTTTTCTGCACTATATCATCGTATTATTTCTATATATACATCACTTTCTTCATACGCCTAATTTACACCAATTCTCCCTGCCATCTCCAATTCGCGGAAAGGGAATAAAGACAAACAATTGTGATATATTAGAACGTTTTAAAGTGTGTGTATGTGCCCAATGGAGTGGAATGAAAATCGTTTGCCTATAGCTGTAGAGACGACATTTTGCTTACATGCAGCATTGTATAGAAGCACACGCTCCACATGAAAAGAATCATTCTTTTCATCTTTGTTTTTTTTGTTTTGTTTTGTTTTTGAGCACCGATCGAATCCATTCAGATTTTTTTGAGCAAATGCGCTGTGCAACCAGTTCTTTTCCTTGTCGGACAGGTTAGTCATGATAGGTAAGTAATGGATGTCTTTTTGCGATGGATCATTGTGTTCTTTTTTGAAGAAGAAGAAGAAGAAGAAGCTCCGTTGGAGTCTAATCATGACCCTTGAAAAAAAAATTGACGTGAGATCAAGAAACCGCGCGAACCTCCCCATCCCTTCCTCTTACGCATCAAAACGCGAATTAACTTTATTTGTTTTAAATTTTTCATGCCGATCAGCTCCCCCAATTGGCCTCATGCCCTGAACGGAACTGAACGAAACTTTTGCGGAGAGAAAAAAAAAAAGGTCCCCTCAGTCAAGGACAGTGTACCAGCATGCGATGCGTGTGAAAATACATATGCTGACAGATGCAAATGAGCGGCGGTGCGGTTTCAACTCAAACCTTTGTTCAGTAGCATGCTCATTCAGTCGAGGGAAGGCACACGCGTCTTTTTCATAGAAAAAACAACAATAACAACAAAAACAACAACAACACAATAACACATCAACAACAGCGATTACTAGCGACAACATGAGAGCCACGCTATTTTTTTTCCTTCGTCATGGTGACAGCATTTCTCTCAACAACAATAACATAAATGACAAACAACAAACAATAGGATAGACTACTATCACGCTGATGGAGAGAGTCGAAGTTTTGAGCGAACAGAGCGAGAAGAGAAAGAGAGAGTTTATTTTGTGTTCGAAAAAGACGGAACTATTTCCGATGGTCGCACGAATTGCACACAAAAAAAATAGGTGGGTGGAAGGGGTGCCTCCCCGCACACAAAATGTAGGTCCAAAACATTACAAAGGCTGGTAGTCTAGTTTATTGAGAAAATAGAGTGATGGTCAGCATGAGAGCATTGGGTCAATGAGGAGGGGTGAGAGAAAGATGGGAAAAAGAGCGGAACAGAGGAACAGGATTTCTTTAAGGCTTACAAAGACACAGAGGGCAAGTAAGTAGGTGTGGACTAAGCCCAGAAATCATCCACAAGGTGCGGACGAAACATAAACAGCAACAGCAACTAGTAGAAGGCAAGAAAAGGGGTGAGGCGGAAAAAAGAATTTTTTGCGCCGACGGATAATCCCAAGCCCTTCTTAAAATGTTGGAATAGGAACCATGTGGACTTCAAGGTTCGGACGCAGCAGGAGTCGAAATTCAGAGATGGAAGGGCAGGGCTGTGTGCCAGAAGCGGTATAAAATGCATTGAAAGGGCGCAATGCAGCAATGCAACAATGCAGGAGGTTTTTCTCAGGGCTGTTGTCAAGGTTGCGATGGGACAATGGTGTCCACCGTTGATGTCCTTATGGAAAATTAATCTAAAGAAGGACCCGTTTGCAGATCTTGAAGACAACAGAGCCTTTGGAATCAACTCACGGGTACCTGAGTTTCTGCCGCGAGACCGAGGCCCCTGGTATTATCATCACTGCCAATTGGCCGGTCTTGGTCACTTTCCCCGGTGTTAAACAAACTGTAACAAGGCTTTCTTCCATTCATTGTTCCTAGTGATAGCGCACAACTGAGCAGGGTGGTGTTTGCTGCTCTCAATTGTTTGTTTCCTTCATCTCTTCTCTCTTTCTCTTCCCTACGCCTTTGTACTCTCTATTTCCTCTCTCGCTCCCAAAAACACAAAACAAGAACATCTACAGTACCTATCCCTTCTGCCAATTCGCCGCCTCTCGTCGACTCTCTTCTTTGTGCTCTCGTAGCTCCTCATTCCTCCACCGTCTTCTCATTCCTCCTCATTCGACCCAACTCCACCTCCCCCACTTTTCATCTCGGGGGGCAGCTAAGATAGAAGAAAGTCGATGGGAAAGAGAAGGCTTCTTACTCAGGAACACTTGCACCTCCTCAAATATCTCAATTGCATTCCCCTACTTTCATAACTTAAAAAAAATATCCCGCCATGGCTACCACTATCAAACCTATAATAACAACAACTACACACCCACCGGTAGTGACAACCAAACCTATAACTTCAGTCGCACCAACGACAACTGCTCTAACGACAGGCATAAGGACGACGACCGTAGCCCTATCCACAACGTCAATATCTCGCGCTGCATCCACCACAACTATCGCCACAACAACATCGGCCAAAACCACCACAACTGCTGTGCAGTCCATCGGAGCTGGGAACACGACCAGTGGAGGCAATGGTATGAGTGGCGGCGCGATCGCAGGGATGATCGCGGGCGTGATCGTCATCCTGGTCGGGTCTGTGGTGGGCGGGTTCTTGTTGCTGAAGCAGCGTCGCAAGCGCATGATGCTCGTAGGCAGAAACGCGCGCAGCTACAATGGATACCCGGAACCGGACCTCGACAGACCCCCTATGGCGGCATACAAGCGCGAGGGCCGACCGAACAGTGGTTTTGGTCAAAGTACACATGTCCAGAGCGGCATTTACGACGACAAGAGCCACCATGCCGCAGCTGCTGGAATTGGTGGAGCGAAAATGCCACCGGGCGGATACAATGGTGGGCACGGGTTAGGAAGCGGATTTGAGGGCCCATACACGCAACTGAACAATAGCACGGATGTTGCAACCGGCAGTCGTGGTGACGACGTGATCCTGGCTCGGTCGGCTGGTACCATGGAGCGCGACAGCAGGGTGGTAAGCGTAGAGCTCGATCTACAGCAACTGGAGCGTGAGCGACAGCTGGACCTTGAACAGCAAGAACGGCTATTGAGAATGGCTGATGGAGAGTCATACCCTTCCTCCCCCTCCGCTTTCCAAGTACCCCTGCCCTCTTCTCCATCGTCCTCTAGCTCTCCGACATCACCCCGTGGGCCATACGCATCCCAGAGCCTGATGCCGGGCTCTGCTACTAATCTCCAGCATCGAGGAAGCGGCGTTTATAATTACAATATGAACCATGGTGGAGATGCACAGCCTCATCTCCAGCGTCCCCTGTCTGAGTACCAGCAACAGCCATATCAGTCGCCATATGATCCTCGTGGCGGATATGGTTCATATCCTCAAGGCAGCGGCCCCATGCCCATGCGTCCATACTCCCAGCAGTTCCCCCCTCCACAGCATCCACAGCATCCGCAGCATATTCCTTACCCTTTTCCTCTCAGACCGACTTCAGCCGTCGTACCTCGGCCAAGTACACCTATGAATCCCATGGTACCCCTGCGGCCATCTGCCACGCCATGTCAGAAGCAAGAGTACGAAGAGGTCACCACTATGTCCAATATATCACATATGTCTGGTCTCGAGTCCCCATCCTCGATCTCAGATGCGACCTCACCCATCTTCCCGGCCACCAACAGCGTCAAGAGCAATAACAGCGCAGAGCCATTGTTCCATGGCGCTGGAGGCGATGGTAACATGCACTTGAAACATGTGGACGCGATTAGTAACATTTTGCCACCGAGTATGGACACTACGAAGGCGACGCCAACGGAAATGGGCGAAAAGGAGGAGTTCCTGCCTGCCTCAGCCGCAGTAGTACCCACCATCGCGAGTCGTCCACCCCCGCCCCTGCCCATGACCACCAAACCTACTAGATAATTAATTCCAAAAGCAATTCATTCACATTCCCCTCTCTCTACTCCTCATCCCCTCACTTCACGCCTTCATTCTCCGCCGAATTAAGAAAGATACCAAAAAAAACCGCAATAAAAAAATTACAATTTTTTTTCTTTGATATCATTTGACATGCATAGATAGATGAAGGATTTGAAGGATCTATTGATAGCAATGTCTAGCTTGATGAGCTGCCGCGGGAGCAATAGTCCTGGGTCCATGGAATCATTGACCGGGTAATTGCGCAGTTTGCCCTGGCACGTAAAAAAAAAAATGGTGGCGTTTTTATTGGCTTTATTGAGGAAAACCTATGCTGCGCGTCCTCTGTCTGCGATTTTTTCCAGTCATGAGAGTCTTCTCAACTCGCTCCCGGATCCAAGGCGCCAGATTCCCGCATCCGATACAATGTAACCGACTTTTGAAGTTGACGGTCTGGCACTGTGGACAGACATAGTCTCGCGGCTTGGAGAGTCGGATGTCTGCTCGATGAGCGATTGTTGATTCTACACTGGTTTTGGTATCCGTCTCTGAGTCTTGCGACCACGACCACGACGACAATGACGAGGATGGTGATGATGACGGGGATGGAGATGATGACGGAGATGTTGCTGTAGGCGTTGTTGGGGAAGGGGCGGGGGTGGATTCTTTCAAGGGTTGCGAGGGGAGTTCGTAGGAGGTTTCGAAACCGCACTCGAAACAGTGATTCAATGCGCCGAGTGGGTATTTGCGCGAAGGTGGTAGAAGTACTCTCCGATGCCGCGTCAGCTTCGTGATTCCCTCCTCCTGCGTCGTCTCTCCGGTCCGAGATGGTTTTTTAGAATCGTCAGTCAGAAACATCGATAGCGCCGGCGATACAGTTGGAGTTTTCGTGGCTTCAGAGCTGGAGCGCTTAGGCTGGACCTTGGATTCCATCATGGTGGTGAGGTTATGTTCTGGTGGACGAAAGTTATGGGTCCCGCATTGGGGACATATGAAATCGCCAGGTTGGAATCCGGGGCGGTATCGTTTCCAAGTCTTTTTTGGTTTGGGTCCTATCCTTGTCGCTGTCGAGGTTGTTGACTCTGAGGGGTTGATTCGTGGGTTGGAATAGTTCCCGGTAGCACTCAGGAACTTTAGGCGACGATCAAAGCTCGCCAGCTCATCTTTGGATATTGATGAACCTTCGGATGATGGTACCGAGTGGTGGTTGGAAATATACTCGGAGCGGACAGCTCCACGCGAATGTTTCTTTAGTGACGGGGCTGTGAACACCAAGCGTCGCTGTTGTTGGAATGGTAGATCTTCCGAACGGCATACTCTGAGATGCAACGACCAAGTTGAAGCCAGGTTCCTTCCTGTACTGATGAGTTCTTTAGCTCTGGTTGATGTCATGGGTGCAAGTCGATGTCGTTCTTCGAAGGTCGGATCGGGGTGCCGAATGGGAGTGTGATCACTTGTTTATTCCCAAGTGAGCTCTGGGTACCACGCCTTTAAAGCACCATATTTGGATGTCAACAGTCACTTCGTTCGCGGAGCGCGGCTAGAACTCCAGAGGATGCCGGGGTCAATCTCCTTCAAGGCTCATTCCACCTCTTTGCGATCCGGATCCTATTGCCTTGAATTGACCATGATTCGCAGCTCTGCCATCAAGCATGCTCATGCCGCCTCGGGTACCTCAGGGGTCGGTGTCACAGCCATAAGGCCCGTCGCCAGACCCAGACGTCGTCCGCGAACCTACACGGTCATATACAAACCATCCATCCGGGGACTTGCGACGTCCTCGGGTTCCTCAGCACCAAAGTCGATACCGGGACCACAATCTTCTGTCGGCACTGTGCCATCATCAACGAGCTTGAGTACCAGGAGAGCTTATCCAAGAGCAGGAAACAAATCAGGAGTAACTTTCAATCGCCCTGAAGTCCAGCTCATGGCTCCAATGTCGTCGTCATCATCATCGCCAATAACGCGATCCTCGACCACGGGTTCACCAACAATGGATGTCGACGACGACGTGATATATCGGAAGGAAGGCGACAAGATTGTACGCGTCGAGTCTGGCCGCCATGAGCCTAAGTTACCTGTCAGTGGACTCTTTTCGCAGTTTCATTCTTCGCAAGCAGAGTAGGTGATAAAAACGGAAATAATTCTTGTACTCCCCTTTCCTCCAATGAGTGCTTTCTTTGTAGTAACACTCGCCTTTTTTTTTTTTTTTTTTTTTTTTTTTGCAGGCCTCTTCATACTGAGCAGGAAAAGATCAAGCCTTCAAAGACAACAGACACTGTGGATGTAAGCACATTAACGCTTCGAGGTACGAATACATGGATTGTGTGGAACATATATGATGAGCATACTGTGAGAAGCTGTATATACATGCATTCTGATATTGGTGATGAAAAAAAAAAAATTAGATGTGCTGCCGAATGACCAGCTTCTTCAGCAGTTGATCACTCAAAGCAAAGTGAATGCGAGTTTAGACGAGGTCAAGGATCTATATCAGGCTGTGCTAAAGACCCTGCCATTGCCCGAGGACGATCCAAAACGCGTTCAGGTCGAGAAGGAGTTTTCTAACGGTAAGACTGCGCGATCGCGAAAAAAAATAAAAAATAAAAAAATTGAAAGTTAAAGCGAAACCTTTATGCCATCTAACTTGTGAGTTGCTTTTTTTTCTTTGTATCTTCTGTTAAGCCTCGAAAAAAATGGACGCGATGTTTTACATGCTGGCCTCTTGGCCACTCCGATTCAGTCGAGGTAAGCAACGGGCGCTAGTTTTTTATTTCTGTTAATGAGAAGCCCTTTTGCCGACTGAGTCGAATTTTTTTTCTTGCCACAGCCATGTAAACGGGCCATTGACTGAATTTTTTTTCTCGAACTTTACATCTCTGATACGCCATAGATGGTGCACCTTTAGCGGCCGCTATTATGAAGCTGGCAATCAATAATGGTGACGCATATTGCAGATACCCCTATGCTGCGTTGCTCTACCGTGGAGCCAAAGGATTCCCCGCAGACCGCGCCAAAGGGCGAGCGTACATGGAGGTGCTGGCCAACCCCAAGAACAAGAGGTTCAAGGGTATTCCCGTAGCGATGACGGCCCTGGCTGGTATCTATGTCCGTGAAGACAAGAACTATGAGGGTGCACGAGATTTGTACGTCAAGGCTGCCCATGCTGGCGAACCCCAGGCCAGCGTTGCCCTTGGACGGATGTATCTCAGCGGGGAGCTTCCTCGTGATACTGCCATGGCTCGCAAATACTTTGAGATAGCAACCAAGAGCGATGAAAGTAGCCCAGAGGCCCATTTTTTGCTGGGGTCCATGGAGATGGACCAAGAGAAACCCAATTTCAAGGGTGCGTTCCAGCATTTCCAAAAGGCCGCTTCCAAGGGCCTGCCAGAGGCTCAATACAACGTCGGACTCGCCTATTTTCGAGGCGTGGGCGTTCCCAAGAACGACGCGCTGGCGATCGAGTACTGGAAAATGTCTGGGCAGCAAGGTTTTGGGCTCGCGCAACTGAGTTTGGGAGCGTACTACTTCCAGAATGAGGAGCCGCCAAAGGAGCCGGAGGAGGAACGTGCCGTAGGCTCGACCAAGACGGCCTTCAGACACGAGTGGGATCTGTCCAAGAGGGACCTGAGTCAAGCACAGAAATGGTTTACTTTGGCAAGTCGTCGGCCGGGCGACCTGGGACTGGAGGGGGCGCGGTTGAAGGCCCAGGTGGAAGAGGCGATCAAGAAGGGTGGGGGCGGAAGAAGACAAGACCGACCTTGTACTATCATGTAGTGCCTGCTCCGACTAATAAACGCGCTATTGCAATTTCGATGTTCAGGCCACTTTCCCATAGCCAAATTGAATGTATCTTGGATCTTGTAGCTTGTTCGGACTTTTGAACCAGAAAGAGCATTGCTCCAAAGTGCAAATAATGAGCTGTGAAAAGTTAACTATCGCCGGCAAAAAATAAAATAAAATAAAAACGCGTTCAGCTCCATGCGGTCAAAGAGTTCCGACAGGATTGAACGCGTTTTTTTATTGATCATAGCGTAAGAATATGCATCTTGCAGAGCATAAATAGAAATAAAGATGCATTTGCACTTGCTAACGGAGCCTGCTCTCAGCCTGCACCTGGCATCGGCATTGGTCCAAGGACATGTGGTCCTCTCCCCCTTCACCCCACTAGGGTCCATCGCTCACGGAGAGGGAAGCAAGGAGGGGAAGAGAGAGAGAGAGAGAGAGAGAGAGAGAGAGAGAGAGAGAGAGAGAGAGAGAGAGAGAGAGAGAGAGAGAGAGAGAGAGAGAGAGAGAGAGAGAGAGAGAGAGAGAGAGAGAGAGAGTGTGTGTGTGTGTGTGTGTGTGCGTGCGCGAAAGAGGTGAGGAAAGAGAGAGAGGGAAAGAGAGAGAAAGTGAGATTGATGGAGAGAAGAGAGAAGAGAGAAGAGGGACTAGGAGATATGCAGAGCAAAAGTCTTTCTGCACAAAAGTCTAGAATAGACGGGCGACGAACGGATTGTTAATGTTGTTATCGGTAACAGCGGATGGTTTGAAGGCGGCGGTGTGGATTATGGATGACATGTCCACGGATACAGCTCCATGGCGCTCTTCTTTTCACATAATTAAAATACCTTATGAGCCCTCTTTGCTTGGGGAGAAAGGAGACAGAGTGCCTGAATCCAGCCCTTTGCTGGCTGATTTTGAGTTCCCTATGTTTCCCCAGTCTCGTCCTCTTCCTGGCCTTTTGAGTCTTTGCCCTTCGTCCCTATTTGTGCTTTGCCGTCCGTTTAAGGTTGTGTTGCCCTCACACTCTCCCCATTCCGCTGCTCCATCCTGTTCTTCTCATCTTCTCTCCTCATCCGATCCCCACTTCCTCTCATCGCTCTTTCTTCTTCTTCTTCTTCTTCTTCTTCTTCTCTTCGCCTCTCCTTCCTTCTGTCGCGCACGCGCCCTCCATCCAAAATAATCTCCGCCATTCTGCGCTGCATACATCAATCTAGTGCAGAGCCTACGAACACCCCCTAGTTCACACTACATATACCTGGCCCAGGGTACTGTCCAGCAGCACTTCGAAAGATCATAAAAACACACAGACACAAGCGAAAAAACAAAAAACAAAAAACAAAACACTCGCTCGCTCGCCCACTCACCCACCCCGCCGGAATACAATAACAAGAACTAGTACTCAAAACAATGGCCGGTGTCGGTATGCCAGCCTCGGGGTTGATGATGGCCACCCCTCTCCAGGCGACAACACATCAACTGCACCAACAGCAGGAATGGGTACCTTCCTTGATCGCAAAACGCATTGCATCCTGGAAATACATCGCCCGCGTCCTTCAGGGCGGCACGGTCCTCTACAACACCGCCCTGGTCTCTGAAAATGAGATGAGGCAGCTCTGGTCAGAGGAGAAGATGCAGCGGAGGTAAGGATTCACTTGCAGTGTCCTTTCTCTACTTTATTTGAGATGCATATTGGGGTTTGGATGATGATGGGTGTTGGTGGGTGCCTGCACAGTGCGTGCATGCGAAGAACGGAGGAGGCATGGGCCTTGCTTTTTTCCTTTTTTTTTTTTTTTTTTTTTTTCTTCCCATCATCGCACGACGATCCGCATCGGATTTTTGTTCTGGAGGAAAGAAAGCCTACCATTCACACTCTTTTGGGTGGGAAAGCTGAGGCACAACCAGTTACAACCCAGGCCCTTCTTCCTCCTTTACCTTCTCACTCCCCAAAAAAACAAAAAAAGTGCGATAGCAGATCAACCTTTTTTTTCATAACCTTCTCGTGCAACCCACGGAGTATGCACCTCTTTTTGGGACCCCGCAACTCAATATGGGCGCGAGAGGGAGTTTTATTAAAACAATCCTTTGGACACTAAAAAAATGAGAGATCTCGATCGATGTCTTATTATTGCCCTCACTAACGCTCTACCTACTCATATCTGGTTTTTTTGTGTGAATTACCTATATAGGTCGTTATCGTTCTTCTTCCTGGGCACATCATTAGCATCGATCCTAGAGATCCCGAACACGATCGACTGCATAAAGGCGTTAAATCAGGTCCTGCAGGAATATGAGTCCTTTCTCGCCGCGGAAGCGAGATCCAAATCTGTAAGGTCCAAGATAGAGAGATTGATTTTGATGATGATGATCCTCAGATCCTCAGAGCCTCAGGATTGTGGAAGGAAGGGAAGGGAGGAGGAGGAGGAGGGGAACGGGCAACAGGAGGGTGCTGCAGACAGTTCGTGTCGCGTTACACTTCATTTTAAACTCGATCGACGCGTTAATTAATCGATTTCATATATATATATTTTGGATCGGACGCACATGCATAGATATTTTCTATCCGGAAAGGAAACACAGATCTCAAACCGTTTGAAGAAACAACCGAATATTCACATCTCGACGTTAGGAACATGGTACGTGCATTCTTATCTGACCTTTCCATCGCTATATTCTTTTTTTTTTTTGGAGAGAAAGCCGCCTTCTTATCGAACGCCTAATCAACTTCTTGTCCTTCTCCTCACCCTCCCCCTGGCCAACGGTTTTTTTTTCTCAACAAGCCATTCAACCTAGACTATGTGATCACCGCCTCAACACTTTGTGACATGGTTGGACAGGTCTACGAGAAACTAAGGCTGCAGCTGCTTCACGAACATGTCTGGCCCTTGATCACCCTCGAGGCCTTTCAAAAAGTCGACGCACGGTTCAAGGTTAGTAATAGTCTGTTAAATCGTCTCTTCTTTGAGTCTGACTCTTTTTTTTCTTTTTTCTTTTTTCTTTTTTTTTTTTTTTTTACTCAATCATACTTTTTGTCCACACCATCCATCGCCCCCCTCCACAATTGAATGAATGAATGAACCCACCACCATCCTCCACACTATGTTGTATGCATACATATATTTTTTTATTGTATTATCATTATCTTCTTTTTACTTTTTTTTTTGTACGACAAACAAAATACGCCCGACTGTGTTAACACGCGATCGATCTATCTTATCTTTTGCCCATGTGTAGAAAATCCTGATGATGGTGTACAAAGAAATCGAAGCTGTGGCCCGGGAGGTGATGGTCCAGGAACTGAACACGATGGATCCCCTGGGATTATCGGCATCCACATTTAACTACGATGACTTTGAATAATAATAATAAAATAGCTTTTTTTTTTTTTTTTTTTTTTCTTTTCTTTTCTTTTGGTCAAATTGTGCGTCTATGATCGATAAGCATAAGAGGTGATACAATCCATCATCATCATCATCGCTGCAAAAAAAAAAAAAAAAAAAAAAAAAAAAAAAAAAAAAAGACGCGTCTATCGCCTTGGTAGTTAAACCATCGCGAGTTTTCATGTGTTCAATAGGTCAATAGTCTTATAGGACACTAAGTTCATCAGGTTTATTGGTTTATTGGTTTGTTGGTTCTGGTTTTTTTACATTTTCAGACCTTGGACTATAATACAACGCTTGTTTGTTTGGGGTGTTTTTTTTAGGGAGGGTAGCGAATGCCAACGGTCGCACTTAGCAATCCTTTTCCTGCAACCAAGTACCAGCCCTGCAGCGACTGCAAGTCCCGCCAGCCTTTGGAGCCCCAGGTCGTCCGAGCATCTCCTCTGCAATCACCGGCACGTAAAAGCACTGCGTGCATCGCAGATGGTGTCGCTGGTACTGCATCCTGCACGCAATGCACAAGATCGCCGTCTTGCCCCATCGCTTCGGGTTCAAGTTGACCTCACCCGCCTGCCGTGCCTGCTTCCACAACAGTTTGTCGAATCCATTGAGCACAAGTCGACACGACGTGCAGTCCGGATCCAGCATCTCGTCATCATCCGCCATGCTCTCTCGATGACCACGATCGGCAGTCGAGACCGAACCTGAGGACAATCCCACATTCGACGCGTCCGTGACATATTGAAGGTCTTGTGCTCTAGGACGAGCCTTGCGTAGGACGCGACCAGGCAGGAACTTGGAGGACTTTGGCAAGTTACCCGTGGTTGACTCCATACCCTTGGAGTACTCTAGATTGTGCAGTTCGCGTTCCAGTGCATGCGGATCCAAGTCATTCACCAAAAGAAACTCTGCTGTCGCGGAATTCGATGGCCCGATGGGCTGGTTGCTTTCGGTAATGTCATTGGCAGCACGATCATCGCTACCAACCTCTTTGCCCTCCCCTTCCAGTGCGGATGGCCCTGCGTCCTGCTCAATAGTTGCGCCAGGGTGATCATTGGAGGTAGAAGCTGGCGACTCTGCCGAAGCTGCTGCTGCTGCTGCTGCTGCTGCTGCTGCCGTAGCCGCTCGCTTTTTTTCGATCTGCTGCCTGCGTTTTGCCTCGATCTGCTCCAACGCTGAATCGAAAAAGCTGTTCTTGCCGTGGGGTGGGATCGCAGCCGTGGTCGTGTCAGAGATCGATCGCTGTCGCGTACGGGTTCTTCCAGCCACGGTCGGCCCCTGTTGGGAGGGACCAAACAATGGCGGTGGTGGCGGAGCAGTTGCTCGGGTTGGTGTCGCAGGTGGAGTGCTGGAAGTGTCCGATCCTCGCGATGCTGCCGTATAGGTGATAGATCGCGCGTTAGAGGAGAAACTCGAGCGCCGGGATGTCGTAGTGAGCTCTCCCTTGGACGGCGTCACCTGTCTGGAGTGAGGTGGGGAAGGCGGTGAATTGCGCTTGGAACTCGGTATCATGGATGCCTTTGCGCGCTGACCAGCATCCTCTGAGGCTGTGAAAAGGGTCAAAGACTTCTTTCGGAGACGATTTGAGATCTTGTCCGGTGCCTCCATACGATTCATCCTCAAGTCCAAGCACTCGCTCTTGACGTTGTGCGAGTCCCGGTCATCGCCTGCCTTATGCTCCTGTTCCATCTCGTGATCAGGATCTGTCGTTGCCTCTGAAATTTCTCTGCTACCGCCCTCCTGGCGCCGCCTTTCCTCACGTTTCCTCAAGCGCTTCTCCTTCAAAACCTTCTCAATGTCGTCATACGTCTGCACCAGGCCCGAAACCCCTCCGCGTATTGCACGAGTGGCTGTAGGATGAAATGTGGTTGTAGAAGACTGTGCCGACACACTGGATCTCTTTGCGGATGCTCGACTGCCTGAAGCCCTGGTGAAAACAACTGGCGGCGTAGACCTATTTGTTGATGCAGATCCCTCCCTGTCGTTCTGATGATGAGATACCCGACGGTTCTGATTCCTGTCCTGGCTATGATCCGGACTCTCTTCATCATCCGATGGTGTATAAGCGGCCTGCTGTCGAGCTATTGCTTCCTGAACAACCTCTTCCAACAGCTCAAATTCCCTGTCATGGTTTCCAATGACCTTGTTGACGCGACAATTTCTAGTCGGAAAGTTATCCCAGGACAGTGGCAATGCAGCCCTCGACGTCCTGATATCATCCAACGCCATATTCGATATCGCAAATACATCAAAAGTTGGTGTCCCTGCATGCGAGGCTGCTGAATTTGGTTGAAATCCGCTTTTGTAGTCAGCAGCAGCGTTGCTTAACCTTGCTCCTGTCGGGTCGTATAATTCCAAACTCCTACTGCTGGTGGCACTACTCTGACGCTGGTGTTTCTGATGGGAATGATGGCTGAGTCCAGATTTGGCAAACGCATCCATGTCCGTATCCATATCCATGCGAGGAGTACTGTTGCCGCCATGGATGTCCCTCTCCTTCAACGGGTGCTGGAAGAATGCATAACCCGGTCGCCCTGACTCGATCGACTCCAGGAGCTTTTCCAAATCCTGTTTTGCCTCAAGCCGATTTTGCGATTCCGTATTGCTGCCGATGGTACTTTGGTCATCCATTGACTGACTCATATCATCCATGTTTCCATCGTTGTGTTCGTCATCGCGTTGGTGCTCATGTACCCGATCCGAAGCAACCGCAGCATTCTCGGCACGATTCGTGGCAGTCTGATAATCATCCACATTCTTCAGGATCTCAACCTGCAGCTGTTGCTCCGTGTCCGGTTGGATCCTGAGGGTGATGCCAGGGATACGGTCGACAATCGAGGGATGGACTGGGATGGCCTGCTTGCGTTTTTTGCGTATACGCTCTGGATGTTGTTGTGTCCCCGATGTTGAGGCGCCCGCAATCGAGGATATTGACTCAGAGAACGAGAAGGGCGTTGTCGACGATGATGATGATACAGACTGAGGTACAGCAGAGGTTGACGTGGCCAAGCCAGCCATGGAATGGGATGCTCCTAGTTGCGGCGACGGCGTAAGAGGAAGGACAGGTGAACTGGAGGGTGATCGCTCGCCTGCGAGGGAAGCACCGTGGATGAGATGAGGTGGATGCTCATTCTTAAGTTGTGAATGAGATTCCACTGAGGTCGGCCGCAAAAACGATCCCTGTGAGTGGCCAAAGCCATGCCCGCCAAATGCTCTGGAGATCGATGGTCCGCGCCCAGGGTCCGTGGGTGGGAATGCTGCATGCTGCGACATACCGCTATATGGATGATATGGGTGATATTGGTAGTGCTGTAGTGGTGTCCGCGGCACGGATGGTGATGGTGGTAGTGATGGTTGCCGAGGCTGCTGCTCCTGCTGTGATTTGTGCTTTCCTAGCCGCCGGCATCTCCTCTCCTCCTTCAGTTGGCGCTGGCGCTCTTCTCGCAGCCGCTTGTCTCGCTCCTTGCGTTCCTTCACAAGCTGCTCCCGCCTGTCGAACTCGACCTGGAAGACATCGGTGAGCTTCTCGAACTCCTCATACGAGTCCATGATACGTTGGAAGGCTTTCTGCGCAACGGCCTGATTGTCTGTGCGGTCCTCGGGATAGAGATGATAAGTGATGTTGCTCTTGGGCAGATCATAGCCGGGATGGTCCCGCGTGAGATCGTAGCCGCCGGCGACATTTGACTCGGTATTGAACTGCATTTTGACCACTATGTGCTTGGATGTATATGATAGGTGGAGGGAGGCTGTAGGGAACAAGAGCAGAACAAAACGATCGGTCAATATCAGAGTCAAGGAAGCGACGATCGTCTGCTGTGTCCGCGGCTGGGAGGAGGAGGATGAACAGCTACAACCACGTTGTTTCGTCGCAGTTGTCAACGATCAAAAAGCACCAGCATCGCACCACATCGCATCGTACGCATCAGAGCAAAGGGAGTGCTACTGGCGACGTTCCACGGACAAAATGGTCATCATCTCTGAGCTTTATAGACAAGACTTCCCTTCTTGGGGAACAAGGCTTTGAGTACATGATGATCGGCCACGCGCAAAGATAGGGGTTTGTTCTATCACACTTCTCTTTACCTCCGACAAAAAAAGATGCCTTCAATGCTGAGATGCACTTGCACGGAGCAGCTCAAAAATGGACGCTAGCAAAACGTCAGTCGATCCCAGGAAGCCAAAGGATCCTCGACGAATAACCAAAAGGATGCGAGCGAAAGAGGATCAGCGGCGAGGATGGAAGATGCTGGAAGAGAGAGAGTAAATAAAAGGACTCATCATGTTAGGCAATAACACAATATAATCAATTTAATGCAGGTTTTGACTACGGTGGACTCAGGGCGACAACACAGACGCTTTGTCTGGATGTCAGTGGCCATCAAAGCAGCCTTGACAAACATGGCAAAGGCCCAATGCACAAGAGGAATGAAAACCCGATTGACCGCATAGCAGTAAAATGAATGACATCCTCGTCTTCCTTAGATAACCACCCCCAACCACTCCTGGTACTATTCTCCTTTGTGGAAAGGCACCGGTACCCCGTCTGGGCCATCGTGAGCTCTACACCTCATGTACTTTGAGGAAGTAGTATAGCAACCAGCTTGCAGACAAGCTTGGCAATGTACGTCTATCTGGAATAAAACAAAGGCTGTACCCGTATTTGCCATCCAGGGCGCCAAGGACCCGTTTCTGCTCCAACAGCTACAGTTCCAGCCTGACTGACTTCTGTTGCCAATCTTCCATGCGAATACTTTCTCAAGAACATCTCCCTCCCATATCCATCCCCACATCACTGGTTGCCTTTCTCTTCTTTTTTCTTTTTGCACATGAAGCATCAAAAAGTCCACAAGATAAAATAAACATCAAAAGGTGTTGTTTGCATCCCAAGATGCCACGTCGGGTGCAACAGCCTCCAAATCCTCCACGAGCAAGCAACAAAGTATTGAAAAAGATAGATGGAGATCATAAGGAAACGACGACATCTTCTATTCCGGCGCCGTTTTTTTTTGTCTTCAACTGTTTAACTCTGAACGCAGTTGTGGTTTATCAAAGCACATCCACCACCGGACCTGAAGAGCGACAATAGGAACGCCAGCAGTAAGGATGAAAGTGCGCTACTTGGCGCATATCAAATTGAAATAAAGAATATGTTACCTACCTGACCTTCGGACAGTGCGATGAGCCGGTGGCTGCGCTGGCTTTTGATGATGACTGTTGAAGCGTCTGAAGAAAAGAGGACAACGAAAAAACCTCCTTTGACCAATCTAGGGGGGGTTGTTTGTTCAGCAGACGGATGGGTGAGTACAGGCATCACAGCAGCATTGACAACAACACGTAAAGGATGCATGGTGAAGCAATAAATTCGGGACCGGGCTGGCATCCCCTCCATTATCATGCTCTGCCCCTCCGCACTCTGGAGTCCATTTCCTTGCCCGTGCTATGGACTTTGCACATGCATCACCTTGGATGACGATAAACAAGAGGATTAAAGGAAGACGATGGGTAGGTGTCCCTCTGGGTAGCCTATGATGTATACCTACGGTTTGGTCTATTGCTCTTGGCCGATGTTTTCCGGTTTGCGAGCAGCAGAGGCGTGTGTGCGATGCGTCTTCTGGGTCTGTCTCGACCGTCGGCGTGTAGCGCTGTGGGATGGATATGAAGAAGGAAAAAAGAAAATAAAAGACCGATCTATATAGCTACTCAATAGGTGGATCAATTCAATGGCGAGGGGAGTCAAACTAAAACTTGGGGCGAATCAAATTTGGGGAAACGGAAGAGGGAAGAGAGAGAGGAAGGAAAAGAGTGCAGGGAACGGTCGCGAGCGAGCGCACTCCTCCTCCTTTTATACGAAACTACGCCACTCCGGCCCTCCTCCCTGCCGCCCCCTCCCCTCCCCACAGCCTTCCCCCGGGGGCACGTCCAGCGCCGAGGCCCCGCTGTGGACTCGACTGCGGGGCTCGGCTCGCACAGCGCTCCCCAGCAACCAGCACTCCTGCCCCTCACCCGCACCATGATCCTCCCCCTCCACCCCCGCAGGAGAGTCCTCCACCGAGAACCGCAACCGTTGCCATCCCAGCCCCCCTTGCCTGGCTCCTAACAGGCCCACGCTCCTCCTCCAGAGCACCTCCCCGCTTCACCAGTACCCTTCCCCCACTCGCGATGGACTCGTATGGTCACCTACACACCCTCAATCCATATCCCTACCGCTGTCAGGCATGAACTTCTTCTTGGCGCTACAATCGGCCGCTAACATCTGTCCCCATCCTCGCACTGTCCACTTTGAACCCCACCGCTCACTCTGCCCAACCTTCACTCCAACCTCCCATTCTCCTTGCTATCCAGAACTCTCTCGCCGTCCCTGCTCGCAAGCTCAATGAAGCATCAAGAACCGCTCGCTCGATCGTCCCTGGTCTACATCGTATCCAAAGCACTTCCGAGACTTCTTTTGCTCCTTCCCGCATACTGCGAACTGATACGACATGACGTTGCTTTCACGGATGCTGTAGCGCAAGCAAAGGAAGCAACCCTATACACTCATTCATACTCCTACAGATGATTCTCGAAAGCCCTCTAACCCTCCTTCCCCATTCTTCAGTAGGGTCACAAGGACAGACAAAGGCAGGCAAACAACACATACCCATACACACACGCATACACAGATACAGTCGTAGCTAGTCCTTATTAGAGTGGAGATAACGTTGTGCTGAAAACGTTGCCACTTTTTTTGATTTTTTTTCTCCGTGCATATTTTCAGTGAAAAGGAACATACGACGAAGCGCAGCCCCAGAGGGAACGACCGCAGCATGGAGGCAACAACGTAGCAAATGACGCTTTTTGGTCGATAAACAACGACCATAAGGTCCTATGCCAAGACCTCCCCTCCCCCTCCGCAAATCTAGGGTTCATCAGCGTACTACTGCAGATTGTTCCAAAGGACGAGGTTCTCTTTTATTATACTCGGTGTTGCTGGCATCACGGCTTCTAGATTGCAGCGAGATCCCTCCCTTCCCTTGCCTTTTTTGCACTTTACTTGCCACATAAAGTTTGCGACAAGCATTAGGGAACGATGGCATGGACGGACATGAAGACCCGGCCAGTAAACAGGACACGAAGGCGAAATCCGAGGATCGAGGATCGAGGGTCGAGGGCCAAGGGTCAAGGGTCGAGAGGAGGGTTGGACAGCCAAGATCGTTGTCGGCTGTTTCGTTCTCCCTTCCTTCCCCCTTTCCAAACCGCGGATTACCCCGACTCTCTCCTTCCCTTCATTCATCATCAAGCACAACTCTCTGCTACGCCCATTCTTTCTCCTATCGCGGCTATGCTCGTACTAAATCCGGTCCGTCGACAGCCTGCTTGTCCGCATCGGTCCGTTTCTGCTGTCTGGTCCTCGTCCTCGTCGGCAGGACCTCCTCCAATGTCGATCGACATGCGATACAAATATAGCGGCAGTGAGCCTCGCATCGGTTTCCACACCCGCATGTGAACTCGCATCTGCATCCTCCAACGGTTCCACGGCACTGAAAGGAGGATCGTTCTGTCTCTACGATTACATCTTCCTCGGCGCATTTTTTATTCAACAAAACGAACAAAAAAAAAAAGGACGATTTGCAAAAGAAAGAATGAAAGAAAGGAAGAAAAAAGAGTGATTGGACCATCAGCAAAGGATATGCTTGGTCTTACTTGGGGTCATAGCTTGATGGTATTGGGTGATGGATGAAGTGAGGCTATTGCTTTTTGTAGGCCTCTGCTTCTTCCTCCAGACCCTGGTACATATCCGGCGAATGGCGACGTTCTAGGCACCCTTTGGAAAATAAATATGTATATACATATATAACAAAGTAGTACCACGAAGACCACCCTTCTCCATCGTGTGCTGTGGCAGACATTCACATCGCCACGCGTGCGTTTTGTGCGTGAGAGAGTGAGCGAGAGAGAGAGAGAAGTGAGCAGGTATGCGGTATCATGAACTGTGCAGTGTATCGAATAAAGAGAGATAGTAAAAAAAAGCGCGGCTCAGAGGTTCAGAGAGCGAAGCACACCTTACGCGTCTTCTTCAGTCCACTGCTACTGCGTTAAGCGCCTGGGTAGCTAAAGAGTCCGTTACTGTGTCCCTTCCCAGGAGCTTCTCTTCAACTTCTCCATGTACAGGACAGCATCGTTGGCCTCTTTAGAAAAAGAAACGAAAAGACCTGATTGATCATCGAACAACTTTTTTTTTCTTCCGTTGCTGCTTCTATATTTGGCGGTTTTTCCTGGTACCCGGTTACAGAACTAAAGGGGCATCCACAGTCAAGGCCCTTGCGCATCCTGCGATCCCTTAGGCCGCTAGGCGATGATGCTCAATAAGAGGTCCGCTCTCGCTATCGTTCATTTATCCTGCGCTTTTTTTCTTTTTTCAACAATAGTAGAAGATCCGCGTTCTATTTTACGCCTCGTTCAAAACACTAGAGCAGAGCCCGAAGAGGCTCCACAGATTAGCCAGGTACTCCCCCCCCCCCCCCCCCCCCCCCATCGCCATCTCTGATGCTCTGGTCATATCCATGAGCGCGAACTACCCTCGCCTTGTCCTCGGTGGTCTCCAATTACGACGATTCTTTCGCACTCCATCTATTTCTTTTGGTTTCCAACCGTGTTATCAATATTAAAGAAAGCGGTGTGAGTAAAAAAAACGTTGGTTGAACCAAAAAAAAAAAAAAACTGGTTTCTAAACAATGAGCTGACCTTTTTAGTTTTTCCCAAATGCTCTTCGCAAAAAGCTCTGGGACACAATTTAAGATAAAAGCTCTACCCACGTTTTTTTTTTAACAGGGGCGAAAAAAACCCCACCCTTCCTCCCTATTCCGGCAGTTACACAACTGCCGAGTGGGAATACCACCGTGGAGTCATCCTTTTTCATCTGTGCTCATGATATAAATATACCAGCAGTGGTCATTCATAATCGTACGCGCAAAAAAGGAAAACGCATCAAAGAAATGAAGAGAAAGAGAGAGAGAGAGAGAGAGAGAGAGTAGATCGTTATGGCTCCTGGCTGGACAATACGTGACGCGAGATCATATCAGCATATCCAACGTCTTTCCCACTTCCTCCTCTCCTCTCTTGAAATGACATATATAACATTGTGTCTTTGCGTAAGCTATTTAGTCATCCGTCAACAATCCGTCCATCGCTTGCGTGCATGGTCCGTCATACGGATGGGATGTTTCTTCAAAGAGGGTTCTTCCCCTGTTGTTTTTTGCGACCCGATTCAAAGAAAAAGGATCTGTACGTGCTGTACGTGAGAACCTGAACTTTGAACGCGTTTTTTCGGGCTATTTCCCCCCTACGTCATAGAATCAATTATTCTTTTTTTTTCTTCTCTTTCAATACGTTTATTAGTACGAGAATAGATGGGTACAATGCAAATGAATGGTTTTTTTTATTAGGTGAAAAGAAATGATGCCGAACGCGTCCTTCCTCAAAGACAAATTTTTTTTTTCACAATTAAGTCGTCTTCTTGTTGGTGTTGACATAACCGATACCGACGCAAGTCATTACCAGCGTGTCGGGTGCTGCGCCCAAAACTGTCTTGTCCTTATCCGTCTCCTGTGTGATCTTGAACGTTGAGCCGAAGAAGTCCTGCAAGTCGCGCATATATTGGATTCTGTAGGAGGGGAAAGAACGAATTTATGTAAACGTTCGTCAGTATCCGTAAAATAAAAATAAAAAGGAACAAATAACCACTTAGACCATGTATCACCCGGACGAAACAAAAAAAAAGACCGCCAACTTACGTGAATGGGGTCAAATCGCCCACACGCACTTTGCTGACATCGTTTGGGCCCAATACCATCATCAACAGCACCAATGTCTGTGAGATCGAATCCACACATCCTCCCTTCCGGATCTCTGACAACAACATGCGTGCCGCTTGCAATCCAATATCCTCGGGTGTCTGACCCGGTCCTCCCGCAAGCTCTGCAGAGTAGAACGCCGATGTCGTCGTCTTTGCCAACAATGAGATGGCGAACCCTGGTGAGAGACCGGACTTGTCGCCCTGATAATGTACTGCTGCGATGTTGATGTCGTTCACATAGTCGAGCACGCCTCTTGCGGAATCGACCATACGGTTCGAAAACTGAGGCGCCACGCGCGTGCAGTAAGCGACGCCACGGATTCGCTTGATACGTCCTTCATCTGTGAACTGAACGGGCTTCAAGCTGCGGACGATCGGGCACCGGAATATGACCTTGCCTCCTCCGTTTGGTGGCGCTCCACGACTAGGGATCTAGTATGGTATTGAGCAATAAATATAGCACCATGGATCAGGCACTCGATACTTGTTATAGTTTTCTGATTTCCTGGTATCGACCCAACGGAAAGAACAATTGCCCGAAAAAAAAAAAAAAACGACCCCATTCCACTTACATCGAGTTCTAGTCCTTCCTCAATACCAAACTTCTTCAATTGTGGGAGCAAAACTGTACGTATGGTATCAACCTATAAGAACATCAATCAGAAAACCAAGTTAGCGCTTTGAAAGGGTATCCAATATCCTCAAACAACCTGCTACTCCATTTGCTAGCCCATAATCCGCCTTCCTTGGTGTCAGTATCGAGTCCACCATTCTGACCATCGCTCAATCCATGGCTTCCTCAGCGCACCAAGAAATCCTGCTCATCCTTGATTTTTTTCTTTTTATTTTTCTGGTCCAAGCACTTACGGAAATGTCGACATTGTCGTTTGTGATTCCGTTCAAGGTAACATTCATGGGCGCCTTGGAGAAGGGTCCAAGAGCAATAAGGGGCTCCAGGAAATATCCAACGGCTCTGGACGTTCCACAGTCATGGTACACTTTTCCTCCAACGATCACTCCTGGCTTATAGACGATCGAAGTACCTATGAGAGAGATCAGTTTGCAAAACGATGACGATCAGCCTGGGTTCACTTTCACATCGATCCAACCAATTGAACCCTCCGTGGTTGTCTCGGTCCTGGGTAGTGCATAACATGAACTTCTAGCGATATTCATGATGGTGATATATTCCCAGGCGTTTGGATGTACCTGTATAGCTGATCTCGATCGTAGCTCCGTTGGTGACCTTCTCCAGCAATCTCAGAAAACTAGCCTCGAAATCTAAAAGATATCCAGTGCGAATAAGTAAGTACAATAATTCTGTAGCCAATTTGCTGTGTGCTTCCTACGCTCCTGGGTAGTGCATGAATTGGTCAATGGCAGAACACAGGTGTTATGGGACGAAACAACGGCTGAGACTTGCCTCTAAGACCAGGGTTGGCATCGTTTGACCTAATCTTTTCAATCTTCAGAATCTTTCCCGAGAGCGTCGCAAGGACCAGCCTTTGACGAAAGTAGTTGTGGCCCTCAAACTTGACTATTTTTGACATCTTGAGGCGTGGTATGTATACGTGGATGAAGGGAATAGGAGGGGAGGAAGCAGCGAAGGGGGGGAGGCCTATGGTGCAAGCAAAGACTGAAGGGCACTTTTTTTTTGTGCAAGCCACAGCTCTTTGTTTATGAATTGATCTACGCTTTAAAGTGCTTCGCCGGGGAGGGGGAGAGGGAGAATGGATTCGATAAGCATAAATGCATGAAATTATGTAGTCCTGCCCAATTGCCCCCAGAGACACGCTTTGGGCTTTGCCAGCGACCTTGCTTTCGACAAAGTGGCTATGACAGGGGTGATATCCAGTCAGGTCCTTCTTCCCGACATGCATCTTCGGCGCATTGTGGCTAGACATCGAGTTGGACTACTTGCTCAGCCCTTCAACCCGAAGATGTTTATACATTTGTGTCCGGGCTGTGCTAGGATTTTTTCGATTGACATTCAGTCGATTCAGTTGGCAAAAAGGGAGCTTCTCATTAAACTAAAAAAAAATAGAGGTATTCAATTGACCATGCTTTCTGCCTTTTCGCGTTCTGTTGGCGTAAACATTGGTTGCCTCGATTTATTGAGTTCTGTGGTACATTGAGTGAACTGAACGAAAGGAATACATCTGCGTCTTTACGTTGGTTGTCCTTCAAGGGAGTGATTATACCCTCCTTGAATACATAGATGGTCATATTCATGCCATGATATTTATATATAAAAACCCCTCCACAGCCCACAGCTGCCCAACCATGCACCTGGGGACTTCCATGGTCCACCCTACACTCAAGTCCCTGACCATTTTTCGAATACCAGGGAACTGATAAGAAAAAAATTTAAGAGCTGAAGGGTCCTGTAGTAGCCTAAAGCAGCGTGGCCCCTGACCTGTTTCGTATTTCTGTAACTGGACCGGGGAGAGGAGAGAACCTCAAACAATCCCTCTCGTTCTGGACTACCCTATTCGTCGCATAGCCCTAGAGGCTCCGCTGTCAACTTATCGTAGTCGTCATGACCGAGACCTAACCCAGATGACCTGTTTGTTGCGCCGGCTGTGGGCGGAGCATGGCAGGGCTTGTTCGATTTGCATGTTAACATACGTCTAAAAATACTCTGTACTATACAAATGCATGAATTCATGGACATGAACGTTACTGATAAAATTAAATAGGAGGCTGGCAATCTATAGCTTATAACAAACGTATCTACATATCTGCGTAGAAAGACAAGACGGCAATGGCCATTGGGTTCTGTCAGTTGGAATGTGGTATCGCCGACGAGCGGTGAATTTTTGGCATTGGCTATGGTAGCAAAAGCGTATGATGTTGTGCTCCCAAACACAAAGACGGGAATCGTTCCACCAAAATGAACGGCTCCCTCCCCCCTCGCTCTCGCCCTCCACCCTCCCTCCACACCATGCCGAGCTTCCCATGGTTCAGCTGTGCGGTTTATGCTCAGCTCGAAACCGTTTCAAGACGTTTCGCACATGTGCGAACTGTTTGTGGGAAATGGGGTGTATGGGGCCCTTTGTAAGGAGTGCTTCAGCCACTTTTTAACGAGCAAAATTATAGACGGCAAACCCAGCTTCAATATGCCCATAATAGTGTTTACCCGGTGAGAGAGGAGGAAGGAAGGAGGAGGGAGGGGGAATGGGCGGTATTTTTTTTTTTTTTTTTACCTTTCTTTGCGGCTGTCTGTTGTTTAATGCACCCTGTTTAGATTAATTACAGAGCACGTACAGTACATGGACAGCAGTGTATGCACGACAGACATGCCCACTCAGAACACCCTTTGCTGCTGGACTCGCATCCTCGCAAGGCGATGTGGGCGGAGAGAGATGGCAGGACTGGAGAGGATGTTTATATTTAGCAGTGCCTCTGTGCTCAGCAACTCCTAGGATCCATCGTTTTGCTCGGTTTGGTGAGGACGAGGTGTGTTGGATAAGTAGAGAGCAATTTGGCGACGAAGGGAGATTAGCGAGTGTGCGTGCAACCTTGAATTTAGGTTAGATGTGTTGGTATCCTATTTTATTACATTTCTCGCACCAGAACGGTCCAATCCCGAGGAAAGACGAAAAGGTGCATCCTGGGTGCTCTCTATACTCCCCTGGTAAAATAGAATGTCGGGAAAAAAAGAAGCGTGAAAGCAGAGTAGAAGGCCGCCGTTGCCACTATTCTAAGAAAGAGAGCCCTGTAATAATAATGCAGCAGAGGAGTACCGCTTTCTCCTCCACCTCATCTGTCCTCCACTTGCCCCCCTCCTTCCTGGCACCGCTTTATAAATACCCGGCAAACGGCTCTTCCTCCTTCTTATTCCCCTCCCTTCTTCGTCTTTCCTTTCTGTCACCATCTCTCTCTCTTCAGCCGTCTCCCTTCCGTGAAAACCACCCTCTTCACACCTCCACCCCTTCCCCCTCTCCTTTCACGGACACAACCCTCGACACCCTATCGACACCGCTTGAAGAGCATCCACTGCTTCTTGCCCCTTCCTCTCTTTTAACGAAAACAACAACCGCAACCAACTCTTCACCATGGTCAAGGTCACCCTCTCCCTTTCAGTCCTCCTCTTGGCTGTCGTCGCCGTCAGGGGTCAGTCCACCATTGTCATCGCCGATTACCCCAAAATCAACGAGGTCCCAGACGTCAATTCCGCTCAGGTCCAGGCCTGGTTGAAGGAGATTGACCTCACTGGCTCCCCCGCCATCCCCAAGCTGACTGCTCCCAAGGGCTCCCCCCCAGACTGCGCCAACCGCACCCTCACTGCGTAAGTTCTGCTTACCCTTCGTCTCTTTTTTCTTGCTAGACCCATGGAGTATTTGCGAAAATGACAAAGCGTTTGTTTGAAACACCACATATTTCTCTCTCTCTCTCGTTCAATAATTGGACCTCCACCCCTTTGTATTTAAAAATGAATTTGCGACCTTCCCCCTTACCTAACAGCAACGTGTATCTTTTATTATTTCTTCTCCCGAATTTATTTATAAAGTTGCACCTGGACTTGCGATAACTGTGCGTCTGACGATATCACCGCTTGCGCTGCCGCCAAAACTTGGGGCCTCACCTTCGATGATGGTCCCTCGACCGAGACCCCCAGACTGTTGGACATGCTCAAGACCCAGAACTTGAAGGCTTCGTTCTTCCTCATCGGCTCCAACGTCATCCAGTACCCCGCCACTGCCAAGCGTGAACTGGATGAGGGTCACCACTTGGCCTCCCACACCTGGTCTCACACTGCCCTGACCACCCTCTCGAACGAGCAGATCGTCGCTGAGATGAAGTGGACTGAGAAGGCCGTCATGGCCGCCACTGGTCTGAGACTCAAGTACATGCGTCCCCCATATGGTGATATCAACGACCGTGTCCGTTTCGTCCTCAAGAAGCTCGGTTATATCCCCGTTGACTGGACTGGTGATCAGTTCGACACCAACGACTGGAGAATCGGAAGCCCCTTCAACGGAAAGACCTTCACCCAGGCCGATGCCGTCTCTACCTTCGGTAAGAGCCTCGACACCTACCTCGCTGGCGATACCTCCAAGGGTTTCTACTGCTTGGAGCACGATGTCTCCAAGACCGTCGTCGACGCTGCCTTGGTCTTGGTTCCCCTCGGTGTCCAGAAGAAGATCTCCTTCGCTTCCGTCGCCGGCTGCGAGAACGATGCTACCCCCTACCAGGCTGGAGGCACTGCCCCCATGCCCACCAGCTCCGTTTCCAGTTCCGCACCTGCAGGTACCAAGCCCACCGGTACCTCCTCCGCTGGCGGCGCCAGCGGAACCAACGGACCTACCGTCGTTGGTAACAAGAACTCTGCTGCCTCCAAGATCACTTCCATGGGCTTGGTCTCGGCTGTTATTGCCGTCGCTGCCGGTGCCTTGTATGCATAAAGTACAATAGCATGAAGAATAATATCATACCAGTCGTATTTAGTGGCATAGAGTAACAATAAAGACCACACCTAAAAAAAAGAAAAGAAAACTAAGCAAACTAGTCGAACTACTTACTCGGACTCTTAAAAAAAAAAACGCCGAAGGCTAGGGACGTCTCACCATCAACATGTTTGTCATCTTTGTTCGGATCGCTTCTGAACAATATACTTCCATTGTGTTTGCTGCGGTGTTTGTGTGCTGTGTTTGTGGAATGTTTCTTTTGTTATTTTTCTAGAATTAGAGGGCCAGCCGGCCAGGGCTTTCATTGAAAGGAACCTCCCCAAAGAATGTCTCTTTCAGTGTAAAAAAAAAAAAAAAAAAAAAAAAACTGCCCTTGAGAATTAAAGTACTTGGTTAATGCTTATGACCCTATGCTTATGCCAACAAATAATTATGACTTTGGGAGATGTAAAATGTAAAAATGTGTGCGTAGCATGGAGAGAAGAAGGACCTCCAATCTCCCCTCCCCTCCTCCTCCGCCTAACTCCTTGGATACAGCATATCTTCGTGCCGTGTGTCCCTTTTTAAAAACGCATCGACTCAAAATTGATAGCAAACTCCGAGAACAGGTCGCCCACGGGCGCGATCTCGGGCAAGGTCACGGCCTTGTCGTCCGACGGCACAGCCTCACTCGCCTCATCCACCATCATCCCCATCTCTTCACAGTCCTTTGCAACATATGCCGGTGGGGGCGGCATCACGGGCGAGTTCCCCAGATGGACCCACGGCGTGGACACGGACACGGGCGTGGAAGAGCTGATCTCGGATGACGTCGAGGATGACGACACCGTCTCGGAAGACGCGATGGACGAAGTTGATTCCTGACGCTGCATAGTCCTTGCACGCCTCTGAACGTCACTGTGGGTCTGGCTATGACCAGCGAGCGTCGCCGTCGGGTGGTTCTGCAGACTGTGCCATGACGGATGAGACGCCGGCGTGGGAGACTCTTGGCCGTCTTGGTGATGGTAGCCGTCCGCGAACTCCGATGGAGATCCGCAGACAGGAGAACCAAAGGATCGGAAGTACTGGTGCTGGAATTGGGCTTTGAGAATGTGGGGCGGGGAAGACTGGTGCGCTTCTAGAAAGGAGTCGCTGCCGATCGAGCCCACAGACGTGTGCATCGATCCGTCCGAGGATCGATGGGCGTGGTTCGTCTGGTAGTGGTGAGGGACTAATCCGGAAGAAGGTGCGGAGGTTGAGGAAGAGTTCAGCAGAACAGAGGATGCGGCGCGCATGGAGCTGACAGCCGTTGCAGATGGCAGATGGTGCTTGAGTTGCTGCTTGTGGTGCATGCGGCGCCGCCATCGGTATCCCTAGAAGGATGTGAAGAGGTAATGGAGCTTTTTTCTTTAGCAAGAATTACTTCAGAAACGATACCTTTGAATCTCAATAAAGAGGGATACATACCGTATATTGAGCTCCTAGAACCGCGAACGCGACCCCAGGCACGACCGCAGCCCAAACTAAGAGAGCTGGCATCATCAAGATCCAAACTACAGCGCCGATCGCCATCGCGCCAAAGGACCCAAATATCCAGTAATGCATTCGATGTTCCTTCATATCCTGCCAGTATCCCGGGAATTGCCCCTGCTTGTCCGCAGCAGATGCCCCTGTCCACTTCAAATTTGCGTGTTGTGCACTCCTGGTTTGAGGGTCGGCGCCTATACCACTATCAGTAGATCTCAGCGACCCACAACCATCCTCCGAGATCTTGTAGCTATAGAGCGTGTCGACCTCGCTCTTCTCCAGTAGCCGAGAGGTGTGAGGCGTGAAGATAGCTGTGGGCGTACTCGCAGCCAGCGGACTCCCTATCTCACCACCACTGCTACCATAGAAGATCGAAATCGGTTTTGGAGACACGGTCCTGGCGAGTTTGGGCCGCGTTACCGCCGCCATGGTCATCGTCATGGCCGAAGGCCACTGCAACGCGCCTGCAGATGCCGAACCCGTCGCTGGAAGAGAGTGCCGCTTCAGCTCTCTGGCCGTTCTGACAACCGCTGGATTTGAGATCGAGGCTGCTGTTGAGGCTGAGAAGAACGGTAAGGAGTTACGCTTTCTCGCTGCGAGCGACGCTGGGGTGATCATGGGATCAGAAAGCGAGGGCTTATTGTCTAGAGTAAAGGCACAGACTCCGTGGTCTGAATGGAAGTAAGGGGGTGGTGGAGGCGAGACTAGGCTATCTCTGCGGGAAGGGGGGTATTGGAATGCCGTCTTTTTGTCCTCGATCATCGACAGCGCCATCGTTGTCGAAGGCTTCATGCCGCAGATGCTGCGGGCACGGTCCACATTCTGGCTCCCGGCAGTGTAATGGGCATACTTGCTGATATACGTCTGCTGGGGCTCGGGCGAGAGCTGCTGTGCTTGCTGTGTGAAGGGGTGGTTTAGGTACAATTGGTAAGTCGATTCGCCTTTGGGCTTGAAGGTCGAGGACCCGTATTCGCTCAGCCTTTTCCGTTCATCCTTGATAGGATGGTGGGGTGACATGGGCAGTGGGATTTGCGTTTTGAAAGGGTGAGGGGTCATCGTGGCCGAGATGGTCTTGTCGGAGCAAGGGGAAGCCAGGTACTGAGAACCATTTCTGGTGAACGAGAAGCTAGACTCCTCTCTGGGTCGGAAGTACCCTGGGGATTCTGGACTAGTGCTTCTTTCGTCGGGGACCTGAGGCTGCAGAGTAAGCCGTGAGATGTCGATGTGCAGGGTTGAATTGCGGGCCATAATGCTTTTATTTTGTCGCGTTGGTGCAAATGGCTGTAGTAATGGATGTCGCTAAGGATTCAGAGCCGAGAAGAGCGCACGCGTGAATTAAGAGAATGACTAGGGCTAGTTAGTTTCGACTGTGAAGAAGGAAAGCGAAAGCGGGCAAAGAAGAAAGACGAGGAGAGCCTGGAAGAAAGAAAATAAAGACGCGTGAGTTCTTTTGGAGAATCTTCAGTGAGCGGGAGCCCGGTCGGAACCTTCTGCACAGTTCGGCACAGGAAAAGATAGCGAGACAGGGACCAACGATCGCGTCTCTCGCAGCTCCGGCGACTTGAACCTCCGGCTGGATCTTTTTTTATTTACAGGAGACGGGGGGAGAGACGGAGTTCTTGTAGCCTGCAGCTGTAGGTTCGCACCATCAAGATCCCTCGCCTGTCCTCCTCTCGTTTTCTGCATCTATCTTTCTTTGTCACCGCCTGCCCTGGTTCTCCTTGCGCTCGCATGCCCCCTCTCCTAGTCCTTTCTGTCGTCTGTTATTGTTCAGAAATAATGGCCCGTCCCTCGCTGCGCGATGGATGCATACACTCATGACCACGCCATCTCTTTTTCCTTGAACACGGGTTGGTGGGGCCCCAAGCCAGTAGTCGCTCGTGCACATCCGTGGACATACTGCGTCCCTCATCCAGTGAACAATAAAGGAGTTGTCTTGCGTCAATCTCTTTTGCTAGCAAAAAAAGAGTCCAATACATCCGAGCCCAATGGGAATCCGTCTTGTCCGCACACCGTATCCCTTGGTAAACCCCTTAGAGATTCTCTCTCTTTTTTTTCCCTTTCTTTCACTCTTCTTCGTCAATGACTGCGTTCATAAGTCTTGAGTATGGAACAGAACGGCGATTGAGTTGTGCTCCGATGTAAACCAAAGTGCAAACGCTCTTCTCATATACCAGCCCTGAGTCGCATTGCTCCATCTGCGATTGTTTCTTTCTTCAGACTGGATTTGAATACAGCCAGCCCGATCTTCATTGCTGCTTATTCTCAAAGTGGCAATGATGGGAACACATCGTTGATTTGCCTAGTCCGTAGCTGGCGGGAGGGGAAGGTAATGGTTTAAGTGTCGTAACCCGCATCCAAAACCTACGGAAGCCTCATTAAACCCCTTGTCTCCGTCTTATTCTTTTACCCCTACAGCTCAACCTGACAACCCAAAACGAACAATGACGGTGGCGCTCATGATCCTCGTCTTTACGTACTTTTTTACATTATCGGGACAGAGATTGAGCAGTCGACGCCTCACGTCGCACCATAGAGAACTGTTCCTTACGGAAGGAATACCTATGATCAACAGTGCGATACAGCTGCTTGAAATGGCTTGCGCAGGGAGTTGGTAGGATCCGAATGGCGATTATGGGGGAAGTCTACTTCAAGCCTTAATGATCCAGCTTGATGCTGTAAAAAGAAAATACCCGCATCACTACCGCATGCTGTAATCGCCATCACCTATATGAATACCTTCGCCAAGGTCAGGCTTGCTAGCTGCCTACCTCTGCTCTGTCCTTCTTTGCCTCGTCCACATTCCCTATATCCTCAAACTACTGTCGGCTTGTAGTCGAGCCATTAAACTCCAATAAACGAATAGTCGTTTTTTTTTTTTTTTTTTTTTTTTATCGCGCAACAAACATGCTCCCAGCTCGATTCAGCCAGCCATTTGCGGAACAAGGACCATATTCGAGCAAAGACAAACCTAGAATCACAGAACCATCTTCTGAGAAGGCGGGATCAGAGCAGGACGGAGACCAGCCTTATGGGGTTCGCCGCCTGTTTGGTACACTGATCGTCGTCTTCTCGTGTGTCCCTACGACCATTTTCCTCGCATGGCTCATTGCTTGGGGAACGGTAATCCTGGTAAGCCAGCTTCTCTCATTATCTTCGTTCCCTCTGCTGCATAGTATGAGATGCGATAAAGGGCTCATGTAAGCCGGTTGGCTCTTTTATGTCCTCGTCTGAAAGTGCTCATTTCGAAGTCGCCGATGCAGCTCTTTTCAAGGTTGTTTGCGGGCTTGAATACGTTTTTGTTCTGTTACGCAAATGAAGGAAGCAGGTTTTATTTGTCATCCACGATTTTGGTGTTCGCCTTTGTACCCCACTTGTTTAAGCCATGCATAGACTATCAGGGGTTTGCATTGGCTACTTTCTACTGCTTCATATGCACGGCGACCGTGTTTGTGCACCATATGACACACTCGAGAGTTTTTTGTTTACAGTTTTGCAACCTTGCAGTCTTTCATCGGCCGCATGCATTCGTTTGTACTCTTTTTCACAGAGGCTTGCCTGATACAATCACTAGTACATCTGCACACTGGGGTTTGCGATCAGTATCGCGTCCATCACAGGCCTGTCCATGTTTGTGTACGGTCCCATCTTCTGTCTCTGCGTCGTCTCTGCGTTCGCGTGCGCGGTCCTCTACAACCTCGGTATATTCCTGATGCACGAGTTCTGGGCCTTCTGGAATTTGGTTCATGCGCTCAAGGATGATCTCTTTGGTTCGACCACAGGAGCCGAGGGCCCAAACGAAGGATCCTGGGGCGCTACTGATGATGTGCGGTCTCCTCCGCCCTATCTGGCTGATAGACCCCGAGATTGGGGTTCTACAAAAGTCCTACAGACCAAGCCGACTCCTGCAACGTCGGTGGCGAGCTCTCATTCTGGGAGTATGACTGGACATGGTGGCCGTAAGAGTCTTGGAGCGCCGGAACAATCACAACAGCATGTCAGGGCCGAAAGAGTTATACCTTATAAAGCCAGATAGCAACTGTTTAGCAGGACCCACGCGTTTCGCGAGCGAAGGTCATTATCAAGTCCATACTTCGTAGCGCGTCCACCAAAATGGAATTGAAATACAATTGCAGCAGCCATCATAAATGATGTCTGAGATTCTATTAATCGTCTCGAATACTCAGCTATTGACAGCGTCGTGATTTTAGAATAACATGCTCTTTGATAGCATGTATCAAGGCATCATAGGCTGCAAGTCATGCTTCAATCCAGTGGTGCCATGGGATGGGGCGTTGAGAGCAAATGTTTTTTTTCTCTTTTTCTTTTTCAAATTCAACACGAAGGTTAATTAATTAAAAAGTGTCTAGCAAAAGAGTGAGGGTGGATTGCCACGCGGCATTCGGCATCTTGTTTGGGACCAAGGGAAGCGGAAGATGAACATGGCAATCGGGAGATGGAGGAGTTATTGCGAGCCGATTGAAGTGCAGAGGAGTATATTGCGTCAGTAATGGACTTTTGATCGATACGACAGACGATGCGGGAGCAAACAACCGAAAGCAAGGTGGAAGGGAATTGGATGCGGCATAATACAATAGCAAATGAGCTGTTGTTGGTGTTGTGCAACCGAGAATCTGTTGTGGCACAGAACAGAATGTGGGATGCGCCGGACGAATGTTGCACATGGATCGGGGTAGACATCAGGATATGTTTATTCCGCTCCAGAAGGATGGAGTCTAGGCGATCAATTAAGGAATGGGCAGATAGACACTCGTTCACGCCAGAGGAGCCAATGTTCTACCTCTGCCTTGAGCTTTACTTCGCAAATGCACACATGTAGAGAACGAGGACGGGGGCGGGGACGATGGAAAAAAAAGAGAGGGAAGGAAAAGAGAGGATGAGCAAATTGCTCAGAAGACAGAAAGCGAAAGAGAGAAAAGAGAGCACTCTCGTCCAGTTGCTGTCATGGCATCAAGAGTTCATTAAATTACTTGAGGTATTCTTCAGGAACCAATACAGTCCGATGGGCTAGAGTAATGAAGCGTGAAGTATGAACAAACGTACGAAGACAAGTACCCCCATGGCCCATGGCTCACCTTATCCGCTCTTCCAAAAGGTCAAGGTGTGTTTGGTTGAGTGTGAATGTGTATGTAGTCTATGTGGATGTCGATGTCGATGCAAATGTGGATGTGGATGTGTGGATATCTCTCTCACTCTCGTTTTCGTTCACTCTCCTTCGTGTTGCAACCATTCCTCCAATCACTGCAATCCGCAATCATCTCTCCTCATCACACCTTGTCTCCCCCTCCCTCTCACCCTCTCTCACCCTCTTTCGCCTCCATCAACATCAACATCCGCATCCCACTTCATCTCATCCACAATCCCATCTCTCTCATACACGCACACTGCCCACCTCGAATATCACACCTTTCCCCACTCCAACGTAAGGCGTCCTAAACAAGCCAGACCACCCCGCACCCACTCGCCCATCCCCCCTTTTTTTTATATATCCTACTTCCATAAATCCATTTGGACTATGACCAATACGCACTGCCACTCTTCATCCAACGTGCTGTTTCATCTTCTACAACCACTCAGCACTCAGGAAGATCATTGCCGTTTCTTCTTATCGTCCTACACATTGACCCTCCCACATACCTACCTTCGTCTTTTGCCTGATCTTGACCTGTGACAGTACGCAAAAGGGCGACGGGACATGCTGATTGGGCATGTCAATCAAAGAGGGGGCACACGCCTGTAACGATCTTAAGCCATGGCCACCCCTCGTCCCTAAATACCACCCGCAGCTTACTCGTTTTGCGAGGCACCAACTCAAGCCCGATCTAACCAAACAACCTTTCTCTGCCTTGTCTCATCGGACGCGATAGTCTTTTTCGCAATCGTCGCCCTCTCTTACCTAGTCCATTTGATTGCTGAGATCGATCGAGGTAAAGAAAGTTAACCTATACCCCACTGCAGATGCGTCGTATGCAACAACAGCTTCATCCTTTTCCACCTGGTTTATTCTCCACGGCGCGTGGGTTTGGTTTTGTCAACAGTGTGCGATCATGATATCGTCTCTGTTATCCTGAGGGTGTCTCAAAAAAGGACAGACGGGTTCTTGTTGGCCTTGGACATCAGCTCTCTTATAGATTTCAGTCCAGGCCGTTGTGATTTGCGCGCTGTGCCATCACTATAATAGATTCCACCCATGGGCATTCGAAGGACCTGAAGAAAATATGAGCGAGGGGAGAGAATGAGTTTGCCACCAACCGGCTTTGTTTAGGCCCAACTGCCCCATTCCAGTCATACGGAGTGCAGGATAGAGAAGTTCCAGCGCACCCCTTGCTCTCAACATTTGGCTGCAGTGGGCCTTGTTCCCTTTTCTCGCATGTCCTTTGCCTTGGCGTCTTTCTTTGCTGCCTCCTGGGTCACTTCCTGGGATACATTTCTAAAGTGTGAAAGAGGGGGTGAACTCTGTTCGCGGTCGAAGCAGACGCGACTTGTAACTAGGGTGCAAGGGCCACTCCCACCCCAAGCTACGCGTACATACCTTACTCTGCGCAAATGTCCTGTTCCATTTTTTCTTTTTTTAAATCCCATGATGCACTCACAACTCAATGCATGTTCCTTATGCCGCTGATGCTCATCATGTGTATAAATGTTAACGGTCGTGTCTCCTGACCCCTTCTGGCCCATCTGGTTATCAACGTGCCTCCTTGGATCAACTTTGTTGCTTTTCTTTCATGTCTCTGTTATTGTCGTCGCGCTTGAACATGCCTTGTTGCTAGTTTATCCTTGTCCATCTACCTTGCCGGGGGGTTTTTTTGTTGTTGTTTTTTTTTTGTATTTGTTTTTTTTTTCTTGCTTCTGCATCCATGGTCACCCACCTCCCCCTGGATTCTCTGCGCGCATAAATATCGATTCCAACGCTCTCTTATTCATTTATGCATGGGGCACCGAAGCAGGCCACTAACGATATTTTAGTGCGCGACAAGCGATGGTTGATGATTGATGGTCAAAGAAAAAAAAAAGAAAAAGAAAAAAGATGGGAGGGAGAGTGTCAAATGAATAGAGTTAATTGCTTCGTTCAAGAAGACAACTACGACCGTGGAGTACTATCTCCCTAATGAGGAAGAGCGCCCTCTGGTTCGTTCTGGTTTTGCTGTTCGTTTGTTTGCTTCTCCTTTGCCCCCTTTTTGCTGTTAGTGGTTGCCGCCTTGTTGGGGTATTAGTATTTTTATTCGTTTAGCTGGCAGCTGTCGTTCCACTCAGCAGCTCCATTATTCTGTCTAGCAGAAGAAGGGCCGGAAAAAGAAAAAAAGATAGACAGATCTTTAGAACCTTTTTAAATGGTTATGGTGGTCTGGGCATGCACGGTCCGGACTTGCTCTATTTATTTTGACGTTCTCGACCCCGTTTCCTGGTTGCTTTTACTCTTCACAACTGCATCTGTCTCCCTTCTTGTTTGCAGAGCATTGCTTTTTCTTTTGGGCCCTGTACCCTCTTAATTTCTCCACATCATCCATCTTCATTGCACGCCTCCTCCCTGTTCGCAATTCCCCATTAACATTCACACCCATATTCTGTCCCCTGACACCACATTCTCTAGCCTCGGAAGATCAACAACTACCCCATCTCCACATCTACGCCACTTTCCCGCCCTACAAGTAGTTCCAAGACCTCTGTCGACCAAGGTACGCACCACCTGCAATGCAATGCCTACCTGCCACTTCCCGCTCTCGCATTCGCATAAGATCGCCTCCTTGCTAGCCCCTTCACGAGCGCTTTTGCTCAGTTTCCCTTTATCTCCTTTGAGACCCCATCGGCTCTTCTGTCCTATCAGCATTGGACGCGCTGAAGACTTCATACCAATAGTTCTCAAGAGATTTTTAGTCCCCACACATTTTTTTTTCTACTTGTCTTTCAACCTTTTTCTGCTGCAATGTATCCAAGCAATTGATCTGAGGGGACCTTTAAGGGTATCCGGAAGCTTTTCTTTTCTTTTCTTTCTATCTCTTTCTTTCGCTTTTTCTCAGCGTATCTACCGCTGATCACTTGGCTATCATTCTTATATCCCACAAGTAAGGTCACTTTACTTGGATCCGTCCCTTCCTCCGCTTGTTATGAAACATCATATTCAGCATGTTTGGACTTCAGCACAGCCAGTGTGGTTAATATCGCGAATGTCTCGGCATTGCTGTGCTGTCTCTTTCTTTGCTTCTTCAACCGTTCCGGGGGAACCGGGGGCTGAAGAGTACAGTTTCGATTCCCAAAGGGATGGGGGGTAGCAATTGGTTAATCTGAAACGCGACCCTTCTTTACCCCATTGCTTTTTGTGCCGTCGCACAGCGCTCTATGCACATTTCATCATACACTCGCCGCGCACCCACGTCGTTCAATTGCTTGTTCTTTGGCTCCCTTGCTTTTGCTCTCGGCCTTTGTTGCACCAATTAGTCGGTTAATCAAACCAAAACTTGGCTTAATATTTTTCAATTAACCGATGCACGCCCACTAACCCCTACTTCTCCTCTCCGGTATACATCTTTCACATCAAATAGATATCCCATCTCTGTGCTGTTGTCGGTCTACCTCCCTAATTTTAACTCGGTCTCCTCAGACAACACCTTGCAACCGCCCTTCTCTCTCTTCCCTCTCCATCTCTCTATACAACTAACCGGTCATGGGCTGCTGTATGAGTCAAGACGACAAGGAGAGTCGTAGCCGCAATGAGGCCATTGAAAGCCAGCTCCGAAAAGACCGCATGCAGATGCGCAATGAAGTCAAGATGCTGCTGCTCGGTAAGGCGAAGCATTAGGGTTCTCTCAGCTCGTTTTTCGGTTAAACATTCATTTTTCATCAACTCTAATCTCTTTGATACTCTTGTGAAAATTCGGTAACCATCAACCTAGGCGCCGGAGAGTCTGGAAAGTCAACCATCCTAAAGCAGATGAAGCTGATTCACGACGGTGGCTACTCGAAAGAGGAGCGTGAGGCATTCAAAGAGATCATCTTTTCGAATACAGTGCAGAGGTAATTGGAGGACACAAGATCTTAGGGGGGATAGGGGGATGGGGAGGTTCGACTGGTGGTCCGTGCAAATCTTGTACCACTAGTTCGTGTGTATGTGTATGTGTATGTGTATGTGTATGTGTATTTGTGTGTATGTGTATGTGTATGTGTATTTGTGTGTATGTGTATGTGTATGTGTATGTGTATGTGTATGTGTGTGTATGTGTGTGTGTATGTATGTGTAGTGTGTGCAGGGGGACGAAGTACAACCCTGTTACAAAGGAGCGCACTGAACCGATCTAACTTTCATCCCCGTTACGTTTTTTCAATCCACTTTTTTCTTTAGTATGCGCGTTATCCTCGAGGCCATGGATAACATGGAGCTGCCGCTGTACCATCCTGCCAACCGCAACTATGCTATCATCATCATGAGTCTGCCTGGTCAGATCGAAGGCGAGCATATGCCACATGAGGTCGCACTCGCGGTCCAGAACCTGTGGCTCGATCCCAACGTACAACAGGCGTTCCAACGCAGTCGCGAATACCAGCTGAACGATTCTGCAAAATAGTACGTGTAAAAAGTGTCCTGCGTCTCGGTCGGTAAAAATGCTTGGATACAACGTCTCATTAACCATGTAAATTCGTTATTCTTTCATTTTCATTTTCTTTTTATGTATTCTAGCTACTTTGATTCGATCGATCGGATTGCCAAGCCCAACTATGTCCCCACAGATCAGGACGTGCTTCGGTCACGCGTCAAGACGACGGGTATTACCGAGACAACCTTCTTGATCGCCGACTTGACCTACCGGATGTTCGATGTCGGTGGACAACGATCGGAGCGTAAGAAGTGGATCCACTGCTTCGAGAACGTGACGGCGATCGTGTTCTTGGTGGCGATCTCGGAATACGACCAGCTGTTGCTCGAGGACGAGAACGTGAACCGGATGCAGGAGGCCCTGGCGCTGTTCGACTCGATCTGCAACTCGCGCTGGTTCGTAAAAACGTCGATTATCCTGTTCCTGAACAAGATCGATCGCTTCAGGGAGAAGTTGCCGATTTCCCCGATGTGCAAGTACTTCCCGGATTTCGAGGGTGGAGATGACTATGACCAGGCAGCACAGTATATCCTCAACCGGTTCGTGAGCCTGAACTTGTCCGAGACCAAGCAGATCTATACCCATTTCACATGTGCGACCGATACCAGTCAAATCAAGTTCGTTATGGCGGCTGTTAGCGATATCATTATCCAGACCAACCTGCGGGATTGTGGGTTGTTGTAAAAACACAGAGAAAAAAATACAAACTCCCTCAGCAACAACAACAGACAATCTCCCAAAAAAAAAAAAAAAAAAAAAAAACCACATCGTAGCACGGTTCATGTTCCCCTTTCTAGTCTTGTCAACTAATACATATACATACACTCATACATCCATACATCTATACGTCGTAAATCTGTATCTGTACTTTTTCTTTCGTGCCAGCCTTTGTCTTTTTTTGTTTTTTTTTTTTTTGGTTCCTGTTCATATCGTCTTATGGAACGGATAATTACTAAAAAGAAGAAAAAATAATCAAGTTCAGACAAACTCGTGCAAAACGCGAAGAGTCCACCAGAACAGCGAGGCAGAGGATCAATAGTTTTGTCCGCACTGAATAACACTGAATAAGCAGCCCCACCAAGATAAAAAGGAAAAAAAAAAAAACACTCGGGTTCAGATGAGCAACAGCCTCGAATGTCGCGCACAGCACATTCATTCCGCTCCCCTCCCTTCGTTGTCCGAACCTTTCAACAGTTCACAGTAAGAAGAGGTCGCTTTTTTGCTATGATTCGTTATAGCATCGCGTCTATATTCTTTTCTTTTTATAGCTTTATATGCTGTTACTTTTCTTTTTTCTTTACTATAATTCCTCATACTCAGTCCATCCAGCCCTACGCCCTACGAACGCAGTCTACCATAGCCCGTGGCCCAATACAACGCCCCTTCGTTCACATTCCCAAGTTCTTGCGATTCAAATGTGCCAGCTTGGAGCCCTCCTTCCTCCTCCGCTTTCCTTCGAGGTACAGCATCGACTCTGCATATGTCCTCGGCCAGACCTTGGGCGTCAAATGTCCCTGCCCCTGTTGAGGGTCCGAGAACGTGAACCAGAAGGTGTTCGTTGTGTCCCTGGTTCCCTTGCGCACATCCAACACATCGGCCTTGACCATCACCTGGAACGAATGGTGCTCCCCGCCCTCGGAGTAGACGATCTGTGAGTCGAGCGCGAGGAACGTTCCAATGTTGACGGGTTTCCGGAACGAGATCTCGTCTAGGGCCAAGAACGTGGGGCGGTTTTTGATGAACACAGATGCGTTACAGAACGCGAGCTCGTATGCGAGTCGCATCAGATATCCACCAAAGATCTAAAGGAAAAAAAAAAAAATCAATGTGTATTTCAACGGCGAAGAGCAAGAATGCAGGAATACGTAAAGATCAGTACTTGGTGCCACAGCGCGGCAACATCATCAGTATCAGAGAGAAAGAGAGAGTGAGATTTTTACCTTATTGTGGATGTTGCGGTCCTGGGGCTGCATGATCTGGATGGCGCTCATCTTCGTGTCTGCCATCCACTCGTCCGTGTCGGGCTTCTTTTCCTTGACATAAGGGTCATCGTACTTGGAGTACTCGAGGTACAGATCGTGGATCAGAAAACGCTCCTCCTCCGTGGGTGGACGCTTCGTGAGGGCCTGCTCAGAAGCGAGTCGCTTCCTGGCCTTGTGGTCCTCACCCATCTGGAAAAGCTTCTTTTCGGGTTCGTTCTGCAGGAGCATCGGGTTGACCTGCGCAGCCTTTCCTGAGAGCGCGTCTCTGGCGACCATGGTGAACCGTGCGACCAAGATCGTGTCGCCGTGTTGCTCAGGGTCCTTTGTCGATATCTCTTCCATCTTCATGAAGACTACATGGAAAAGACGAACAGGGTATTTAAAAAAGCTGTAAGCATTCAAAGCTATCATGTTTCTGTCCTTGAGCCGTCCTGCTTCATGGGTCACAAAACAAGAAGAAGGTGGGCCGTCGTACCTTCCATAGAGCTGTATCCGACGTAGGTGACATGTCCTGAGAGACGCAGGTCGCTGATGCTCAACGGCTTCAGGAAATCAATCCTGTCCACCGATGCTGTGACGATCGTCAGAGGGGCGCTATCCGGATTTCCATCATCGCAGTGCTTGTACGAAATGGCACCCGCCAACGCATCCAAGTCCTCCATGATCTTTCCATGTCTACAAAATGTTTGCCATAAGATAGATCAGTAACTTTTTCAACGGACTTCCACTTCGCCCCTCTCCCTTTTCTCATAATAACTACAACAATCAGATTCTGCATTTACCTAACAGTTCCTCCAAAATTGATGTACTCCTCCAGAAGAGCCTTGTCCTTCCCAAACGGCAGAATGATCTCCGTATACGAGTCCTGCATCTTCTTCAGGACCAGATCTCTCTTCTGATACTTCTTATCATTGGCCTTTGACTGCGATGAGGAGGATGTCGAGGTTGGCGATCCATGATCCTGAGCGAGCTTGTCGATCCAGGAAGTAATGGGTCTCACAGTAAAGATCTTGTTCCCAGCTGAGGCCGCGGACGTTGTCGATCCTGCAGGGCACATATCCGGGTGTTCTGTTCCGGGGCCTTTGTGCAAAAAAAAAAAAAAAAAAAAAAAAAAAAAATGAAGGCCAAACGTGAGTGTAAAGTTATCAGGGTCTGGAGCGGGAGCCGCTCAGCTTCCTTTTTTGGAGGAAGGCGAGAACATGAACGCGGACATGAACACGAACACGATACAAATTGAATATGAAAGAGCAAAACGAGCACGGAAAAAGTTTTTTTTTTTTTCTTGCACTCCATTGGCAATCGAGCCTCAACGCCCAGTCTCACACAATAAAAGAACGAACTACCATAATACAGCGCCTCGATGCCTTCTCTGATCGAAACTCAGATGCAGGAGGGGAAAATGAAAGAGACTCATACCTTGGGTCGTAATGACAGTAGGCGTCGATCCATCATGAAGAGATGCACCGAGATGATCCAATAGTTCTTTGTCCTTCTTTTCAGCGATCGGGGCTACATATTTGCCTTGGTTGCTTGAAACTGCGTAGTAAAGCGGTTTCTCAGTGTTGAGACATCTCTTGGATCCTACCGAGACCGCGGTTGATCTGGCAAAGGGTACAGTTACACGCGAGATTCCTGAAGAAGAAGGGGCCCGGTGGAGCGAGCGAGAGATCGTAGCAAAGCGCTGCATTTTGGGGGAGGGGAAGAGATGAGATATATGAAAAGAAATGCAGGCGATCGGAGATGTTGTACAAGGAGTGTGCAGAAAGTACAGGACGGAGGTTTTTTTTCCTTTCTAGAGGGCAAGCGTGGGAAATATTTGGGGTGATGTCTCGATGTCTCGATGTCTCGGGGCGAAAGAAGTGATCAGGAATGAGACGAGTCCAAAGTGAATGCAGGAATGAATGAGAAAGTCGAAGAAGCGAGAGGGGAGCGCGAAGAGAGAGAAAAATATGTATACACATATAATAATAGGCCGCTTTATTTCTGTGAGACATGGCAGGATAATGACGAAAGTGACTTGCTGATCCAATTTGGCAGGCCTGCAGCTACACCACATGGTATCAATCACGGCAGGGCGGCAGAAGGAAGGAAGGATCTATGGCGAAGAACAATATATATCGTCATGCATCCTAGAGCGAAGGCACCGGAGTCAATGAACTCGCGTGCTGCTGACCAGTTTACTCTGCTGTGCCTCCTCATCGTTCCACCCAATTGAGAGCGAAGTATTACTCTTGAGGAGCTCCAACACATTTCGCTGTCGATAACCATCCGTATCATCGCTCTCATGGTACAGGCCGGAAATGCCAAGCAGCTGGTATTGAGCCTTAAAGGTCCCCACGTGCAGCTTCAGTCGAAATGCCTTGAGTAAATACTGGGCATCAAGAAGACCTCGCTCAGCCGTTACCTTGGAGCCGAGTGAAGGTGACACCGTCTTTGAGACAGATTCTTCCCGTAGAGTTGGTATGGACCTGTGAAGCCAGCGACCAGGATCGAACACCAGGAGATCCAGCTCCCCTGTCGTCAAAACCTCGATGCCAATGATCGTACGCGAGTGGCCCTGGTGCTGAATGTAGAGGGGTGGTTTGGCAGTCTGGATGACCCTCTGATCCGAGTCTTGTTGTAGGTGGCTTGAGAACGACATCAGTTCTGGTGCAGTAAGGGGCGACCATGGTGGTGTCCGAAAGTAGTTGTAGACTGCTGAGAGCATTGCCGGATGGGTACCATTGGGGCCGGTGGGCATGTGGAAATCGAGTATGCTGCAGCGGATCCCAAGCGAGCACAAAATTGACCACGCCTCTGTGGTCCCGATCCACTTCCTGGTTCCCCTAACCTTGTGATTCAGCTGCCGTGCACCAGAGAGGTCATAACCCTTCTCCCATGCAAACTCGAGCTGTTGCTGGAGCTCAGGAATGGTGGGAATAGAGCTGGATATTTGTCTGTCGGTATCATCCCCGATTGTGTCATGGATGGCGTCCTGGTGAGCAGATGCTTGCTGGACAACGTAGGACAGCATCATTTGAATATTCCGATATCCGCATCCCCATCCTCGGTCTGATTTATCGCTTTGGCAAAAGGCCACAGACGGGTCTGCAAGATATGCCTGCCTGGTGATGCCCTGCGCTTTTGAAATATCTAGTAGCATTTTCGCCTTCGCAATCAATCCTGGGACCCCAACGTCATTGGGTGAGTTAGCAGAAAGAAAAGTGAGTTGCGAAGGCGAAGGCGATGGAGTTCCTATCCTTAATGATCCACTGCCAGTATCTGTCCTTTTAACAAATCCATCCATGGTTGTTTGACCACCTTCTTTTGTTTTCTGTACTGGACTCGTGCGCAGGATTGCTGCCTCTGAAGAAGCAGTTCTCGGCTGCTTTTTGGGTGCGCCTCTAGGATATGACTCTGAAATGTGTGGAAAGTGGCTCCTTGCTCGCTTTCCAGTGGTGTCGTGCCGCGCATGCATATGGCCCTGCGGGGATATTGCGATTCAAAATGTCAGTTGCTTGCGATTTCATCGGCCTCATTCCTATGGTTTTGTAAGAGAGTATGGTCAGGGAGTCATCGCTACCTTGGTAGTGGAACTCTCTATCCAGCCAGCACCCTGAATTCGCTCCGCAAGATGTCTATCCATGTGTCCTGCCATGGCTTCGATGCTGACTATATGGATGGGGCGTGGGTAACACAAGTTATATTATGAACGAGATCAATGGTGGGAGCACTATTGTCATCATTTTTATTCATTAGACCCAACATATCGTGATCAAGCATTCGCTGAACATCACTAAGTGCTTACCCATCATACCGCAGCCTGGGGCATCGCACTCAATTGCGAATTGACTGAATAAGGACGAGCCCGTGATCTCAGCATCAGCCTTCCCGTTGGCAGGTTTGCCTACCTCCTCGCTTGCCCTTTGCGCTGGCTGGATCTCGTCTGCAAAGTGACTCTGAACATGGCTTTCGAATGCGATAATATCTCCGTAGAACGACTCATGGCACATGGGACAGGAATGGGATTCGCTTCTGTTGCTTGTGCTGGCTGCGGTGTCTTTTCCACTCGATTCCGCCATTGACTATGGTCCGGCCCCGTTTTGCATGGAGCAGTGTGGAGGATGGGCGAATAAAAACTAGATATTATTTTTGGTGGCGACCCTTTCATTGGCCAGTCGCGATAATTCAGGATGAAAGTGGCGCAAAATTGGCCAGAAATCTAGACTACTACAGATCTGATACAAAATGCGAGCGCAATCCTCACGTGATAACTTGTTTGTTCACACGCACATGGTTGAATGAAAAGTGGGAGTCCGGCGAGGAGGAGAGCAGACAGCCGCTTGGTGGACCATCTCCAGGGAAAAGTGGTTTTGAACGAGATGGAGAGAGGAAGGAGGATAAAATTCATATCGGCCCGTGATCTTGACTAAGAGAGGACCCATCGGACCCGACAGGTTGCGTAGCGGTTTTGGGACCCGGCTCAAGTATTAGAAACCATGCGACTCAGAATGTGCATCATAGGTATTTGGTTCCTTATTTTACATTAGTTTAGTGGGGGCTTTTTGTTAGCTATCTTTTGATAACTTTCGGCCGGCTGACAGTCCAAGCCGAGGCTTGGACAATGCAGCCTGTGGCACGCCTGCACGCCTGGGGGGATCTGGCGTCAATAAAAAAAAAAAAAAAAAAAAAAAAAAGAATGAAAAGTGGGAGTCAACACACCGACGCCTCAGGGACGACTGGCAACGGGTCGACTGATGCCTGGACCACGGGACTGCCAGCGCGGTTGCTACTCATGGGCGCATCTTCATCCATGGCATCCGACCCTGACGCGTAGAAAACGTCGTCGTGGGCCTTGCGTGCACGTTGCAACGGCTCCTTGTTCTCTGATGGTCGGGCAGCAGTGTCGGCAGACGAGGGGTCGCTGTTGCTGTTGGGTTGGACGGTCGCGGGTCGGGCGGGGCGCTGGGCCGCGGCACGCGGCTCGGTTGACTTGAGCACCATCCTCCTACTATTGCCATTGTTGGTGATGGTAGTGGTGCTGGAGGTAGTGCGCTGGATGTTGGTGGATGTTAGCCCCGAACCCATAACGGTCATCTCAGCACGCATGGCAGGCTTTTTTGTCGCACGACTTTGGCTCTGGCTGGTCGTTCTGCGCTTGATGGCTGCTGGTGTTGGGGCAGTAGCGACCCAGGATGAGGAAGATCCTGCGGCATCATCGTCGTTGTACTCCATGACCCTCGTCCTCGTCAGGGCTCGATCCATAGGTGATGATGGTTCAGCAGTTGCGGCCTTCTTGCGGCGTCCGCCTTCCTTTGAGGTAGCCTTGCGCTTTCCGCTACCAGTTGTGCTCCTGCCGTTGCTATTGTTACCGTTGTTGCCGGGTGCCGCGCCCATAGTGCCTCCATTGGTATTACCGCCACCGCCACCGCCACTGTCGCTGGGGCTACTGCCGCCATTGTTGCCACTCGATACGCTTGTTTGCTCTTCCCACGGATAGGTGCCATCAGCGCGCACTGGTTGGAGGTATCGCGGCCGGCCGTTCCCATTGAGGTAGCTGCGGACAATATGGCACATGTTGGCAGCAGCCATGGCGTCCCGATGGTAGCGTCTTCGGCAATGGCGACAATGGAGACGACGAACGGTGATCCGTCCGATAAAGTTCTCACACCTCGGGCATTTCTGTGAGGTATAAAATTCGTTGACGCCGATGGAGATGTAGCCGAGGGAACGGGCCTAAAGAAAGAAGAGATTGTTTGTACTGTAAGTATGTTGAAATCACTTTTGAGGCTGCCCTCAAACATCCAAACAATAAAGAACTCACCATTTGAATGAAATATTTGCTAAAAGTACTATCCAGAGAAGCAAGACCTGCCTTTGTCTGGAACTTGGAGAGTCCGACGGCGATGACAACGTGGTTGTCGTCAGCTTTCTTAGCGCCAATCGATCCACCAACAGCTTTGAGCAGCGCATTGGCAACCTTGGCGTACTCCTCCTGCTTGGCCCGTCGGGCGTCCCATGTGTGCTTTTTGAACTGGTAGTTGTTGCCGTTGTAAAAGTTGTTGAGCGCCTCATAGTGCTTCTCGCGATGCTTGATGTGGCTCGACACGCTCGCCTCAGCACCTTTGAGTGACGGTAAGGTGGACTTTATCTGCTTAATCGTACGCGGCTGGGCTGGCGACGCATCGTCATGTGTGTCTTCCGTTGAGCCATCCAACGGTCTGTGCTTCTGTGCATCCATCCATCGCCTCAACTTAAAGATGGGTTGCATGACTGCCTTGGTCTTGACAGCTTGGTTGTGAAAGGCCTCGGGATTCTGCACGCCGTTGGGTCCCGGCTCCGGTTCGAGCAGCAATAAGGATGCACCAACAACGCACGCCTGTCCAAGATCAAGTCCCAGGACCTTCAGTTTGTTACCCGGGCAGCCAAAGCTGCGCACGATACCCTCGGGCGATCGGACGATGTTGCGGATCTCCGATAGGTAGTAGTCCACGCCGCCAACGGTGCTCTGCAGCCGAGGCGGGAGCTTGGCCACGCGGTAGCGTCGGTGCCGCACTGATTGCAGCTCACGCAGCTTGAATGCCAGCAGCTGGACCTTGTGTCCGTCCGTCTTGATCGAGCCACGCAACAGATAGCCTTTGATGCGGTAGGAAGCAGAGTCAAAGGCCTCGTCTCGCAGGCTGTTGACATGGTCGAGAATCGCGCGTGGTGGCCATAGCCTGGTGGCTGCGAGAAATCCTCGCTTGCCGCGTTATCTCACGCTGAGGCCCGCTGGATTGACGTCTGCGATGAAGCTCTTGATGACATGGCCCACCAGGAGGGACTGCTGCGCGTCGACAAGAGCCAGGCCGTTGGCAGGCGGATCACTGAACTGTGCCGCCGCCATCTCTTGCAGCTTGACCTTGAGCGAGGGTTGTGGCATATAGCCATATAGCATGCTGCCACCGCGTGTATTTAATTAGATCCAGCGAGTCCTATCAATTTACTTAGGCCACCGAGTAACATATAATGTTTTCGGTGGATAACTCTTGTTCTCATTGACTCCCGGTTCAAGTATACTTCGCAAGGGTCGATGCCAAAAGAAACTCATCAACTCGGGCTCCGAGAAGGTGACATAGCCGATCTCCACGGGTGACAGCGGGCAAATCTTCCAGGAGTGTTGTGTGAGGCGGCTGAGGCGAATAAAGTGCCCTGCTCTTGCTGCTTCTTTAGCTATAGTGACAACCGGAAAGGCTGTGTTAGCGCCAAAGTGAGCTCCACGAAAAAAAAAAATGGTGTTCATATCATAAATCTGAGCATGACAAGTACCTTTTGAAGCAGAGTCTTGGTGCCGTTCCGGTAATGTTTCTTGATCTCCACGTTGACTTGGCCAGCAACCGATCTCACCAAATCAGACGGCTTGTACTCCATGCCGCCGGCGGACAAGGGCGCTTGCTCCAACAAGCTAAGACTAGAGGAAATGGGTGTCCTTGTGTGTGAGAGGGGGAAGGGGGAAGGGGGGAGGAGAGAGAGGGCGAAGGTTTTTGGGGAGTCGCGAACAAGACAAAAAGCAAAAAAGGAAAAATGGCAGAGTGGTGTGCATGCCAAGGTTTATGACTGTGCCTTCCACGTTGCACAGCTTTGGGAAAAAAGACTATTCACCGGTCATTCAGTAAGTCGAGAGCATTTTGTCACACCAGTGATTGAATTCATGGGGCGCCGATACTATCGAACAAACTGATCCTTCTTGACATACTGTTTAGCCTGCTCTGCAAAAAGAGATGAGACCCTTGTTGAATAAGATCCGCTTAACGTCTAGAAAAGAGGGTGGGGATGGCCAGGATGTGCTCTGGCAACAGTTTCGGGACAGGTATCCCAACGACAGCTTGATCAAGTATTTGCAAAAAAATTGGTTCACCGTCGACGAGCTGCCTAAATCGGCAGAATATCACAGACAGGTAATATGTGCCCCATGGTACAGGATCGATCGCTCAGTCACGCACTTCAAACTGATAACATCACCCTTTCTACCTAGAATCTTCCTGACATCACCACAACCTGCTGGAAAGCTGGCACAAAACGCTCAAGAAGGTCTATTTGCGTCACGAGCGTAATGTTCGTCCAGATTTCCTGATGTGGATGCTGGCGGCTGTCATCGAGCTAGACTTCCGTATAACCTACTTCAAGGTCAAGAACAGACTTGAAGCACCCAAAATGTCCAAATTCGACAAGGCTAGGCAGGCGAAGGCTCGTGCCCTGTCCATAGATGAGGCCAAGCAAATGGTCACAAGCGAGGTGGAGCTTGGCGAGGTGAGTATTGGAACCTCGCAGGATGCAGCCGGATTTCTCATGTGAATACTTCAGCATGGATGCTGAACCTTTATTCTTCTCTCTTTACAGATCCGTGTCCGGTCTTTCAAGACTGTCGACACTCACTACATTGTCAAGATCAAGAGGGACAAGGGCTTGATTGTATCTTGCAGTTGCTTCGACTACATCAGGAACTGGATCCCTTGCAAGCATATGTACTTGGCAGAACAAGTATTTCGTCCTTACAATGTCGAGGTCCAGCAGGTTCCAGATCAATTTCCGGAGGAGCCAGATGTACCAGAGCCAGCGTCAGCGGAGCATGACAACTAAAGAGCGCTCGATCAAGAGCTCGATCAGCTTGCCGACAATGTTGAAAAAGAGCTCCAGCAACGCTTTCCCGAAGCATGGGAGATCCTAACGGCACAGAGATTCGCGGCAGAGGAGGAGGAAATGCTGAGGCGAGAACAGGAGGCAGCGAATGCAAGGGTGGAGTGCGAGGAGAGAATCCAACGCAGCCTCGAACAACCTGCCACTCATGTCAACAAGAGGCTGCGAGTGTGCAAATTGACACAACTTCAAGACTTTACTGGTGCATTGGCAGGTCTGTGCCATCATGCAAAGGAATTGCATATGCCTAGAGCAGGTCGTGCGTATCAATAAAAGTCGCTCTGGCGTCGATGTAGAGTGCCAGGGCGTGATGACAGGAATGAAGGCGAAGAGCTGGGTGGGACACATTGGCATCAGGCGCAACCCGCAATCCTCGCTGCCTCCTTTGGAATTCTGGCCAAAAAAGCGCCACTTTAATTCAGGATTTGACACGTCAGCGAGGGCGGGCCCCAACCCAACCCAATTGAGTCGTATATAATATATCAATATATCGTGGACAATATAAACGTTCCCTTTTGTTCCTTCGTTTTCTCTTTCCACAACTCATTCCATTGCACCTTCATTCATTTCACAGCTTCAACCGCCCTTGACCACCGTTCTCTTCATTCACAATGACTCGCATCTCCCTGGGTCTCGTCAGTCTCCTGGCACTGTCCTCGGCCGTGAGCATGGTCTGCGCGCACGAGGGACACGAACACGACCAGACGAAGTTCAACATGCCTGGCGACAGAAACTACAGCCCAAAGGACTCTGTCGAACTCCCCGAGTTCAAGGTAAGAGCGCGTGTCAACTGATTCTCCAATACAAGGGCTATCTGATGTGCATCTCCAACTATAACACAATCCATATTACTGACATGGCCTGTGCTCTAATTTGCACACCTAATAGCCCACAACGATCAAGGCACCCTTCCTGGAGCAGTTCGCCCAGAACTGGTCCGGCCGCTGGACTCCAAGCGAGGCCACTAAGAAGACAACCTCTGAGGGCGAAGTCTTCAGCTACGTTGGCAAATGGGCCGCCGAAGAGCCCACTGTCTACCCTGGCTTCAAGAACGACCTTGGTCTCGTTGCCAAGACTCCGGCCGCTTACCATGCCATTTCAGCTTCACTTCCCGAAGTTGTTGATAACGAAGACAACACTCTCGTCGTCCAGTAAGTTCATCGGCTGTTCTTTATATTCAAGTTACAACGATACGAACCGATATCAGTCCGCAATTGCTAATGAATCATTTAAATCGTTAACGTTCAGGTACGAAGTCAAGGCCCAGAATGGACTGGAGTGTGGCGGTGCATACATGAAGCTCCTTACAGATTCTCCTGAAGGCATCAAGTTCAAGGAGTTCTCTAGTGAGACCCCCTATACCATCATGTTTGGACCCGATAAGTGCGGAAACACGAACAAAGTCCACTTCATCTTCCGTCACAAGAACCCCATCACCGGAAAGTACGAGGAGAAGCATCTCCAGTCTGCGCCCTTGTCCAAGTTGAACCACTTCAGCAACCTTTACACCTTGATCGTCAGGTACGTTTACGTGATTGATGCGATTGACGCGGTCCAATCTATTTTACTGAACGTATGAAATGCAAATCATTCTGACCACGGTATTCTACATTTAATAGACCTGATCAGACCTTTGAGGTCAGAATCAACAATGACATTGCATCTTCAGGATCACTCTTGGAGAACTTCCAGCCTCCCGTCAACCCACCCAAGGAAATTGATGATCCCAACGACAAGAAGCCCGATAACTGGGTCGAGGAGGCCAAGATCCCTGATCCTAAGGCAACCAAGCCTGACGACTGGGATGAGGATGCTCCTGCTCGCATCCTGGATGAAAAGGCCAAGAAGCCACGTAACTGGTTGGAGGATGAGGTGCCCGAGATTCCTGACCCTGAGGCAGTTAAGCCTGAGGACTGGGATGACGAGGAGGATGGCGACTGGATCGCGCCATCAATCCCCAACCCCAAGTGCCAAGACAACGGATGCGGCAAGTGGACTCGCCCCTACATCTCCAACCCTGCTTACAAGGGCAAGTGGACCCCCCCTCTGATCGACAATCCCGACTATAAGGGCCCATGGGCACCTCGCAAGATCCCTAACCCTGGCTTTTATGAGGATCTGCACCCCTCCAACTTTGACAAGATTGGAGCTGTTGGATTTGAGATTTGGACGATGCAGAAGGATATCCTGTTCGACAATATTTACATCGGACACTCCATTGCTGATGCAGAAGCGTTGGCTGCCGAGACCTGGGAGATCAAATATGCCACGGAGAAGAAGCAGGAGGAGATCGCGAACCCCAAGCCCAAGAGCCATGGCGGAATTCCCGAGTTCAAAGAGGACCCCGTGGGCTTTGTTGTCGGCCATCTTCGTGATTTTATCGAGCTTGTGCGCGAGGATCCCATGAACGCGATCCATAGCCGCCCTGTGGTTGCAGCATCAATTGCAGCGGTTGTCGGTGTTACATTTGGATTGGCCTTGATTATGGTCGGCTTGTTGACGGCGGCACCCAAGACCTCTGCCAAGGCAGCAGCCAAGGCTAAGAAGACGGATGAGGCGACAGCCGACGACGATGAAGGCTCGAAGATTGTGAACGAGGATGATGCAGAGTTCAAGGAGGAGCCTATCATCCGCAAGCGCACGACCGTCATTGAGGATGATGAGTAAATTGATTTTTACCTCTCATCTTTTTTATTACCTTTATACTCTGTTTTCTATCTTCAGTTTTTACTTCCCCTCCCCCCCCTCCCCCATGGCATAATGCGCAGTTCTCTGTGCTATCTTATATCCGATTCAAATAAACACATCAGTTGGCCCCAAAAGCCCACTCCTTGAATAATATGAAAGATGAACAAAGAAAGGCTTCTTACGAGAATAGGAGGAAGGAATGAAACAGCTGAAACTTGTGCTGGGATAAAAGGAGAAAACAGAACATCTGCGGCAGATGTGGGCCCACTTTGCAAAATGTAAAAATGTAAGGAGAGAGAATGGCCCTTAATAGCCTTCCCTCATCGCACCCACCGCAGCTTTTTTTGAAAGCAGGCTGCTCACACATCCACATTCCATCTACATCAACACACACACACACACACACACACACACACACACGCACACCTACACAACAATAACAGCAACAACGACTGCAAAAAAAACATGGAAGCGATCGTCTCTATTTTCGGGTCCAATTCTGTGACCCTCACCTTCCCCGAGTCGTCCTCGCCCAGTCTTCTGGACCTTAAGCAACAACTCCATGACCTGTACCAGATCCCCATCGAGGACCAACGGATTCAAACCGCGGGTGGATGGCCTCTCTCGACCGGAAACGATGAGGACGATGATCAGGTCCTTTTGTTTGAGGATGAGTCCTCATTGGAGAAGGCGACACAGATGCGTCTAAAGTGTTTTGGGTTGACGATGCGGTTGGGGGGTGGTAAGGGAGGCTTTGGGAGCATGCTTCGTGCACAGGGAGGTCGGATGTCTTCACAGAAATCGACCAACACGGACGCGTGTCGGGATCTGAGCGGCAGACGTATCAAGACTGTGAACGAGGCGAAAAAGTAAGTAAAGCAAGAGTATCCCAGTGTCTTGACAAAGAAAAGAAAAAGAAAAAAAGAAAAAGAAAGAAGCATGGCATAATTGCGTGCAAAATTTGCAAGCCGACACTTGACTAACTCTGTTGGCACACATCTGTTGTCTTTTTTTTCTTTTTTTTTATTGATATGGTGCCTTATAGGATCGCGGAATATGTTCAAAAGGAGCCAGAGCGTCAGAAGGCCAAGAAGGAATCCCTGAAACGCAAGATTGAGGAGAAACTCGAGCTGGCTGAACGACCGACTAGGAAGCATCGGTTCGAGGATTCGAAATTCTTTGACGAGTCCGAGGAACAGGTCGAGGGTGTGAAGAGCGCAGTTGCGGCTGCTATCAAGGAGAGCATGAAAGCTGGAGCGACAGGAAAGGCTGTGGATACCAAGGGAAAGGGCAAGGCTAAAGAGACTGTTGTTGTTGCGGAGAAGAAGAAATCCGCAAAGTCGTTGGGCATGTGGTAAAGTTCTTGGAGCATAGATTATGCAAGGCGACAGATAATACGGAGGGGCAGAGGTTTCGTTTGCTAAAAGACTTGTGTATATCCATATCTAATACTTTTGCTTTTTTTTTTTCCGGAATAATAGGGATGATATGTCTGACTACGAGTCGACAGAGAACGAGGAGGATGACGAAGACAACGAGGACGATGATGATGACGAGGAGGAAGAAGGTGAGAACGAGGATTCGGACGAAGGAAAGGTTCCCAGTGTTGGATCATCTTCATCTTCCTCAGCATCCAAGTCTACGAAGGCATCCAAGGCCAAGGCCAAGGCCAAGTAATTGACCGGGTATAAGGAACACATTGTTGAAGCAGAATTCATTTGGAACTTGTAATACATATCACTACCGACACCAATTGTACTTTAATAAATATTGAGGCTTTCTCAGAAAGAATGCTTTTGAATATTCCTTTTTGCTGACTCTTTGCCCGCATGCGTTCGCCGCGTGTCCGCTGGGAGCAACTTTATGCTGCTATGCCATGCCGGTCTTTTGTACGCGTCTAATCCTAGAAAGAATCAATGTACTATAGTTGGATATTGAGCTGCTTTTTTTTTTTTATCTTCATGCCGCTGTACAGGAGCGTTAGTAAGATCGACCCGATGATAATCCATTGCCGGGGTTTCCTCCTGACCTGATCGATTTTCCCCGCAAATGACCAAGGGGGAAAGAGCGTTGAAGGTCTTTCGGAACGTGCAATTGGTCAAACTGGGGGACACAAAGGCCACCCCTGATTTTTTTAGGATAATGCGTAGACTAGTCACCCGCATACCTACGAATGTTGGACTTTATAATGACGATCGTGTGCTATTTGATCCTGCTTGTTCCCGTTTCTGGTCCTGGGCCAGTTCTTGTCTCAACCTTTTTTTTGGTCAGAGCCACAAACGTGGTCTTCGGGCTATGTTTTTAATGTTTGATTTCCCCGCAAAAAAAAAAACTGATGACAGCGTATCGGAACGTGCATAGCCCCCACATAAACTAGATGGGGGGGGGGGGGGAGGGGTTTTTTCCTATGCATCATAGTATGATGGAAAAAAGCATTGTTCACCAGGGGCAGCTACGCGTCTTCTTTTTTATTATTATTTTTTTTTTCGCGTTCCTCCAAAAGCAGCAATTACACAATCCAGCCCTAGTAGATAACTATCTTTCCATACCTCTAACAAACCCCTGCAAAATACAAAGACACGCCATTAGAGTCCGTTTTTCTTTTGAAGGGTTTACTTTTCACATGAACATAATTGTAAACCGTGTACTGGGATGTATGTACGAGGGCGAGTTGCTTTTATTTCCTGTCCGCCTCTACACAGTTTTCCTATTTCGTTGTCTTTTTTTTTTTTTTCAACAAGTTGTTCACATACAGCTGATTGGTATCTATGAGTAAGATAGGACAATCAGCATCACTCGCCCTTGCACTGCTGCATAGTCTAGCACGCACGCACACACACACACACACGCATACACACGCACATGTGCAGGACGAACATACGACTTTGATTGGTTTTTGGCATAGCATGAGGTGTATATGCTTTATATTTGCCAACGAGAGCTCAGCTGCAGAAGAAAAAAAAAAAAGAAAAAAAAAAAGACTTGCATGAGATCTTTGGGTCGCCCTTTCCTGATGTTCAGGAACAACGAAGGATTATCTTTTTTGGTTAATACTAATGGACCTGTGGTTACACTAGCAAGAGAGCGAACATCTGAGCCTGTCTGTGGGCGAGCAGAGTTAGTTGGGCTTTGGTTTGTAGTTCCCATACTCATTTTTTTTTCCGATTCCTCAGCAAACTCTCCATTGATAGATATAGTCTATGTACGTTGCGTGATGAAAATGGATGGACGCAGAGAAATAGACGGTCGTGAACATGCATGGATGCATGGGGTCTAAACAATGATATGTCAGGTGGGAGGACAATGGTTCGGGCTAATGGTATGATTGGCAGCGTCTTCTTTTTGGAGGAAAAAGGATATTATAGTAAAACGCCGCGTGCGTGCGCGCGCGAGAACAGATGTTCGATGGGACTTTTGAGATTACGCATATGAAAAGGTACAGCCAGGTCTATCTGTTTATTCCTTCGATGCATAAAAAAAAAGTAGCAACGCCCCCCCCCCCCCCCCCCCCCCCCCTTCGTCGGTCATCGTTCTTCGCCCTTTGCCCTTCACCTTCCGCTTTTTTTTTCTTTTTTCGTTTTTCTTTTTTCAGCGAATGTTTTAAACATGTGTCTGCGCCTGCGCAGGGGATTGCAAAGTCGTACAGCAGGCCAGTTAAAATGAAGAAGGGTCTTCCTAAAGGCGAAGATGATGATGACAAAAGCTGGACAAAAAGGAAATTGTTGCGAAAGGCGTGTTTAATAACTTTCTTACAGCGACAGAATCAGCAGAGAGCACGAACGTGTGTACATTACTGCAGGTATGCGACGGAATGTTCGCTGATCTGAGGGCGGCAGAGGATTTCGATACAGCCAGCATTGCACATCGCATACACTCACATGTATGGAATCTATCTCTAGCGCTCACGTCGGGATCTGATCCGCATGAGCTGTGCACCGGAAAGTGGAGATCGCAGCTTCGGGGTTTATTTATTAATGGGATGAAGAGGAAAGTGGAGAAGTGGGTGTGTAGATAGACTGAAGACTAGTCTGCTGGATTTGGATGTGTGATCAGCAGTGCGAAGCAGAGGGAGAGCTGGACGAGGACGGGGGGGGACATCATGGTGCGACCAAGGCTCCCGAGTGGGTGGCCGTGTGGGTGTGTCTGGGTGTGGCAATATGAAGATGGTGAGCTGAGAGTGAAATATGCGGGCAAGGGGAACAGACTGTTGCCTCGAGTAAGCACTGTCGAATAGTAAGCAGGTCGACAGCATAAGCACGAGAGAAGGTTTGGGTGTTGTTTCCTATCAACAGACAACTGCCCGGACAGTGCCGTAGGACAGAAAAAATTATTCAGGGTCGGAAACAAAGTCGTTTTCGATTGAATAGGGAATGAATACAGATGGATTCAGAGATATCCCTATTGACGCGATTACAGCGAGACCCTCCGTGTAATCTGATTGGCGAAGACACCGCTTGCACGCTCCCTTCCCTGCCCCCTCCTGCCCCTCGCACCGTTCTGAAGGAGAGAAAGAGAGAAAGAAAGACTACGGCACTACGGCACGGAACAGAAGAGGGGGCCCAACCCAACCCTTGCACAAACACAAACACAAACAACACACGCAAACACGGCACACGCACCCACGCAAACACGACACACACACACACACACACACTCTCTCTCTCTCTCTCTCTCTCTCTCTCTCTCTCTCTCTCTCTCTCTCTTCCTACTCTTCCTACTCTTCCTACTCTTCCTACTCAGCACACGAGGGAGGACATCCATCCGCATCGCATCCATCGCACCCATTTTTCCTGCGGACGATATAAAATACAGCGACCAGCGAGGACAACCCGGCCAACAAACAACCCGCCAAGCCCACTCTCCCACACACCCTTTTCACTTTTTTTACCTCCACTCAACTCCTCCTCCGGCTCCCCCTTTTCCCGCCCTCCTCCACCGCTCTTTTCCTCCATCGCTCCTCTTCATTCATTCATTCATTCATTCATTCAGTCTCTGAATCTCACTCCCTTCTTCCTCTTCACACCCCACCCAGCACTCGACACTCGGCCCTTGGCACTTCTCTGCCGATCCTCTGCCCTCAATCCCTTCGAGCCCAACCACAGCATCCTATGGAAGTCCAGGCTGCCCCCTCGGTCATGATGCCCTCCTCCTCCTCCGCCACCACCGCCGCAAACATCCTCCACACAAGACTTATCTCCGTCAAGACCGCAACCTCCCTAATGACCATCGGCCCCGAGAACGATCCCCACCCCTCCTGGACATTCTTCCCTGCCTCGGCCACATACATCCCACACCCCACCTACTCCACTTCCCCCGTCTCCTCCCCGGCGGCTGCTCCTTCCTCCCCTCCCCGCCACACCTCTCCGCAGCCAGCACATGCCACCAGCAATAACCCGGGAAACAACACCAACAACCACCGTAGAAACAGCACCCCTACCTCAACTCCCTCGACACACCACCGTATCCTGGATCACTGCTTCCATGTATCCATCGAGACTCGCCTCAAACAGGCCGAGGCCCAGTACCTTGCCTCCACACAGGAACAGGCTGTGGAGCAGCAGATCAAGGAGCAAGAAGCGAAGCACCAAACCCCAATGTCGGCTCTGGATCAAGACGACTGGCGTCGTCGCCAACGCTCACTCGTGGATGAGGCTGTTGTCCTCGGTCGCAAGGGATCGAACGTCGAGGCCATTGTCGATGGTATGTGTGTGTCTATCTGCTTATCTATCTTGTACTCCCCTCCTCCCATATCCTCTCCACTCCTTGCTTCGTGATGTTCCAGCATCATTATCGCTCCATCTACATCTGGTTTGTTTCTTTGTTGTCTGGTTTGATTTCTTGTTTTCTTTTTTTCCTTTTTGTTCTGTGTTGATTCTGTTTGTTGGTCGGTCCTTCGCGCTCCGCCCGTGTACTTCTCCACACGTTGTATCCAGTTTCCGTGTGCTCTCAAAAAAAAATCCGTTTCGCTATCTCCATATCTCCAGCGAATATTTTTACTGTCTCCTTCCGATTCCAGCACCCAACGCGTGCAAATGCTCCATAAAAGGCAACTATAGACAAAGATCCGGGTCCTTGCATGGTCCACATGAAAATCATCGCGTCATGATACAGCTGCCCTTCATATACTTCATGTACCATGGCCCTCCCTCTCCTCCCCCCTACAGATTGCCATCGCTAGTAAACAACGCGACGCGTTGACTCAACAGAGTCATGCCCTGACATTTGTTTACTCACAAACATGCAAACATGCAAACATGTCTCTCCCTCCCTCCCTACTTTATCCCATATAGGCATCCTCAGGTCCCATCGCTCCAGTGGCCCACTGCAGAACCTGCCCAGGCACTTGAAGCACCGCCTGCACTTGTGCCAGCTGACCTCCATGGTCTTTGGCCGCTTCGATGTCGCATCCTCGACCAACAACTCGGCGGGCCTTAACATCTACTCGGCTTTCCACTCTCGTCGCCACGGAGCCTCACGTGCGGCCATCCAACGGCACCTCACCAACAACCCAAACGGACAAAAGACACGCACCTTCTTTGCTCAACCGATCCAGTCGTCCCCTTACTGCCGTCGCCACCATCGCAGGGACTGTCAACGCACCTGCTGCACCCTCGCCAAGCTCCAGCAACAACAACAGCGCGCGTTGGAACAGAAGAAAAAGATGACAAACAACTACTACATGAACAATGTGCGCAAGCCCGAACAACAGCGCGTTGCTGGACTGGTCGATACCATCCCTGCATTCCTACAGTGCTCCGCAATGAGCTACACCGATATTGCCAAGAGCATGGTCGAGAAGGGCGAGGCCAAGGATGTTGCGGAGACTCGGGTGCTGGAGGGCTGGTACAGGCTTTTGCTGGAGATGATGACCCAGGCTGTGGTGGAGTCGTTCCTTTGCGATGGCGCCATGGGCGTGGAAACTATCCTGGATGTCTTTTCTTATGGTGACGAGGCAGAGACTGAGGACGAGCCAAAGCAGGTCGCAGTGGAGGAAAAATCGGGTACAGCTCAGCAAGAGCAGCAGAATATTGCTCAGGAGAGTAATGGACATGAGCACCAGGATGACATCTTGTTTGTCAAGACTCCCGAATACGAAGCCTTTAAGAAAGCCAAGGACGAGCGTCTCCAAGAGGTAAGGGATACGGTTCAATTGTTCAATTGATGCATGCCTGATATTTATTTATATATTTTATTGCATTCATGGATAATGATCTTGATGGCTCACACTTTCTATGTGCTTCTATTTTTCTAGTTCTTGTCCATGAAAGGCGCATCGATGGAGCAGCACTTTGTCAAACTTGCCGCCAAGTATCCCTTGATTGTCTTTGAGCGCCAAATGACCCATTACATTGCTCGATCTCAGAAACTTCTCGAGGATCCCAAGCTGTCTAGGGTAAGGATATTCGCACTGAATTTATTCTTGACAACTGTTACCCTAAATCGGCTTTTTGTTGCAAATTACTAATTCTCTATGGTTATCTTTTTTATTTTTAATGTGAATAGAGCGCGGAGGAAATTGGATTCCTTATCCCTCCTGCTACTGCTGCATATGCAGATGGATCCTTGTCGATGCCAGTCAGTGATGACGAGGACGACGAGATGGAAGAGATCAGTCGTCTGGAGGAGATTAAGGAGGAGGCGGATGAAATTACAGTCGCCGCCAAGAACGTGGAGGAACGTCCACAACGGGTCCGACACGAAAAAATGAAACTGGCGACGATTACGACGTCCATGGATGGGGAAGAGGAGCCGGCCAAATTGAGCGAGTACGAGGGTCAACCTCGTCATCTGCCATCGCCTCCACCTTCGATGCATGCAAGCCGATCCAGCACGGTGTCGCCGTCGACGACGTCGGTCTCGTATAATGAGGAGGAAGAGTCGATTGCAGAGGCGGCGATGATTTTGATGTCGAACAAGAAGCACAGATACCCGGAGACTGTGCAGGGATCCAAACCCTATAATGAGGCGGTTGCGACCGAGAAATTGGGACGGGCAGTGAAGAAGATCAAGGTGTGAAATGCACCATGCACCATGTACCATGCGCCATGAGCCATGCATTATGGTTCTCTTTCACATGATACTTTTCAAGCATATCCCTTGGATGCTCGCCGGATCCAGCATCCAGCATGGATCAGGCACAACCATTCCTACTATCTCTGTCTTGTAGTTTAGATGTATTTATTTTATTATTATTTTTTTCCTTAATGACAATTTTCTTGTGTACTTTTAGGACGACTTTATACTCATTAAAGTCATTTTTATATTAAAAAAACACCCGGGTTCTTGGGATGAAAATACGGGCAAGACAAAAAGACATGGCGATGAAAGGAGGTGATCGTATATGGGTGATTGAGGTTCATTCGGTACCCTTTGTGTGGTGTTTGGACGCGCCCCTGACCAATTCACGGATACATGTATGTGGATGAGTGTGGTGTATGGTGTGTGGTGTGGGTGTTGTGTTGTGGACATGTAGGGCACATCCGTGTGCGTCTATGCGAACGGCGTGTTGTTGTGGCAAATGTTGTTTGGATCGGATAACTGGGGGAGTTTTGAGAGCCAAGCAATTCATTTCATGGACAAAGGACAAAGGGCCAAGGGCCAAGGGCAAAGGACATCTCCGAAAAATGAACCTCAGTCCGCACGATAGTATTTCCATGTGAATGTTAATGATAAGCGGAGGAGGAGGAGAGGCCTATTTCCCCAGCTTTTGTTTCTCCTCACACCTTTCTTTTCTTTCTTTTTTTCCCTCGTCCTAATCCTGGATGCCCTTGGATTCATTCCCTTTTTGCATCCACCATCCTATACCACCACCATAGACATAGACCATTCCACACATCCCCGCCCCTCAATCCATCCTTCATTTCATCCCATGGGACATCACAACCGCATCCATTCCTCCGAACACATTGGCTCCTCCTCGCTGTCAGCTGTAGTCGGCGAGACGCACGACACTCACGAGGCATCCATGATGCAGGACCAACAGCCCATCGGCCACAAGGACGGCCCTGGATATGCGAGCTCAAACAACAGCACCGGCGCCACCAGCTACGGCACCTCCAACGGCAGCAGAGGGATCGCCGCCCTGACCATGCGCCATCAGCCTTCCCCTTCCTCGGACCACAAAGGTGTCAAAGACAGCAATATCCATCACTCAACCTATTCACGGACAACAAGACCAAAATCTGCGGATTACTCATACAAGTCCGGAGTCGAGTCGGCGTCCTGGCCTCCTCCTTCTACAGGTGCAACAGAGTCTCTACAGAACACACCAGAGTTTTTGAAGCTCAGTGGATCGACGACAGCGGGATCGCATGCAGGGCCACCGTCACCGACCAGAGGGGCTGAGGGAAGAGGAGGAGGACAGAATCACACCAAGGGACTGAGTCCTGCACAGAAGCGGAGGCGGGCGAATCTGATGAGGGTCAGGATCGAGCGTGGGTTGATGGTCGGGATGGCGATGTTGGCGGGATATCGGATGATGACGCTGGATTACAGCAGTAATGACAATCAGGAGGGGGGGCAGGACAGGTTTTACGGTAGTCAGGGCCAGATCGAGCAACAGCAGCAGCAGCAGCATTTGCGGCAGGAAACCGTACCAGGTCTGGCGCGGAGTGCGTGGGCATTAGGCGCAGGTAAGAAGGAGAAGGAGGGGGAGGAGGGGGGGAAGATCTGTTTCTTGATGTTTCAAAGATGCGGTGGCCTTGGAATGCGGAGGGTTATTTGATCCTCTTTAAGCTTTATGAACAATCTACTCACGGCACCCTTTTTTATTTTTCATTTTTATTTTATTTCTCATTTTTTATTTTTTTTGTGATCCAAAGGGTTCACTTTGCTGGCATTGGTCCATGCCCTGTTTTTGACCGCACACGACCGTCAACTCCAATTCCCACTCCACAACAAAAACCTGCCGCTGCAGCCCCTTCGCAAACGATCCAGTCGATATCTGAACATGAATGGGCCCCAGGCGATTGCGACCGCTGCCGTGGTGGTGGCGGACAGTGATGACGAGAGCGAGGATGACGAGGCGCATCAGCGGGATATGGCTGCAGAGATTCAACAGGAGAATCTGTTACAGAATCAGGAATCTACTCATGGTACAAATGGTTGTGGGCCGGTGGACTCTAGCAATAATGGAGGGGGCTGGCAGAGTCTTTTCTGTCGATCGGCTGAGAGCGCTGTGCCGCAATGGAGGGTCTGGGGATCGGAGGCCCATTGGTATCGGTAAGCGGTGTGCTCGTTTTCGTATGAGCTGCGCTGGTCACAGTTCCGAACATGACATTAACGGAGACGTTTTTTTTTTGTTTTTTTTTTTAATAGAAAGGGAGCGGACAATGGATCAATCTTCGCCACGATTTTGGTCCCCGTTGTGTTGGCGGCCAAGTTTGTACAGACGGTGAACGACGAAAAGTTCTTGTCCACAGGCGCACACGGGATCCGCACGGCCGAGGCGGTGCTGTCGAACATGGCATTCTCGCTCATTTTCGGGACATCAATTCTCTTGCACATGCTGCTCTTGAAGGTGTTTGACCAGATAGGGGCCGGATCAAACCGTCTTCATTACCCATTTCAGCAACAACACCCACGTAAGGACCTTATGGGCGCTGGAAGGAGTACCGTTCTGGAGAACGCCTTCATGCCACCCATCATGACGACCCCTTCTGCGCCATGGACCTCAATGTCGATGAACAACCTGAGCACGATGACGAATAACAGTTTATACCCAAAGAATACCTATCCCTCGCATCGCCAACATCAGGCCATCTCCTCTCCCTCCTCACCGGCTTCACCCTGGCTCTCTGCTGCGTCATCCGCGCCTTCGTCAGTGACACAGACCGTGGAACAGCCACGGGAGATCCAGGACACGTTCATGTTTTCGACCGACCAACTTCACCACCCGAGTCTACTCATGGGATCCTCAGAGACGGATAAGTCGAGTGATCGGGAAGAGATCTGGATCATTGCTTTCGGATTCAATGGCGTATATACCTGCCTTGTCACGCTCCTCGCACGGTTTAAATGGATTCCTGGACTGGAAAATACGGGGGCCGGGATGGTGATGCTGAACCAGAACCTCTTTCAGATTTTGATGTTTGGATTCGCGTACTTTTATCGCCGGTCGTTCACGTTCGGGGAGCTGGTGATCCTTGCCCAGGCTGTTACGTTGATGATCCATGAGACGCTACTGATGACCTTTGTGACCCCATCACCGCCCGTCGGCGCTGTGCTGGAGCACCCGCAGTTCATGTTCCTGTTGACGCTGGTGATGGGCATGTTGCTTGTGGGTGTGTTGCTGACGCCTGTACTGATGTATTGTCGACGACTGGCCCAGATGCCAACCAAGGGTGCTAGCGCTACAGCCCTGCAGAAGCGCGAGCTCAAGAAGAAGATCTCGGCCGGCGTAATCTACACGGGACTGGTGGCGATTGTGCTGGGGGTGATCATGCCGAGATGTGAGCGTGCGTTGGGTCAGAACCCGTTCTTGTGGTTGATTGAGTTTATGCTGATGACAAAGATCTTTACGACAGCGCCGCAGGAGCTGGAACAGCCGGGTCAGTCGCCGGTTTCGTCAACGTCGTCGTTGTTGGCACCGAATGTGTCGGATGCAAAGTTTGGACTGGAGACGCTGATGGGAGCGAGGATCGGGTGGAGTCGGTTGGGGCTATGTCTGTACTGGATCCTGGCGGTGGGATGCTCGATCGCGTTCTTTTACTGGATGAACGCGTCGATCCGGAGGCGGTCGATTATGGGGTCATTGAATAACCGGAGAAAGTACTATCATGCCCTGGCAGTCCTGATGTTCATTCCCGGGTACCTCGCCGATGTAAGTGTGCTTGTGTTTTTTTTTCTCTTTCTGCAATGATGATGATATTTTATGAAAGATCGTCGTGGGGTGTGAGCTGATCGTCTAATACCTGTCCTATATTTACTATACTTAAATGCTATGTAGGAGCCTTTCATGCATATTGCGTTCTCTGTTGGTCTTGCAACCCTGATCTTCTTGGAGTACATCCGGTACTTTGCGATCGTACCGTTCGGCAAGGAGATCCACCTGTTCCTCGTCGGGTTCTTGGATGCGCGCGACGGTGGACCGATTATTCTCAGCCACCTGTACTTGCTTATGGGATGCGCGACCCCCGTCTGGTTGGCGGAACAGCATATCCTGGCAGGCCTTTCTGGAATCTTTGCGCTGGGTGTCGGAGATGCGATGGCGTCGATTGTTGGAAAGCGGTTCGGGAAACATCGGTGGCCCGGGACGATCAAGACGGTCGAGGGGACGGTTGCGTTTGTGGTGAGTGTGATGATGGCAGCGGGGGCTGTGTTTGTGGGGATGTGGGTCATGAGCTTTGTGTTTGGTGACACCTCGATGTCCTCGGCTGTGTTGGGCTCCAAGACCGGGTCTGGTAGGACGGTGCCGCCGGCGTCGCTGTTGTCGTTCTCGACGTGGAATGATTGGTCGGCGGTGAGGTGGACGGTTTGGGGGGTGGTCCGGTATGGGATGGCTGTGTCTGCGGCGGCGATGTTGGAGGCTGTGTCGGAACAGAACGACAACCTGGTAATCCCGGTGATTATGCTGGCGATGGTTTGGTTGATTTAACAGCGAGAGTGAGAATGAGAACGAGAATGAGAAGGGAGGAGTGGAAACGGATGCTGTTTTTGCGTATGAAAAAACAATATACAAACAGAGACTTGGCCCAGCGTCTTTGTTCTTTCTTCTCTTCCCTTCTCTTCTCTTCTCCTCTTGCTGGGCTGTTTATTGTATGATACGAACTATTTTCTGGCACGAATAAACGGTGTACTATTAGAAAGGATGTATTTTTGAGTATGTTGACGCGATGGATGCAAATGGACGCGACAAACGCTTTGACGCGTAGCGAGAAATAATGTAACACAAACTGGTTTTCTAGATTCCAACGTTTTTTGGAAGTCAGTAATTCGCTTTTAGTTTATCTTTTTTTTTTATTTTTATTTTTTTTAATTAATTTAATTTTTTTTTATATCCGGGCGAGACTACGGCGCTTTCCTTCTTCTCGGTATCGCCTTTGCAGGACCCTCGGCACCAGCACCTCCGAGCTGCCTACTCATCAACACCGCCGGCGATATCGTCTCCCCACCACCACCACTATTGCCATTACTAGCCACTCCTACCAAGCCCCCGGCCCCAAACGCCAGACCCGGAACGAGGGATGATTTACCCTCGAGCAAAACCCTGGACGCATCCTTATCGACGATCAACCCCCTCAACCACTTGATTTCCATCTCCAGTTCCTTGACCCTGACCTCGAGAAGCTCGGATTTGGCGGTCATTTCTTTAGCGGTCTTCTCGAGGATCTGTTCACGGAGTCGTTTCTTTTGACGGAACCGCGCAGAGGCTGCGGTGTTGCGGCGACGCTTGTCTTCTTCTGCAGCGAGCTTGGAAAAGTACTCGGGCTCGTCCTGCGTGGGCGAGAGGAGGCTGTTGCTGCGGCTTCGGCTTTGGGAGGAGGAGGATGAGGAGGCGGCGGCGGGGTCTTGGTCGTCGGTTTCGACACTGCCGTCCCTGGCGGCGACAGCGGCAGCGGCAGCGGCGGCGGTGGTGGTGGTGGTGATGATGGAATGAGGGGAGGGGTCGTCTGTGTCCATGGCGGTACAGCTGTTGTTGGTGGGCGAGGTCGAGTCTTCTTGGCCTTGTTGTTGTTGTTGCTGTTGTTGTTGGAGGAGGAGTTTACGTTCTTCGGCGAGTTCGGATTGGTACTCTTCAAGTTCGTTCTCGAGCTGTTGGAGTTTTTCTTCATGTGAGACCAGTAGACGTGACCGAGCCGAGGCCGTGATCCTGTTGGTGTTACTCCCATTCCCACTCCCACTGCTGCTGCTGTTGGGTTCGAGTTGCTGATGAGGACGTGAGTGTGGGTGCGGATGCGCGTGGTGTTGTTGTTGTTGTTGTTGTTGTTGTTGTTGTTGGTGGTGGTGGTGGTGGTGGTGGTGGTGTGGATGGATCTGGAGGTGGTGAAAGTCGTGTATGACAGTTGGAGAGGGGAGTGGGGATGCGGTGCTAGGAGTAGTATTGTTATTACTGCCGTTATTGCTGTTGTACGGGTGGAATGGCTGCTGCTGCTGCTGGTGTTGAAGCAGATGGTGCGGTGTACTTGAACCTGGGCCGTGCTGCTGAGTGTATGCAGGGCGGGGGTGGTGCACGCGAGGATCGTATTGTAATTGCTGTGGTTGATGTTGGGAGATCAAGGTTGTATCGTTGCTATTGCTATTGCTATTGCTATTGTTGTTGTTGTTGTTGTTGTTGTTGTTGGATGGGATAGGGTTGCGCTGACGCGATCGTTCCACGAGCGAGAGCGATGTCCGTGGATCTAAATTTTTTTTTTTTACGAAAATAGAATAGGTGTAGAGTTGAGTTGTCCAAAGTCTCGGTACCCATTCAAATTCACGGGAGAGTGGAAGACAGACAGGGAAGCCTCGCGTGTTGTGTGCATGTAGATCTTCTTAACAAACACGGCAACCATGTCGCAAGATAAAGATTGTGTCGTGGTGTGGGGAGAAGGGCGGATCTACAATACCTTCAGAGCTTGCATCAAGATAGCCGTGGATGGCGTCAAATTGCTGCAAGTGTCGTTGCACATCTGCAGGGTGGTACTGAGGCGCGTGAGATGGCTGGTGCTGCTGCTGTTGATGATGCAGGTGGTGCTGTTGGTGTTGTTGGTGTAGTTGTTGTGGCAGAGGCTGTTGCTGCAGCACTGCGTATGCGTGCGGCGGTTGCGGATGATGCGACCGCTGTTGCTGCTGCTGTTGTTGTTGTAGCTGTTGATTCTGAACAAACTGTTGTTGCTGATACTGAAGCCCCTGCTGCTGCTGTTGTGCCCGCTGCTGTGCCTGATACTGCTGCTGCTGCCTCTGAGCGATCTTAAGGGCTATCTCGTCCTCGAGATCCTTTTCCGTGGGGTTATCGAACGTGAATTGTGCACTCGCCCACAGCATTAGATCATCGTCCGGCAAGTTCTGAGGATCATCTTCGTCTTCTTCCGTCGTCGTGATCGGTACTCCTGGTCCCGATCCTGCCCCTGTCCCTGCTCCTGCTCCTGCTCCAGCTCCTGGTTCAGCTCCGGGTGTGTCCTTGGATGACGGCTGTTGGCTGAACGTGTCGATCACGGCCGAATATGGGTTTGGATAGTTTGCCATTCACGGTTTATAGAGAGAGAAAAAAAAAAAAAAAAAAAAAAAGGCAAGAGTGGTAAAGAAAACAGCGTGTGGAGGACACTGTCAAATAAAGTCGAGGATAAAAAAACAAAAGCAGCTAGTTGTTGCCTGGATGCCCTCTGCTCTTTTTTCCTGCTAAAAACCGACAACACTTTGCTTCTCGAATGGATGATATCACGAGAAGATGAAGAAACGACGTGAAAGAACAGGTTTGTATTTGAAGGATGGATGCCTTTATACAAGGGGGGGGGGGGAAATTAATGACAACAAAGAAGAAATATATGGCGACGCTGAGGACTTGAATGATGTTATCTGTTCAGTCCCTGAATCTAATTCTCAGCAGTGCCGTCCGGTCAAAGTATGGGTGTAACGATCGTGGTTTCAATAGCAGAGAAGCCCAGCTGCTGTGATTACGGCCTTAATGATAACAGTGGGTAATAGAAGAGTGTACGAGCGAAAAAAGAAAAAGCAAGTGAAGAATGCCAGTGAAAATGCCAGAAAAATAAAATAAAGAACAGAGAGTGCAAATGAGAGTGAACGGCAAGAGGAATGACGGCGGTTTTATGGACGGCGTGAAGCAACGGATCAGATCGTTGCGGTGCTTTGGTTGTCGTGGATGCTAAAAGTGAGGATACGTTGAACAAGGTGATGAAAACGGAATGAAGGGTGTAACCATTGGCCACAAAGTGTAATGGAAGGCGAAAGAGAGCGTCCATCCCACGATAGACAAAGAGAATGCACAAAATAATCGCACGATGACACGATATTAGAGGGATCTTGTCAATCTTTCTTTGCAGGAAGGAAATGCCACGCATGGCGAGCTACTAGAGAAGGCGAAGAGGCACGAAGAAAACGAGCTGGACGGGGTGTATATCCGCTATGGGTAAATGGTAACTCACACTTGTAAGAACAAAATAAAATAAAGTCTTCCGTGCTCTGCTCTATTGACCAATGGAACTCTGTTTAACACAGATACGGAATGACAATCGACCATTGGCTCGGTGTTTCTCTCTCCCAACTCGCCTTCGTCGACTCCTCTTCTCATGGAGCAATTGCGCAGGCCCTAGACTACAGCAGTGTCCTTCATGCAGGTCTGGTTACTCCTGTGCAGCACATGGGAGCGTCAAAACACAGTTTGAACTCATCTTGCAGGTCTTTTTTTCCTCTCAGGCTACCGGCGATAAATGCACAAATGCACATCCATATCCTCAATCGTAAACACTTGAGCCGCGATTAACATACAAGTAAAAAAAAAAACGCTGTTCTTCCTCATTCCAAATTTGTTCTCCGCGTGCATTTCAGGTTTTCTTCCTCGATCAAAAAAAAAAGTTCGGGCAACTCTGATCCCATCGCTCCCTCTTCTTTCGTCTTCTGCCATCGGGGCCATAGAAGGTGGGACTAAATGCATGCTTTTTTGCCGTCATTGGATCCGATCGTATGTCAAGGTTGCAGGGACACCTGCAACGCATAGCACTTGGTATCGATCAAAATCGCAGCCGTCGGTATGGTAGGTTAAACATGAAGGTAAAGAGGAAAGACGTGATGGGCGACCTTATTTCCTTGATCGCGCTTCATCGGACGAAATCCTGATGACAATAATATTAGTTCAGGCCTTTTGTTCTAACCCCAAAGAACAAAAAATCCGTCAAACTGTGTTTGGACCACCTTTTTGTTATAATATTTCCTTTAACATGTGCGTGATACTATTTTGTCGTCGCTCTCCCTTAGATCGGTAGTACTACGATGACCCTGCCCGTGACACTCGAGATAGTCGGCGTGCATGAAGGCGATGGTATTCGTCATCGATATAAAAGGGTTGACACGATCTGCTCCACTTGCGAGACGAGGCCATACAAAGCGGATCTGTTCTCAGGAACAGTAACTATCCTGTTGAATAGAGCTCTATTCAATCGATCACTTTGAACTTCAAAGTATCAACAGACACTTTATTGAATGTGCAATAGATTGCATCGAGACTTTCGGGGTCCTCGATTGCACATACAAGTGTTCTCCAATTGCAATGGGCATTCTTCCCGCCCCTTCGGGCAAAGAGATCAGAAGGGAGCGTCATGCCGTTCATGCAACGGTTACACCGAAAAAACACGGATGAAAACACTAAACAAAATGCGCAAACTTTGTCCAGAATGGCGTGCTACATTGGCGTGCTGACGACGAGCAGGATCGTTCTCTGCGCCTTCCTCATTTGGACATATCCTGCACAGATTTAAAAGCTTATTCGAAGGCCTCAAAAACAAACGGTGCGCGATCTGGAGCACGGTTACGTGCGATAAACACTTGCAGTTTCGCGTGGCAAGCGTGTTCGCGGGTCCCAAAACCGTTCTTTTATCATGACGAAAGGCTCCTATGATAACATGCAATCAATTTATTTTATTTTTCTTCCTTCTCCACTATCTTCTCCTCCTCAAGGTCTGGTTCTTTTTAACCGCGTTAGGGTTCCTTTTTCCATATCCAATCACTGGTGCGCCAAAGGGATTCCTGACATCGATCTGGCCTTCGAGCAGACGGGGAACGTAGTCTGGGTCAAAAGCATCAATCTTCTTTTGCCGCCTCTGGAACTTCATCGACAGCTCATACTCGCGTTGATCCTCCCTTAAAATCAGATCGTTGTTCTTGCGACCGCCCTTGGGTGCGGGGATCGAGTACTTTGTGCCGCGGAGGTTGTAGACCATATTCTTCTTCAGATAGTACTTCACGTTGCCGTTCTGATCTGTGCTGGTTGATGTGCGCATCAGGGTAGAGTTTCCACAGCTCGGGCAGAACTTTTTCTCCATATCGGATGTGACCCTATTGTATGAAGATATCGTTATATGTTAGCAATCGCCCCTTTTATGAGCAGAGACCCCTGTCCAGAGATTTATATCGCTTACTTAGTGCAGGCATGGCAGCGGAGAACCCAGCTCTTGACTTTGCTGATCCGGAGTCCATCGATCGACAACAGGTTGAGCCCCATCTGTAAAAGCACGTTCTGCATGGCATAATCCCCTGTCGTACAGGCAACTTGCATGAACTGTGGCTGGCGGACCTTCTTCTTGGACTTCAATGTACCATGGCGCTTGAACTTTTTGACGTTCTCCGGCGTGATCCACTCGCCATCATCATCGTCGTCCTCGTTTCCCTGGCCTTCTACCTTTTCTTCGCCCTCATTGACCTCGGCATTTGCAGTGGAGTCCTCTGATGCCTCTACTGATTCAGATGCGGTTACTGTGGTTGAAGATTTGGCTTGCTGCTCCTCTACTGCAGTTTCGGCTGTTGACATATTATCGAGCTTATCTGTAATGTCCTGCACCTGCACCTCGTCCTCATCTTCATCATCTGATTCCTCCACCAAAACAGTGTTGCCTTGCTCATTAGTCTCTTGCTGTTCCTGGCCCTCCTTGGTCTGCTCAGTCGACTCGTCCTCCTCAAAATCCCCAGTGATCTCTTTGGCAGAGTGCTTGGTACGCTTTGGTGGTGCAGGCTTCTTGTTCCCGGCTTGAACATTGGGTCGATGGGGCTCCGTTCGAATACGCTTCATACCGCAGTTTTCGAGTTCAAGCTGGTAGGTCAAGGCCAAAACACGCAGATCGGTCGCAGACAAGACAGCATAATCACCGGTCTTTCTCGAGAATGCAGCGACTAGGTTTCGATTGAGGTTATTAGATTATAATTGGGTGAGCTCACTGGGTCCAGGTACAGATGTCGATGATTATAATACAGGTAGCCGCTTCTGCTTTACCTGCACGAACAGAGGCCTCGGTTGGGTTGATGACCTGGATATCAAAGGGAAGCATGGCTAGGTCGTTACGAGCCTGTCTGTCTCTGATTTCGTTGAGAACCTCCGGAATGGTGTAGAACTTGTCCGCCAGAGCTCTCAACTTCATAGCACCTCCTCGCAAGAAGGGGGATGTATCCAGAACCAGATGCACGGCCTTGTCATTGATATCGTCCGCGGTTAAAAAAGGATTACTATCCGTGGAGGGCGCGACTGCAGCGGGCCCTTGATTCTGCTCGGTTGCTGCCATGGCTGCTGTGTATTTTGCGAAAGGAGGTAGTTTGGGTTGGCGAAAAAAGAGGAAACGAATGAACGCAGCTGGGAGCAGAGGGTGGACCACTGGGCAACCATTGCTGTTTACTTGGAAAAAAAAATGCCTTAACTATTCAAGCCACAGGGCAAACACAGTCCCTCTTTTGCCACCATTTTTGAGAGACGCGTATTTTAGGTTTGTAGTAAGCGACCTACTTTTCTTTCCTCCAACTCCATTGTCCCTGCACTCTCACCACGCACTCCACAGCATTCAAATGTCATCTGAAAACCAGTGGTGAGTGCTTCAACATTAGCCGCTAAGTTCATGCATCCACCTTTACTTTCATCCTTTCCTCTATCTTGCTGATCGCCTTCTTTTCTCGTTTCCGAAAGCCGTTTCACTGCACGACTGCGAAACGTGCGACACCTCGCTGCCGTTATAAAATCCATCCACTTCAAAGACGTAAGGACCTTCGCCATATGCCTCAATTCATTCCGGGCATTACTGTGGCCTTCATGGCTCCAGGGACTCACGCAGGACTTGCCCTCGACATTCTAGATAGCGACATGCAGGATCTCGCCTGATGGCCTGACCTTCATATTGGAAGAGTCGCGCTGTCTCTTTGGGCGATGCCTCATACAGAAACAAATCTTTGAAGACTTTAATTTCATGCCCCCGATGACAGACGGTGCACCCTTAAATTCAGAGTCGCAGCAGGAACCGCGCTTCGTCTCCCAGTCTGGATCCCAGCATGGTTCGAATCAATATTACAGCCAAAGGATGCCTCCCGGATACAGCCCTGACGGAACAGCCAATTTTGGGATCAATCTGGCAACCCTACTGAGTTGTCTCAACATGTTCGGAACAGCCGGGTCGTCGAGCATATATACCGGAGATGGCACTGGGGGAGCAATAGGAGGGAGTCTCAATTCCGGTCCAGTAACAGCCATCAAATTAAGCTACAATGGAACTGGGACCACATTCAATCTCACGTAAGTGGCAAACTGATCAACAGAGAGAGAAACATGATAGACTCTTGGTGCTCTGCTAATATTTATCTATTGTTCCTGGCTACTCTTAGACTGGAAGACGACGGGGTCGTGACAACTTGTGGGATCCCAACCTTTGATCCAGAGCCGCCGGTCGACTTTGAGTTCAACGAGGAAAACCACTCAAAAATTATCATGAAGGTAATGGCAGCCTTTCAGCCCATGATGCTACTTTTGCGGTAACCTTCAGGAACTGTTGGCTGACATGTTCCTTTTTCTAGGCCCAATGGTTAGAAGAAGGGTTGAGGGACCTGGATGCCACAAGTGATCGCGTCGTAATCCGGCTTTCACCAGATATCCCACATCTGCGAATCTCAAGTCTGGGGACAATCGAGAACCTGGATGTCAACTACTCGCAGGGCGATGTCATTGAGACATTTGTCTATCAGTACAATCGGCCAATCGAGATTAGCTATAATTTCTCGCACGTTCTGAATGTCCTTCGTGTGTGCCCCATGGCCACTAAGGCCAACATGGCAATCGACTCCAAGGACTTTATGAGAATCCAGTTTCTCTTGCCAGTTGTAGAGCACAAATACCTTTTCGCAGAATACTCTTTTTCGCCTCTTGAGGCATTGGATTGACCTCAATAAAGAACATTCATCACGTGTAGCCAACTGTTACAAGGTATAAAACCACAGCTGAAAGGAGGGCAACTCTATAGCTTACAACTTCTCAATATGAAGGACAACACATCGAACGAAGGCAGGTCTTGGTCGGGTGGAAGACCAGTATTCAACGGACGCAGGCTCGCGAAGAAAAACTTACTTTGGCTAATGAACATTCACTTTGGAAATAGATGATTCGAATCTCCTGGTGATTGTGTTGGACACAAACCCATTCGAATGGGAGCACCCTTCGGCGCCACTAAAACTCAACGAAGCGCTCCAGCATATCCTCGCCTTCATGAACGCACACCTTGCTGGGCGGCACGATAACAAATTGGCAGTCATTGCAAGCCATGTTGGCGTCAGGTATGTGGAAACAAGGATCAAAGCGGGCTCCCCCTTCGAATAGGAACCGGATTTGGGCCAATACTTATTTGTCAATATCCTTCTATACAGCAAGTTTTTATACCCAACATTGAATGAGACAGCACCAGGAAGCAAAGTACAGACAAAGAAGGATGCCAATGTCTATCAGGTGTTCAAAGTTGTGGATGACGCCGTCAGATCAGGAATCGCAAAGTTGTTACAGAATCCACGCCCAACATTGGAAGAGAAGGACCTCGGATCTTCCAAGATTGCCGCCTCGTTATCACTTGGACTCTGCTGTAAGTCTTCTGGACGAGATAGGAATAACAGTTGTCTGCGCTTACAAGCGTATTGCCCTCCACTGGAAATGGTCGCTCACTTTTTTGCGTTGTCTATAGATATCAATCAGGCACTCAAATCGGACGGGATGGGGCATGTTAAACCTAGGATCTTGGTCTTGACAGTATCACCAGACTCTTCTTCGGATTATATCCCCATCATGAACTGCATTTTTTCGGCTCAAAAAGCTGTAAGTTTACCGAGAGCTGCGCCTGAGGAGGGTCATTGAAGTCGATTGCCACCAAATTCTGATATATTTATCAATATGTTTTGTACTAGGATATTCCCATCGATGTGTGCAAATTTTGGGGCGAAGACGCGGTCTTTCTTCAGCAAGCTGCGCATATTACCGAGGGTATTTACCTGAGGCCGAATGATCCACGCGGTCTCTTGCAGATTCTCATGGTATGATTCCGCGACGATTGCAAAGTCTTTTTCGCCTAAGATTTGGCCTTTCGATGTACTGGTTATAGCCTGCTAATATGCATGTGCCTCTATACATGCTGCTTAGTTTTCATTTTTGCCAGACATGTATTCGAGGAACTATCTGTACCTGCCAGGCCAGGACCAGGTCGACTTCCGAGCAGCATGCTTCTGCCACAAGAAGATTGTCGATATTGGATACGTGTGTTCTGTGTGTCTCTCAAGTATGTGGTGATAACCCCTCAGTTGGATATGGTTTTATGGTGAAGCTATGACTTATTTTTTGCATCTATTTGATCTGGTCTAGTTTTCTGCGGCTTCTCTCCTGTCTGTTCGACGTGCAGGTTTGTGTGCTTTTGAGATGCATACTCGTAGGGATCATGAAGTTGGTGTGGTATGGGCGTCTAACAACCAAGACTCTTTTACACGGAATAGGACCAAGTTTGCGTTCCAGCCTTTGCTCTCATCCGCAAGAAGGTTGGGTGCAAAATCAGCCGCATCTAATCCCGGCTCCCCGAGGTCGAGTACGCCAAGCACACCAATGCCTTCTGCAGCTACATAGAGTATTTCAAAATAAACTCGAGTGCATCAGTGTAATTTGGTGGCGCCGTGTTCAAACTGGTCACGGCTATTTTATTTTAAGATACGTGCATGCATGCATAGTACCTCTCATTCATTCACAATTTGACTTTAGCAGGATGGAATCGCCCGTACTCTCCCAGCACGATGACCTTGACGGTGTCGAGCGGAAGAAGGAGAAAGTCCTTCCAAAGATTCAGCGAGAAAAAATAGTAGTGACACATCAACAGCATACCGCGGAGGAAGAACCAGTGTCTTTGCAAAGACAGACCTTATCTTTCTCGCTTATTGACACCTCTGTCCTTTTGCATAGATATTCTGTATCGACCTGGATCTTTCTATGGACGAATGCTTCATGGTGGGCGACAAGATGAAGTGAGTGGTAGTTCACAACTGTTGCGTACCCAGGACTTCCTCGTAATGTTGGAACAGCATTGACCGTTCAATCACGCCATGTCTTTTAGCGACACAAGGATCAACAGAACAAAGCAGCTTTTGAAGTGGTTCATCGAGCAAAAGACGAGCTGGAATTCTGGACACGAGTTTGCAGTCATGATACTGGGCGAGAGGGCAGTTTGGGTACGTTATCGACAAATACCATGTCGGACGTGCTACAATCCAAAGATGTATCATCTTTTAACAACTCGCTGCATTTCATCAACTTCTCTCATCAGCACATGGACTTCACTTCGGACACGATGCTGCTATCTCACGTCATCGATGAGCTCTATACAATGGGGAAGTTTACTGCGTTCAGTAAGAATGATGGAACCTAAACAGTGATCGTTGCCACTGCCATCGAAATTGGTACTTTAATGTCTCACAGAGTCTTTCTTTTATCCTGCACAAGTGTAGATTCCACCAGCTTATTCAAAGAAATGTATGTGGCAGCATGCGATGCACGAGAGAAAACAATATAGGGTTGTCTGGCCTGCGAGTCGCACGTATTTACCATCCCTGCCTCAACTTCACTCACCCAAAGATTAGAGCACGCAAATCTGGATGAAGACGATGGATCTATCATTCGTGCTATTATGATCTATACACGCTCAGACGTGTTGCCAAGTATGCCGGACCGCGAGGTAATGGCATCTGAAGTGGTGTACAAAATCAGGTCTCTGATATCAGCAGGCTGCAAGCTGATACCTCACCCAATTATTTTTCTAGGTCCTGGACGTGCTATACTCGAGTCGAAGGTTCTATTACGATTGCATCTACATTCACCTTAAGGCTGCAGAGGTTCCCGGGCCGATCAAACCTCAGGTATTGCTTGCCTGCTCTCGGTAGACGATGCAATTGCTCTAAGAAAGCGAGCAATCACGACTCATGACTGACCTATCTTTTTTTTTTTTTTTTTTTTTTTTTTTACAACTGCTTTGCACAGCATGTGTACGATAGGTTGACAGAAATGGAGGACCAACGATCACCTGGATACTATTACGAACTCACTCGACTCTTGAAAAAGTTCGCCACAGCAATGGGAGAGCTCTTGGCGCACCCCCGTGTGCGGCCAATACAGGATGATCTGATGTCGAAAATGCCCCCACCGCCAAGTGTGAAGCGACTGGAAGATATGGCACTAAAACAGCAACTACAGCAGGAACAGCCACGCAACTACCCTCAGCAGACGCCTTCAGCTCCCGTCAGAACAACTATTCCAGTGGCACACAAGAGCCCTGAGAAAACTGCAGGTGTTTCCAGTCAAAAGTCGGGCGGCGTTTTTGGAAACCCCAGCTCAGATCCATCTTCATCATCGACTCTTGTAGCGCCCAGCTCTGTTTCTTCGCCTTTTATGTCGGCAGCGGAGCGAGAACGATCAAACCCATCATCGCGTGTAAAGGCTGATATGCCCCATGCGGGTTCTACATCGGGTCCAGGGTCACCCACGGGCTCTGGGGTGGGATCAGCGACAGCATCTGGGAGCGGAACAGGCATGGACGATGCGATTTTAATCTGAAGCAGAACGGCAGCTGGAGCTCCACATAGGTCGTTGGTGAGAATAAAGGTTCCATTGATTGTGATGTGTTGCATGCTGAATGGCACAGTACCAAGAGCGTGCGAAGAAGCAAAACGTCTTACTATATCATGCTGTAAAGAGGAACGTCGGGCGGTGAACTTTAGTATTCGAGTCAGTGCTGCGCATGATGGGGTAAACTTTTTGATTCGCTGCCTGCTGCGTTTGTCTTGGAACGGTGCCTGATGTATGCGGGGTTACACGATAGCATTCCTGCTGCGGTTCACATGGTTTCCCTTTAGTGGTGCCATAGCTAAAAAAAAAAAATCAATAAATCTAAATGGAGACGGTCGGGAGCCAAATAGGTCCTTTTTTTGAGCTAAATAAGCGCTCGTGGTTAGTGTTCTATCAGCTGGGTGCTCCTTATCAGATCCAACTTCTGCTGAAACAGGAAGTGGGGCCAAAAAAAAATATACTTTTCAGAGCAATCGCTTATCAGATCCTAAGCCATCCGAATGTTCCGTCCACACCTCACGAAAAATGGGTCACTTCGCCCGCCTTCCTTCTTAATCATTCTTTCCTCCAATTGACTGCACACATCCTCATCTCTTTTTCTTTCTTTCGCTCACCCAACTCTCCCTCCTTGCTTTTCTCGCTCCTTCCCTTTTCCTCGCAGACATAAACTCGTCTCATATATACTTTTCGTTTCCTCAATCTAATAAGAAAACACACATGGCCACCAATTGCACCCGGCTCGCCACCAAGAAGGCAATGGCTCGCACCCTTTCGTCCAATTGCCGCTTCTATCAGGGTGGACCACATTCTCTCGCCCGACAGTCGTGTGGATGCCACATCTATCTTCGCCAGAGGACACTCGCCTCACCCTCAAGAGCATTCTTCTCCACATGTGCAAAATCATTAAAGCCAACGACCAGCTCACCGATGGCAGCACCTGCAGTCTCGTCCCCTCGCTCAGCACACTCAATAGCTGCACAAAAGACATCTGTGTCTAGCTCCAATACTGCTCATTCGGCTGTTGCAGCTGCAGCTGCAGCAGTAGCATCAAATCGCCCGCTGAACTCCCTGCCATTCTCATACGATCCCACTGGACTCTCTGCACAGGCAGTCAAGAAGCCTTCTTGCGACAACATCAACCTCAAGAACTCTTTCTACCGCCGCAAGCTACCTGAGCATTTGGTCAGTTTTACGAGTCCCGAGGGGAAGCAACTCTTCAGGGAAATGCTCGAAGAAGGCTATGGTAAGCAGATTTGCATTCGAAACGTGCGCAGGTCTTTAATTGTGTCTTCATGTCCGTGCATCGCAGCCCGTGCATAGCATCTCAACGGTCTTCTTTTTTTTCGAATTGGTGCACAATAGGCGAAGGATACTTTTCCCTCGTGGGAAACTTTACAACACAGAGCGAACCAGCATTCTGTGGACCTAGTTCATTAGCAATGGTGCTCAATTCACTGGAGGTCGACCCGCAGCGGCAATGGAAGGGCGCTTGGAGATGGTATAGCGACGAACTGCTCGAGTGCTGTGCACCAGTGGATCAAGTTAAGGCCAAGGGAATCACATTCAATCAGTTTGCGTGTCTGAGCAAGTGCCATTGCGACGTTCAGGTGCGTCGAGCGAACCAAGTATCGTTGGAACAGTTCAAGCAAGACTTGGAGATGGTCTGCAGTCGAGATGATATCCATATGGTAGTGTCGTTCTCAAGGAAGGCCCTGGGCCAGACTGGCGACGGTCACTTTAGGTAAGCCAAGGCCGCATTGCTATGGCAGCTTGTTGCCGCACTGTATATGCACTGTATGTATGCATTTCCCTAACTTTTTTTTGTGTGTGTGCTCTATCAATCATATCTGTTTAGTCCAATCGGCGGATATGTGCCTAAGGCAGGAATGGTACTGGTGCTAGACACGGCGAGATTCAAGTATCCTTCGTACTTTGTCTCGGTGGAGCGTCTATACAAGTCTCTGTTCCCCATCGATGTCGAGACAGGTGCCTCGCGTGGCTACTTCCTTCTGTCCGCCAACCCCGATCAGCCTGCCATTTCGCTGTGCAAGATTCCAAAGTCATCTACTGCACCTAGCTCCTCATCTTACACTACCGCCACCACTACCAGTCCGGCCTCGACAGCAGCAGCGAACCTGGACGCTGCCACGAAGGACCTTCAGAAACTGAATATCGATACTGCGGCCGCGCCCTCAGCTCAGGATATCATTCGCAATGCCAGCAACACCTCAACACCCATCCCCACCACTGCTGGACCATACCCGACTACTACAACTACTACTGTTTCAGGTTGTACATCCACAGTAGGCGCCACTAATCCAGCGGCCAACACGATCGACGCCAAGATGAGTTGGACATCGCTTGCACAGACGTTCTGCAAGGATTTGCCCAGTCGCATTCAGACCGAGAACCCACAGACTCTTGACCACATGGTGTCTGTTGTCCTTCAGGGGGTTCCTCGTGAATATGCGTTCTGGATCAGTCAGCAACAGGCGCATCGTCTCCGGGATACGAGCGAATTGATTGACTCTATCAAATCAACGGAGCTGTATACCCTCGTCTCTTCAGCATTCCCAGCACCGGTCACAGCTGACGGTCTCGATTTGAATTCGCAAGAGGCAAGGTTGGCAAGACAGCAGCACGAGGGAGCTCTGGTGTTTGGTACACTGTTCCTGATGAGTTCTCCGAGCACGCTGTTCCTCACCTTGCCTGTTGAGGTATCGAAACAATTTGAGGAACTGCGAGGGGCGGCACTGGGCGACGAGGGACAGAAGCATGGTCAGCATCGTGTTCTCAAGGAGGAAGTGGAGAGGATGCGCTCTGGGGTCGTCGAGCTCGTGAACAGCTTCTGTTGCTGTGGCACCAAGACCGTAGATATTGCTGAGAAGTGAAGTAGACCTATGGAATGAACTTCCTTTTGCCGCCTTACCTTTAGATGTAGACTAGACTATGCAGTGCTTTCCCAGATAAGCTGCTGCTTGTAATAATGTACCCCCCAACCTATCCTTCGCCCCAAAACAGCTATGATGTGTACAAGAGTCGACGTCGAACAAGAACATGCTTTTACAGACAAAGTACCCCAGGACGTTGCCCAATGCCTAATTTTACTAATTTGCTCTCTTTCTTTCTCTGCTTTCACTACAAAATGTCCCCCTGTCAGCCTTTGCGCTGCTTCTCAGCATAAACAAAAACAGTGCCGGGCTGCTCTTATGAAACAAAAAAGCCATGTCAAAGGAATACTTTGGTATATTAGTATTTTATTAGAATATGTACAGTATGCTCCTCTGAGAAGGCTTCGTTTCCGGATGTGCATGGCAAAGGCGCATTGAGAACAGGACTCTGAGAGACGCGAGGGGATTAAGAAAATGCACTGGAAAAAAAAAAGGAACGCCGATCCCTCTTAGGCTCTCCAGGACGCCGGGAAGAGGCGCCGGAACGGATTCGCGCCATTGCTCGTTCCTTGCTCTCGCAGTCCACCGTTTCTAAGCGAGTTTCGGGTCCGCACATGCTCTAGGTCCTCCACCCAGTCCATTATGTCGTCTAGTCCATTGACGTCCCTCTCCTCCTCCTCCTCCTCCTCCTCCTCCTCCTCCTCCTCCAGCCAGTCATCCAGGGCAGTCCATCGCTCTCTAGGACCATCCTCGGAAGCTGCGTTGTGTGCAGAACCGGGTCCCAACCGAGAGGTCTGCCCAAATCCGTGCCAGAGACTACCGTGTCCGTAACCATCATCATCACTGTCGCTGTCTTGGTCTTCTTCTTCCATGATGCCTTCACCAGGAGCGGTAGCAACACCCTCAGCGAAGATTCCCTCGTCGCGGTCCTCGTCCTCGTCAAATAGATCCTGGGCGCGGTAGAGGGGTTCGATCACAATGGGCTCGACATCGTCCGAGTCCCGGTCCTCCTCCTCGTCTCCGAAATCCTCGTCGTCCGTGTCCTGTACCGGCTCTAAGTCATGGCTAGCATCGTCATCGCCGCCATCGCCGCCATCACTGGTCTGCAGCCCTTTGTCTAGCGATGGTTGGGTCGTACCCGAGTAAGGTGTGTGGGGTGCACGACGCAGCCGTCCCTCGAGCTCGTTCCCGCCCGTTTGTGGGAATCGCTTTGTGAGACCGATGGGTCGAGCGTCGACCAAGGCGCCGGATGAGGGATAAAAGTCCGGGTTTTGTGAGGATGATGAGAGCACGGCGAGACTGAGGAGGAAGAGGGCCACGAATGTCGTGGACTTTGGAAACGGTCGGTTGGTAGTGAGCATTTTTTAGGGTGTGCTTCTCTGGCTGGCACAAGTGAAGGTGCGCTGCTTGGGATGTGTGCTGAACTGGGTAGAAGATGGAAGCGAAGGAAGAAAGAAAGAAAGAAAGAAAGGACGAGAGAGAAGAGGTGGGTGAAGATGAGAGAAGGTGGAGGTGGGGGGGGGGGGGTCCTATAAAGTGAGCAGAAGTGGAGGGAAAAAGTTTTGAGGATCGTTTTAGACTATATCTGTCAGCATGTGTGAGAGAGAGCGGTCTGTGGGGGGAGGAAAAAGGGAAGACCGAGAACCTAAACTGAAAAACACCAGACACGCACCAGAGCCCGCAGGTGAACGCCCAAAGTGCGCAGGCGCAAAGACCTGGCCCCCCACCCCGTGTTTTTAGCAGGAGCTTTGACCTATCCTTCTTGCTCTTGTTACTGCTTCGCTGGCAAGGGTAGGGATGGAGAATGAGGGGTTGAGAGACATCGTCTTCGACCAAGTCGTGAGCTAATTGAGGAGCAAAAGCATTGTTCTTCAATACCTTGAGGACGATGCGATGCTCGAAGGATAAAGAATGTTGACCGCAGTAATTGCAACGGTATAGCAGTTGGTACCAAATAGATGAACTGCAAAAAGCGAGATTGTTCTCATACCCTGCCATGTCCTGATGTGAATTAACAACTGGTGTGTGCGCCCTCTGGACGCCAAGATATGGACAGCCGAAAGGCCAGTCGCCAAACAGGACGGCCCGATTGAGAAGACATACATGGGAGTTATAGAACATATGTAGGATAGACTACAGCGACAGTATAAAGCAATTTTGATGTGGGCGTGATACTGCATTTCCGCTTAACCACCAGGATGGGCCAAATGATGCTCTGAACCCGGAGTATAGTCCATTCGCCTTCAGGTCTATCCTTGGATAGGGATGAGTGTCGATAGAGTAATGGAATATCCACATGCGCATGATGGACGAGCAAAAATTGTCTCGTACGATACATATCCTGGTACCTGAGAGCATTTTACACAAGAAAAAAAAAACAGCCCAGAACCTACGTTGGTTGGCCCATTTAGAAACACAACCCAGCTGCAAGTCTCCCTAAAGAGAACCCGCGGACACCCTCTGTCTCTGCGTTTGAAGAATAGGTCTCCAGAATACTCAGTCTCCTGCAGTGTTTCGGTACCAGAATAATATTCTCAAGTTAAAACGAGACATGTATCACCGTAAGACCAGAAGCAGGCCGTTAAGCTCTTTTATTTATAGGCTTGCTCCGTAGCACGCCAAATCCACCAGAGTAGCAGATGAATTGGCCATGGAAAACGTGCTCGAGGTCGTTGATCCCGCAGGGGACAGACATGCGTCTCTGGACGGTATCTCATTCCCCCCATACCAGTCCGTCCCCAACGACATCGGTGTCGCTCCACAGTCCTCTTTCCTGAGGCCCACAATCCGATCACGCTGTCGTCGCGACAGGTTGAGTCGCCCTCGGTTCCTCGGTCGCAGCCGAATCGTCTGGTCGAAAAGACCGCTGCGGCAATAGTCGCGGTATGATTTTGAACCGTATTCTGACCGCAACCTCTCCAGGCCATCATAACTCGCCACATCCTGCTGCTGCTGTTGCTCCAAAGTCGCCCCAACATCACAACCGGGAACGGCAAATACTCTCTCTACATCCTCCATAGCTTTGACAGCCCGTTGCCTCGACATGCCCGCCAGCGAGGGAATGACAAATACAGTCGCGAGCACAAACGCGACGCTCCAGAACAGCATCAGTACCAGGCACACGTAGACGTTGAATATATTGGTAACAGCGACATGACCCTCCGAGGACATCTGGATATCCTCCTCTTCCAGGTGTGGGTCCTGACCCGATTCCATGAGACGCGGTGTTGGCCATGTGGCGGGCATCGTGAATCGGCGCTGCCGCCGTCCATCGAACATCATTGTGGAGGTGGCTGTGATGCTGCTCCGCTGACCATCGTAGCCGATGCTTCCAGACTTTGTTACAGGCAAAATATCGACATCCAGCTCCCCGTTTGGCATATCCCGCTCTTCATCCTTTAGGCCTGAAAAGTACTCAACGCATGTGTCGAGGGAGCGATTGGACGAGGAGGAGATCCTGTAATTGTTATTTAGGGTATATGAGGACCCAGAGCTCCGCTGGCTGATGCTTTTGTCGAGCTGGGTCATGTCATCCTCTTCGCCTTCGTCACCTTCTTCACCGTGTGCGTACTCCAGATTCCGGGCCTCAAGCTCCAGACTCATAGCTGTTAGCTTCTCCAGTGTCTCAAAATACGTCGACAAATCCCTCGCCGATGGTCGACTTTCCAACGGAAGCCCAAACCTCGACTCGAAGCCGACGTCGTCTGAATCCCTCTTCAACATGCTGGGATCTTCAAACGAGCCGTATGGATTTCCTCGCAGCGTCGTCAAGGAGCTGCTGGCGATATCGCTGCTCTCCCAGAACGTTGTATCATCCCAATCCTCTAACTCTCCCGAGATCTCGTCCTCCTCGTAGCGAGTCGCAGCATCGGATGACATAGACGGTCGAGCTGTGTCCATGGACTGTCTTGACGGATGCGTGTTCTCATCGTGTTCACTCTCCAATCCTTGCAATCGCATTGACCTCTCCAGCTTCATCTGCATCCAGTTCTGGTGTGTTGCCACAGCCATGAGATCTCGTGTAAGGCCATCGATCGTTTCGACAGTTCTATCCAACTCCGTATCCATGAGCTGAATGACCTCCTGCAATTGTTCTGCGTGCTCCATCTCGATCATATCTGCCCGCATGGATGGAAAGCTGGCGCATCGCCTGAGTCCTCTGTTGATTAGGGGGCGCAGCGAGCGCCCATAGGTCTCGGAATACTCCAAAGTGTCCTCAGCGTCGGGAACAAGAGTTGCCAGGGACTCCGCTGTAGTCCATGCAGGTGTCTCCAAAGACTCCTGCTCCGTAATAAAAGTTTCCTCCTGTACATACTCTGTACATAAAATTGGCTCGTCCTCCTGTTCACATAAATGCTGGTTGAGGTCGTTCGGATCACCGAAATCTGGTTGACAGCTCTGGAGCTCTAGGAATAAACTCCTCCGCTTTGAGACACCCTTGTCACTGTAGCTCCGGGTTCTGCTCACTCGACTGTCCCATCTCCTCGTATCTCTGTCGTCGATTGGATCCAAATGATTCATTTCGTCTGCGACATCGCCATCACCTTCACTCCGGGTCTCCTCTGAGCTCTCAGATTCGGCATACATCAAGGGCGTTACTATGGCCGGCACTGACGATGTTGCTGTCGCTCCTGCTCCCGACGACTCTGTGCCAACAGCTGTAGATGCGTCCACGATTAAATGTGTGAGCAGAGAACAAATCCTGTCGAATGCCGCATTAGATTCCTTCTCTGACGGGCTGTTGAGGGTTGCCTTGACGGGCCTCCTGCTGTGGTCGCCCAAGTGGAGAGACTGCCAACTGCTCTTATGGGAGAGATTCGGCTGATATGTGGATACGAACGAATTAGGCCGAGAGCAGTATCCATCGTACTCTGCAGACTCTCGACTATTCTTGGAACGGTATTTCGAGTGCTGGTGGTCTGATGACGACGTTTGTTGGCTGTGCCGAGAACCGCTGGTTGAACTGCATGAAAGGCGAGTTGAACGAGTGTCTGATAGAGGTGTAACTGGTGCTTCACTGAAGTCGTTTTCCTCCATGGTAAAACTGGTCGATAGGAAGGAGTGTGGTCTCGTTCGTGCCGTATGATGCTCCTGCGTAATATAGTCGTCCCCGTGGTCCTCCATGCTCTTGGCATCCGGCCGTGGCCGAGCGAAAGTATCAATCTTATTTTGGACTCTAATAGGGGGAAGCGCACAGAGCGACGGTTGTTGGTTCGAAGGAAGAGAGGATGGAGCGAGGTGTTAGCAGTCGGGTGAGAGAAGGAGAGACTGAAAATAAAGGGAGAGAGTAAGGTGGAATCAATTACTGTTTCCTTACTTTTTGGCCATCTCATTCATCGTTCTGTGATAAAGAAAGGGTTCGTTTGAAAGAAAGGTGTGAAGGAAGGGTTGGAAGGGGTGCGGTGCAGTGTGGTGGGGTGAGGTGCGGTGCAGTGTGATGGCGAGAGGTGCGGTGCGATGGAGTACAGTGTGGACAAAATGGATATTTTGTTGGATGTGGAATAAAGAGAGAAGGAAATCGTCGTCGTCATGGAGTGCTAAAGATATCGTACGGTGGGGAGAGAAGTAGCGGGAAGCGAGGCGAAATTAGTTTTACATTGCAGCGCATATTGCCCCGCTGTCAAAGGCAAATAAGATTCGATGCAATAACGCAACATTTGGTCCATGATGCTACGATGCTACATATGATACTACTACCGGTCTAAATGGCCCGATGGGAGTAAACATACAGAGCAAGCCTGTTGATGGTGTACAAATAACCCTAGTAGACTCAAGACAACCAACTACGGCTAACCTATGACATGCTACAAGAACGTGCGCCGAGGCAGCGATGGTTAGAAGGAGGGGCGGGATCTCCTTGAAATAGACGCGGTTTAATTCTCTGTGGGCTCTTACACAGGCATATGGGCGTTCCATACAGAGGACCCTCAGTGGAAGGAACCACTCCCTGGCCTATGCCCTTGAAACGCGTGCAACAGCTTTGACTGGCCGTCGTCCTGAGCCCTACTTTGGGACATCTAGCATGTGTGCACGGCCATCTGGGAGGACAGCAGGGGAAGATAGTCTAATGGGCCATTGCAAAAAGAAGACTGCCACCTCTCCCATTCAAGGTAGCCAATCATATCTCTTGGACACCGTATTCAGTTACGCGTCTTGTAGTGCAACCAACCACCTCTCCATCCTTTCTCTCACTCGTCAACATGGTTTCTGAATCATTTATTTCACAGGATTACGTAGTACTTGGCCTGCGCCCTGCTGCCCGAGCGACAGTTGGTTTACAGAACCAGCTCCATCTCGATAGCCTCGTTCAAACCGCCCATGGCATCCCTACACTGCTCGTCCTCGTCCGAATGGACTGGGATGATGATCTGGTCCACCACTACCTTTTGAGTAGTTTTACAAATCAGGTTCTCGAGGGATTGCTTGAATATCAACATGTACTTGCTATGAGCTGTCTTTGCAGCATAAACGAAGTGGCCCCCCTGCCACCGAATTCAGATAGGTCGCCATGATAACCAGACCATCAGATCGTATGCGCGCGTTAGAGCTTTTTGTGTCCATTCCTGTAGCTTTTTTTTTTCTTTTTTCTTTTTTCTTTTTCTTTTTCGTTGTGGAAAAAAGTTCACGCTTTTGCTGCGGTGATCATTCAAAATGTATAAAAGCGTTTGAGGGGGGACAATCTTTTTCATTTCTTCTCACCAATCTGTATTTATTTTTCCCACCATGACCGCACAAGAAACCAAACATGTTCCCAACAAGCCCAAGGGCCCTGCACCCTACCGCCACGAAGATCTCATCCTCGTTCGCGCGGCCGTTCCAGAGATCATTCAGCGAACCTGGACCAACAACATGGAGCAGTGGGCCAAACGTGTTCCCTTGCAGCAGTACCATGCCCGCGAAAAACATCTCGCCAGCACGGCCTTCTCAAGCGACAATCGTCTCATCACCTGGGTTCTTGTACCGAAACCCGATGTAGATGTGACAGAGGAGTATAAACAGTCGACGGCCGATGCAAAGTCAGCAGCAGAGGGCGTCCGCGGTGGATTCAATCCTCATGACATCTCGGAGGAGAATCTAGAGCGCATTTTGGGCGCAGTGGAGACGTATGAGCGACCCGGTATTGTGGCCACTTCTGCTGCTGGCGATACCTCTAATGAGGGATTGAAGGACGTGAGCTCAGTGAGTGTGGCATCCGTCTATGCGCCGTCCAAGTACCGCAACCATGGCTATGGTAAACTCATGATGAAGTAAGAAACACATCTTGCTCAAATATGGCAACCATGTCGATTTTTCTGAGAACTCTTCCATTGCATCCAAATGCTGTGCACTATTGGAGCCATTGGACTTTATGGATAGGCGCGGCTTTCTAAATACCCTAGAAACCCTGTTTCTATCCTATACCCTATAGACTTCTGTGGAAGGAGATCGAAGGCATGGACGCGTCTTTCTCATTCCTGTACTCGGACCTGGGCGCACAGTTCTATACCAACTTTGGTTGGACCGCCAGGACCTCGACTGAAATCGTCATCCCATCATCCATGACACTCCCCTCTGCTCCTGCTGAGGATTCCACGACCGATAAGAGAGCCGCGAGGGCATCAGCAAAACCGGTTCCCCTCGAGGCGGTCGCAGATGATACCTCGCTTAAGGCTCTGGTTGATCACGACGCCCAGCTGCTGCGGAAAACTTTGATCCAGAAACTCCAAAACAACACTAGTAACACCACCTTTGTCGCTGTTACCCCGGAGATCCGTTGCTTCCAATGGTTCTACGCCCGTGCCTGGTTCAATGCCACCAACGTCTGGAAATTTGATGCGACTCAGATCAAGGATGATTTGAACTATGGTGTTCGCGTTCCAGGAACTGAGGATCAGTTTGTGTTGTGGCATCACGACTTTACGGACGACAACCTGTTTATCCTCCGCTGGCGCATTGATTCGACATCTTCGACAGAGGAGTCCGATGCCATTGCCCTGGCTTTCGTCAAGGCTGCTCAGGAAGAGGCTAAGAAGTGGAAGCTGTCCAAGGTTGTGTACTGGAATGGCGACGTCTCGCTGGCCAAGCTGCTCGGTCTCGAGATCAAGCACCGTAATCACTCGATCCCCAGCTTGGGCCTAGTGAACTCTTCACAGGACGAAAGCAATGTCGAATGGATCTTAAACGAGAAGTATTCCTGGTAAGTTATCTACTGCTTTCATGTCGCTCGCTCAAATACCGCAAGGCATGCCATGGATGCCCCTCTGATCCCGTATGTCTTTCTCTTGCACGGCTCCTGTACCCCTTCGCATCTCGATATCCATGTCCTTTAGGTGTTGAGCGATGGCCAATCCTCCTGATTGTGTCCTACCAGATCAACACCGAAACACTGAATAGACCATTTAAAAGAAAACAATTAAAACAATCTACTATTTATTTAATCTGTATTGTAGCACTGGGATGGATGTAACTAAAAGAAGATGTGACAAAGACATTGGGTTGTATGCACAAGTCGATCCTTCGTTGCCTGCGATGTCCCTCAACAGCACCTTCCAGCGGCATTGGCGTCTCCATCTGTTGGTGTGACATTGATCGTCTCGCCTCCTGTGGGGCGGATCACATCTCCAGAGCTCTCCAATGCCTTGTTGGAGACAATGCGATAAATTTCTATCAGTTGAATGTGCGCAAAAATGAAGATAAACAAGGTTAGGCATCAACGAATGAAGACTTTTGTTTGATTGTCCATGACGCTACATTTTTGCTCTTCGTACCAGTTAGGATGCGCTGGAAGGATAATTCGACGTTGCTAGAGTCCAACGCCGACGTCTCAATGAACGACAGTCCGTTTTCGGCAGCAAACTGCTTCGCTTCGTCGGTGGGAACTGCACGTAGGTGTCGCAAATCACTCTTGTTTCCGACAAGCATTATCACAATGTTGGTATCAGCATGGTCACGGAGTTCCTTGAGCCAGCGGCCCACGTTCTCATATGTAGCGTGCTTGGCGATATCATACACCAGCAATGCACCAACGGCGCCACGATAGTAGGCAGATGTGATAGCGCGGTAACGCTCCTGTCCAGCTGTACAAGTGTAGAAAGAAAGAAAAAATAAGTTGCGTTAGTTGGAATCGTTCCAAAACTAGCCACGGACTGGGAACTCGTGCACCCTGTCTTGGACCAAATAAAGCATGCTGCCAAAGAAAACTCTAATAATTCGACCAAGATCCATCCACAATTGGTAGAAGAAAAAAAAAGAGAGCACCACGAGGACAGAACGTATAGATGGGACAGGGATAGAATACCGGCCCATGTTGTTCATGAGTGGGTGAAGTGCTAAGCTTGTTGGTGAACAATCATCAGGAACCTCCTTTTCGACAGTATCGCGCACAAAGGACACATAAACTCAGCTGGGAACCGCTTTATTTCTGGGCATGGTAGAACATGCACGTCGAAGGAATGCCATCTTCCCGTCGTCCCTCCTTTTTTTATTTATTCCTCCACTACCTGTTTTGTTGCATCAAGGGCGCAGGGATGGCCGAAGTGCTTCTCCATCTGCCGATCCAGGACAGAAATACCAGTTTCTTCATATGTATCATCCCACCCTCCTCATCCAAAAACAAAATGAAGAGAAACACGAAAACAAAACGGATACGTACCAGTGTCCCAAATTTGTGCTTTGATGGTCTTTGCATCAACCTGGATACTTCTTGTTGTGAACTCGACTCCAATGGTCGACTTTGATTCCAGGTTGAACTCGTTCCTTGTAAACCGCGAGACCAGGTTGGACTTTCCGACTCCAGAGTCTCCGATCAGGACAACTGTAAGATGAGGAACACTATGGGTTAGCTTATCAGCATGGAGTTGGCACGCAACTTGTTTGACCCTAAAGACGAAGCCTGCCGCTCTTGGCCTGGTTCGTATCGCATACGCGGTCCACACCCTTGTCTTGTGTCAAATGGCTCAATAGTCTTATCTAACATGGAGGATTGGGCTCGCCGATGCATATTCTTCTTTGTCTGGGCTCCGTTCACAGCTCGCGTGGCAGCACAGCCCTTCATCATCTTGGGTTGATGCAATGCATTACACATTCAAAGAGTGGAAAGCGGCGTCGTACCTTTGAAGAGGTAGTCGTATTCGTCGTCCTTGCTCATGATGGCTGTGATGATGATCTGATGCTGAGGGTGAGGGTGAGGGCGAGTATGAGATGCAGCTGTGGAGAAAGAAGGAGGTGCAGGGGCAAGGAGACAAGCAAGCGACAGGAAAAATAAATATATTTCGGCAGTCGAGGGCACGTGCAAGGCAACCTACGCGATCGCCAGCACATAAAAGGACGGGCTGCAGACGATAAAACGTCTTCACTCATGGCGACCTGCCCACAGACGAAACAGAATAAGCAGACAGGTCGGCCGATACCGCACAAACATCAGATCCGCCGAGACTCTGGGATCCACTTCGCCACCGCACCACAGAATCCTCGGCGACCACCCATGTTGTTTGCTTGTCCTTTTCACCACCCCCTTCTCAGAAAATAATAAGATATGTATACACTTGTTCGTCGATAGTGGTATGCTTATTTGGGGAAAACCCAATGTGGTTTCTTCTATTCTCTTTCTTTGGCACAGAGAGGGTCTGCTGTTGTTTGCGGGGTCGTTAGCGTTGTATTTTCATCTTTCAGATGCACCCCATCAAAAACAAGCGCAAAAGGCACTTCTGTTCAGTATCGTCGGGCAAGCAGGAAAAAGAGAGGGAGTGGGAGATCAGAACAGGAACGTGCCAGGGTTTAAAGGAGGCAGTTAAAGATATGAAAATGGAGATGAAGATAGGCGATGGCCAAGGATACGGCGGCAGTATGCGCTCTTCTTGGTCTCTTTTCTCTTTGTGATGAATGTGGTCAAGTAAAAAAGATACCTAGTTGAACGCGTTGGTTTTTTTTTTTTTTTTGTGTATGAGAGTGTGTATGTATGTTCTTTAAGTTGCATCGCATGCGGAGCATGGTGTGAATATCATGCAAAAACCACGATACATCCACAAGCTATGCATTGAATGCTGGTCCATCCAATGCTGGCTACCGATTTTCCCGAACCAAAGTCCATCTGCTTTGTTGGCTGAGTGGTCATCTTGCTTACTGCCCCTAACCCTCCACCCTGATTTCATAATACCTGTCCTATCTCACTAGAAAACATCAATAAATTAAATGTAAGGATGTAGGATGAAAGTCCGAGTCCGAATCCACAATGGTCTATCTAAACGACCTGCATCCTGCTTTTTCGTCCATTTTGTGTGGGCAGGCCTGTGGCAGGGGTTTGCCTCGGTGGAGTTTGTGGAGGATATGCGCTCACGTAGTTCACTTTTTACACCCCTTGTTTTTTTCGAATCTACCCCTACTCCTTGCTTTGGATGTCTTCACACATTTTGTAAGATCCTCACGAATGCTAATACCCAGTGCCACCCTTACTTCTACCATTGCAGTCAAGGCTGCGGTGTTTGATGGCATTATGAACTTGCTGTGTGAACAGACAAGGTTAGCAAGCGTTCATCGATTGACATGTTGACACGAAATAAAAATGGAAGGTTGCGCGTATATCTGGTACTGGGAACGCATCCAAGGAGACGCGTTTCTCTCGCGCGTCATAGAGCATCTGATGGCATAGAATACGAAATAAAACAAACGGAAGCGAAGGAAGGCCTCTTCCTTTCCGTCGCATTTGAAAACCACCTCCCTTGATCCCTCCATTTTGGCTTTGTCCTTGTGCTTCTTGCTTGTTTGTCCTTTGCCTGTGTAAGTGTGTGAGTCTGTGAGTGTGAATGTGCGGATGCAATTGTTAGCCGGTTTGTCTCCCATTACCGCCACACCACACCGCTTTTTTTTTCTGTCGCCAACCCGCCATTCTAACTGCAGTACCAGTACCCTCTATCTATCCATTTCCAGCAGTAACTTCTTTCTGGCCAACCCACACCGCAATCTTGTTACTACTCTTTACAACTGTTTCATCATCGCCTTCCTTCCTTCTTTCCCTTCTTTCCCTTCCCTTTTCTTTATTCCCTTCTCTCTTTCTTCCTCTCTCTCGTTCCCTTATCCTCGTCTTTTTTCTTGCCTCTTTGTCCCTCTGTACTTTTCATCTTCATTCCGCTCCTTGTCCAGTATCGCCGCCCTCTTCAATTACCCTTTATCCAGCCGATACCCCGCGACTTCATAAATACACACCATTCCGCATTTCCGCATAGCATAAACCCTTACATTTCATTTAGCCACTGTCGATCTTCGATCAAGCATGTCTACACCAAAACCAAAACCAAAGCTCTCGTACAAGGCACAGAGCTTTCCCTCTAATGACAAACCCTTCGAGTGCAGTGTAAGGAACTCATTCGCGTCCGATGGATAAAAAAAAGCAGCAACCTCCTACGTAAAACTCACATTCACACTTCATGTGTGAACTGCTATGCGCTCTTGTCCACATAGGCATGTCGCTTGTATTTTCGACGCCTGCACGACTTGAAGCGGCACGAGAGACTCCACACAGGCGAACGACCATACTGTTGCAATAATGTAAGTTCAATACAAACATTCGGCATGCAGAACAAGATGCTGCTGACAGTTCCAGGCGGCACGCGATTGACAGAAAGTATACCTAACCATAAACAGTGCCGCAGGACATTTGCACGGCTCGATGCACTCAAGAGACATCTCAGCGCAGAATCCAATATCCATTGCTCGGAATGGACCTACCAGCCAGGCCTAGTGACGGGGCCAGGTCGATCGGGTGTAAGGCATCATAGAAGCATCTCACTCCCACATGTCCATGGCTCTGACGTCCAGGCCAATCCCCCCGATACAGAGGACAGTACTGGACGAACGCCAACGACGCCGAATCCGATGGATCACCCATCATTCCACTACCATTACTACCACCGTCAGTCTCGATCTTCTCCTGATTCCCGCACGTCTACGGGTAATCTACAAGATGCCATTTTGGAAGAGAACGGGAACTCTTATCCCCCTCGATATTCGCCTGCTGCTGCCACCCCAGAGCATAAGTGTTGGCAGGAGCGACTCCAATATGGCGCCATGCAATCCAAGCGATCGATGCCACAGCTAAATAGCGACAGACCAATGCAGTTGGACATGATCGCGAGCGAGGATGCATCTGTGGATCGTGTCCGGCCACAGACATCTGCATTGTTCGAAGCCCTGCCACCTGTTCTGCCATATCCACAATCCTCTTCCCATCCCCATCCATCCCCACCCACACAGTCGTATGCACTCCCACATCCAGATCCACATCCACATTCACAGCAACCCTTCCCCTCCTCCTTTAGAAAGACTCACCCTCAGCAGCGTCGCGACAGCTACCTTTCCTCTCCCTCGCAATCAACTCTCTCGCCATCTTCTTCTCCTGGGCTGTCACCGACGTCTTCTTCAATGTCGACGTTCTCCATGTCAAGTCCGACAAATATTTGGTCGTACTCCAAGGGGCCTGAGACACTTGATACGACTGCGCCCAGAGCTGGACCTCATCACGAGGATTGGCACCAGTCTCGATCGGAATGCTTCTCACAAAGATTTAGTCAACAGGATCCCTCTCCTTTTCAGGAAGGCAACGGCCCCATTCATGACCATCGCCACTGGGAATATGACCGCCGTCCAGGACCCTCACTGGGATCGACTTTAAATAGCTCTACTGGTAATTCATACCCACCCGCTGTCCAAACACCGTCATCGGCCCCATCAAAGATGCGCCACTCTCGTCATTCACATTCATTCTCGCATCCATTAACAGCAGCTGCAGCACAAACACAACACCACTATCATCGTCGCACTCAACAGCATCCGCCTTCACAAGACCCAGAGCACTGCTGTGATGCCATGGTCGAGATTCAGAAGTTGCGCCAGCAGCTCCAGTGGGTGACGATGCAGTACCATACGCTTGCTGAGAGGGGCTATAGCAACAGCAATAGCAATAGTGGCAACAGTAATCATAGTGATGATGGTGTACATAGCAACGGTGATAGGCCGTCCATGCCTGCCTGAGTTGCGAAAGAACAGGAAAGCAAATAAAACAAACTGCTCTTAATTCCAGCCCTTAGTTACCACTACAGCAGCCCTAATCACTGCAACAGCGACACAGCCCGCCCCTACAACTTTACATAGACTATCGTCGTTGCCGCTGTCGCACTCATCCTCCTTTGCGTCGGAATGATACTCTGAAGGCGTCGCAATAACAGAGCGGCCGCCAGGCTCCAATGACATATGGTGCCCCACAGCCAGTAATAGCTCCCTACGAGTCCAGCAAGGCTACTCAGTACCCATCCACCTATGCGATCACTCTCAGCGGCTGCACCTACAAAATACTACATCCCGATGACCAAATGTTAGCAGCCTATCTCCACATCTGCTGTAGCCTCTTCCTACTCGCCTTGCGCAGTCGGGTAGCCGGTCCTAGATGGTCCGTATTCGTCTTCCTCAACCGAGCACGCTGCTTCGCTCACGCAACACTCGCCTTTGCTGGAATCTGAATACCCAATTTGTTCACCATCTCAGCAGCCTGCGACTTACTCCCAAACTCCACAGCAGCAGTTTAAACACATACCCATCGCGACCTCTTACGCTCCTCAACAGGACAACCTCAGCCGACAGAATATACACTGCATCCTAAACACGTAAACAAAAGGATACGCATTGCACAGGCGCCGCACGGTCGAAGGCAGACTGATGCATTGAGATGGTTCATGTAATTTGTTTGAGAGATGAATAAAAAGGCAACCTTTCGTAATATATCTTTGTTTTCTGTAATAAAAAATACGCAGTAATGTTACGCTTTTGCTCGCTTCTTGGTTACTGCGCGTTCGTCGATTTATTTCGTTCAAACCGATCATTTGCTACTTTTCAAGTCCCAGATTAGCATTGCGCTTCGCACATCTCGTCGCCAAGGACAGGAGACCTTTGAAGCGTAACTAACTTTCTTATTCAGTTTTTCTACAGGAGGAGGAAGAAGGGAAGTCTATGCCTCCTTACACCATTTGAGAAGGACACCACCGGAAACGTGTATGCTCTCATTCGCCTTACCAACTATCAGAAAAATCTAATCTATATAAAGCTGCTGGCACACGCGCGTTAGGTGTCAACCAACAAGCATTGTGTTTAACCCCTCTTCTGCTTTTTCTTCCGCTTTTTCTTCTGCTTTTTCTTCTCCTTCGTCTCCACACAGGGATAACTGGCTTGTAGCAGCCAAGCGTTCATAGCGACGTAGGTTTTTGATCCTTCGATGTCGGCTCTTCTTATCATACTGAGGCAGATTTCAGTAAGCGTTGGATTGTTCACCCACTATTAGGGATCGTGAGCTGGGTTTAGACCGTTAAGAGACAGGTTAGTTTTACTCTACTGATGAAATGTTGTTGCAGTAGTAAGTGAACTTAGTACGAGAGGAACCGTTCATTCGGATAATTGGCATTTGGGCCTGCCTGAGCAGGCAATGGCACGAAGCTATCATCCGTTGGATTATCGCTGAACGCCCCAAAGTCAGAATGATGCTGAAGCGGCGAGAAAGGATGGGCAAAGAACATTGCGGTGGCTAATTGCACAATTCTCAGTCTTATCTCCTTTGCATCCGAGAGCCCATTACACGTTACACGAGGGCGAGCATGGCTGCGTTTGGCGAATGCTGCACTCTTTTCCTCTCTTTTCGCACTTCATTTTCCCACTTTCCCACTTTCCCATTTTCCCATTTTCCCATTTTCCCTTCTTCCCACATTCACCCTCCCTCAATCCATCAGGAACTGTCTCTTATCTTCCTCATCTTTTTTCGCTCTTCCGTCTGTCTCTCATACGTCTCTGCTCGACCTCAATAGGCACAGTCCAGTGGCGACTCATTGGTAACAGATACAGTTTATCTGCCAAAGCCCCATCCCTGAATGTGCCTGGATAACAGTCGAGTCAAGAGTGCTAATGCTAGAATGGCCGAGATCAGGAGAACAGCCATTCATGTCCAATGGATACTAACCCCTTCTTTCATGATCACAGGAATCTCTGCTAGAAGTGACGAGGAAGCGAAAAATACTCCACTCGACCGCCTTGTTCGTGTGCAGACCGTCTTAAACAAAGGATTGGAGTAGAGAACATTGCACAGGGACGGACCATCTCCTCGGCTGGTGAAAGAACTCGAGAAATAGATTCCTGTTGAGGTGAGGCACTGCTTCTTGTCACTCAATAATAGCCTGTAGGCATGTTTTAAGGTTATTAATCCTTCATGTTTCACGATGGTATTGCTGCTAGGAGGCATAAAGAGGACAAATCTTCAGGACTACCTCTGCATCCAATCAAAGGAAACAAGAGTCGAATAAATACTTCCGAGGTGGGGCGCCATCACTTGGCAGAGTAGCCACATATGATAAAATTCATGTAGCTGCTATGGATATTAATGTTTTGATTTACGATAGCTCATTCTACTGCCACTACGTCTGTAGTATGCCAGCCCACTCCGACTTATTGGTCCTCCATTGCGTTACTGAAGTGTCTGTCAAGTATAAGTACGTATACTGGCTACTCGCACAGGTATATTAATCGACCACAAGGTCACTAATATCGCTGCCATCTGCTCTATGATAACAGGAGAACCCCCCTCAGAGAAGTAACATGTTTGACAGAATTTTCTCGTCACCACGAAAGGCTCTCTCACCACAAAAGGAACTGGAACTCACCAACATTTACGTGGAGAATGCGCGCAAAACCAAGGACCGGGAGATTGCTTTAGTGTTGTGCGACGACGCGGAGGCTGCGTTATCCCGGATGAAAAGAGCAGCGAAAAGACTCTTACAACCCCCCTGTCCGTCGAGAATCAAGCCCTGCGCGATGGATTCGCCGGCGCCTGTCTCGAGCACGCCAACCTATTGGAGAGCTTAGGATATAGAGAAATGGCGCAGGTCAGCTACAAAAGGGCAGAAAAGTGGGGGTAAGTGACAGGTTCCTGCTCTCTATTTGTTTGCATTAGCCGGTTACTTCGTACGTCGTACCTAACGTACCTCTCAATTTGTTGACTGTCCTCTGACTTCAACAGCCATATGCGTCCTACAAGAGACCCAGGTCCTGTAATTTCCTCTGCCACCGACAGCGCCTGCCGCGACATGGCACGGATCCCTGAGGATATCTTTCCCGATGACATGCGTCAGCCCACCGTCAAGGTCGCATTGCCAGACGCAGATGAGCGACTCCGCGATACTTCCCAGCTCGCCTACTGCCTTGGCCTTCTGCAAGTGACGTCGTCGCCTGAAGAGGTCTTTGAACCAGCCGCAGGAAATTGGGTGAAATCCACAGAGAAGAATGCAGAGGAGAAGGAGAGACTCAGGACGCTGGCGGCAGATGTGATCCGGACATTCACTCGTGATGAGCTCAAGGATGCCAACGCCGTCTCAGAAGTCGTGTGCCTGGCCCCAGTTCTTGAAAAGGAGTATTTCCACTCTCTAATCATGCTATTTCTCGATGGCGTTGACAAGTCCAGTCTGCTGGATGTGCAGTCCCTCGAAGGACTGGCACAGTTGGTCCAAAGTGCTCCCGAGGGCTACCTCGACTCGGATGACCTAGCCACGATCCTGCGCAACCTTAACACCCGCTTACAGGATACTCACACTCAGTCTTCAGATCACATCGGCCGTCTCACGCTCGCAGTGTCAAAGATCCTGGATGCCATGGCCGATATCAAGGTCTCAGGCTTAAAGCGTGTAGAGCTGTACGAGCCACTCTCTGCCTATTTGAATGGACTGTAAGGCAGCAGCGACCCTTACTTGGTGTACCAGGCTGCCTATGCCTTCCAAGCACTGCAGTGTGTCCCAGACAACGAAGCACCATGGCAAGCAGCGATGCGGCGCACTGGAATTGTGTTGAAGGATGCCTCGGGGCTAGTTAGCGCCGTAAAAGGTCTGGACGTCAATGGCTTCATCACAGGACTCGGGTATCTTCAGGAGGGACTGGGAGAGACGATCCAGGTGGCGAAAATCGGTTACGAAGGCGTGAGCGCACTGATCGAGAATGGACAAGGACTGCTGGAATCTCTCAAAGTTGGCCTCAGCTTCAACAAGAAACGTGCCTGGTACACAGCCCTGCGCGGAGCAGACACACTGCTGCGGGACGGTCAACTCGCCAAGTTCAAGACCCTGGTCTGTGGAGCGCCTTGCCGGCGTGATCTAGCCTTTCAACTAGGAGTATGCCAACGCCTGGGGGACCTTGCCGCCAATCCACTGTGGGACATCGAGTCTCGCCAAGGTGCTGTTGCGTTTTTGGGCGAGATGTACCGAAACGATGCGGAGTGGGGTCAGCAAGCTCTCGTCAAGCAATGGATCCTTGACATTCTTATGCAGTTGGCTTCGACATTTGGCTCAGCTATGCCAGGTATGTATGATGAACATGAACAGATACGTGAGAGGCTCTCGCCTTATTATGAAGTATGGAGTTCGCCGCCTAGCAGGTACTAATAGTTGTGCTATATTCTATTGTGGTCTATGCGATACATGATGTAGTTGTCGAATCCTTGTTGCAAGAGCTAGAATCGAATGGCGATGAGACAAAAAGGATTCTTTATCAGTGCAATGTTTAACCCTTATATCTACTTACAGACAGAAAGTCAACAAGACAAGAGAGGGATCTTTATTTCCTGGGCAGACGGGCCCCTTATAAAGCACTACCCGTCTGCACCACGTTAAGGGTACTTGTCTCTGCTCGTACGTACTACATAGGTCAATATAGTGCAATCAGAACTGCCGAAAGGAAAATCGAAGCTTACATCCGCTGCAGGCCGCCTTACCAACCGTCGCATCTCCATCATTGCTTGATCTTGTTCAGAACAAGCCCGATGTTGAAGCCGACCTGAGGCGACTGAGAAAGCAACGATTGAAGGAACGAGGCAAAGTCGTGTACATCCCCCCTCAAGCCAAGGCTAACCTGCAAGTGTCCAATGACAAGCTGTTCGGCTTGACAAAGGAAATTGAAGGCTTCCTGAACAGTGACCATAAGGTGATGCTCCTGCTTGGCGATTCCGGTGG